AAACCTATCTCTGGATCTATTGCTGAAATCACCCTGAAGATTGGGTATAACATCTCCCAATGGCAGAATTTGTACACAACCATCGGAAACACGACTCCCATAATGCCTCACCATTCTTCCTGATGATGGGATATGAACCAAGAGCCCTTCCTCACATACTCCCCAACTCTACTGTCCCTGCAGCAGAAGATAGACTCCGCTCACTCCAGAAATCAAGAGAAGAAGTGCTGTCCTGCCATAACCTCACTATGCAGTGAATGGCAGAATGAACTCATGGACAGAAATATCATCCATGGAAGATAGGAGATAAGGTTTGGTTATCAGGAAAGAATTTGATCACACAGTTACCATCATGGAAACTTGCACCAAAATGATACGGCCCTTTTTCCATTACCATAGTACTATCTCCCATCACTTTCACATTCCAGCTCCCACCACAGTGGAAAGTTCACCCCACATTCCATGCTTCTGAACTATTATCCTATCACAAGACAGAGGTCCATGGCCCAAACTTCCATGAACCACCTCCAGACATCATCAATGATGAAGAAGAGTATGAGATCAATGCGATCTTATCACACAAAGGCATGGGTAAACGAAGATGCTATCTCTTATCCTGGAAAGGATACTCTTCCACTAGTAACGAATGGGTCCCAGAAGAGAACCTTAGCAATGCCACCAACATCCTTGCTGCATATAAGAAGGCTCACAAATTGTAAACCTCAGAACAATGTCTCTTGAACGCTTACGCCTCTGCATCCAATGAATTGAAGAACTTACCGCTAACCTTCTCAATGATGAACGTCAGAAGACCATCTTCTGTCACCTTCATATATGCATTCACAATACTGCAATCCGTCTGTTGCCTGATGATACTAGGGAGGCTATCAGAGAAGCTATTCATATTGTCACAGAATGAATCGCTACCAACCCAGTCGCACAACCTCCCTCTCCGCATATTACCATTCCAATCCCACTGCCGATCCCTCCAACAGTTACCATTGAGCATCAGGATGATAATATCCCTCCTATTGCTGTACTTGACATACCAGCTTCTCCTTCTCCTGCCCCTATCACACCCACTACGCTGTCCTGCATGATTTGGGAATCATGCATGGATATGACTACTAGGTAGCCCCCCCTAAAAGACAAAGTCTGTGAGCTTAGGCATCAGGCTAGTCAACCCATACCTTGGTTTCAAACCTTGGTCATATAGTTCAGTTTCCCCTCTGTGATTCATGAATTTATTATATCTTGAAGAAAAGTCATTTGTGAGATGGGAATCACATAATGACCTAGTTGATATTGTGAAGCAAGAAGGTTAAGGTATTGCCTTGCCTTTGGCTTATTCACTTTGGCTAGAGAAAACCATAGAGAAAAGTTCAAAGCCTAACAAAAACCTATCTAAAAAGCCTGTGTTTTGTGTCTTGTTATCGTATTATTATTTCTGAGTTGTTTTCTCTAGTATTTCCTTGATTTATTTTTCTATTGGGATGCTCTGACCCATCAGATACTTCACAAAATTGTACCTACAGGGTATGATGTCACAATGATGTCATATGGCTCCACAGATACTCCTGCAAGTATTCTGTTGAAAGTTATGATGTCATGATGATGTCATTTGTTCTGGAATGTTCTGCTCCACAATGACTCACCTCTGATGTCATTACTCCACCTATGGAATATTCTGGAATGTTCTGCTCCACTTTCTGGAATATTCTGCTCCACTTCTGATGTCATTGCTCCGCTTTTTTACTTACATAATATTCCCACACAAAATGTATATAAGGAGGGCCCATTCTCCCCCAAAAAATAGGATCTCCCACTTGCAATCATTTGAATCTCAGTTTGAGCTACTCACTGTGAAGATTGTTGCTTACAAAGAAAGCCCCTTTGAAGTACCAAGTGCAGGGAAAAGACATTCCCTATGATAGAAACTTAGTTTATTTGAGACCAGCTTCTCACCTAGTTTCTGATATTGACCAACACGAGCTTTGGTCAATCTGTTCATTTGTGAGACCCACTTCTCACCTAGTTTACTGAAATTGACCAACACAAGCTTTGGTCAATCTGATCATTTGTGAGACCAGTTTCTCACCACTTTGTGCCTATTTGACCAACCAGTCTTTGGTCAATGTATTCATATTTGAGACTGTAGTCTCTACAGAGGATTATCTTAACAAGGAACCACATTCCAGTGTCTAGATGGTTTATCCTAGACAAGTTTATAAGTTGGGATATAACACAAAAGCTCCGGCTAAGTTAATCACATAGATTGGTTTAGCGAACCTCCCAAGAACTCACATGTTATCTACCATGAAAGAAGAAAAGTTGTAGACCGTGTTAATTGAGGACTGGCAAGAAGTCTTATCCTAGTGTAATTGTGGTGTCATTACATTTTACATGCATTTATATAAGACCCTCAGTTATTAAGACAACACATCAATACCCTATTAGGCGCAGATCTGCCCATATTGCCAAGCGCACTGCATCGGCTTCCCCACACAGAAATTGTAAACGATGATCCAGATCCCCTTCTCCTCCAGCACAGTCGACCACCATCACCACAGTAAAAACGGCAACAATCAACAACATCATATGCCGCAACTGTCGCACTGCTGGGCATCATCACAAAAACTACCCAGCATACTATTGCCAGGTCTGCAAGGAGTATGCACCTGGACACTTATCAGTCTTTTGTAAAGATCTGAAAGGAGAAGCAGTCATTCCACTGGTTTGGACTGACGTCAGTTTCTATGATGCCCTTGCTTGTTGGGAGATTGAGCAGGATCCATTTATCACACTGCTGAGTTAGCTGATAGGTTGCTCCCTATTACTGAGGAACAAAACAACCTGCTAGACTCAAACTACGATGCTGACCCCATTTATTGGGCTAACCAGGATAACTGAAGTTGGTGACTTTGTTCCTAAACAAGGGGTAATGTTACAGTAACATGCACCCCTATTCATTTTCCTCATCTTACCTTGTATTACGTCATGACCATGTGATGCTGTGCCATCACTAGACTCATTTTCTTTCTATATTTGTATTACATCGCAATCGCTGCAGCCGTCATTAGATGACTCATCTCTTATCTCTGACTCATTGCTGACATATGTGTACCTGCCCTAAAGTCACTTACACCTTATATATATCTAGCCATGTACCTAGAAGAACTTCACTTTAATCTTACTAGGTTTTACCTGGAACATCTCTTGCTTAAGACCTCCAATCTTAAGTCATCGTGAACCAATATTCAAGTCAGAGACACTCTCTTTGACTTGTCTTATGACCCTTGCATTTGCAAGGTCTTGATTGTAATATCAGCCGTCGCTCTTATCAAGCTGCTGTTATTACAACTATCCTAGTTCGTAACAAACCCCTAGCATGCACTCTTAGACACTTGAACAAACTAGCAGGATATAATATACCAGGACTCACCGATAAGATCATCATCAACTTATATGCAGATGACACAACAATTTTCTTGAGTGAAACAGACAAATACAGCGACCTGGAGGAAATCCTGTCAAGATGGTGCACCACATCCAGTGCGAAGTTCAACCTAGAAAAAACAGAAATTATCCCTATAGGATCAAAGACCCACCAAGACCACATACTCCAAACTAGAATACTACACCCTCTTGACCCTCCTCTAGATGATAACATAAGAATTACACCTGATGGACATCCTATTAGATCACTAGGAGCATGGATAGGCAACAAAATGAATGACTCAACTCCCTGGGAACCAATACTGAATAACATTAATACAGCCTTCAAAAGATGGAACAATGGCCACCCCACACTCAACAGGAAAAGACTGATAGTACAAATGATGGCAGGAGGAATGACACAATTCCTCACGAAAGCACAGGGCATGCCTAAAAGCATTGAGTTGGCATTAATAAAAATGATAAGAAACTTTATATGGAATGATGCACATACCTCACCAATAAACCTGGAACAAATGTACAAAACAAAAGAAGAAGGTGGCATAAATCTGCTAGATATAAAATTGAGAAATGAAGCCATAGAAATAGTATGGGTGAAATCTTACCTAGATCTATCCGAATCCAGACCAACCTGGGCTCTGCTGATGGACCTAATACTAAACAGCATCAGACCATGAACCAACAACAATGAAACTGAAAATACAAACCCCCTACTAACGTCATGGTCCCCCCCAACAAAAGGCAACAAAGTAAGCTCCCTACCACAAGCAGCACAAATGCTCTTAAAAACCACTAGAAAACACAACATTAGTTTTGTGCCAATAAAGATCTCAAAAGACATGAAAAAGAAACTACCAGCATGGAACCACATAGGAACCCCTACTAACACCTACCATAAAACAAAAACCAAGTGCCTAAACGAAATACACACATTAACAAATGTAAAAGATCTCATTAAGATATGCAAAAGACTCACTCACATCAACAATGAAGACCAACATCACCCATGGAAAGACTGCCCCTGCCCAGCATGCCAGAAAGACCACAGAATAGGTTGCAAAGACCCCCACAAGTGCACTCAGACCGCAAACGAAATTCTCCTTAAAATCACCTCAAAATTCAACACAAAAACCAAACCTAAAAAGGACAGACTGACACTCACCCGACGAAGGCTAGAGAAAAACCATCAAGCCCACAAGAACAGACAAGGAGAGATCCTCTTTGACCCAACCACCACCATCCACTCCAACCTTGCAGACAGTTTCAGAATCTTCATGGACCCAGAACATATCTCCCCCACTCCAGCACACAGACTAAGAGCGCCAGCGAGAGGCCTGAATCTATTACAAGGCCATATTACAATTTTCACCGACGGCTCATGTATCAACAACAGGAAAGAAAACTCACAAAGTGGAGGCAGCATCTGGCTTGGAGAGAACCACCCAAAAAACCTTGCCTTCAGAATCCCAGGGAACAAACACTCTAACCAAATAGCTGAAATATCAGCAATCCTTCTGGCACTACAAAGAACAGAGCCATACATACCTATAACATTCATCACCAACTCCAGATATGCCATCAACTGCCTCACAAAACACCTACCAACCTGGGAAGACACTGGCTGGATAGGAGTAGTGAATAGCAAGTTCATAAAAGCAACTGTGTATCAACTGAGGAAAAGATCAGCCCAAACATCATTTGAATGGATAAAAGGCCACAATGGCCAAAATGGAAATGAACAAGCAGATAAACTAGCAAAAGAGGGAGCAAACAAACCCTCAGCAGATGAACTAGACTTGCACATCCCAGACGACTTCAACCTACAAGGAGCGAAACTTTCAGCAATCACACAAGCCCTAGCATATAAAGGTATACAAGAACACATACCGTTTGCCCCAAGGAGAAAAACCACAAGCAATCTAGATGTCACACAATTCACCATACAAGAACTGACCAGACAACTCGAAACTGACACTTCCATATGGACAGGATGCAGACATAAAGACCTGTCAAAGAAAATAAGACAATTCATATATAAAGCCATGCACGGCACACATAGAATAGGCGAATACTGGACAAACATACCAACTTATGAGCACAGAGCACAATGCACCCACTGCAACGCCAACAATGAATCCATGGAACATATCTTAACGGACTGCCCACAAAATGCTAACTCCCTGATCTGGTCCCTGGCCAGATCCACATGGCCCACGAAACATGGAGCTTGGCCCAGGATAAGCCTCGGAATGATACTAGGATGCGGAAACATTAGCCTAACACAACCACAACTAGACAATGAGCAACTACAAGATGTACCGGAAAACTGTCAAAACAAACAGTCCAAGAAAGGCACATCGCGGCTACTGAGAATACTTATCTCTGAATCAGCGCACCTCATCTGGGTGCTGAGATGCGAGAAAACGATAAGCGGCACTGACTGTTCCCCGCAAACAATTACAAAGCGTTGGACGTCAATAATCAACAAACGATTACAAATCGATAGACTTACAGCAAGGAAAATTAATCAAACCCAAACATTCCAAAACTTAGTCACAGCGACCTGGACTGACATAATCACGTCCACAGACCCCCTACCCAAGAACTGGGCCATCGCCCTCGAGGTTTTAGTGGGTATCAAGCAACCCAGGCCCTCTCCGAACGAGGCCCCCAGGTAGCCCAGAGCCCCACACACCCCGCATAACGGGAGTGCGTAAGTGCATTTTCCCTCGGACCGAAGCTTCAAGCTCCGCTATAGCGCGTATCTGTAGAACTAGATTTACTCGGTTGCTACAAATATATATCGCTCGTCCAAAAAAAAAAAAAAAAGCGAAAAAGCCACAAATTCCCACGATCACATTCGAGGCGTCTTCCATGGGTCCAAGCACTTTTAAGTTTTAAGTATTAGTGACTCCAGAATAGTTGTTTGCCCATACACCATGGTGGTGAGCACTATACCAGTCGCATCAAGTAAACTGGTATCATTGAGCCCTTCCAGAAAATATCTGTTCTCCAACATGCTCCTTCAGTACACCTGCCTGCACGTCCTGGAGACCCTACGCCTACCGCCCGCAATCTCGATCCCTTGATGCACCCATTTGCTCGCGCTCGCGAACGAAATCGTGCTTTGAATGCTGCCAAGATGGACAGGTTGTTTGCGAAACCTTTCATAGGGGCTCTCGAGGGGCACATAGACGCGGTCGAGGTGTTGTGCAAAAAGCCTGGGTCATTGAGCGCTGTTGCCAGTGGCAGCTGGGATGGAGGTACGTTGAGAAATCGACTTGGCTGTCCAAAAAAAATTCACTTCCTATAGGCGTAATTTTGCATAATGTTTCCGAGCGCAAACACATCCGCCGAATACAAGGTGCTCATATGGGCAAAGTGTCGGGCCTTTGTTTTGCTCAAGACGACCGGCTACTGAGCTGCGGTGTGGACAGCAAAATCAAACTTTGGGACGCGAGCCCGCAAGATGACATAACAGTCAGTTTCTCAGTTGGTAACAAGTTTTTTGTGTGTATCTATCTCAGTCCATCTAGGAGCAACGCCCGTTGAACGAATATCCTGGCAAATCACCGTTCAAGTACGCTACTCAGACATACTAAGATCTACATCTGATCGACACGTCCCTTCACACAGCTCAATAGATCACCATCGTTCGGATCCACTTTTTGCTACAGCTTCAAACATTGTTCAAATATGGGACGAAACGAAGTGGGTGCTGTCCATCTCTATGATTATGTCTCAGCTGACTTGACAACAAGGAGTGCCGCAATATCTAACTTAACGTTCCCCACGTCCACCGAGACCATCACGTCTGTGCGATTCAATTTGAGTGAAACGAGCGTACTTGGCAGCATTGGCTCAGACCGAACCTTCACTCTCTACGATATTCGCACAGGAAAGGCAGAACGTCGTGTTGTCATGCAAATGAGCTCAAATGCACTGGCATGGTCACCAACTTTTCCAACAAATGTCCTGCTCGCATCCGAGGATCACAATCTTTATACGTTTGATGTCAGGCAACTGAAAACTCCTACTCACATCTACAAAGGACATGTTGCAGCAGTTATGAGCTGTGATTGGAGCCCGACTGGATTGGAATTTGTTAGCGGCGGATGGGACCGGACAGTAAGAATATGGAAGGAGGGTCAGGGCACGGGACCAGAAGTGTATCATACTAAAAGAATGCAGAGGTAAGCCAATGTATCTTCGTTCGTCGGCTTATTCACACTCTACAATAAGGGTCTCATCTTCTATATTCACCGCCGATGCGCGTTTTGTGCTGACGGGCTCCGACGATGGTAATGTACGGATATGGAAAGCCAAAGCATCAGAAAAGCTTGGTATCATCACAGCCCGGGAACGTGCTGCAATCGAATACCGGGATACCTTGAAAGACCGATGGAAGCACGATAACGAAGTTGGCAGGATTCAACGGTAACAATTATTCTGCTCTGTTTGACTCGCACTCACTAGTAGTACAGTAACCGACACTTGCCAAAGCCAGTCTACCAGGCTGCGAAGCTCAAACGCACTATGCTCGATGCACGTGCCGTCAAGGAGGAACGTCGGCGGAAACATACGCGTGCCGGGGAGGGCAAACCAAACGCAGAGCGCAAAAAGGTGGTTATTACGGAGCAGGCTTGATTGCGCGCTCGACGTTAGCCTGTACCTGCTTTATAACATCGTTTCATGACATGCAACAGTGCGATTCCACCGGCACATGCTGCAGAACTAGCGATTTACAAGTGGTTCGTGACAGTCCTTGCAGTACATTTATTAAATTTGCACAGTATCCACCTTGTGCTCAAGTATCCGAGGCTGCCATGGAAGCGGTGCATAATGAATATTAGACCTTGAATTTGGGGGCGCGGGTGAACCTATGGATTCACATAAAGTTGCTGTGGTCGTTTAATTGCCTCGCGGTCAACCATGAGACTCGTGAATTGACGTCGACCAGGTCAAGGCTAAATTGTCAGATTTAATTGTGGGAAGATGATATAAACAGCAGTTGTGAATTCAATATTACATGTGGCTGTTTATCTCGCGGTCTCCTGTTTCCGTACTATATATCATGGTAAATTGGTGATGTCGTCGCATACCAAGAACCTTCAGTCGGCTGCTACATAGCCGTCTTCGAACAAGTACTATTCTATTCTTGGAGTCTCCATGAACACGCAGAAACCCCCTGTCTATGTGCCTGCAGGTTTGGGCCACCTTGGCTCCAACAGTATCAAGGTCCAGACCTCGCATGACGAGTACGCCACTTCTACGTTCCCCCCACATGCAGCCAGTTTCTGACTAGTAGGGTGGAAACTTCATAGGAAACACCGATTTGCCAAAGTTCGCAACCCTCGCATGAGTCGAATTCTTGCTTTTCGTCGTGACCTCCGTCGAACCAATAATAGAGGTTTGCCACCAGAGTTGCTCTTATTAATTTTCGAGCATGTTTACGCAGATAGCGTGCTAAATGGAGAGTGGATTGCGTGTAGCTCGCAGTCTCGCACACAGTTCCCGTTCGCTCCCGCGGCCGTATGCAAGGCCTGGAGAGATGTTCTTGCGTCGGTGCCAAGGTTCTGGACACGTATCATCATCAATCTCGATACCACAAAGCTTTCAGATATCGACACATACCTTCATCTCTCCCGAATGCTTGCTTTCGAAATCACCGTCACGCGAGACCAACGAATCATTTCTCATTCTCGCACAAATAATAATGACGAGAGCGCCCTAACAGCCGCAGTCATGGCGTGGATTGTTCCTCATCTACATCGCTGCAGGTCTTTATGTTTTCAGCTCCTTCGCAGCTCCTCCTTGCCTGCTCTTCGCTATCTGAACGTCCGTGCACCTCTTCTTGAGCGGCTGAAGCTGCAATGTGGGATCGATGATGGCGAGCATCCCCTAGTAGGCAGCGAAGTTCCTGAGCAGTGGTGCTTCTACGCCCCAGCGCTTCGGCATCTCTTTCTCAATGGGCGCAATTTCCGTGACGCTTGCGCCCTTCGCTGGGTCGAACGACTTTCAGGCCTAGAGGACCTATGTATTTCGCGCTATTCCGGTGGCAAACACCGAACAGGAGAGTTACACCTGCACGACGTTTTGCTCGTCATCGACAAACTTCATCGCAGGTTTGGAATACTTCAAAAGCTAACTCTTCAAGATATTTCGTTTGATGGCATCCTCACGCAGCGGGATGGCTACGACATTCAGATCGAAGCTGTGAGCCTGCGGTCCATTAGCCTCTCGACGGTCCGTGCCATCTTCATGTCTAAGACCGGACCAGCTCCACGCCTCGTGCATATCAAGCACGAGCTCTCACCTTCTGTATATCACATTCGCTTGACTCAAGCTGACACCCTCATGCTGGAAGGTTCTTTCTCACGCATGGCTGAGGCTATTAACATCTGGGATGGCAATTGTCTTTCCATCAAATACTGTCCCACCTTCAATGATCACACCATCCGTGACATTTACCGTTCGTGGAATCCAAACAAACTCACGTCTCCAAGCTGGTCTCGACTAGAGATAGAAAATTGCACAGATTTCTCCGCAGATGCGCTTCTGGCCTTGATCGATGCACGCGACGATGCGGTGCAACGAGCGCGGGATAGAGACCCCACATCACAAGCTCCTTTCAACAGCTTGCAGGTTTTACAGGTGCATGGCGGACCCCCCATTTCGCCAGAGGACGCAGAGGCATTCAAAGAGAAGTTGTTCACCTTCGAGTGGCATGAAGCAGCCACAGGTATAACACATTAGCAGAACATAGGTATGCGAGGGTTTCACATGTCTCCGTTGACACACCCTGAGGGCGGGTGTGTCCCTTTTTACTGCAACTCATCTCTCGGGAACTTCACGTTGTTTCGTAGAATGAGCTACTATGTAGGGTATATGGCTAATACTACTTCAGCTTAATTTTCACCAGGGGGAGGCATGACGATAAGTAGGACAATACATATGGGTTGATCTCAATAACAGATTACCACTCAAATTCAATCGTACAAGAGGCTCTGGATACTAATACTGCGTAGCAGTAATCACCCGATGTTACAGTTGACAAATAGCTGTTATATATCACCCTACGGATCTCTTGGATGATGGTACTCGGATGACTGATTTTCAACATCGAGTCGAGTCGATGTTGATGGATACATACTACATGCCAGCGAGGGAACTTGAAGTTTTTTTGCGCCGCTAACTGTAGACAGAGCAAGAGGACACAAATTGGATATGAAGGTGATAAACCTTCGAGTCTGGTACATATAACACTGCCTGCGTATGTAAGATACTTGAAGTCAGAGTGCTTTTAATCAATTGAACAATATCTCCGCACGCCGGGTTCGCATTCTTATCGGCATGTCATACCGCCGTCGATGAGGAGGAGACGCCCGACGTTTTCCTCATAATCTGTCGTGGCCACCAAAATCAAGTCCTAATCTTTGCACCTTCTATGTCCTGACCGTCTTGTAGTGTCCATTTCGCAGGCACCGGCGCATGCCGGAAGGGTTCATTGGTGGCACTTCTAGCGACGATCTTTGGATGTGGAGCTGTGCTCGGCGAAGGCCGGGGGTGATCAACCTCCTCGGGCTCTTCGACGATGTTGTCTGTGTATCTTGCATTCTCCTGTTCTGTATAATATGAACTAGGCAATATTGCGGCGTCCGTATCGTTGGCTACTGCTGCTGTTTGTCCTTCATTCCTGGACGCTACAGAGGCATTGGGCTGGTATGACTGAGTTCGAGGGACAGAGGAGTGAAAGTGATCTTCGTGACCGTCCACGCCTGATATTTCTCGTTGAAAGTTTCGTGAAGTTGAAACATCTGCCTCAACGTTTGCTTGCGAGAGGTGTGTCAATGTGTGAAGGCTGGCTTCTTCAGGGTCAGGTTGAGGCTCGCATCTTTGACCTCTTGTCATCTCCACGAACCCCATGACTCGTTTCCAAGCGTAAGCTGGAAGGGATAATAGCTGCTGGCCAATTGCACGCCACCACCAGCCTTCTCCTTCCCTGATGCGAATGATGCCGTTTAATATCATCGCGAATACGATCAGTGTCACAGCGCCAACTACGGCCCTGGAAGTTGTATCCCCGGCACCGTACCAATTGTTGGAGAATGCCACAAAAAAGAAGATCATTCTAACTTCAAGTCAGGATGTCCGCCTATGACTTTATCATGGTACAGGCTCACCCCCAGATAAATAATGCCTTGGGAACGCTGTAAATTATGGCCAGACTTTCAAGTCCGTGCTTTTTGTCGTGAAGCCTTAATGCGAATGATGCCTGAAATAGCTACAGTGAGAGACATTCCAGTTATGCAACATAAGTTACTGACTGCTTCCAAGGCCGTATTATCTCCAGAAGTTCGTTCATGCCAGACCAAGAAGATACCGAGAATTATACTTCCAAAGCTCGTCACCAAGGACATGTAGCTGGCCATCTGAATGACAGATCTCCCGCCCATATCAACACTGTTGATAGCGAGAAACCCAACATTGGCGTTGAGTAAGACAGTGGCCTACCAATGGCTTGACATTGATTTTACCCAATATAACAATAAAAGGTGGATTTACCAAGAGATTGGAGTCCTGCAGCCGCCCTTTTAATTTTAAACTAAGTGCATTCCACCGTGCCGTGGAAGCAATTTCATCTACAAAAGCCCTATGCAGTTCTTGGACTTGTGTCGCTGGGTCCAAAAAAAGAAGGGGTGAGACCACGACCATCAACAGTGATGGCGTGTATGCCCAACCATGGACTGTCTTGTCAGAGATCAGTCTCACGCAATTCTCCCCGTGAAAGTTGATAAACTGATTGTCACCTAGAAAGTATCAATCACAGCTAGATAGACAAATGAGAGAGCACTGACTGAATAATTTCATGATACGGCCTTAAATGATGATCGACGTCAGGAGGAGCTGAAGTTCAAATTCAAGTCTCACCAATGACAATGGCAGCGTGACATCGTATCTGCTGGTTTTCAGGGGGATGAACTTTAAAAAACTGGATTAGCACAGAAATTCACGAGGAAGTATCAATGTAGCATACGTACCCTTGATTCCGTCTACCACCGAAATGTAGTCCTTGAGTTCGATGACATCACCTAGCGCAGAAGACCGCTTCGATGTCATGTGGTCTGATGGTTACAACCGAGCATATTAGATCAAGATAGAAGGCCTAACAGAGCACTAACCACATGTTGCATGCATCAGTGTATCCTTAACCTCATCGACATGGTCTTGTAAGACTACACACAGGTTAGGGAAGTATTCCCAATGTAGCCTTCGTTGTCCGTTAGTATACTTGTATGTGAACCTATGGTTGTATTAGGAATGGGACGGTGTTGGAAGCAATGTCGTGCGGACCTTTCCTAGAACACACCAGTATTGTGCCTCAATGGCAAGCCCTGGCGATGCGAAACAGGACAAATCATCAGATCCAGATCCACTGACAACTACGATCCACTCACGTATGTGTGAAAGACTCTTGACGCCTTTACAATCGGAGAGCACATCTTCGACATTGGACTCGTGCAACCAAAAGAGGCACCTGCCATTGTGGTTGACAAAATAGTACCAACAAACGGTGGCAGAGCTAGCGGATGCGTCGCTGTTCTTTAGCTCAAGCACAAGGTCCACCTGCGTCATGTCGAGGTCGAGCTTCTCTCGTTTAACGGTGGACTCGAGCCCACTCCACAAGTATTGCATGTAGTATTCGATGCGCCTGAGTATTTGTGTGTCAAAGATATCCACTTCTGTGAATGTTCTCTGCATATAATAGCCATACTAGAAATGCCGGTCTTCAATAATCGATGGATTTTACGCACTTGTTTCTCGTTTAGAAAGTAGCGAGAACCTTCTGGATGAACGAGCGTGGTCCATCCCAGGGGTACAACCGCCCTTGAAAGAGTTGATGTATGAAAGAGGATGGTTTAAGTACGACTTACTTCGGGTCATGCACAGGAAATGTGATTGTCATAGCGGGGACAGTAGTTTGGGTATTGTCGGCGGCCCTTTTGCAACATCAGCTCTAGAGTACAAGCAGGAGAGAAGACTCATGTTCACCTGGGAATGCACCTTTCATACCTCATGACTCCTTTCGCAACCATAGGAAATATTCCTGGGGGGTTATCTTCATGGACCTCGACAATCTCCGAGCCCGGCTTCTCGTCGCTACCGGGCGGAACGATGAGATGAACATGATGACCGGTATCAAGATCTGGTGGTCCATCTTGTAACGCGATGGAACTATGGATGTGTTTCGGGAGATGATAAACATGTCCCTCATGCAGTCGTAATGTAGGTTGTCCACATTGTGACCCAGTCATTGATCGTGTAAGAGATTGACCACTGCCCTGCGAAACAAGACTATGTTTGGAATGAGTCATGCCCGGCGCCAGATGCATCGTGGAGGGCGTGGACGTTGCAGCGACTAGAGAACGAGTATCATTCATGTATATCCCTGATCGTGAACGTGATATTGACAACGGGCCATGGAAGCTTGAAGGATGTGATGGGCCTCGACTGCTGAGCCCCTCTAATGGGTCACTATCGAGGAAAGTCCGACTCGCGTTGCTCCCCGATCTCTCTCCCATCTGCAAGGACTGGTGTGAACTTGACATAGAGCTCCCGTTTATCTCTGCAGTGCTCCCATTCTGTGTTGTTGTATTAGTCTGTGACAAAGGTATCACCGTACCTTTTCGCAGATGTTGTGAGTGTTGTGAATGGATTCTCGAATAAGGACCGTCCGAAGTTGGAGGCAGAACACTCGAACAAATGGGTTCATCCTCTCTTGCGATGTTCCCTTGTGATTGGGGTAGAGCTTCGCTGGAAAAACGGGTCCCAGCAAACAACCTCCGACCACATGCACCGAGCTTTAAATGACCGGAAGCAAATTGGCGGAGTAAAGACAAAAAGAGCGATAATGGACTCGCACAGCGACGTGCAAGCTGTGAAAGCCACTTCTTTAGTGTGTTGAGAAAGTAAACAAGTAATCGTCTTGTCATCATGGCGAGGGCACTAAGGTACCACGGATTCTGGGGAAAAAGAAGGGGGACAATGTGGACACCATCGCGTTAATTATATTTATGATTCCTTAGGATCGGTCTAGCACTAGAATTCCGAGTATGTAGGAGGGTTTATTCTAGGATTTGTGATATCGGGGTGCTAAGAGAATATTGCTAAAGGAGGGTATCTTCTTGGTGTGGATCCTTATTTCTTCCGATGTGAACCTAGTCGTAATGTCTTGTGGATGTTGCGGTCATCCTGCAGAGAGGCTATTGTGCCTAACGAAAATCGGCCAGGAGAGCCTTCTGGCTGTGGTAGTACAGGTTTCCTGCCAGCTCCAGTAAGCGTGGTGAATCCACAGAAGTACTTGGGTCGACATGACCGAATTAGGTTAGAAGGGGTTGGGGCTCCTGATATCAATAGCAACGGCCCTCCGAGTCCGGGTCCTCTGGGTTGCTTTCTTAGAATTTTCGTTCTTCCAGTTTGCGAATGTATTTGTTCCAAATATTCTCTCCTCAACTTCATGCGAGCGTCTGGGCGACACCCAAAGATCTCAAGCTGTCTACGTGCCTTCGAGGCTATGATATCTAGATCATAGACTACTGTGACATACTCTACTCAGTGCAGATGTGTGAGAGCAAAGGTCAGACAGTATTACGTGGGTCATTGCCACAACCGTCTATTGTTGTGCAAAACCTGAATTTGACATTGATAGATGCGTGTTCAATGGATGTCATAACACGTATTGTGTGGAGGACCGTGATTCTTCGTTTCAGGACACGGCTTCCACATCTGACGCGTTCAAGACATCAACGACAACGGACAGATCAGTCGCGTCCACGGTTGTATCTATCATACATGGAGAATTCAATTAACGGGGTCACCGACTGTAGTCCTGGTGGAACTATCTAATTACAGTACAGTGCGGCTCGATGCTGATGGCCGTTCCTCCAAGACACTCATACCCATGTAAATGGGTGGCCAGGCTGCGCACTGTTACTAACTCGAGTGATGTCTTGTAGATGGCAGAGTGTACAATACAACAAAAACGAAATTTGAAGCCAATTGGAAACAGTAAGCAGGCAAGCCCTTTTATCCTTGCCACAATTACAGGGGCTAATTTAGAGTTGCCAGGATCCGTCGAGACTGAGCGCTGAGCTATGCATCTAGGTGAATGGGTATAAACTTATACCACGCTATTGCAGCTTTGCACTCTCCTGAACTCGAATATCAATTTTATCAGTTTAATCATATCTTCAAGAATCGCATGCCACTTCCTGATGCTGAACAAGTCACTACGCTGCGAAGAGTCTAGACATTCAGAAGAACCACTTCCAGTGGTGGCTACTGTCGTGCATCAAACGCGCCAAGTGCTCACCATCGTCTCGCTGCACGATGACGGATATAAACCACGTAGACAAGTCAGAACGTGATAAATTTAGTCATGCATCGTGTCCACTGTTGTGGGGGAAACAGTGTGGCCTCCGTGTCCTTTTCGCCCCGGTTTTTGGGTTGTATTTATCTGGTGTGTTATACGTCGCCCGTCATTCGCCCGGGTGTGGTTGCTGATTATACATCGTGGGGACTGGGTTGTTGTGAATGCTAGTGGTCGTATTAAACTTAACGTGCTCGTGGAAAACTTGAACGTTCAAGATGCAGGTTTGCGTGATTGTAACGAGATAAAATAAAAGATGGGTTTGGGACCATACAGGTGTGCCTATCATGGGATGATGGAACGGACAACAGGTCTCCTCCGATAGGTGGTATCGGTAAGCGTGCCCAGCAGAGTTCAAAGTTGCAGAAATTGCGAATGATATTTTTACCCATAGGGTACGTTCAAAGTGTAATCGTTCGCAATGTTATGCTCGACAAGGTCGTCGAGAGTCCTGCGCGTCTATTTCAGGCAAATGGGTTCTTTTGATCTTGATGTGATACCTCACAACAGCTCACCACGATGTTGTATCAGCTTTATGGGGACTGATGTAACGGTTGCTGTACCTCCTACGCGTTCCGCCATGTACGCCGCTGCACCTCGTCTGAAAACTGTGCTCTTTATATCAACCAGCGGAACACCAGGTGACCAAGATAGCAATCTGCCAAATAGGTCGTTGAAAGTGGACTCCTTGGCTAATTTGGGTGTGTAACCTGTAGGTCATAAGACGTGTCGTCACTATTTCTTGGATTTTAGCTCCTTGCAATGCTACCAGGACCAACCAGTGGACTCTCATGTCCGATGCGCTGGCTTCGTCGAAGACCTGTGCGTTCAAATAACGATGTCATCTTTTCAATAAAGAATGGTTGAACAAGTGAGAGATTTGTCCTGAATTTGGGAACATCGCGGTAATCCATCTGGTTTGATTTAGACCACCAGTCACCTCAGGTTCAAGCTGGGTACGATAGGTCATGATGGAGTTATCTGGACAGCCTGCTCCATCAATTTTGATTGAATGGTGATGGAGCTCTGTCGCAATAATGATGGGCCTGATCAAGTTGAAGTACGGGAGTACTAGAAAAGAACTGCCAGGGCATACCGAGGAATGGGATGGGGACGAAAACGTTTCCTGTCGAGGTCCGATGATGTTCAAGTTTGACAGTATCGGTTATGAGGCGCAGCACAGGCAGAACACAGCCGGATGCCACCACTTATCTGATACGGTGAGGCAAGGGGGCGCAGCCTTGGTGATGGGAGCACAGGTTCTAACTGATACGGTGTCCGGACTCTTTGAACTTGTAGTAACGACTGTAGTTAACGACATGACTCGTGGGAATGACTGTTAAGAAACAATATGCATAAATTGCCTTGTAGGACCTTCTAATCTTACCGTGGCCCCCCTCATACACATTCCTCTTCCACAGCAGGCAGGTCCTCTCTTTCGTTATACGCGCAGGTCGTTCTTTGTATCATTCAACTATTTGACCGGAATAACTCATGTCCTTCAAACGGTCATCCGGTCTTGATTTTAAAGATCGCAACCCATTCAGAGACCAAGACCCCTTCGTTGACGGCGCAGGCGACTATGCATTGAATTCCATACCACCAAGCCACCTCCAGCGCAACAAATCAGAGCGCCTTCGCCTACAGGGTATCCAGCAACCTCTTCCAAATGCTGGCATTGGCGCACCCAAAGTTCCCGATGGTCCTCCTACTCTCGGTCAAAAGTTTGACAGGTGGATGATCAATGAGGGTGGAAAACGCCTCTTTTTCTCTGCTTGGATCTTTTTCCACATGCTCGTTATTGCATTTGGGTTCATGAACTACCAGCTTAGTGACGACCTTACCGGAGCCCGCGCAACTTTTGGCGTCACCTACGGTAAGCATTTAGATGTGCCGTATAGGTCCCCTTCCCCTAATATTACCACAGCTATTGCTAGATCTGCAGCACTTGTACTACACACCGATGTCATCTTCATTCTCTTGCCTGTCTGCCGAAACTTCATCTCCCTGCTTCGCAGAACGCCCCTTAATTCATTTATCCCATTCGACAAGAATATAACATTCCACAAGGCAACAGCCTGGTCCATGGTTGTCTTTACTCTCATCCACATCGGTGCTCACATGCACAATTTTTACGAGCTTGCCCTCGCCGACCCAGATGCAAATACAACCGGCAAGCGTGTGCTCGTTTTCTTACAAGCAAATTTTGCCACCGGTCCCGGTGCTACAGGTTGGATTATGACCGTTGCATTGGGCATCATGGTCTGGTTTGCCATGGAGAAAAGGCGCCGTGCCAATTTTGAGAGGTTTTGGTACACACACCATCTGTTTGTTGTCTTCTTCCTCGCCTGGCAGTTCCATGGTATGTGGTGCATGATCAAGCCGGACAGAGAACCGTTCTGTTCCTTCAACTCTATTGGTGTCTTCTGGGTTCGTGAACTTCGACAAGCTAATTTTGTGCCACCCATTGACAACGGCTTTTTCAGCGATACTGGCTCGTCGGTGGCCTTATTTGGACATACGAGCGGATTTTGCGTGAGGTTCGCTCGCGTCATAAGACTTTTATCTCCAAGGTCATACAACACCCGTCCAAAGTCATTGAAATCCAAATCAAAAAAGAGAAGACCACTACGCGGGCAGGGCAATACATTTTCATCTCTTGCCCAGAGATCTCCTACTTCCAGTGGCATCCTTTCACTCTTACGAGGTAAGTTAACTCCTTAATTAGCTTTGCGGGCAAAGGCTTATAATACTACAGCGCTCCTGAGGAAGATTATATTTCTGTGCACATCCGTGTCGTCGGTGACTTCACCACTGCGTTTGCCAAGGCTGTCGGCTGTAACTTCGACTCTAAGGATTCCAAGGATGTCGACGCCAGTGGTGGAAAGGTTATTGGCACGAACACAAATCCGCCGCTCAACCGGGTGCTCCCTCGTATCATGGTCGACGGTCCGTTCGGTAGTGCCAGTGAGGACTTCTTGAATTACGAGACTGTCCTCCTCGTTGGTGCTGGTATTGGTGTCACTCCCTTCGCTTCGTGCGTATCGCACCCCTCATTTATTTGATGACATCATTGACCATATCCATTCAGTATTCTGAAGTCGATCTGGTACCGCATGAACAACCTGAACAACTCCAAGCCTACCCGTCTCTCCAAGGTCTACTTCACTTGGGTCATCCGTGACTTTGGCAGCGCCGAGTGGTTCCACTCGCTACTGCAGGCTATCGAAGAGCAGGACACGTTAAACCGAATTGAGATCAACATCTATCTTACTGCAAAGATCAAGGAGGATGACATGAATAACATTATAGTGCGCAGTACCCAATTTCTCAGTGGTTTCTGTACTGATTGTGATTTCCTTAGGTCCAAGATGTCGGCGCAGAGAAAGACGCTATCACTTCTTTGCGTGCTCCCACTCATTTCGGCAGACCAAACTGGGACAGGGTGTTCGGTTCTATGGTTGAAAAGCACCCCGAAACTGATGTCGGCGTGGTTCGTAGCTCGTTGTTACCTATTAACTCATCCGCTCACCCGTCCATTTACAGTTCTTCTGTGGCCCTCCAGTTCTCTCCAGGCAGCTCCACCAGATGTCCAACAAGTACTCCAATCCCAGAGGCACGCGTTCTTCTTTGGCAAGGGTGCGTTTATGATTTTCCCTCCGTTGTCAGGCCCGGCTAACTTTTGTGCAGAGAATTTTTAGGATGGTTGGTTACTTTGGATACGGTACTGTAGTTGTATTGCTTTTGTTCGCTGTATCTATGTATAATGCTATGGATATGAACGACCGGGATATAAAAATGTACCTGGCTGTGGGTCCCCGACTCCCACGTTAGTGGAGAAGGATCTTTGTTGAATGGATACGTCTAATTTACTATTATTTTCTCTGCAACCTGACCGGTAAATCTATGCATTTTGTCGATCAGTGTTTTTGTCTGAACCGTCGCAAATAGTGAACACAGTCAAGGGCTTGCCCCTCTAATCCATCTCTATGAATCTAGCAGCTAATCCGAGGACGAAATTCCAACACAGCCGCATTAATGGTCTGCACCACGATTTGTTTTATAATGTGTGCCAATTAAATGAACCAATGCAGAACTCGAAATTCTGCTCAAGGGGACCAGTATCAATACCATTTTTGCGTTTATCCTCGTCCGGAAGGTGCCAGGTTCCTGTATTTAGAGTTTCACGGTGACCTCTGTTGACATGTCTGTCTAGTGCCTAGGTCTTGCTGCGGGAATCGAAAGTAAGCAATCTTTTGTTCCGCCTTGGCATCGACATAAAACAGGAGCGCACGCAAACTACACATCAGAATGATATGGCTCGGTCTGCCACTTTCAATTGTGCCAGTCTCGCTGAAGCCTCATCGACGAGCGCTCCTTCAGTCGCTGGCTCTTAGATGCCAACACGACAGAGGGCGACTTGAAAGCTAAAGGTGGGGAGGTCACATCGTTTTCCTGACTGCCAGACTCACACTGTCCTTAGCTTGTGTGCATTCTCCTGGTCTCTGGCCCCATGAAACATTTTTCGTTTGGCGGTGAATCTTGATGGTTTTGGTCAGTCTGTCGAGAATCTAGGTTGGGACGTACGTATACGCAATATACCTTATATTTTTGAGACGTCCCTCGCGAGGCGTGGTAAAGAAATATTGTTGAGCAAGTCTCGAACCTGCAACAGATTTATAGCCTACCACACCTACCACTTAGCTAAGACTGGTCAAGACGGATGTCTGTAGTACGAGTCGCAGTAGCATTCAATCACATCAGGAAAACGTAATTCATTACAGAGTGTTACAGAGCGCTCTGTAGCACTCTGTAGTGAATTACGTTTTCCTGATGCATATAGGATTAGAATTTAGCAGTCATTTACCAACGCAAAACAAAATGAAAAGACTAGTTTGAGTTTAATTTGATTGACACAAAACATGCCAAGAATAAGCGAGTGGGGGGCTGGCGCCGGCGTCGTTACGATAGAGGGTATATAATCCAAGGTATGGGGTAGCGCTATGATACAAAGTATATGCACGAAACTAATCACCTAACTTATTACAAGTCCGTTGCTTTCCTGCATAAGTAGCTTGTCGTGAAGGAAACTCCAAGGAGTCCCGTTCAAAATGAATCTGTCGCCAGGCGGAACCTATTTGGATTCTCTACTAACCAAGGCGGCGGCGGGGTCCCCCACAAACTCTCATACGCGCTCATAACGTTGAATGTGACCTCATATTGGTCACAGGTGCATTGCTCGAGCTCCCCAGCCTCTACGAACGGTGTCTCCAACGCGGAGTAAAGCTCTTTCTTATCCTTGACATGGTACACCTGGCACCAAATCTCCACCAGCTTACGCACAAAGTCGCCCATGTTGCCATCGCCTCCATCAACGAGCACTACCATCAAGCAGTCCTCGATCTTCTCGTGATTCCATCCCGAGGGTTGCGCCTCTTCCAGGTCATCGTCCTCGCAGCGCACGATGTCGCGAGTCTTCTCCCATGGTATGGACGCGAGTGCCGACCGGCTCCGCGCGTGTCGCTTCCGCGAGGTCCAAACCACCGGCCGCGAGCGGATGACACGTCCGTCTGCCCTCTTGCGCAACATGACCATGATGTCAGGATGTCGGATGCAGCCGTTGACAAAGGCTTGTGCTTTGGCATCATTGAGAGATAGGGAGCCGTACAGAGATAGGTTGCGCTTCGTCTCCTCCCACATGAGCCCGAACAACTGAGGACCGCCATCCGTGCAGATGATAGAGTGCCGAGGTGAGGAGAGCGGTATGTCACTGGGAATGAAACCTGCCAAGATCAGTTCTTTCGCACCGTCGAAGCCGTATTCGTATTTCATATACGATTGGGAGAGGGCTGTCTCGGAGAACAAGGCAAATCGGGTCATGGCAATGACTTCGTCCACCTGGAGAACTGAAACATAGGCTACTAACTCGCGGGTGTACGGAATAGATGCGTACCGTCTTACACGTCGTGCGGAGGCAGGAGTAGCAATGGTAAATTGCCATCATGTGGCCCCAGGCGTGCAAAGGCCACTCCTCACCGCTGGCCTCCTTGAAAACCTTACCCCCCAAGACCATTACGTAGTCGCCTTCTCCATTGGCCCGCAGAACGTCGTCCACCGCATCTCTGATATCGTGGACACATAAAGTCTTGATAGCATTCCAGATCTTTTCCAATGTCACCAAGTCCAGGTTGTCATCGCTGAGAAGCGCCATGACACTATCGTAGCTCTGAGACAAGAACATAAGGGCTGGCTCCGTGAAAATTCCGCGGCGCACATAGGCGTATATGACTTCTAGTCGTTCATCGTGATACTTGGATCCAGAAGGAGCGCAGTATCGGGCCAGACGAGACCTAATTTTCTCCAGGAATTCCACAGACTTCTCGCGCAGTACCGCCTCCAGAGGATCGTCGATAGCTGCACCCCGATCGCTCTCTATAGAATGGAAGGATACGTCACGACCAAGAGATTCGTCGCCATAGCCTGAGCAGTCTCCTGATTCGTAGGCATCGGGGTCGCGATCCAAGACCCAAAGCGCATTCTGTGCCTGTAGGATGAGTTGATAGGCCCGCGTCTCGACGTAGTACAAGAATCTTTCAACTTCAGCACGTTTCTTGACGAGGGATTCCCAAAAGGCTTTGTGACCAAAGTCCTGTCCTGCACGTGAAATCAGGTCCAAAATTCCACTTAGAATCTCATACCATGTCGTTGCTATCATGGAAAAAATCAATACAATCAATGAAGTCAAATGATACAGGGAACGTCACTCACCCGAAAAAACGCTCGGAGAAGTAGACTCGAGCTTCTATACATCTTCCGCAGGCACTCAGTGAATGAGAGTAAGTCGAAACTCATAAAGGCATGTACCTGGTCAACAAATTATACTTGAGCCTCAAGCAATCATTCCATTCCTTGAGGAGCGGAAGCGAAGTGCACCCCAGGATTGTCGTGACATCGCTGCACGCTGGGTTATCGACAAGTGTATCGAGCAGTACATGATGCGCCTTGTAGTTGGCATACAGCTTCAGTCGTTCCTGGAACGAGATTTAAACTACCGGCTTAACTCCATACAGTACCGTCGCCCGGGGTGTGTTTGAACTTCGAGGAACTTACCTCATTGTGCCGTGGGCACCAAAGTGGACCGTCAACAGTCGGTACACCACACTGTATACCAGTAGAATATAAGGCAGCGCAGGTATCACGTTTTTTCTTGGGCGACTTTGACATAGCGTAAGGAAGACAGCTTGATACCTGCGAAGCTTAAACTGAGGACCAAAGTTGGATGAGAGTTACGGAGTCACGTGATCAGTGACAACCGCGTTTTCGATTTTCCAGTTCGCCATTATGTAATATTTGCTGGTCAATCATTCTGTGAACATCAAAGTAAAAAATAAAGGCAGGTGCCCTCACGCGTCGCGGTATCTTACGATCTTACGTCCTTCAATTGTATGATTTGTGTCATCCGCTTAGCATGTCAAAAATTGCGGGTCCAGGCAAAAGAATTTTTGGTCTGAGCTAGACTCTGCTAGCGTATAAAAGACAGGCTCACCGAGTTCCATCTCTTCACTGCTCAGTATTTGACTAGCCCTCGAATTCCCTAATTTTTCAGCTCTCCAAATCCTCTCTTCTTTGAAAATGTTTGCCCGTCCCCTTGCTGTCCCGTTCTCTGTGGCCTTCGCTGTCGCTTCCGGTGGCTAATGCCAGACTGGTAGGATCTAGTGCTACGGGTACTCTCCTTCCGTGTGAGAGTTTTTTTCGTGCCCTAATCGTGCACGACGAGGTCCCGTCAGTCGGCAGCTACAACGTGGTTCGCAAAATATTTCGTCTTGTTGCCAATGCGGTTGGCGACGTTGGTCTCACTTCCTTCGTTGCATGCAACTAAATCCTGTTTTACAGAATGGACTTGTCAACGTTGGCTGCCCGCCCATGAATGTCAGTCTAGAAGGGGGACTGGTGTAGTGTTGGAAGTCACTCGTTTGACTGTTATTTCATCGAGAATCTTGATTATTCAGCCTAATCATGTGCTTTCTGATTGCCTCTGACTATTATTGCCTAGATCTGGCTTCTGCCGCCAAGCCATTGTGCTCCAGTCTCACTATCCTGTCACGCGCATGAGGAGTCAATGAGACGAATGGATCTCCCAAGGTCGTAACCGATGACAGGGACTCGCCAATAGGGAAATTCTTGTTATTGCCAGTCAGCGGTATGTAGCGCCTGAATTAAATCTTATGTTTCCATCTGAGTTGGCGGAGCAAGCCTGATTGCCCGCAAGCTGAAGCCCAGACGTCTCTTGCCCGCAATGAAAGATTACATTTGACCTTTTGGTCTAGCTGCCAGTAACATCGAGTGCTGCGCTGGACAGTCACTTCTAAGTATTGCAGAAACCGAATTCCCACGTGGAGGTCAGTGCAGCATGCAGGCAAACGGGATGTCTCATTTGAAGGATACTTCTATGTCGTCTCATTCAATCAAGTCTGTCGAAGGCCAGTGACCGCGCGCTATCAGTGGCAACATCATGCAATCACGGTTCGTATGGCGGGCGGGGGCAAGGGTAGTGTCCCCGAGGTAGACCAACCATGACGTATTAACCGCGGATATATAACTCCGCCAACACTAACTGGAGTTTCCATTCTTATTGCTTGCGGCGCCCCTCACGTATTACTGAAGGGCCAGTCTGATGTCTCGCTCAACTAAGGGACATTTCTTGTCGACATTTGAGTTTTCAGGACCTGCATTCAAGTCTATAAAACTTGACTCACTGCGCTCGAAATCACTTTGCATGTGACACCATCATGCGACCACATTTCGAATATCGAACAAGAACAAGTTAGGATCCCCGAGGCAAACTAACGTAGAATCACCGCGGATATAAAGTCAAACGATATCAACCAAATACCTCAGCTATGGGTTGCCATCGCCATAAATACAAGTAGAACACACTTGAATCTGGATGCGATACTACTCGACAGCTTGTTTGGTGCTCAGGTAGTGCCTGGCTCATGTAGGACTCCTGTTTTCCGTCCACAATTTTCCATTCCAGTTAGAAGGACGCTGAGAATATCTACACACAATAATTTTCAGCCGTGCAAGGTCCAACTGAGTTCTGGTGTCAATTAATTTGTTGACTGGTGGAAGGGCTAGTTTGTAATTTGAAAATAAGATCTATTGTAAAGGTTGTAAATATAAGTTTGTGGTTCAAATTGTCACGCAGTCAAGCCTAGATTTGTTGTTCAAACTCACGTTGCAGCAAGCACTTCGGGAATCACTGGTCCAGAAAAACCCGGAAAAACTTCCCTGTACTGGAAACCGCAAGTAAGTCTCACATGGGCACAACGAGAACTCCAGACCTTCCTTTCAGGGAAGAGCCATTCGTCTTCGAAAGGGAAATTGGAGTGCATTCTAGAAGACGCTGTTGTTCGATGTACGTATTTGCTGGAAGTTTAAATGTCCTCGCTCATTGGAGTCAAGTCCCAAGGAACGATAGATTATTTAAAAGAATTAGACAGTTTTACATTACAGAAATCAAAAGACACCCGTGGTCTCATGGCTTCTAGCCCGTATAACCAGTACCATAGCCGTTCAAGAAGGGGTCGTTACTGTAATTGAAGACAGAGCATCCGCGGAGGACAGTCTGATTGCAGGAGAAGCACCAGTTGTTAGTGGAGTTGATTGTAGTCCACTAAATGAAGCTGTGAGCAAGAAAACATATGCGCTGTAAAGAGCAGCTCACAAAGAGTTGGTTAATAAAACTGTCAAGCGTGATGCTTGTGTTGCCGAACATCTTAAGCTGACGGAACTGGCTGTCCTGAGTACCGTTCTTGAACTTCATGCTGACCTCATGCTGACCCTGCGAGTTCTGCGACAACTCAAGGGCAACGACAGAAGCATAGTTGACTGTGAACTAGTATCAGTCTGCAGTGTTGAGTTCATACACTGTTGATACTGACCGGTACCAGTGATCTCGGGGTCAGTCACGGTGGCATTCGTGACGTTAAACAGACTGATAAATGGCTTGTAATCGATTTCCTGAATATTCATCTTGACTTGGTTAGATGTCTTTGTCATGTTACCCAAGGCCCAAAAGACCTCCGGTAGGAGTGTGCGAATAGGAACTGCAGCAACGTTAGTGGGGCACTTTTTCAGCATTGAGTCTAAACCTACTTTGGCCGATGCCATTTTGCACAGAATCGGTGAAGACATTGCGCTGGAGCCAATCAGAATAATAGCGAGCTTGCTGGAGGAAGGTGGGAGGCAGGGTTTCGTAATAGGTCTTGTTATAGGTGTACTGGACATTGACATGGTCGTATATCTGCGAGACGATATAGGCTTGGCCTGAAAACATTCAAATGAACTCTTACATTCCACTGAACAATTTTGTCAGAAAAGCTTTCACAGATGCAATGAGGTGACATACCATGTTCGTGAAGTTGTTACTGACGCTCCCCAAGTAAGGTTTTAAGGCGGTCAGGAAGGGCGCGGCAGTGGTGGACATGTTTATGAATGCGGATGAAGCGTAAATTCTAGCCAGGTGATATTGGAAATACTGTTGTCGGGCATTATGAAATGACCTCCAGAAGGTACAATGGATTTCATACCTCGCATTCCATCCAGCTCGTGAGAGATGGACTCTGCCAAAATTCCAAAGATTCCACTGCAGCACATTAATTAGAGAACGAAAGAGAGCCCTAACTGACTTGCCTGGAACATATTGGTATCCTCCAAGAGGAGGAAAAACCGTTGTACCATTCGCCAGAGTTATCTCTGACTTTTTTGTGGATGGGTAGAGACCCTGAAGCAGAGCATACGCAGAGTTAAGGATGACATTTCCTCCACCAGCGTCTGCGCGGACAGTCAGCTGATCGATATTTACCACGTCAGTGCTGATATTCTGGATGAAAGACGGCGAATTGGGATTGAGATACGTGTTACGAAGAAAACTCCCGAGTTCAAATTCTTGTTGCTAAACACTCGTGAGCGAGATCTAGTATTGTAACACAGAACTCTCACCTCTCCAAGAGGGGTGATGTATGCTTGGGTAGAGTTGTATGTAGTTGGGCTTTGATAGTATGCCGTCCTGTCGCCGTGGCGAGCCAGAAGAACAACGCCAATGAGACCCGCTGTAGTTGTAGTATTGACCATGGCTGGAGCTGTTGGGCCCGTAGTGATGAGGGAGGGCTTTGACTTCACAGTTGTCCACTTTATAGCAGGTTAACATGTATATGTGGCAACTTGAAAATGCGCCATCGTTTTCCGAGTTGAGCGTGCCAAGAGGTCCAAGACAAGTATCACCACGCTTAGTACAAAACCTATGGCTGGTATCGATGGAACCAATACTTAAGTGAATGCTCCCAAGCTCTATAGCATAACATTTATTGGCTTACCACCGTACTAGAGCCGCTGTATGTCAAACCGCGATCAGGTTCAAATGTGTCGCAAACTCACGATCACCGGCCGCTGTATATGACACGTTTTGCACGGATATACATCAAGGCTGCAGAGGCCAATTATGCACCGGAGCAGATGAAGCGCGGGTCAATACACAGTCCATAGGTATGAATGGAAATTCAGTAAAGAATACGTACATCCTTTCAATGCATATCAATCTACACTCCCGGGCCATGCTCGAGAGTCGAGGGTCAGCTTCCCAATCGTATGGATACCTATGTAGGAACGCCTATTAGTTCCTGGTAGTTACCCCGATGATTACGCAGATCAAATTGGGCTGTGAAACACTGAAACGGTTGAAAGATTCCTGCGCGACTCGGATGTTCAGCCCTTGCCTAGTTGAATTCAAGCTCCGCTCCGCTACATGCGTACCAAATCGTAGCGCCGCTCACGCGCCAGTTCCCGACTCCGCCGGCTCTTTTTTTTCCTGTTCTTGTCCGATTGGTCGTGACTGCCTGAATAGTCAGCCCTACACAGATGATGTACCCTCCCCTCCCCCCTTTGAACCTCCGGTTATTCGACCTCAATGTTTCCCCTCCCCAATTCTGTAGCTTCTTCATAGCAATACATCTGCATCTTTTGTATTTACTGTAACCTGACTATATGATTCAATCACTTTCTTTCAACTCCCTCCTATCCCTGTGCACAGCATGTTGTATGGCGACCTTCCCACTTCATTCTAGCCCCCTGCACAGCATCTTGTGTGGTATGTCAACACATTGTGCTATTGTCAATGAAGTAGACATTTAACCCTGGGCTGTAAACCATCCTGGCCAACAGATCTATGGACACTCAACATAGAAGCTCCTTCTTGTGTCTAAGGTACATACTGAAGTAAGAATCCATGGTATTATCCATAAAGATTTCCAGGTTGATGAAGGCAATGTTGCAGCACCTGTGCATCCACCTTGCCAATGCCTCATGGTGTACTGATGTTGATGTTGATGTACCAGATACACACTCACCTTCTGTGCTGGTGCAAAACTACATGATGTCAGTTGTAGCCATGGTCTGCAGAGAGTACTCAAGCACATACTCATCAAGAAACCCCCTCATCATCTGTTTTGTTCTGCCACTCTTAATAGTGTGGTGTTCATCATTCTAAGTTTCCAGTGGTCCTGTAGACCCTTCTTGCCAGTGTGATTACTGAATGCCTCATATATGACAGGCAAATGCTTGCTTCAAGCTCCACTGCACAATTGATCTCACTATAACTCAGTCAACTCTGAAACTGCTGATTGATATCTATGTCACATCCCCAACTAGGCTGAATTACAGCAGTACATTATAACACCCATGCACAATAACCTCTTGCTCACCCTACACTAAGGGCATTGCTCATTTCTATAGCAATGTATGATAATGTAAAGCACTGGTCCCTTTTGAGTGACAATTGGAACCTGCACATGACTGAAACACACCTTGATATCAGGAAATTGATGATGAGCTGGTCCTGTTTCATCATGTCCACAATGTGGCCTGGAATGTCTCACATTTGCTTGACAACCACCACACTCCCATGAAGTGTCTCATGCTGCCCACTCATGCTACACATTCTTCTGAGGAGGTGGCTTGGAGGAATTGAAGGATTGGCTCTTTCAAAGTACAGTGTATACTTTCCATCCATGATCACATTGGATCTGGGCACTTTGCTGAAGGTGCAATGGAGGTGATGACATGTCACTGTGCATTCATAGTGGTCCCACTGTTTCACCCAATAGTTGATGTCAAGGTCATCTAGTGTTGGCAGCCTCTCCACTCCGTCTCACACTGGAATGGGCATGAGGAAGGGCCAGTGGTAGCCTCCACTGTAGAATACACCTTTGATTAGTTGCAGGAAATGCTGTGGGTCCTTTTAGCTATGCCACAATGGCCAAGTGATCACATCTTTGCTCACTGGTTGGTGCCATCATATTTCAGGTGGGATGAATTTCACATCATTACCTATTTCCACAAGTCAGTCCTCCTCTTCTCCTCAATTATTCACTTTTGAGTGGAAACTCATGGTTGTGGGCACCTGCAGTTTCCAGGTTCTGACCCATCACCTGTACATGGCGAGGACATTTTGGATTGATGCACTTTGTGTTCAACTGCCATTCAATGTCAACATTGTGGAACACATTAGTTACAAAATCTGCTGCATTCCAATCAACAGACAACTGCAGGTGTTTCTTTTTGATGTGGTACCAGTAGGTAGGACACAACTTCCCACAGGCTGCGTTGAGGAAGAACATTCCTCTTTCCACTTCCATGCTGTCCATCAGTTCTCCAGCACATCCCAATTTTTTATTCCATGCTGGTAAAATCCCCATGTGGCTTTCAATTGCCAGCCCTCCTTCCAACCATTTGGGATAGAAGTATTATACTCCTCCAGTAGTCATGAACAGCATGTCTGCAGTTGTTTGAGCATTGAGAATGATATGCAGGACACTTTGGCCCTCATGTGATGCTGACAGTGTAATGATTTGATCATTACAGCCATACCTGTTAAATCTGCTGATCCAAGATGCAATGGCTGGATGTGCCACATCTGAGATGAGTGTATATCCCAGCATATCCTCCACTGCTGTGTGTAAGGCGTCAAATGCTTGGTATGGGATGATGATGTTGAGATCCCTTCTGGTGTAGTCCTTGTCATGTCTCACCATCCCCTATACTACTGAACTGGTTATGACACCCCCAGTGTTCTTCAGGACTGAGAGGAAACTTGCCAAGTGATTCTTTGCAAATGGTTCCAACAGGCACATCAATCTTCTCTGAACCACCTTGTGGCCCAACTCTCTCATGAACTGACAAGTATGGCTGGTTGTGACTATATCTGATATCCTCAGGATGTCCAGAATGATTGTTGCCACATTGTGGTTCTGAATCACTATGATGGTGATGAGTGCAAGTGCCACAATTCAATGGACCTCCTACATTTCATACTGTGAGTGGTACTGGGTAGACTCTTGGCCAACAGTGGGGATATTCCACTTGTTATTGTCAGTAGACAAAGTCACCAATGTGTTCTGGATATGCAGTGACTATGATAGGGTTTAAAAGTCCAGTTGCACAACTGGTCAAAGACCACAGACTGAACCATACCACAACTTTTAAGACCAAATTTTCAGTCTCAGTTTCCCTTAATTTGACATCTTGTGGTTGCTGGTTGCTTATTGCCTTGTTTGATGTCTAACATCAGACCAGTGAAAAGTTGACCACAACCAGTGAAGGTTCAACAACTCTGCTGGCTTGCAGAGCAGAAGAAAGAAAAAAGGCTCTTACTCTGGGGTGAGAGAAAAGCCTCTGACTCTCTAGGTGTTGGTCGAAGTGCACCAAGTGATATGTTTGATCCTTAAGGGAAGCAAGAAAACCAAGGATCCATGAAGTGACACCAGGTCAACTCAGGTGAAGCATGATGAAAGCATGCATGGGAATATGGAGCGCGTAGGTGCATGAAGCGTGGGAATGAGGTGCAAGGAGTGTGCAAACATATAAAGACTGGTGGATGTTGTGAAGATGTGAACTGAGAGTGCTGGAGGAGACTGATGGTGATGGTAGACTGTTGCTGAGGACTAGGACTAAGACTGATAGATACTAACTCATGATGATAGATTCTGAGAATAAGATGGGCAGCATGATAGATAGCATCAATGTTAAGAACCATGTTGCTCAAGGGAGAGAACGACTGACTCAGAGGGGCTTGGCCTCAGCTCATACACTGTGCCCCTTACCCAAGTATGTGCCCTTCATTTCAGAGGAAGTCTGATGATGGTCCAACAAAGTCTGGAGGACTTCTGGAGGAGCGTGGGAGAGTTCCAGAGGAATGCAGGAAGTGCTTAGGAGAGTTCCCATTGCAAGGTAATACTTCTACAGGAAAACAGGATGGAAGGATAGGAGGTCTGGAGGACAGGAGGACAGGATGTCTGGAGGTCTGGAGTATGGAGGACAGGAGGTCTGGAGGTATGGAGGACAGGACATGGAGGTATGGAGGATGGAATATCTGAAGGTATGGAGGGTAGAATGTCCAAAGGACAGGATGCCTGGAGGTATGAGGGACAAGAGGTCTGGAGGTACAGAAGACAGGAGGTCTGGAGGTCCAGAAGGAATAGGGGCTACATCGGATGAAATCTGATGTAGAAACAAACAAAGGTAGACTACCCTAAGGAGAGTCAGAGGGACAGGGATTGGACCTAAGTCCAGAAAGAGGGGAAGTGCTGGAAAGGTGGAGCTCCAGCCTAGGGAATCAATCCCTAGGCCTGATGGGTAGGACAGACTTAGCTGGACCAAAGTCCAAGAGAGGATTGGGCAGGTAGAGCAAAGTCTAAGATGAGAGAACAGGATCTAAGATGATATTCAAACTAAGGAAACTACAGGAGTATCTACAGGGGTTATATACTGGAGGATATCTGAGGGAATCAGTAAGCAAAGGAGCAGGGCTATGTACGAGCATGTGGAAACACATTGGTAAGTAAGACAGAACATAACTAAATGAACTCAGAGATGAAGACTCATACAAGGATCAATAAGCAAGACAGAAGAAGAGGTAACTGAAAGCCAGAAAGGTAGAGATGCCTAAATGGGGATAGGCACAGGATATTGGACAGAGGGTGGGAATAGGTCCAGAGATCTGGGGATCTGGAAGACAAGGTGGATACAGGACCAGGATATGAGGAGGTGGATATAGTCCAGAATCCGAGACAAGGTGAAGTCTGGATGTCTTGCTGGATGGAGTGTGCATAGGGTGGATGGGACTGGGGGTTATGGATCAGGCTAGCAGTGGAGATCTGGAGGTCCGGAGCTCAGGGGTAAATCCAGAGTGTAGTCAATCCTGCTGAGGTGTGGAGCACACAGCAGAAGGGGATCTGGGAATGAGTTGGATATGAAGTGGGGTCTGGACGTAGGCTCGGAAGGTGTGGGAATATGATGGAACGCAGGTCCAGATTGTGGGATATGACAATCAATGTGAATGATGGCATGCTCTGGAGTATTGTTTGCTCTATATCCTGGATGAACTATCCACATTCCTGTGTCCTTGTCTGCAGTGTCGCTGACTTTGTTGAACCAATGGATCACAGCACAGGGATACACTTTACCTTGGTACTGGAATGAAAAAAATGTGCAAACACATGCAACTTCAAGGCCTTGTATGCCAGGTAGACTAGAGTCTGTGTTGATGAAGACACAGTCATTGCATGAGGACTTGTTCCACCAGGAGGGACAAGTGTGGATGTGTTCAACATGCATGCCACCAGTGCTGCTCAAATCACTTGGCACATAAAATCATGACAATGCTGAATTGAAAACCAAAATTTTGTTGAGGTAAAGCGGGCATCCAGTGAGAGGTACATCAGATGTGTCACAGGGATTGTTGGGATGCAACTGTTGGAACAAGAAGCAACTGAGAAGGTCAGAGAGGCAAGGAATATTGAGTTCATTGGCAAGTGCAGGAATGCTTTGAGCGCATTTTTTTCCCCCTGTACAGTATGTTTAGTACAGCATTAAAAATGAAAAAAAGGAATTCTTACGAGGTGTTTTCACCAGCTGCACGAACACTTGTAGAACCATTGGCCCATTGTCTATATTGAGGTCCTCATCAATATCAATCAAGGAAGGTGCAGGTGGTACAGGTCCAGGGGGATGTGGGTCTCTGTCTCTGTCTCTGTATCTGTTTGCAGGTGCTGCTGCTGCTGCTGCCACCACTGCCTCTTCACCAAGTTTATTGATTTGCTGTGCAGGAACTGTTATACAAATTAGTTGAAAGATATCTTGCACATGAAATGTGTGACCTACCTAAGATATCCATAGCTGCTAAGAGACAAGTGCCAGTCAGCATTCCCCAATGCATGAAGTTGACTCACACTGCCGAAAGTTTGTCAAGCCATTGGTTGGTCAGTAATATCTGACCAAGCACATTGTAATGGCTTGATCATTGCCAAGGCTCCTTGACTGCTTCAATGTGCTTGTTCTTGGTGATTGAAAAACAGAGGCTATTGGGTGCAGCAAAGAGTCACATATTTTGAGAATAGTGTGTGAGTGAGTGTTGATGAGGTAGGGAGAAGTGAAAGATGACACCTGTTGCCTTGAAGATTTCACGGTAATGGTGAAAGTGAGAGAGTGCATCGTTGATCTCAAGTAGAGTATCTTCAGTAATTATAACACAACAGACTAAGTAACAAAAATCCAGAAGTGTGCAAAAGGTGTGCATGATGTCTTGAGGTACATGGCCCTCAATAGCAGGCAAGTAGACCTGATTGATTAAGCAGGTGATAGCATGACATAAATTGATGACTCACTTTCATCAAGGCCTTAGAGTCATCTCCCATCCACTGCTTAAATCCATGCCCTTGGGGAAATCGTTGCAAACCTGAAAATAAAGCAACAGCAGTGATTCTAAGGCAATGAGTAATAGTAGGTAGTTTAGATGCAAGTAGAGCTTACCTGCGATCAATATCATCCATAATTTTCTGTGCCTTTCATTTTCTGTGCCTTTCATTTTCTGTGCATCCATCAGAGGTACTTCTTGACCCATGTCACAAGGTGATCCTTGAAGGCCCCTTTTACAAGTTGATGGAGGATATCCAGCAAAATCATTTGAAAGATGTCAGCTCGGGGGAAGTCATTTGTGAAGGGCTGTTGAGACATGATTAATGATATAAATGAGATCAAGGGGAATGTGCTGGACATACCACAAGTTGGGTGACTATTCCAAAGTCATCCCACAGATCATCCAATAGAGCCTCTTCAATAAGGGCTTCTGTATATTCGCTGTCATGCATGGTATGTGATTCATACCATGACATATACATAACAGGAGTGATAAGGAAGGTATAACACACCAGACTGATCCCTATCACCAAGTTATCCTATCATTTTTCCTTATTGTTTAGCTAGTTTTCCACTTTCAGATTTCACTTCTATTTTTTTTCTTTCTACTTTTACTTAGGCATATTCAGCCACCACATTTTCTCATGAGCCACCAGGCATGTTTGTAAGCATGTCATGTGACTGGGAAAACACTCTGATTTGTAAGGATTCAACTTGACTCATCATGTTTGGTCATGATTCATTATGCTTTGTAAGACTTGCAACTGTATTTATAATCCACTTAGTAATAAGGCTGATTCAGCACACCCATAAGCTTGGTTTGTAAGCACAATCTTACCAATCCATGTGATGACTCATGCCACTTTTCTTTATGCTTTGTAAGATTTCACTTTATTTAGTATCTACTTAGTAAACAAGCTGACTCAACACAAGTTTGTAAGCACATTCTTACCAATCATTGTGAAGAATCATGCTTAGTAAGATGGTCTCCAAAAAGGTATATAAGGAGCTCATTTTATACCTATGAAAATAGACTTCCCACTTTCACTCTTTATCTCAAACCATGTGAGAACATTTAAGATTTAAGTGCAGGCCATTTGGTAGCCTAGAAGTAAGACTAAGAAACATCTATTCAGGTTATATACTACCTTACAGGGGTTGACTATATAACTAACAGTACAGCTGACTAAGCTAAAGCTTCATCTACACTACTTTCTTCTCTCTTTTTCAGGAAGGGAGACATGATTCACAAGCACATAAAGTGCCACACATTCAGAGTTCACATGCAGTACTCCAGACTACTAGTTGCTTTTAGACCAAGGAAACAAGAAGAGGATAATTGAAACATATCCCTCCCAAGAACTCACACATTATCTACCATGAAAACTAGAAAAGTTGTAGACCATGTACTTAAGGACTGGCAAGAAGTCTTATCCTGTATAGTTGTGTTGTCACTATATATGCATTGTACATAAGACCCTTAAGTAGTAGGATATCACAAGTACATGGTAATGCATCTTCATCAAGATTATTGTGATTTGCCACACACATGTAAAATAATATTAGCTACAACACAAATAAACTGATCAAATGAAAGCACATACTTGGGACACCAATTTCAGACAATACACACCAATAGAACCTGTTCCTCATAATCTGCTATATAAGGTCCTAGTCCATATATAACCCACCAGTAGTGACCATCTCTGAAATGCGTGACTTCAGGAGTTGTCATGCCCAGCTTGAGTGGGTTGAGGATTTTGGAAAGGGATGAGTGGAACAGCTGTTGATGAAAATTTCTGAATGAATGTTCTTCGGTGTGTTCCTGTGTAATTATATGATGATTAGTTAGTGATAGACATAGACCATGGTGCTAAAACAAACTTTTCGGCATTGCAAGGAACACAATAATGGCCACTCTGTTATGATATGCTTGTCGGACATTGTTATGGATGTTACCAATAGAAGCATATAGTGGATAATACTCATTATTACCTGTCCCAACTGAAACTGTTGTTTCACCACTGCCAAGAATGACAGGGACAAAAGTTGACCCGAGTGTGCTCAGGTCTTTTGCAATTTCATCCTAGATAAGTATGGAGCCATCATCACAGCTCCAAAAGTACAACACTTACTACTTGATCCCATGCTCAGTCACCAGACATAAAAAAAATTCTTCCATTGGTGCTTATCACCCTCAGTTGAATATTCTCTGTATGGGTGGTAATCTATCTCATTAGCATAAATTGGATTTGTAAGCATATTGCACATGACTTCATGCAGGTTGCAGAACCAAACTTTGTATTGATCATCCATCCAGGGCCTGTCTTCATCTGTGAGTCTCTCGCCATCATAGGCAACTGTAAAGTGTTGCCATGGTGCATCTCCAAAGGGCGAACTGTCAATGACGTTGTACAGATCAGTGATCTGTAAATGGTGGCTTGTCATTGTGCTTCACAAGGGTAGATGCCCATAGATCCAGCAGCCAGTCAATTTGACTGGCTGGCATCTGGTTTTGCTTGTAGAGGAACTCAGCTGTTTCAAATTCCAAACAGTTATGAAAGGGCATCCAGTTGTCATTTGCAATATCCTCAGGAGGAGGAGGAGCACCAGGAGGGAGGAATGCACCATTTACATCACATGGTTTGCCTATAATTATGATCAGTAAAAAAATAGAATATGGCTAGTAGATCAACTTACCACTAAGACCCATATGATAGTTTCAATACAGGTGATCCCCACACCTGACAAATTCCATATGGATATCTGCCTGGGGGGATGGCTGGTGCAGATGCCTGTCCATGTTGATATCACAATAGTCAGCACCATGGTGACCCTCATGGATGTCCATGTCAACATGGTGCCCTTCATCACAAGAAGGTTGTGCTTGGTTTGGTGGTTGGGGTTCTTGAGGAATGGGTGGTTGGTGGTTGTCTTGAGGCAGTACTGGCATGACAGGATGTGCTGAAATATGATGTTTTGTTCACCCAATGGAGTTTTGAACCATCTCGAACATGTTCCGCATGGAAGCTGGAGTGTGCTATGGTCCTGTCAGTGTGGCTGACTGCATGGAATGTTGTTAGGCATTGCTATAAGGTAAAAACACTAGTTAGTAAGAACACACAACTGAAATAACCTCATACCTACTTTGTCATTGACAGTATTTCGAAGCAACTGGAACTTGGATGTAAATATGAGATGAAAAGACAGAAAAACACAGTACTTACCTTGATGATTTGGATATGTGCTGTGTCATATACTTGTATACATGCGTAGACCTGAGACTGAATTGAATTGAATCAGCAAAACTTTGTTTGGTTAGTTTAAGTACAAAATTTACAAACATTCGCCCACAGTCTCCTACATCTCTTTTAGCCACCTCAGGCTTGCCATAGTACTTGTCAGAGATGTCTGACACCACTCAGTGACCTTGCACTCACCTGCAGAATGTGGGACAGCATCCAGGCTTGCCTGACATGCCAGCAAACAGATGTTAGTGAAGGTTCAAGGCTCAGATAGCAGAGGATAACAGGATGCTGAAGGAATCCCATGAACTTCAAGACCAAGCTGCACTTGAAGGGCTGCAGTGGCTTGCAGCGATGCAGGCAGGTATGGTGGAAGCAGAAGAACTCACCCATATGAAAAAACTGAAGCCAGTGAAGCCCTGTGCCTGCCCTGTCACAAAGCAGACAGCTCCTGCCCTTCCCACAAATAAGAAGGTCCTGGCAGCAGGAAATGCTGGTGAGTGGGCAAGCATTACAAGAGGCTGACTTACTTGAGGCTAACATCATTGAGGGCCTAGGAGAAAACAGTCAGGATGACAATAACAGCAATAACAACTACGACAGAATTAAGCACAAGCCAAAGACTCAAAAGCATGGCAAGATCTCACTGAAGGATGCAATCAACAATGCACAAAGTTCAGTGCCAGCAGTCAAGTCAGCATGTGTCAAAGACAAGAAAGGAAAGTCTGCTGCAATGTGTGTCTATTTTACTTGATCATGAACTATGTTGATGCTGACTGAATCAACGCTGTTCTTTCTCAACCTTACCTCAAAATTATGGACTAGTACCAACCCAAAGTTTTCACTGGCAGGACATATAAAAGGCTGGGAATCCAATATCACACCAGGTACTGCTGAATGATCTAAGTCTTCAAGTGCCTCCAAGTCTCACACCATTGCTTCAACTTTGTCATTGGTGCACAGGCCACTAAGCAGTGCATATACCAGCACCCAGGCTACATCTGTATCGAGTACCAAGACCTGCAGCAAATCTAAAGTCCTCCCTGCTCCAGCTAATAAAATTATTACCGCAGTTCTTACTGGCAGCTCTGCTGATGACACTTTGGATGATTCCCAGGAACACCTTGACACAATCACTTCAAAAACGAAGGGGAAGAAGTCTTTCATTAAGGTATGTGGAGGGTCTGTAGACAAATACTAATTCTAATACAAAAAATAAACTGTATAGATTACTACCGAACCAAAGACCAATGATGTGATGGTAGGCTCAAAGGGGAAGTCTGTGGAAACTGACCTCAATGCACCAATGGACACAGAGGTTGCTGCTTCCTCTGACATGGAGGGAGACCCTGAGGATGACAATCCAACAGATGTGGAGGGAGACCTTGAGGACAACAATCCAATGGATGTGGAGGATAACTTGCTCCAGGGCAAAGATGCCAACATGCCTAACAGTGACAGTAGCAATGATCTATTAACCTATTGTCCGATTAAGAAGTGCAAGCTTGTGTCTGCCAAACCTCACAACACAGTCTTGGTGGACATGTTGTCCTCATCCAAGGAACCTGATGCTCTGCCTATAGATGTTATTGAAAATATCGCAAAGAGGGTCATGCAGTTAACATCCTCAGTAGGTTTGATTTATTAGCAGTTATCACTACTTGAATTGTTTGAACAGACCACTGTCACTGTCTCCAAGGCAGCTGTCACAGAGAAGCCATCTGCAAAGAAGGTGAAGACTGAAGATGGTGCCAATGACAATACAAAATCCATGCTCATCCCATTGCCTGGTTACTGGATTGAGAAGCAATACAAGTCGCACTCAACCTACCAGAACTGTGATCTCCCTCCTCAATGTCAAGATCAATGGTGGCCAAAGCATTTCCTCCTGACCATTTACTTGTGGGCTGGGAGTCAAGATGATCTCTGGCAGTTTATGGATGCTCCTCTCATTGACACACTTCAATGCATTTTTGATGTTGTGTATCCAGATCTCAGGTATAAGGTAACTGCTCAAGGGTCTGTTTTCAGTGTTGTAAGTCTCACAATATTTTTTATAATGCTACTACTAACTCATCATCATCTCAATCAGGCCACCCAGCGTCTAGCGGAGTGGCACAGCAACTTCAGATCTATGGGACTTGCAATCATGATCGACTTCTTTGCTTGAAACAAAGATACTGATCTGAAGGACCTTAGTGAAGCACTCCTGGATGATTTTGTGTTCCTTTATGAGGACATGGACTGCTCAGATTCAATGAAAGTGTTTCAGTCTCCATTTATGTTATAGTTGTTTGCAATGGCTCATCTTCACAGCATTGTCAGACATGCTGATGTCAGCATGCTCAAAACAAGTGTATTGGCTGTCATTGGCATGGCCAGTGTTCTTGTCATTTGTGCAGCTTCAGTAAGTACTTTAAACATATGACAAACATAGCTAATAGCATGCAGCTTGAACATGCTGTCAAATGCCTCAGTGCCGGCTCCATTGATATCAATTCAGACACCCTCGATATGCATCCCATGCAAATGAAGCACAAGTTGCGCATGCCAAAGACCTTCAACAAGTCTACCAGCAAGGACAGTACCACTGAGCATGCCTTCTCCATCAGCAAATCACTTTGCCTCTGTGGGCTCTGTACAGCTCTGTACAGAAGGGACCAAGCTGTGGCCAGCCATTTTTTGGTGGTGGGAAAAAAAGTGTTTTACTGATGTCCATCAGTAACTGGGGATCAGCAACTGGATCTTACTTGGTTGGTGTCAGGAAAAAGGGGGGCATATACTTGAGGGACATCATATTAATGGCCCAGAAGTTACTCAAGAAATCAGGCAATGCTGGCCTCAAATGGTACCTTCACCTTGACAGTGAAGACAAGTCAGAGGACATTGACAGGTGTGCCATGCTTTGGTAATGAATATTTGTTTTTTTTCCCTTGTTGATGGGCTGATCATTTGCCTACAGATACTATTTCTGCTCCCTTTGCTGCTTGCTCCTGACATCTAATAAATCTGTGCTGTTCACTAACTTCATACTGTTGCATTTTCCATGTCCTGCCATCACTTGCAATGTCTATGCATCCATTTTTCATACCATTTAATCAACTTTACATCCATCTTTCATATCATTTTATTGGGTTTTCTTCACTTTACTCTATCCCCACCACCACCCTTTCTTCCTATTTTCGCCACTTTACATGCTGCTGTTCGTCCTGTTTTCATCACTTTTTCATACTTTTCCACTGGATAATGTGACTCCATTTTGCTGGTTAATGCCTCATAAGTGACTTCAAGAGCTGCAAAGTAGAATTCAGATGATGAGTGGCATTTTTCTCTATTTTCTCATCTTATCTTTCTTGTTACTTGAACAGTTCTCAAACCTGGAAAAAGACGAATGAATTCAAAATCTTGAATGAAAATAGGTCCGAGGTTTTACTGATGTAATACTAATACTTCCACAGGACACTAATGAAATCCAGCAGTATTTTTCTTCTGAAAGTCAACCAACTCTATGGCATGCAATCCCTGCTTTCGAGGAGCTAAAGATGGCGTGGGAATGGAAGCACAGCATCCCAAAGTACTTGCGAGGAATTTTCATAAATACTGTAGTCTCAATGCAGATCATATGAAACTGAAATACACATAAATGCCACTAACTATCTAGAGCCATCGAGTTCCATCAAGCCTACCTTAGTAAGGTAGATGCAAGTTCATCATTGGGTGCAATGACCACTAGCAACAGTAGTGGAAATAGGTGATGGCAGCAGCCTGATCAGGCATCCTCGCCGGTCAAGATATGCACAAGGACAGATCTTGATGATGCTTCTCGATGGCGCAAAATACAGATCTTACATGAGTTCTATTCTTGGAGCTCCGAGGGAACAAACAATTAATGGAAAGACCCTGAACATCTCACCGAGGCATACTGTATCACAGGTCTATAGAAGAGGTCTGATAGGCTAGTGGATATTAAAGGTTCCTTGTAACTATAGTTTGTGATATATATCAGAGGCCCCAGGTACTATGGTGAAGAATCTCAACACGAGTCAAGTATGTAATTAATATCGTACAGAACATACTTGAATTCACACTTAGTGACACAAGATAGTACAAATTAGTGTTCATTCAATAGTCTACAGACGACATTGGCGATATGTAGCAGTAAGGGTACTTATGAAATGCAAACAAGAAGCGAACAATCGGTGTACAGAGTAGGAAGGTTTGTCTAGATGCAAGTAGCATAGAAGCGAGCAAAAATATTGCTGTTGTAAGTGCGAATTAATAGGTGGCGAGTGGTCACGAGACGAGATTCTACCACACATGCCACATAAGATAAAGTGCCTAGTGGCTACTGGGGAGAAGGGCTACGTGTCTGTACAAACATATAATAGGGTGGGTCCATGTGCTGCGAGCGAAGATGCGTTACGAGAATGCTTAAATGGTGGATCGAATTGAATGAAGGAAACCTAGTGGATACCATGCTATGCAAATATACAGCAAAATGGAGTTGCGGGAGTGAAGGGCAAGAGGCTGAGAGAGAAGGGCAGGCGCGAGAAGGAGAACGAAAGGTGCCGGTTGGTAACCAGCGGCGCTGGCCACAAGAATGACAAGATGGGTAGCTGTGAGAGCCAAAGGCAGGTAAAGGGGGCGTGCAGCTACCGTTGGTGGTGACTGGTGATGCATGACTGTTACATCACAACGAATATCGAAATGTATCACCTAGAACCACTATAGCGCATCATAGTGCTTCAGAGATGCAACCTACTGGTGGGCCTAGGGTTGTAGCGCTGATGCATCACTACCGGCCCTACGATCACAGGACTTTCTTGCACCCTCAGTCTCCTAATCTTCCTAAGACCGGTAATTTGAGATATTCGAACATTATCGTGATTCAGCGGAATTTCCCTGGGAAGGTATTTCCTGATGACTACGACAAGGACGCCCGAGACTATGGAATGTTTTCACGACAGTTAATAAGCCTGACATAGTAAAGAAGGTGAGTAAATGATTCCCTTGGGTGGCCACGTACTCGTCGCAAGACAAACGAGTCAGGTGTTCGATATGTGCCACGTTCGCACATTTAATTTAATGTACGAGAGCCTGACAAGTCATGCTGTACGAGAGAAGTTGAACAATCTCAAAGTTGAGGATCCACAGTTTTGGAGATGAACTCCGACTCAGGAGCTGATAACGAGAGCTGACGCAGAGAGCATGAAGTTTGCGGTGGATATGCGAGCCAGATATCTAAGTGGCGTTAGGGCGAGGGAAAACTTGAAGGAAGAAAAAGGTAAGTACGTTGTACTCACACCGATAATTTGGTGCCACCACAACGATCGAGGGAGAGCAAGTAACCACGTGTTTGCGTGTAATTAAGGTAAATTGCTTGTTTCGGTAAATCAGGGGGTAGCGGAGGGTAGCGGCTGGTAGCGGAAGCACATTTGCTTCCGTTCATACCATTGTGGCATCGTCCTCATTGTGACTTGTGACCAAGACTTATTTTCGACACGGACACCAGCTGGTGCGACGCGTGACCACTGCATTGGTACAACATGGGTATTTTACTGATGTGGCATGTGCAGAGGAAGTCTGATCAAGGACTTCGAATCGGAGTCAGAGCTCATGGAGGTAGTAGAGTCGAAGTCGGAGAACCCTGAGGCTGGGAGGGCTAGTAAGTTGTCATCCTGGAGAATAGCATTAGACAGACCGTTAAACTGCTTGGAGTCATGCTTTGCGAGCCGCTGTCGGCGAAAACGAGTCTGTGCTCGTCGTTTTTTGACCTGTAATGTAAGCATAATTAGACTCTGCACTTCTACTTGCCTTCAAGTTCGTGTGCGCCGCGGCATTTTCAACGGTACCGTAACTAGTACTACCAATAGCCAGAAGGAATAAACAGGTATATTTCTGCACAGCCTGAGTGTCAAGTTACTTTGTGCCAGTGGACGCTTATGGCAATTCAATTAGATTCAATTTTGCCACCATTCTCTGTCTTACTCCGCCAACAAATGGCTGGATGCGGATTGGATGAACGATGAACGATTTTCATTGGCTAGCTACGCTACTGATCCGGACCTAATGGCATGGCGCCAAGTAATTCCATAATAGTGTGGTCCAACTCCTGAACACCTCAGAATCGGCAGGCGCGGAACTTGAAGACGGCAGGACCCTCTGGCGTTTCCTGGCATTGTGAGTTGGCGTGACGTTTTCAACTCTCTTAGAGGAATAACAATTTTTCGGACCTCATCATGCACATGACAACTGTATTATGTGAGTGCTGATTAAAATGGCGTAAATGAGGCTAATAATACTGATCTTGGTCTCAAAATAAGGTACAGAAACTGAAGTCCGAAGGTGCTTGTAGCCTAATACACCTTCAAATCTCCGCACCAGTCATGTTAGTTGCAAAAGAACAGCACCGAGTGGCCAGGTCGTTAAAGATTCTCAGGCCTTCTCATAGATATACAGATCACGTACAGTCATCAGTCATTTCTATGATTCTATTGCCCACACTGTCACTCACTGAGTCCGCTCAAAAAAAATTGGCATGCCGCAGAGGTTCTGTCTCCCAGGTTCTCAACGTTGTTCGATCGGAAGGTTGAGTATCACAAGACACTTAATAAACAACAAAGACTCACGTCGAACAGAAAGTCGTGTAAATTTTGAGATCCCGGCGGTGACAATGGCATGGGGGGATAGGCGTATGAAGGTCACGTCCATTGAAGCAGTTTGATGGTTTTTGGGTATAAACACATGATAACCATTTAAACGTTTTCGTGATAGGGATGCAATTAGCTTCTTCCTGCGTCCATACAACAATTTCAAATATGTGTGCACACAAGCACAGTCTCTTTGAAAGGGTCATATGTACACACTTTCCGTACGCTCTCCGTAATATTGATGCGTAGAACCGTATCACCATTTGCGCTGAGCCTGATCTGGGAGAGCTGGTAATGACTTTCGTACCACCACTAACATCTATCTGCAACTCCGCGGTCACATCAGCGTCGTTAGGTTTGAAAGATAAGGTCCTGGCGATCTGACAGGGACAGTCCCGGAACACCCCTTTCTCGACTCGCCAAGACATCACATACCGGCGGATCGGCGAGAAATTCGTCATTACTGAATTTTATAGTCGAGAGTAGCGCCATTGCCGTCGTGGCTGATTGACAACGTCCAATGTAGAGTAACAAATTGGACAGGGGTATCGAATCGTAGCGGCACTGGCCCAGTCCCCCGACTCTAAGAAATAATGTTGGATTGACATCAAACAGTATATCAATATACATCAAAATCATTCACCTCTGGCAGCGCATTCTGTTTTCGTTCTAGACGGGCTGATTTGAACTTGACAGAATGCAAGATAATTTCCTGTGATAGACGTTCGGTAACAGGCACACCAAACTCATGAGCAAGAATCTAACATCACCCAAAACACTCGCTCCAGCATGGAATAAACATCGGATTGCTGAATACGGTTCGTTGTATGTTTGTCGATGAAAGAACCTGTCGTAGAGCGTGCGATTGCGTGGCGTAAATCGAATACACGTCTGAACGTCCGAGTCGGTGCGGTTCAGCTTCTCTGAACGGTGAGCAACATCATCAACAGATGTCGAAATCCACGGTGAAGACATAGTTTTAAAGGCTTCCGTAGTCGCTGAATCGCCAGCAAGATGTGTTCTTGTGCAAGTAGGTAGGACAGGTGCTATCAAGAGATTCTTGAAGAGGACATGCTTGCGACTTGAAGGAAGCTTTGTGTTGAAAAGTGAACATGATTAAATTGACATTACGTTCCTTATTTCACGCATCTGATCTTTTAGTTCCAACTCACAGTACAACACCACGCAGAGCAGGGATAAAGTAAACTGTCGCTGTAGAGACAACAGTAACGACAAACTATGGATGGCTATTGCGCATTCATTGTGCATCAAAATGTTTAATTGTCTTAGTTTTCAACAGTGCAATTCCCACGCATCCGGGTGTCCGACCAAACCCTCTTCCCACTAACGTGGGAGTTGATCTTCCCACTGACGTGAGATATGTCGTAGCAGCACTGCAACTGTTGAGATCAGAGACCAACTGCCGCGGAGGAGGTTTCAAGGAAAGTTAACGCGATTCTAGCGAGCTCTATTTCAATTTTGCATCTTGGATGTATGATCGCCGATGCAATGCGCTTCTGCCATACTGGTGTGTCAAATAGCCATGATTTGATTGGCTAATGTCACCCGGGGAACGTTCATTCTATGATGACTTCAGCCGTAATACAGCCTTTGTCCAGTGCGACTTCAGCATTTTTTCTAATGTCCAATCATTGGTTCCTCAGGCCTCGTACCCGTCATGATATCATATATAAGCTCCCTCACTCCCATAAATTCTTTACTGTCTTCGCTGGCTACCCGTTCACCCAACTCACAAGATGTCTAACAGCACTACCACATCCGCGGTTGTCCTACCGAACAGAGATGCCATGTCTGGCAGCAACAAATCGCAACCAGTGTGGTCACTGGAATCCAACGGAACCTTGACTCCACCACTCAATGAAAAATGTGATAGAGTTGGCCGCCAAGACGGTATATGTTGCAAGGAACTCAAGGACGAAGACGATAGAACTCTGATAGATCCTGATGTTATCCGCGACATGTGAGTCTTCCCCATACCAGCTTGCGACCTTCTGTCTGCGCTTTCCTCGCAAGTCATTGACATACTTCTATAGCATTATTGGCTTGTCAGATGGCCTGACCGTTCCATTCGCGCTGACAGCTGGTCTGTCCGGCTTGGGGACATCAAGATTAGTCGTTGTCGGCGGCCTTGCAGAACTCATTGCCGGCGCCATATCGATGGGAATAGGTGGCTTCCTTGCATCCCAGGCTGAGCGGGACCATTATCTGTTCTTGCGACGTCCACACCTACTCACGGGTGACGCGGAGTTGCATCGGGGAAATGGAGAGAGAGGTATACGCTGTTTTGGGTCCCGTCGGTGTCGATGAATCAGCCTCTCAGGCTGTCGCGAGTTGCCTGCGGAAAGCAGAGGATGAGTCTGGGCTCGACGGAAGTACACCAGCACCTGCCGATGAGGAGAAACCATCGCGGGGGATGAAAAGTGAACATGGGCTAACGCCTTTCCTACTGAAATTTGGAGAGGGATTAGGTATGTATATTTTGTCATCATTCTTGCGTTTGACGTGGTTCTGATTGTCGCTGCCTTTTACTTACTCAGAGGAAATCCCAACTCGCAGACTATACATCTCTCGCGTTTACCATCGGGATGGGATACCTGTGTGGGGGTATCATCCCCCTTCTCCCATATTTCTTCATTTCCAAAGCAATCGATGCACTGAAGATTTCTTGCATAATTACTGGGATAGTTCTTCTGATATTTGGTACGGTCAAAGCTCGAATCACGGGGGCAGCGAGGAATTTCTGGGGATATATTTGGGGAGCAGTGAGTACGATGGCTGTTGGCGGGTTCGCTGCCGCTGCAGCATACGGGTTGGTGGTCGCAGTGGAATCATCGTCTATATCGTAGCGACGCTTGGTCGCGCCAGTCTTCGACTCCGCTGTTCCAGATGATTATTTAGATGATTCAAATGTGTATCAACTTCGACATGGTAGACTATGTACCCTAGCTAGCAAAACGTGATGTTTCAGGTGCTGAATACAAAAAGATTTTCCACCACTGGCAATACACAGCTTTGAACGCCTATCATTGATCGCACTTATATGAATTCCAAGCCTGACCACCGTGCTCTACTTCCAAGGCTTCTACTTCTCAGAATCTTCCTAATAAGGTAGGTGCTTCTATTGCCCTTCGTACACTCTGAGAGTCACGGATGTCCAAAAATTCTATTGACATTCAGTTATAACTAGAAGGTACGACCATCGGAACTTCTCGCAGCAACACGCACGACTATTAGCTCATACTCTCCATTACAGTTATGTTTATATTGTGCACTAGTCATGTATAGTAATGCTTGTATCAGACCCAGACCGTAAATGTTTCAATGCACTGAATTTATGTAATCCATTCCACAGTGAAACCGACCATTTCAGAGATGCCAATATTTGGCCTTCCGCATCAGTTTACGACTGTTTGGGGAAGTGGGTCAGAAGTTCGGGCGACCAGCAAGACAATCACTTACCCATTATGAAACTTCCTCAACCTTTACTGTGGCAGGCAATATTAATGTTGTAGTCCACATCATGGTTGTGTTCAGCTCGGTATTTCAAAATCTACATGGACGCAATCATTGTATTTACCAGTTACTAGTAAAGTTCGATCAACTACTGCGATCAATGATCCGGGCGTTCAAGTTGTGTTTTGCGGGCGGTGAAAAAAATGTTTTTGCATTCAGCACCTGAAACATCACGTTTTGCTAGCTAGGGTACATAGTCTACCATGTCGAAGTTGATACATTTTGAATCATCTAAATAATCATCTGGAACAGCGGAATCGGGGACTGGCGCGACCAAGCGTCGCTACGATATAGACGATGATTCCACTGCGACCACCAACCCGTATGCTGCAGCGGCAGCGAACCCGCCAACAGCCATCGTACTCACTGCTCCCCAAATATATCCCCAGAAATTCCTCGCTGCCCCCGTGATTCGAGCTTTGACCGTACCAAATATCAGAAGAACTATCCCAGTAATTATGCAAGAAATCTTCAGTGCATCGATTGCTTTGGAAATGAAGAAATATGGGAGAAGGGGGATGATACCCCCACACAGGTATCCCATCCCGATGGTAAACGCAGAGATGTATAGTCGGCGAGTCGGAATTTCCTCTGAGCAAGTAAAAGACAGTGACAATCAGAACCACGTCAAACGCAATAATAATGACAAGATACACATACCCAATCCCTCTCCAAATTTCAGTAGGAAAGGTGTTAACCCATGTTCGCTTTTCATCCCCCGCGATGGTTTCTCCTCATCGGCAGGTGCGGGTGTACTTCCGTCGAACCCAGACTCATCCTCTGCTTTCCGCAGGCAATTTGCGACAGCCTGGGAGGCCGGTTCATCGACACCGACGGGACCCAAAACAGCGTATACCTCTCTCTCCATTTCCCCGATGCAACTCCGCATCACCCGTGAGTAAGTGTGGCGTCGCAAGAACAGATAATGGTCCCGCTCAGCCTGGGATGCAAGGAAGCCACCTATTCCCATCGATATGGCGCCGGCAATGAGTTCTGCAAGGCCGCCGACAACGACTAATCTTGATGTCCCCAAGCCGGACAGACCAGCTGTCAGCGCGAATGGAACGGTCAGGCCATCTGACAAGCCAATAATGCTATAGAAGTATGTCAATGACTTGCGAGGAAAGCGCAGACAGAAGGTCGCGAGCTGGTATGGGGAAGACTCACATGTCGCGGATAACATCAGGATCTATCAGAGTTCTATCGTCTTCGTCCTTGAGTTCCTTGCAACATATACCATCTTGACGGCTGACTCTATCGCATTTTTCATTGAGTGGTGGAGTTAAGGATCCGTTGGATTCCAGTGACCACACTGGTTGCGATTTGTTGCTGCCAGACATGGCATCTCTGTTCGGTAGGGCAACAGCGGTTGTGGTAGTGGTGTTAGACATCTGGTGGGTTGAGGTTATGGCTAGTTAATGGGTGAATGGGTGACCAACGAAGGCAGTAAAGAATTCATGGGAGTGAGGGAGCTTATATATGATATCATGATGGGCACGAGAAATTAATGATTCAACACGAGAGAAATGCTGAAATGGCACTGGACAATGGCTGCGCTGCGGCATCATCAGGAAACGTTCCCCGTTTGTTGCGGGTAACGCTAGCCAATCAGATCGTGGCTATTTGACACTCGCCTACCTACCGGCATGGCAGGAGCACACTCGACGGTGATTATCATTCCATGATGCAAAATAGAGTTCGATTTTGCATGAATCCCCTCCGCAACAGTCGTGTCTCAACAGCTGCAATGCGTCGCGCGGAGTTCCTACGACATTCAAGTGCATTGATAAATCCCAAACTGAAGAGTTCGCTGAAAACACACCATTTTAATCGGCGTTGCAGTTGCTCCGCGCATGATGAGGTCTGAAAATTTCTTATTCTCCTGACTGAGTTGAAAACGTCGCGCCAATCTACAGTGCCAGGACACAGGATAATAGATCCTGATGTCTTCCGCGCCTACAAGCCGGGGTGTTCGGGAGTTAGACTAAATCATTTAATTATGTGGTCACTGGTGACATGCCAACCAATCCGCGTCCAGCCATTTGTTGGCGGAGATGATCATCGTATAGGACAAATGGGGGTGGCAAAAATGCACCTACGCCAGCCATAAGCTTCCACGAGGTCGTGGCGGGTGGTTTGAATGGCTTTATGCATAATGAGGAGTAAACTGTAAAGAAGATTTGATTTATCCCAGTTACAATCGCGGAATAATCGAGTGGCCGATCCCAGTTAGTCAAATGCTGCCCTGTAACCAGACTTAAAACTAGTCGGCGGTGCGTAGACCCTCATCCTTATGGTGGATGTTTGGTGACAATGAGTCGATTTCTCGGGTGTTTTTCAATGTCCGCTGTATTTATCGTTGTATTTACCAAAGCATAGTTACATACAGATGTCACGGATCACACTACTTTTCCTTCCAGTGCAATCCAGTCCACTGCAGTGTAGTGTCATAATGATTCATTAAATACATCATAGAAAGGCCATACATAAGTATGGGGAGTTGCTAGTGCTTCTAAGCTGCTTTCCTAGTTGTTGCAGTCTGAGCAATCTGATGCCTCCAAGGCCAAATGATCCAAGATAGGTACAGGTGGAGAATAGAGATGTGTACTAAGTGCGGCTTGAAAGAGCTAGAAGCAAGCAACATGTTAATGTTGGCTCATGTGCTTCAATATTCAATGTTTTGATTTGTATATTTTTGATTTCCACCCTACTCATTTAGATTAAGATGCCAGCAGTAGCATATGGACATCTCAGATCTTTTCAAGAGACTGATGTGAGTTGACATAGTCATTCATGCACATTACAATAAACCGATGAGTCATAGTATACTTGTTCTTACTAACATTCACTCATCATTTGCACTAGTGTGTATTTTTGTAATGCAAGTTGGACATGAATGAGAAAGTGCAGTTATGGTAGTGAGTAAACAGGTATACCATTAGTAGTATGGTACACAGACTCAGTAACATACAATTAGCAGTAGATACTATAAAGACAGAGTAGTGAAAGATGAACATCTCAGTTCAATAGCTGAGATATGAGAATCTTGTTAGTTTTGATATCTTTACCATACTAACAGAACATTAGAGTCTGTTCAGCCACAAAATTTAGGCCAACTTAACTTGAGAAATTTGCTTCTAGATTTGCTTTGTCATCTAAGCTCTGTGTGACATTAGTGTGACAACCGATAATCAAGAGATAATGAACAGTCAACATGCCAGCAACTCGAACTCAGACTAGATCTTCAAGGTCCAGGGTTAATACCTGCTCAAAATTCAGTGGTGTCCTCTCCCTGCCTTCATATACATCCATGGTGAAAAAAAGCAACAGATGAGAAGAAGTGGGGTGAATCAGTGGGCCAGGAAGGTGAAAGATGTAACTGGTCAAGTGCTGACGAGTTACATCTCCTTGACTATGTCACCACCCATAAAGCAAAAGGGGGTGATGGACTCAATTTTGACAAGACATTTTGGACGCAGGCTGCTACTGATGTAGCACACACCACCACAATTGGTGTGGTGAAAACAGCTGAGGTGTGTCAACAGAAATGGTCTAGGGTATTTTTTTTGGCACTCCCTCTGTTCTCCTATCTTACTAAAACAATTCAAGATGTGTGCCACCTATTCAGTTGTCAACTGGATCATGAACTTTTCTGGAATTTCATGAAGCCATGAGCTTGGTGCCAACATCACACCTGAGTCTGAGTCTGTTTGGGCGGATCTCATTAGAGTAAGTTCTATCTACTGTTTTTACTAGTCCCATTAACTTTTTCATCATCCAGGAAATCCCCCTTGCAAAGAGCTTCAAAAACAAGGGGTGGTTACCATATGAGAAGATGAATGACATCCTGCTGTCAAAGGCGCATGGCAGTCACACATATGTATCACCTCCTGCTTCAACATGGCCCCAACTCAGAGGTGGGTGTGAGTGTGACTAGCCATGCATTCAGCTTCCAAGAAGTTGACATGCAGGAGCAGTCCCAAGTGCTGGAGAGTCTTGAGAGTGGCACTGGTGAAACCTCTGACAAGGACAGCAACACCTTGATGATGCCAGCCCCCTCCTTCTTTGATCCTGCCAGCCAACCTACCTTTGTTCCCTCAACACTGGGGGCATCTTCCACCATGCTAATTTTGGTGGGCAAGTGGAAGGGGAAGTGCAAAGATGACCATGACAATAATGACAACTCACAAGTGCTCATTCACCCCCCCAATTCCTCCAAGTCCATCATCAGTCCATTGGCATCAGGTTGGTCCATCAAATCTGTGTGCATCAGCATGCCTGAGGCCATCTAGCAAGTGGGCTCTGAGATACAGGGTCTCTCCAAGGGTCTCACCATGTCCTTTGATCATGCCACAACTGCCTTGGAAGAGTGCACAGTGCACAGTATCTCACACTCCATGGATCCCATCCCTCTGCACAAGCAGAAAGCTATCCTTCAGGTGCAGGAGGAGGAGGGTCTAGAGGACCATGAGGTGATCGCAATCATTGAGCACTTTCGCACTGATGTTTCTATTGCTGATTCCTATCTTGCAATCAAGAGGGACAATGTCTGCAAACTTTTTTTAATGAAGTATAGTACTTAGTTTGTCCACTCTTCACAATCTTTGTTTTCACACTGCTTTCATAGAATCAAATTCAACTTGTTTGCAATATACAATATTTGTGTGATCATTACATTCAAAGGTAAATGAATAGTACTACTCCAGGTCATCTACAACAACAGACTTGCCTCTCTCCTGTTGAACCCTGTTGTAGTCTGCCCACATTTGGTGTGTGATAGCATCGCAACAGTCATGGGCATGAGTACAAGCCTCGTTGGAGGGAGGACCATCAGTGAGTGTGCTGGTGTGATGCTCAGGCCCTGCATATCTATCATCATCATCATTTTTGACTCAGTGATAATCCATCATGTCATCCATGTCATGGACCTGGATGACATTATGCACTAGGCACACTGCAGGGGGGATATGAACTTGGATGCTCATGGGATAGAAGAGGGGGAGGGGAAGAATTTGGAAGTGGTTCTTGAGCATGCTGAAAATGTGCTCAATAACATTCTGGAGCATGGTGTGACATAGATCGAATAGTTCCCTATGATTACAAGGCCTACAATTTGATGTCAGTATGAAAATGAGGCAATTGAAATGAAACTTACTTGAGACAGCCCCTGCCCCATTCAGCTAGGTGATAGCACACATTGTGATATGGTACAAGTAACTTGTCACAGGCTCCAAATCCCACATTGGCAAGATAGTATTTTCCAGTGGGAATATTGAAGTCCTTGATCCAAGCATGGTAGTACACACAAGCATCAGCCACTGATCCCTCCCAACTGCTCAAGACATAGAGAAACAACATGTTGAATGTACAAGTGGCAAGGCAGTTCTGAGTTAACATGCCCTTGTGATTGCATGCAGCATTATGCTCTTTGCCATTGGGGTGACAAGGGATGTGAGTCCCATCAATGGCACCAATGGCATCAGTGAAGTAGGGATAGTATTTGGAGTTTTGGGGTATCTTGAGAGGGACTGGATCATCTGTGTGAGGTAGCTGAACATATGATTGATAGATGGGGGGGATGCAAATGCATTGAGTATGTGTTTGAAATACCTTGAAAAATTCAGCATTTCAAAGACTCAAGACTGGAATTAGCATACTTTGATATTGTTTCATTGGAGTGCTGAAACTGTTTGCCAAGGTGACGAGTAGATAGCCCTGTCACAATAGCATACAGAAAAATAGCAAGCTGCTCCTTGAGTGTCACAAACTTTGAATCATGGCACCCAGAATCATGGAGTAGAGATAAAAGTACATAAAATACATGATGATGCACACTGAGTTCACAGCATATACGATCCGGGTGTCCTGTAAGTAGCTCATTGACCCATCCTAAGCCTGTGAGAATAGATGTATGGTAAGGTTCCTTGTCATAGTGTGACTGCATATGAAGTGAAATGGCCTTTGAGGCACCTGATGAAACTACCACAGCTGCTTGAGAGGCACTAAGTAATGCCTTGAAGATCCACTTCTCCATCTCATCTATACTGCTGCCAACTGTGGTACTTCCATCAAAATCTTTGATGGTAGTCATCTCTTCATCGGCTGGTTCACCAGCTGGGTCAGGTGGGTTGATGGCATTGATTTCATGGGCAGGGTTGTTGGGATTCATCCTGTCAACAGCTATGAGTACAATATCCTTATCAATGATAAGCACAGTACTGAGTGTGACATCTACCCATCCTTACAAATCATGACAAAGCAAATCTAGAGGCAATTTTCTCAAGTTAAGTTGGCCTAAATTTTGTGGCCAAACAGACTCTTAGGCTCTCCGCTAGTTACCTACATATATACCTGGATCATAGTGTCATCACTGGATGTGTCAGCTGCTAAATTTTTCTTGGCCATGTTTTTATTCTCATTACATGAGTGTTGAAACTCAAAGTTGCTTGGAAGAGCAGTGGTGACCCAAGGTTGTGAGGGCTCAACTTCCTTTGAAAACCCTGTCTCATGCTCAGTGTGATCAAAATTGTGACAGTAAATTACTTACTAGGATGTGCAGCTTCCCATCTGACCTCCTGGTCTTCAACATCAACTCTTCTTTCTCTTCCTCCTCCTTTTCATCATTATCAGCATGACCTCCATTATTATCATTGTTGTTGTCAGCAGATGCCTCTGAACTTTTGGATCTAGTATCCCCCACTCCCAAATGTACATCTCCAGCTGACAATATAGCAGGGTCCATTACTTCACTGTGCACTTTATGACCTCCAGTTCCCTCAGGGATATCATCCTTTCCAAAATAATGAAAATTTTCCTTGCCTCCAAGTCCAGAATCATAAGAAACATGAGGAAGTTCATTGATGTTCTTGTCATCTGTTGAGTCCATGTTATGACCTTCACTGGGTGCAATGGAGTTGATGATATCTTCTAACCACATGTTGGATGATCCAGACTGAGGTTGGCTCTTATGATGAGCAATGGAAGTATGATCTTTAAAGACTTTACTGCATGAGGGGCAGCTTGAATGAGACATAAGTCCAAGTTGGTAAGAGACAGATGTTGGATCAGTGACATGGGCTGATATCAGCATTTCCTGAAACTACACTCTCAATATATGATGACCATCAATCTGCATGTATTATCAACAAGGGTGTCAGGTCTAGCAGATGACATGGAACCAGAGATGTGGGGGACAGACCTTTACAAACTTCTTGAAGTTATTAGTTACTTGGTAAAGTCAAATATTCATTTCTCATTTTCTTGAAGGTGCCTAAAATTTCACCAGTCAATACTGAATCAAACCAATTCTGAAGCAAAACTTGTTATGGACCTTGCACAAGCCAAGCATGAAGTATTTCAGGCACAGAAGGCACTTGCAGATTGTTTAGTACAGAGAAGTGAAGTATTGGCCGGTTTGCTCAGATTTTGAGTAGATGTCATGGAGAAGATGTGTTACACTTGGCATTCTAAGAACAACTAGATGGAAACAAATGATCTAAAGCATGAACCTATTCATGAGTCATGTGAGTTAAGCAGTATATTGCAGGCCCTGGTCTGCATAGGTCAAGTTAAAGAATACAAGCATAAAAGATAGGGTTTAAATAGAGGGATTAAAGCGAAGCTTTAATAAATGAATTGGAGATGAAAAGTAAATAGTGAATCAGAAAAGAGAATAGAAATTGTATGATGGAATGTGATAGAATGTCTAAGAATGTTTAATAAATGAATCAGAGATGAAAAGTGTTATGAACTTGGATGGAGTGTCATTCCAATAAAGGAATCAAGGATCAAGGTTGATCAAGGACTGAGCCTTATCAAGTAATGCCTCCCTCAGGAGTGATCGTCTAGACTCCCGCAGGATCTAGAGTTCAAGTATGAAAGAGAACTGAGTAGATTCAAGTTAGAGAAAATACAAGCAGTAACTAAGGTTTATATACGTAAGAGAATCATGCACAGACCAAGCTGGGCAAAGGGTAACGACTACTAAGAAAGGAAGGTTCATGGGAAAACAAAGTATGAGTCAGAGATAAAGGAGACCATGAGGAAACAGCACAGTGAAAAGGAAGCATTAGAAGTACAGCCATAAGGCATCCGCAGTGATGATGGGAAAAAGAGTGGGGCACTGTGTTAAGGTCACGTGCTCAAGGGGGTCGGATCACAAGGGCTTGGCCTCAGCTCATATGCTGTGCCCCTTTCCCGAGTATGTGCCCTTAATTTCCGGGGGCTAGAACAGTTGTCTGGAGTTTCCAGGTTTTGACTAGGGCGGATAACAGACGTCTGGATCTGAAACATGAGATAAATCTGATGGATGTCCAGATGTTACCTGGGCAAGCGGATAAGACTAATCTGGATGAAGTCTGGACTAGAAACTAACAGAGGATGGACTACCCTGAGGTAGAGTCAGAAATGTAGTCTAGGATGCAATCCTAAGACTTGGAATATGACAAGAGACTTATCTTGAGTCCAGAGGACACAGGAATGAGCAGGAACTAAGATGATATTCGAACTGGAGTATTTCCAAGAGTTACAGGAGGTTTATATACTGTAGGTATCATATAGGAATCAGTCAGCAAACATAAAAGCTATGTACGAAGCATATGCAGAGTCTATTAGTAAGTAGGACGGATCACAAATAATGAACACCGGAAATGAACTGTATGTAACGGATCAATAATCAAAAGGAAAACATGGTTAACTGGAGTCCGGAGACTGGGGCAGTCTAAATGGAGTTGGGCGCTGATATAGGGTTTGGATTCCAGAAGGGAGATAAAGATAGATCAGATCATTTGAGATCTGGATCTCAGATCCGGATATCCGGAGAAGCAGATTTAGAGTTAAGAGTCCAGAATGGCATATGACACACTGTAACAAAAAGTAAATAGCAAATCAGAAAAGAGAATAGAAATTGTATGATGGAATGTGATAGAACATCTAAGAATGATTAGTAATGTGAATAAGTGAAGAGATGAAGAGAAAAAAGAGGAACTGTAACATTACCCCCATTTTAAGGGTAGTAGGCACCAACTACTATCAAAGAAGATGATGCGATCATTTGTAAGTAAGGAAAGAATTGGAAGTGTTACCTAGTTCTGCTTCCTTCATCCATTCATTCTCAGAACTCAGGAATCCTTTCCATTTAACATAATATTGGCATCTAGAAGAAGAGCCTCAGTGTCCAACAATGGCTTCTATTTTGTATTCTTCTTTGTCATTAATAAGATCAGGGATGGGCATGATATGATTAGGACCATGGGTATCATTCCCTTTATAAGGAGAGAGAAGAGTGGCATGGAAGATGGGATGAATGCACCATTGCACAGGTAGAGCAAGTCAATAGGTTATGGGGGATAATACATCTGTGATAATGAATGGTCCTTTGTGTTTAGGAGTGAGTTTTCAATTAGGATATCCAAGATGTAAATTTTTGGCTTTGAGCCAGACTTTGTCACCTTTAGAGAATGGTATGAATTTAGACATAATTTGTTGATGTGTAGTGTTTTGTGTGAGTTCATGAGTGGCTAGCGCTTCATCACATTGTGCAAACACAACAATGGCTAGACACTTGTTAATGTGCCTAACCAAAAATATTGTTGTAGGTTGATGCTCTGCCTAGCTGCTACACTTGCAAGCAAGAATGTTCAACCCTAAAGGGAATTGCTACTGAGAATGGCCAATGATACTAAAGACCCAAAAGTGTGCAGAGCACAGGAACAAGTGCACAGGTATGTAAAGCGCGGGTATGTAGAGCACAGGAATGCGGAAGTGCAGTCAATGAGCAGTCAATGAGCAGTTGATGCAGAAGTGCGAGATGCTAGGGTAAGGGGTAGGGAAGTCTTAAGGAATGGTGTGGGTAGCAAGTGAGGGCAAGGGTATTGATTGCATGGGTAAGGAAAGTCAAGGTAAGGTGTCCAGGTATAATGTAACCAATAGGGGCTAAAAGTGCACACTAATGGTGACTGCTCCTAAGTAAAACCTAAGGGAAGGAAATACTGTAGAAGGGAAGTAAATATGAAGTAGTCACCCTAGGCACTTTATACTAGCTAAACCCTCTTGGAAACAGAAGGGACAGGACAGACAGGCAGTAGGAATATGTAAAGACATGTAATAAGGCTGCAACACTTGTTACAATACATGAGGCAAGGCAAAATACGTACCAATGAGGTAGGATGGACAATGGACTGACATGGGACATCTGTAAGGTAGTCTGAAGGTGCAGGAAATTGACCGCAGCGCGGGAGTGAATGTGCAGGTCTGCAGAGTGCAGGAATACGTGTCTGGAGCAGGTTGAGTGCGGGAAAAGCAGTCAATGGTTTTGTAGCTTTCCATCACCTATATCAAAAGATGGCCATTGCAAGCCTAGCGGGAATATGATCGTCACATCATTCAGTTTCTCTGTCACTCTGGGGATGGAAAGTGGTAGAAAGGGAGTTCTTGTATCTGAGGAGTTTTCTGAGTTCAATTTGGAATCTGGAAGCAAACTGAGGTCTGTGGTCAGAGATAATCTTATCATATAGTCTGTATCTGGAGAAGACTTTAGAAAAGAAAATGTTCACAATGCCTTCAGCATCTATGGTCTTGAGACAAGGGGTGAAGACTACCCCCTTTGAAAGTCCATGGTCAACCATGACCATGATGTTGTCAAAGCTATCAGAGAGGGGAAGATCAGTAATAAGATCAACTGAGCAATGAGCAAAGGGTTGGTTGGAAATGGGAGTGGGAATGGGGAATAGGGGCAGAGTAGACAGGTGTGTGTTTACTTTATTCTGTTGGCAGATGCAACAGCCATCTATGAAATTCTTGACAAAGGTGGCTAGTCCTGGCCACCAGTAGTCATGAGAAAGGAGTTCCTGGGTTTTGTAGTGTCCAGGGTGTCCAGCAGTAGGAGAGTCATCATGTAGGGAGGTGAGTTCTCATCAGAGATCTCCAGGGGGTACATAAGTGAGTCCTTTATAAATAAGAATTCCATCACTCAATTTCCAATTGGAAAGAGCAGAGTGGAGGGGAGGGGGAATTGAAGAGTCTGTAAGTGCTTGAAGTGCTGTGTGAACTACAGGATCTATGGCAGAGGAGATACATAGTCTGTCAGTGAACAACATATCCACGATGTTAAGAAATAAAGAGTCTGGTAAAAGTTGAATACTAGTATTGTCCTTTTTGACATCTACATCTGGAAGGTGATCCATTCTATGAGAAAGGAGGTCAGGTATAATAAGTTCTTTTCTGGGTACATGTTGAATTTGGAGTTTGAATTGAGAAAGAAAGGTTTGCCATCTAGCTTGATGGCAGTTGAGGTCTTGTATGTCTCTGAAATATTGAAGGTTTTTGTGGTCAGTTTGTACAAGGATGGGAAAAGGGGATCCTAGAAGATAATGTCTCCAGGCTTTCAAAGCTTGGATGATAGCAAGTAGTTCTCAGTCATAGATCTGATAATTATGTTCAGTGGAATTAAACAATTGAGAGAGAAAGGAGCAAGGAAGCCAACCTCTGTTGTCATTCTTTTGAAGAAGTACTGCACCAGTGGCATGTAGGGAGGTGTCAGTGGTGATAGCAAAAGGAGTGTTCTTGTCAGGGATTTGAAGGATAGGGGATCAGGTAAAGATACATTTCAGCTTATTGAAAGCTTCCTCACATTCAGGGGTCCAAGAGAATTCTTTGTCTTTCTTGGTTAAATCAATTAAGGGTTTAGCAATTGAAGAATAGTCAGCAATAAACCATCAGTAAAAGTTAGCAAATCTGAGGAATGATCGGACTTCCTTCACTTTCATGGGAGTCATCCATTTGGATATACCTTTTAATTTGGCAGGGTCCATGGCAATAGAACCTGGTTTGATGATCATGCCAAGATATTTGATTTTGGTTACATTGAAGGTGCATTTTTTGGGTTTGAGGTGAAGGAGATTGTCACAGAGTCATTGAAGTACTTTGTGAGTTCAGATATGATGGGTTTTGTCATCTCTAGAAAAGATGAGTATGTTGTCCATGTAAATAATAATCCATCCTTCTTGGATCATGTCTCTGAACAGGTCATTCATCATAGACTGGAAGGTGGCAGGTGAATTATGCATTCCAAAGAACATGACCATGGGTTTAAAAAGTCCTCTAGAAGTAGCAAAGGCTGCCTTCCATTGATCAGATTTTCTCATATGTATGTTGTTATATCCCCATCTGATGTCCATCTTGGTAAATATCTTGGCATCCTTAAGCTTATCTATAAGATCTGAGATTAGCAGTAAAGGATAGTTGTTTTTAACTGTGTGTTTGCTCAGGTAGCAATAATCTTGGCAGGATCAGGGGGAACCATCTTTCTTCCCGATGAAGATGGTTGGGGGGATTCAGAAGGAACAATTGTTCCTTTGGCAAGATGTTTGTTGATAAAGTCATTCATGGCCTTCTCTTTTTTCATATTAAGTGGGTAAATTTTGCATTTCCATGGTTCAAAGGTTTCCTTGAGATCAATCTTGTGGTCATACTTGCATTCTGGAGGAAGGGTACCATTAGCTACATTACCAAATACATCCTTATATTGTCGGAACTCTTTGGGTATGAGTTCTTTGAAGGTTTTCTTGGGTTTGGCAGCGTCTTGGGTGAGTGTCTGGGAAATATTGTCAGTTTTTTGAATAAAGGTGTGAAAATCATTGTTGTTGTTAATAGGATCTAGAAGGTGTGGGAGAGTTTTGTTAGCGGGGTCCCATTCTTCTTCTAGTTCTTCTAGAGCATTGTAAAAGACATCTTCTTTGTCTTTGATTTCTTCAATGGTTGCTTTTTTCAGGGTATGCTCCCTTAGGCAGACTTCTTGGTTAGTCCAATCAATATCTGGGTTTTCTTTCTTTAGCCAAGTCATTCCTAGGATAGCATCTTCTCCTCCTAGAGAGGTTACAAAGAAATGCTTCCTCATAGGGATATCTTTGATAAGAAAAGAGAGTTCACAGTACCATGCAATTCTTCCAGCTTTGTTTAATGTGCTGTCTACATTTCACACAGGTATCAGGTTTTCTAGTTTGTGTGTGTGAATGTTTTCTTTGAGTATGAATTTCTCATTGATCAACTTGCCTTCTGTGCCACAATCAATTAGAGTGGCAGCTACAGTAGTTTTTGAGGACTTATTCAATCTGATGGTTAAAGGCAAACAAATAGAATTAGTATCACCAACAGATTGTACTACTAGTCTGATTCTGGGAGTGTCTGACACCAGTGCAGTCTTCCCTAGGCAAAATCCTCTTCATTGCTACTCTCATCCTTCTTAACCAGTTTCTTACTGGGTTTCTTCATCTGGCATGCTTTAAATGCTTTCCATTCTTGGAATTCTTTGTAATCATCATCAGATGACTTGTTGATTACCTGTCTGGTGTTGGTCATAACCATGGGATGGTTAGGGCAATCTATGGCTAAGCCCTTCTTACCACATTTGAAGCAGAGGCTGCCTTTGTGCCTACACTCTCATTCTTGGGAAGTAAGATAAGTTTTCCTTATCTTCTTCTCACTGTTTTCTTCATCTAGTTCTACTTTATTTATATCCATGGCATATGGATCACACACCTTGGTATAGGAGGGAGGTACTGTTAAGGTCCTTTGGACCTTGACATCTAAGGCTTTCTCTAGCCAGGATTTGATGGTAGTGGGGGTCATGTCAAAGGTGTAGATAGTGGAGGTAATCTCATGCTTCAAGCCATTTCTGAAGAACATGATCTTGGTGTTCTCTTTGTTGATGCCAGTATTAGCAAGGATGGTATGGAATAGGGAGGCATATGCAGCTATACTGCCTGTCTGCCTAAGAGTAGAAATGTGACAAATCATGGTCTATTCTACATTCTTAGGGAAGAAGGTCACTTTGAACTGTTTAGTGAAGTCAGCCTATGTTCCATAAGTCTTAGCTGCTACTGCAGCTTTCAATTGACCTTTGGCCCACTTGGTGGCTTTGCCTTTGGTCATGAGGCTAAGTGCAAAGATGACTTTCTTCTTGTCATTATCATATACTTCATCATTCATGTCAAGGTACACCTCAACTTGGAGGGTCCATCTCTGAGCAAGATGGGTATTGCCATTGAAAGGGGAGGGAGTCTTGCTGATTTCTTTAGGCATGGTGATGGTGGCTGATCATTTGTATGTTTGGGTGAAGAAGTTCCAAACTTTATTCTTCAGGGCTTGGTTGGTGTAGTACACTGCCCACTGTTCTAGAAAGTATCTGTCACCTTTAGCATCTAGGCAGAAAAACTTGTTCTTCTCTTCATCCCAGGTAAAACCAGGAGGAGTCAGTGTAATGGTTGAAATGATGTCTGTTTCTGGGTGTGAGTTTGAGGGAGCCACATGGTAAAGGAGTAACTTGACCTTTTGTTATGCTTGGCATTCTAAGAATGACTAGACAGAAACAAATGATCTAAAGTGTGAACCTATTCATGAGTCATGCGAGTTAAGCAGTATATTGCAGGCCTTGGTCTGCATAGGTCAAGTTAAAGAATACAAGCATAAAAGATAGGGTTTAAATAGAGGGATTAAAGTGGAGCTTTAATAAATGAATTGGAGATGAAAAGTAAATAGTGAATCAGAAAAGAGAATAGAAATTGTATGATGGAATGTGATAGAACATCTAAGAATGATTAATAATGTGAATAAGTGAAGAGATGAAGAGAAAAGAGAGGAACTGTAACAAGATGCTAGATGATGCAGACATGGGCCTGGGGTGCATGAGACTTGCCTTCAAACAGAATTGCTGGTCCCATTGTCCTTTATCTGTAATATAACATGAAGGTGACCATCAGTGTGCCAGTAAGTTTATGACCTATGAGAGAAAATGATTATCCTTATTGAGTACAGATAATTTATCATCTGCTATTATAGAGGCCCCAAATGGCTGTGTTCTCACTATCCAGCTTGACTGATTGTTTGTCATGAATGGTCAAGAGTTGCTTCAAATTTGCATAAATGTTATTATGATAGTATTTGCCTCATGTACATACTACTAGTATTAGTATTATGCTCTGTCCCTTCCAGTTTCACACAATGTTTTATGTTTATGTTGTTATTGTTGGAATCCAAAGGATCCAAGATAGGTATGAGGGGGAGATGATAAGAATGCTGGTCTGAGTGCAAGTCAGATGTAGCCAATGGGCAGTGTCATGCTGGTGTCAAACTGTGCCCTGGAATATATGTCAATGTTTTCATTTATTTTCATTCCTTATATACTTACTATAAAGTAACCCACACCAGCAGTCAAACATCTTGAACAGAAACTGAGATGTGAGTAGTATATTCATGTATGTCAGCTTTAGCTAACAAAAACTGTAGTGTACCTTGTCTTTCTAGGTACAGTGCATGTCAATAAGAGTTCTTGAACAGAAACTGAGATTGTACCTTGTCTTTCTAGCACTCCTGCTCCCTACCTTTATCTCATAATATGAGAGTTATCTCAGTCTTTGAATTGAATTTTGCATTATCTAAAGTCCATCAGTAGTCTGAAACAAAATATTGAGTTTACATTTCAATGGTATTTTATAATATACATTTGAAGCACTACTACTAGTATGATTTGCACTCAGACTCTAAACCTCAACTGTCAAATGCAAAATCCCATGAGCCATGTAGAACTGTGAGTGATTGTAATGAATGTATATCTTGTGACACTATTTGCTGTGACTCTTGGCAGAACTATGAAATCTGTGATCAGCTGTTGTGGGAACACAAGTCTTTAGACTCCAAACCATCAGCATGGTGTGTGAGAGTCTTATCCTAGTGCCACAATACCAACTACATATTATTTCAAATCCCACACCTTAATTCAAACACCACAACTTCAGATTCTACACACCTAGCTGACTAGCATAAGTTGTTGTGGCATCAAGTTTGCCACTATTTGCTACCACTGAAAAATCCATTCAAATGTTTGATGAGCCATCAGGTACACCAGGCAGATGGTAAGCTCAGTAGCATGACATGACTGCATATGTCCCATTTGGTCCTAAGCTAACTACTCCCTGTAACCCCATCAGATGTCTGCTCATCATTTCAATGTCCCAAGCCTTGTAAATATGAAGCAGATCATCCAAGAGAAGTTTGGCTTGTCTCCCTGCACCTGGCATCTTTTGATGATGGTTTTCCCTGCTATTAAGTAGGGCTAAAACAAGGTTCCAAAGGTTCAGAGCAATATCTTGCATCTTCACAGCAAACTGACTCATAAATGTTATTTCCAATTGCTCTACAGTTGCAGAGGCAGCCTTGAAATGGAGGCCATGTTGCTCAAGGGATAGTTCAGCAACCTCTTTGCACAGTTCTCTATGTAATGTTCCTGCTGCCTAGGCAAAAACCAATGGTCATGAGTTCTTTTCATTATATAGCTGTGCACAAATCCAAGCTGTGTTCATTGTTAATGACTCTTGGCCATTGGCATGAACAGTATGTCTGCTGTCCAAGACTCCAGTAATGAATCCTGCTGCTGACAGACTGTTTTGCTGCAGGCACTGCAGGACATTCATCAGTTGCACCTCAAGGCTCATTCTGGTGCAGTGCACAATATAGTGGTACTGTATTCATTTTCAACATCTTGCCTCATGTTTTACATGAGGTTTCATACAGTTCTGCTCCCATTTTCACTTGTTCTCCTTGACAGCAATGTGTATTATATAATATGAATATAATAATTACCTGGTTTATCACACATGTGTTTATGTTGCTAAGCTGCCTGGTGTACCTGATGGCTTGTCAAACATTTGAATGGATTTTTCAGTGGTAGCAAATAGTGGCAAACTTGACACCACAACAACTTATGCCAGTTGGCTAGGTATGTAGAGTCCAAAGTTGTGGTGTTTGAATTAAGGTGTGGGATTTGAAATAATATGTAGTTGGTATTGTGGCACTAGGATGAGACTCTCACACACCACATCAATGGTTTGGAGTCTGACAAGTCTTGTGCTTTCTGTGGGAAAAGTTGTAGTTTGCTGATGTGCAGTGATTCTGGTCATGCTGCCAAAGGCTGCACAGCTATGGTCACTCTAGCCATGTCTTAGGGTTACATTGGTCTTCAGGTCTTTCCATCACCAGCTTTTGTTATTATTGGCATGCTCCATACTGTATTTTATGTTGCAATGCATCAAAAAGCATACACCAGTGCTGATGTACATCATTTTCACAGCTGCAGAAAGCACAGATACCAACAACTATCTACACAATATGAAGTGCCATAGCCACAGTATATCTGCATGGCAGTGCATGGAAATGGCCATGTCTGATTTTCACTGGGGATGATGAGTGACCAGCAGAATGGCCCTAAGTGCCTTTTCTGTGCTGGCTAAAAAAACAACATCATGTGACTGGTTAAAAAGTGGCTAGTTAATAGTGGGAATCAAAGTAGTTTTCTAAACTCGCTAAAGCGCTTGGTAAAGAACCAGCTAAGTGTTCTAGCACAGCCAACAACAATGAAGTCAGCCAGCATCTAGTATCAGAGCTCGAATACCAATGCCTGCTGTCCACCAATGTGTCCACTGTTCTGCAAGGCTTCAAGCAGACACTCAAAGTTGCCCAAAGGTGATAGAGTTACCCCCCCATCCATCCACATCCCATGGAAGAGGGAAGGCTTGAGGACATTGGTCCAATCCTGCTCATAATCAGGCTCCTAGGACTGCTGGACTGAAGATAATCATCCATTGGACCAAACCTTCAGATCTCCACCACACAGACACTCTGGTGCAGCATCTTTCCACTAATTCTGCAGATGCCTGCATACTATTCTATGAGGGGGAAAAAACTGCTGCTTCTAACAACAATGAGCATCCTTCTGGAAAGGACAAAGGGGAAATCCATTGGTTCTTGGCAAAACTGATCTTTGAGAAGGACTCAGATTATTTGGCAGCATATGCTGAGGACCCAAAGAAATTTGATGTCACGGTGGGCAACCATATCATATCATAAGTGGTTTCTACCACTCAGATGACTGTAGCTACTAATTTAATTCTTCAAAGTCTTAAGAAGTCATTCAAGGAGCAACTCAACAAATTCAACAAGACTGGTGCTGGCATCACCCCCCTTGATGAAAACACAGCAGCTAATCTACACAGTAAGTGTTTGTTTTCACCGTTGTTTCTTATTTTATTTTAAGAACAAGTACTGCTCGAGTTTCCGTGGTATGACCAACTCCACCCTATCCTTTTTTCTAACCTGATGTGTGGCGCCAAAATCTTTACCTCCCAGCTGGGAGTCAACCATGCCAGGGACTTCTACACACTTATTCATCCATGTGGGGGGCTGGTCCCTCCACAAACACAGAGCCTCCTGGCCCTCGACTCCTTCAACCAGACCCTCACCTCCTTCAACTAACCCCTCACCTCCTTCAACCAACCCCTCAGCTCCCCCAAACCCTCAGCCCCCTCTCCAAGACTCTTGGCTCCCTCCACCAAACCAACTTGACACTGGTGCTCAGTGCAGTCCCCCAGCTTACCTTCCCCCTTCACATCACCCCCCTCCTCATTTCACCAGTGCCAGGGGTAGTCCAGTTGATGACCTGGATGGTGACCTCTATGATGACCCTTACACTGATGACAATGGCCCTCTCTCTGCTCCCCACCACTGGTTGCTTGACCCATTCTGTTGTCATCAGCCCTCATCCCACTCCCCCAAGCACATGTGCCACTATTAATGAGTCCCCCCTCCCCTCTCCCCACAGCACATGTTTTTTTGTTCACTCGTGTGCTTGTCTGATGGGTCTGGTTCCCAGTACTTATTCATTGTTCCCTTCCTTGCGTAGTACATATAGCCTGCTGGAATTCTGTTGTTTGGGCAGGTGGAGACTGACAGACTAGTTACTATATTCCTACATCCCTTATCATGCATGCTACTCACATTATCACTCATAAATGCACAAGTATGGTTTCGAAGTCCAATCTGTGCCAGCCATCTATGGCTGAGTTTGTTCTCAAACTTTACTGATAGTTTACTGAGTCTTACCAAGTCTTAGCGATGTTTTAGCGAGTTTAGAAATCAACTCTGAGTCCCATTAATAACTCCTTCAGGCCCACCTGGCTAAGAGCTTGTTGATATTTGCCTAAATAATTTTATCCTGAGCCCTACTGAAAATACAAACATGGTATAAGTACAGGTCCTGTATGATGTATTACCACAGGGAACAATATATTATTGCAGTAGTGGCACCACTATGATAGATTCTCATACTTATGTATCAGTATTCTTGCCATGAGTGTTATGTTTGATACATAAGCCTTGAGCTTCTCCTGGAGTCACGCCGTGAAGACCCCGAAATGCAATCTACGGCAGTCACGGCTAAACGGGTTGCCCACGATCTTCACCGTCCTGCTCGCCGTTGACTATAAGTTGCTCAGTGTTCAGCTCGGGAATTGTTGTGAAGAATCAGTGGATGCTGTCCGAATCTGCAATCTTCGCTTTCAAAAATCTAGGTCTTCAAAGCTGCAAAAAAATCTGATCTAGTGCAATTCCTACCCGCTTCGTGTTTCACCCGCACGGCAATTAGAACCATGCTTGTACAGGCATCCGGATCAAAGGTCAACATGCTTGCTGAAGATGACTTCGGAATTGTCTATCTTATAGAGAATGCTCAGCAGTTTTGGTCAGGTGCGTTGTATCACATGTTTCAAATGTCTCTTGAGGACACGGAAGAAGGCTCGAACTTACAATTGAGGGCTGTCAATCTGTGTTTTCTAGAGCTTGATGATGTCCTTCGAGTTCCCAGCGACGGATCTGCCACGTTATCCATGTTAGACACCGCACTCAGGAGGTTTGTGTCCCTCTGTGCTTCTTATCACGGTCAGCTTCGCCACGATTGTATAACCTCTTCTGCATGCGTTAAAACGCTTTATGTCTGTTTCCAGAACAGTTCCTTCAAAGTCCAATGCAACTGGAACATGCATGCAGTCTTCTACTTGACTCCGAGTTGTTTGTGTTTCACTCTGAACGGATGTGCGAGTTGGCCATCGAAGATGTTGAGTCTGTGCGCAGAACCCTCACATTCACTCGTCCAGTGCTGAAGCTGGCTTACAGAAAACAGATCCACACTCGCAACTCATTCTATACAGCGTACTATTGTTTCACGGCCGCCGTCAATCGAACTTCATTCGATCCCATAAGCATTGGCAACCACTAATACCGCTTCTCATGGATCACGCTTTGGTGGAAATAAACCTAGATACGGAGGACGTCTATCTTGGGGCACCCTCCATATCGAGTGGTTCTGGTTCACGCTCCAGCATGGTGGTTGGTCACATACCCATAGAGGCAAAGTTAAGGAGTCTGGGTGTGAGGCTACTTTATGAAGTATGCCGGGTCCAGAAACTGTCTTTACATGATTTGAGTATGTGGTCCTATTGCTTCGACGACAATATGTTTTTTGACCAATAACTCTACACAGGCGTTTTCAACGATCAGTTTCTCGACAATTTGTTTGAGCTTGTAGAGCAGACCCGATTTATGCCCGACGAAACTCTGAATTACTCCGTAATCAAATTGATTGTGAGAGCGCCGAATTCCTATAAAGGTTGTACCTAATTTCGTTGTCAGGTTGCATTGAATGAGCAGTTTATGGTAGCCTGTTTAAGCAATAATCAACAACCTGGAGCCAAGGAGCCAGAATTGCAAAATCGAGTGCTCGCCGTCCTGATATCTCGTCTCGGATCTAGCAAGACTTTTGGTGAAAACATGATATTCATGCTCAATCGTGCTTGTGAGTAACTGAAAGCATCGTCGAGTCACTGACTGATGTTTGTTTGATAGCACGATCTGCTGAAGACCTATGTATGCAACTTCTGGTCCTCAAGCTTCTTTATATTCTTTTCACCAACAAAGCAACGTCGGAATATTTTTATACAAACGATCTATGTGTCCTTGTGGATGTCTTCCTACGCGAACTGGTTGACCTTGATGAGGAGAGTGAATCTGTGAGTATCGCAGCATTGCACACGGAAGCGGCCTGAATGTGCTCTTCACAGCTTCGGCATACCTATCTTCGTGTTATGCATCCGCTGCTCACAAAGACGCAAATGCGGAATGTGCCATATAAACGTCCGCAAATTGTTCTTGCCCTCGAATCTCTTATCCAAAATGGAAATATCCGAGACATCAACCCCACAACAAAACGTTTAGTTGAACGATGTCTCGGAGGAGAGTGGTGTGTGCAGCTGCGAAGGACACCACACGATAAAGATGTGCTCAAGCGTCAGGGGGATTTTCGACACAGCAGCCCAAGTCACGACATCATTGCGTCCACGAGTCAAGATACTGTGTCCTCTCGAGCAGCAACTTCGCCAGACGTGGAGCATGATTCTGCTTCCAAGGCGCTGAGCTCGAAGCAGAAGATTATAAAGCACTTGTAGAAGTGTTGAAATCATACACAATCCTGCATCTCCGCGATTACCCTCTCCACAATCGGTAAAAACCACATACATACGTTCTAGCACAGACAGCGCAACGAGCTTAGCAGCTACAACCACTACTGCACCTCGACGACGAGAGAAAGCTAGTTCTGTTGACGATGTCACTAGTGCTGCCGCACTCCATCCAGAGAAGAGCGTTCTCGTGCAAGAACACAGGCCGCCTTCGTCTAGTTCTTTGAACCTTCCTTCGGTCACATCTGTCAATCAAAAGGTTCGAAGGCCGGCACCTGCTCCGCCCAAGAGAAGAAAACCTCCTCCGGTGCCTGTCGGAACAACCAATAGCGGCGCCACAATCACAGCCATCGCAACCTCTGCTTCCTACTCCAGCCCTTGGTCAGTTAGGAAAGAGCAACAAACTGGCGTGCCGCCAACTGTAGCTTAGAAACCATCAGTATCAGTGCTCGTCTGTATGAGCCTTCCTCTACATCTAGGTTTGGTTGCTTCACTAGGAGTTTCGGAACTCTGCTTCACACTGGCCGTTCTATCCTCACTCGCAAATATCGTCTCGTGCATTGATCATTCGCATCTGGATCCTCCATCTCATAGCTAGGACACTCACATTGGATATAAAATGTACAGCTTCCTTACAACACTTATTTAACCTCTTCGTTTATCACGTCCCAAGATTTATCTCATTTGATTGCGTTCTTGTATTCAATTTCTATCTTTCTTGGTTTCTTACTCGTATTCTCTTAAAAGCATCGTAGTCCCAAAGTCCTCATTTCAGGGGGTTTTCAATCGGTTGAAGTTAGCAGCCATCTGAATTTGGTGGGAAGGCGCGGCGGATCCTTCTTTCTGATGGCATAAACGAGACTCGGATGATCGATCGATCAATAGTCGATAACCTACTGGCAGAGCCTGCTCCAGAGGGGCACTCCGCACGACAGACGCAGCAGTGCATGTAACGTATTTTAGTTTATTGACACTCACGTACTAGTTGTATAGTTTTGGGGGAGTGTGCCAGTGTATTAGCTAATTAGGTGCGGTACAAACATGAACGGGGCGATTCAATGGAGTGGCAGACTAGTCGAGACTTTCTTCGAAAGCCGCTGACGTAAGCACAAATTCAAGTCTGTTGATTAGCCGTAACTCCTCACCTGCTACAACTTCGAGGCAACTCTGATTCGGATCGTCATCAAAATGGCAGATCAAGCAGGACCCTCGATACCGAAGCAGTTGAAAAAGCCACGAAAGAATGTGAAGCACGGTTTGCGACTGGCGAAAGCCAAAAGGCTCTCGGAGAAGCAGCAGATTGAAGCTTTGGAACGTGCAGTGGTGGAATTCGTGAGTTATTCAAATCTCTGCACTGCTGAACGCAACCCTATCTCAAGGGCGGGTCAGGAACCACGAGACGGTCTTCAAGCTTTTTCTGATCTTCCTATTTCCGAATTCTCGAAAAAAGGTATGATATAAATCTCGCCGAACGTGACTGATCATGACGTGTTCCACATTCAGGACTCAAAAAGTCGTTCTTCGTTAAGATGACAGAAATTCAAGTCACTAGTATACCAATCTCTTTGAAGGGCAAAGATGTACTTGCGGCTGCTCGCACTGGTAGTGGAAAAACTCTTGCTTTTCTCATTCCAACACTGGAGATACTTTACAGAAGAAAATGGGGCCCCCAGGATGGTCTGGGCGCGGTAATAATTTCACCGACGCGTGAATTGGTACGCCCTGGCTGTCCTTGGTTTTTCAGTCACTTGATGGTTACATGGCCAAGGCTGTACAAATTTTCGACGTCTTGCGTTCCGTTGGAGCTTTTCACTCATTTTCTGCAGGGCTCGTGATAGGTGGAAAAAACCTAAAGGATGAGAGGGAGCGGCTCGCTCGAATGAATATTCTGGTCGCCACACCAGGTCGACTGCTGCAGCACATGGATCAGACATTCGGTTTCGAGTGTGATAACTTGCAAGTTCTCAGTAAGTTCCGGACTGCGCATCTTTGCAAGGATTAACCATCATTGTAAAGTTCTGGACGAAGCGGATCGCATCCTAGACATGGGATTTGCCAAGACATTATCCGCACTACTTTCTCACCTTCCGAAATCACGCCAAACTCTACTTTTCTCGGCTACACAAACCCAGTCTGTGTCGCAATTAGCTCGCTTGAGTCTCAAAGACCCTGTCCTCATCGGCGTGGATGGAGCTGACAGCTCATCGGCTACTCCCCTCTCCCTTGTGCAGTACTACTCCGTCTGCACGTTGGACAAAAAGCTTGATGTCCTGTGGTCATTCATCAAAACTCACCTACATTCTAAGGTCCTCGTCTTCTTGTCAACTGGGAAGCAAGTTCGTTTTGTTTTCGAGACTTTTTGCAAGATGCATCCTGGAATACCGCTACTGCATCTGCATGGGAAACAGAAACAATCTGCCAGACTAACGATGTACACTCGATTTACATCTTCTCAACACGCGGTACTATTCGCCACTGACATAGCTGCGCGCGGCTTGGACTTTCCTTCGGTCGACTGGGTTGTGCAGGTCGATGCTCCAGAGGACGCTGATACCTACATCCATCGAGTGGGCAGAACAGCGCGTTATGAGAGCTCCGGCAGTGGCTTGCTACTCCTCATGCCCAGCGAGGAACAGGGCATGACAGCCGCACTAGAGAAGAAAAGTATCAAGATTGAAAACATCAAGATTAGACCTAGCAAAACCCAGAATATACAAAACCAACTCCAGAAGCTCTCTTTTCAGGAGCCAGAGATCAAGTATCTCGGGCAACGTGTATGTTTCCACTCCGCGTCTGTGTGGTGAGTTTTGTTGCTCATCTGGAGGTTCAGGCTTTTGTATCCTATGTCCGTTCTGTCCACCTTTACAAGGATAAATCGATATTCAAAGTTGACGAGCTTCCCGTGGAGAAATTCGCCGAGTCTCTTGGGCTGCCGGGCGCGCCAAAGATCAAGTTTTTAAACAGAGAACTTGTAAAGAAGCAAAAGAACTCGTCTCGAACGGTGGCAGCTATTCAGGCTGAAATTGAAGCGGAGGCTAAGCAAGGGTCTTCTGATAACGAAGATGACTCTGAAGAAGCTGCTGTGTCGTCCGATGACGATGCGTTAACCAACACTGCTCTTACTCCGGACTCTGAGGTCAAGGGTGATCCAAAGCTTCCCATGTCTACTAAAGTGCGTGACATTGCATTCATTTTATTTTTCCTGACTCGAGTATTGCAGCCCGGTGTGCGTACGAAATATGATCGAATGTTTGAGCGCAAAAATCAAAATATTCTTTCTGCGCACTATTCGAAATTAATTGATCATGGCGATGCGGTTGATGACGATGAAGACTTCATCACGCTCAAGCGCTCAAATCATGACTTATCTGACACTGACGCAAACCCGGAGATAGACAACCTGTCGAAGAGGAAGCTCAAGCTGTCCAGAACAAAACGTGCAGTTGCTAAGTATGGCCAATTGGGACATAAGTTGGTATTCGATGACGAGGGGAACCCTCACGAAATTTACGAAATGGTGGACCCCGCAGAATTCTACAAAGGGGGTCTGAAAGGGGCGAAGGAAGCTGGGAAGGCCTTTGTGGAAGGGGAGAAGGAAAAGTTGAAGGGTGCAGATGTGGCTGATAAAATGGAAGCTAAGGACAAAAAACGCGAAAAGAAACGCAAGCGGAAGGACCGCGAGAATGGTGTAAGTTCAGCGTCCCTTTGTTGCGAGATCTTGCTCAGAATGTGTTCTTCAGGTTGATCGTGATGATGCCCATGGGGGAGCTATTGCGGAACTTGCACCCCCTGTTGAGGAGGGGTATATGTCCCCTGAATTTGACCTGCCGTCCGAAGATGATGTGCAGGACACGTTGCCGCCGCCGCCACTCAAGCGGAGTAAACGTTCAGCTTCAACCAAAACATATTCTAGTGGCCTTGAAGACGAGGAAGAGTTTGCACTTCGGCTGCTACGTAACCGCAGATAGGGTCAAGATACTGTACGTATGCAGTCCATTAGAATCTATATGTTCTCCAGTACCCAATGAACGGTGCAGGCATGGCTGCACCGGATTCTCATTGTACATATTTCCGACGACATGTTCATCAAGGATGATGAAAGAGCAAGTACATCTTGAAATTCCAAACTTCAGTTGTAGTGCTTAACTAACACCCCATTGATGACTTCTTGTTCCACGCCTTTCTCCTTACCATTCTCTAGTTCTGATTGGCCATAGGCAGATGTCCTCGCTTTCCTCCATTGTTCCATCGTTGGTGCCTCGCTATCGTCGCAACGACTCTGGATTCCAGCTCTCTGCAGGACTGGACTTTCGGCCATCGGCACCAACTTGACATCGTCGTTGGGCATGACGAAGTAGAAGACTCCGAGGCGAGTGTAGTTCCGCTGATCCTCTGGGGGCTTTACAACACGATGAATTGTGCCCTTGTAATACCCGCCGGTAAGGAAGTCCAATGCATCGCCTGCATTGACGACCTATAATCTCTTCATTATGTAGTGCTTTAAAACATAGAACGTGACCGCCTACGAGTGCATTTTCGATATGGCGGATCCAGCGCCATTTGCCTTCACGGGTCAGAATTTGCAGTGCAGCGACAGGCTGACTCCACAGAATCGTAATGCTTCCAAAGTCTTGCGGTGACGCAGGTGAGCACAGGTGTTTGTTTCATGATTAAGGTCACTGACCTGTATGTCCCTTCAGCCAGACGTTCTTTGTTTTGATTTCTTCTTCCTCTGTTCGTGGGTAACTAAACTACATGAACTTGTGAAGACTATAAATTCAAGACGGCGCTCACTACTTCATGAACCTGACTAATGGATAAGTCAGCAACAATATGGAATGTTTCAAAAAGTATGTACCATACGTCTCGCCAGCGGCGTCATAGTCATGATTGTTGACCAGCGTGTCCTCGGGTAGCTCGAGGCTGCGTGCAATAAGCCTGAGAGAAATGCAATCAAGTGATCATCCTCAAGCGCAACAGTGCTATATATGTGTGTACCTCAGCATAGGATGCAACACGTTGAAGTGATTGTGTTTGCTGAACTCCTTGATTTCTGGGAGAAGAGGACGGAGGATTTCTGGGTGCCCCCGTTTGGTCACATCGCGATTGACTAGAAGGATATCAGGACGAGTCAATGAAAAAGACGCGAATACATTCTCCCACTGTTATAGTGCTCAATCTGGTCACGGACCCCAGCATCAATATGCTAGATTCGATTGACTTGCGTAAACCAAACGCTCATATGTTGGGCAAGACACGACAACCACGCACCCAGTACTGTCGCAATTTATACCCTTGGTATGAACCACTTTGTTTCATTGTTCCGGCGTATGTGTTCTTCTCGCTGTCACTGACGGCTGAGAAGGGTAGGTCCGCGATGTCAAATATGCGATCTGTCTGCGTCGAGATGATATTAACGACCCACATGATATAAATGAATAGCCTCACCTGGTCTTGCGAATACCCATGATTCACGACATAGAAGAACCCGTGGCTGAGGAGCGCCTCCCTTACTTCAATCGTTAGCGCGGCTCGACCTTCTTCAGTGTCGGCCTTCGAAATGTCGATGATAGCAAGGTCGGCATAATCCACTGTCAAATCACACCTCAGCGTTCGGTATCAAGCAGATAACTTGACACAGACATGTTTTCTTGCTAGGGGGTGCAGCAACATAATGCGGTACGTAGGGTATGGTGAGGCTGGGCATTGTGATCGAGGACAGAGGGGAGATTGTATATTTGACCTAGCTTTATAAGCATAGAGATCTTGTGGCCACTGGACCGTAATATTGGACCAGCTGATCACCTCATTATCAGGGCACATTACGCACATCTCGACCGATGCCCATTCATGAAAATCCTAGCCACATGAGCCCTTAACTAAGGCACAAGCAAGGTCGTGTAGAGACTGGTGGAGACGGATCCAATCTCTAGATGTACCTAGTTGTAGTGCTTGACAATAATGCCATTCAATACCTCTTCCTCTATACCAGGCTCTTTGCTCTTTTGCAGATCGCTCGCTCCATATGCACTAATTCTCGCAACTCTCCAGGCCTTCATGGTAGGAGCTACATCGTCTTCACATCTGCGCTCAACCCCAACCCTCTGGAGGACTGGACTGTCCATAAGGGGTACCAACTTGACATCGTCATTCAGGAAAGAGAAATAGATCATGCTTAGCCGCGTGTAGCCACGTTGATCAATTGGGGGTTGCACAACCCGATGGATGGTTCCCTTGTAAAATCCTCCTGTGAGAAACTCCATCGAATCACCAATATTCATGAGCTAAAGCATTTATGTCAGGTAGAAGTGCTATGGCATGGAACTACACACCAAAGCGTTTTCGATATGCTTGACCCAGCGCCAGCCCTCCTTCGTTTGGATCTGTAAGGCAGCAACAGGCTGACTCCAGAGTAGGGTGATACTTCCGAAGTCTGCTACGGTGTGAGCAAGGCAACATTTGGCAAAGAGTAGAACGACCTGTGTGTCCTTTCATCCAGACATTTTTTGTCTGCACTTCTTCTTCTTCTGACCTAGGGAAACTTAATGAAAGTAAGATACAATAGCATGCGTCACATTGTCGTAGGCTTACTATTTCATAAACCTCACTAGTGGCTATATCAGAGCCTCGAACGCCATCAAGAAACGAAATAAGCCATACGATATGATACTCCGGCTGCATCAAAGTCGTGCAATTTCACGAACGTGTCTTCAGGAAGTTCAAGGCTCAACGCCATGAGCCTGAGAAGCGCAGTTAAATCCGAGTTCTGAAACCAAGGCTGAAAACGTGCCTGCAAATTTTATGAAGAATGTTGTAATGATTATGGCGCACGAAGGCATCGATATCGGGAAGAAATGATCTGAGTGCTTGTGGGTGCATCAAGCTGTAGGACGTGGCGGTTGCCTAGCTAAGGATGTTAGATTCTCTCCGCCATTATTGACTGTGTGCGAACAGTTATAGTGCTCGTGTTGGTCACGCACGCCTGCATCGATGTGCTGTTGATGAGAAATCAACAGTAGTAAACAGCAGGGATCATCGAACGGTCTACCCAGTATTGTCTTGGTTTGTAGCCTTGAAATATACCTGTCTTCTTGCTGTCTCCGGTGTATAACCGTTTCTCGTCTTCAGGTACACCAGACATGGGAATATCTGCGATATCGAACATTCTCTCGTTCTACACCGAAGTGAGAATACGCGAGAGAAACAGTACTTGACATTTCACCTGAGCTTGGGTGTACCCGTGGTTGATAATATAGCAAAACCCATGAGTAGTCAAGGCCTTTCGTAGTTCGACCGCTAGTTCCGTGCGACCTTCTGCGGTAGCTGCTTTAGACAGGTCGATGATGGCAAGATCTGCATATTGGACTGGACATGAGAGGTACATTAGATCCCTCATGTAATGTCACCTCTATATCACTCACGGTTCTCCTTAGTAGGCAGGGCAGGGACATATCTTGGAGTTTGTGGGACCGTTAGATTAGGCATCATATGGCTTATGCTTCTGAATAGATCGAAGGAGACCAAATACTACCCATATTCTCCCTTTTAAACGCAAGGCGCAACGAATATCATCCGTGCACTGAGAAAGGCCACGCTCATATGATAATTCAAGGAGCGAGTGTGGGACCAGATAGTGTCAGTTTTAGTATTTCGCCCTGAAAGATATAAGTGCGTTTTTGCCAAGCTTCAAGAACCATGAACTGAAAACCCTGTCAGATGTTCGGTTGGTCAGATGGTTTTTCAATGATAGGCTGATTTTGCCCACAGAAGGAGTTGCCCGGCCCCATCAATATAACTTGTGTGGTCACCTGCGATGTGCCACTTGGAAGTGGGGATCCGGATTACTGTTTTTGGCTCATGTACCGTTCTAAGTGCAGCATTAATGCGCGTACTCCAGACTCCGGAGAACAGCACATATAACTGACTGTCACGGAACGAATGAGTCAGGTCGGGGGCATTCGTCGATAGTACTATGGTACTTGCACTGGTGGTATAATGTGCATGATTATCGGTTAGTAAGAATCAACTCTCCCGGGCCATTGACAGTGACCCGAACTCGGTAGCGGACTTTCAAGCCCTAAACGCGGCGCTTGAACAGAATACTTGCCCAGGCCCCAGACAAATTGAGATGTTTTATCCGTATGTCCCAACACTTATTGACCTCCTATTTAGCTGCAACTATACCGCCGTCAACCTCGACTATATCCATTCACCATGCAGTTAAAATAGGGTACGGTCCTGTCGTTTTTACTTGGATCGAATTGCCTGCAAGTTGATCCCGTTTCGTTGCATGGTGAAAGAAGTAATCACTCCGAACGTTGGATACTCATGCGCGCCTTCCTTCAACTTAGATCTGAGCTCCGTCTTCGTTAAATACCTGAAAGAATGGGATGAAATCAACATGAAGCCTAATATCTATATGCTAATGACTGTTCGATATCATATTATATATCCGTCTTGTGAGTTACCCTTCGTCCTGTGAGCTTTCTAAAAGTACTCATCACATTCCGCTAGGAATTTGACAACCCAAATATTCTTGGTGACATTATGGGCTAACATTCTGGTATGACACCTCTATGATTCTCTAGAGCTTAGCTAATGCATACACGCCCAGATGCCAGTGATGAATCTTGCCGAGCTCTTCAACGATACCACGCTGTTTGTTTTTACGCTCAGTCTGATCATCAGCATTTTGGATATACATGCCAGCGAAAACTGCGTACATGTCAGCACAACGTTCGAGGATCGTGTATGTTGGGCTTCGCCACCACAGCACGATACCTCGCGCATATGATTTTGGCACGCCGGTTCCAGAATCAGGCTCAAGTCAGGATCGAGGTAGAGTGAGGCGTGTACTCACGCTTCAAGTGTTCAAACTCCAGCCCTGGCAGAGTTGCTAAGTTATTTCGACTGAGTTGATCAGGGCCGATTCTGTATGTTCGTGCTCTATCTGATAGTGCAGTATAGTATGATTCATTCCAGAGGACCAAATACACTCATGGCTCATGGCTCTATCCTCTACCTCCGCAGTGCCGCTCCCATCGATCTTGCTCTCCGCTCCCACCTCAAGAGCCAGGTCATCGTTTCTGCTCTGCAAATATTCTCACCGATGTCAGATAGGTACTTCCCCGATCACGGTTATCTTTCTTGAAGACATCGTAACCATGTCTATCCAAGACACCACTTTGCCGTACGGACGTCAACATGGTAAAGGCCTGCAAACGCTCCGCTTATTTCGAGGTTCGTTCTTAGATCATGGACTTGCTTGTCGAGGTTATGTGGATGGTGGTGTGACTTCATTTGATGCTTTTCAGCACATGTCAGGTAGATAAGCACTGCCCTTGCTACCTAAACAAGAAGGTCGAACATGCAGACTATAGCCCAAGAAGTGGTTACGGCCACTGGTGATGCAGGGTGACCCTTCAAGTTGTCAGCCGTGTGATCATCGATACACTTACGGCCTTTCCGTTGGACCTTTTTGTTGGTAGCGAATTATCGAGGATAGTCATCAAATGGAAAAGTGCGGCACTCCAAGCTCGACACGATGTCGTACAATTTTCATTAGGACGCCACAAGTTTACAACCCTTACAGGTTAACGTTGCCCTGCAAGTATAATACATTGGCGATCGGCGGCCTCTCCCTCACTCTTTGAAATCGCCATTTGACCCGCAGTTTCATGTCGGAACTAGAAGAATCTCTCTATGCTCTTAACTGGAATGACACCATATCAGGTTCGTCAGCCTTGTTGGCAATGAATCATTGTGCTGAACTTCATCGTTTTCTAGTTACAGTCATTACCCTGATATCCTATGAGTACAGTCAGTAGCTTTCATGAACCCTGCAGTGCGGCTGAGCAAGATATTATTTAGTACTTCAATTCGACAAAGAGGTAACGAGGAGCTCGTTTTGTCTTTGTTGAGTACTCATGATCATATCATCACAGGTCACGTTTGTTTGGGTCAGAGCTCAACCCCTAATGAAATCAAAATCCGGAACTGACTGGATATGCAGGAAAGACAGTGGTCAGTGATGACATATCTGTACCTTGCCGTGAGCTCCACCCTGTCAAAGTGCTTCATGGTTTCCCATTTTTGTTGCGATGTCAGGTTCGATATTTTGGTATTTTCCTTGCAATGTACGTCGTGGTGGTGACATCCTTCTGCTGGTACATTGTATGTTGATACTGACGGCTAGGATTTGTTCCTACTGTACGTGACGTGATACCAACTGGGCCGCCATCAACTAACTAGCGCTAGGGGGAGGTCTATTTTATATTCCTGAAACAGTGAGTGTATCGATTCTTTCTTCAGAGAATTCTAGGTTGACCCAGATTCAGCCGTACGTCAAAAATTCGTTTTACAGCTAAGTCTGATCTGCTGTTGACCTCTTCTTGTTTAGTTGTGAGTACATCGTATTCAACTGAAACTAGTTTTGCTCATCATGAAATTGAAATAGGTCATGTCATGTTCCTGTTAATGCAATGGAGTTATTCCGTATATTTTTGCTTGGCGGAAGGTAAGCCACGGTCATATGGATACATCTTGTACCTTTGCCCGTACCCATTTTGCATTTGCAGTCATTCTCATCTGGCGTCTTTACGCCCTATACAGCCAATCCAAGCCCTTACTTTATGTTCTACTGGGGTTGTTCCTACCTGTCGTCGCGACCTATATAGGGGTAGATATATTTTTATGGAGTCGACCCTCAGCGATCTCAGGTAGATTTCTACTTTGATCGAATTCTTTGCAAGTTGATGCCTTGGTTCATAGTGCAAGAAATAGCGGTAACTCCAAACATCAAGTACTGCACGACTGTCTTCCACGTCGGGCCTATGCCTGCGGTATATGCTTCCATCCCCATCATATGCTATGATATTTTCCTGGTTGTTCTTGCCATTATTGTCCTCGCGAGGCACCTGAGAGAACGGAAGGGACTTAGAATGAAACCTAACGCCTATGTAGTCATGATCGTCCGGTATCATGTCATGTACTTTATCCTGTAAGTTCCCCTTCGTTTGCTGTGTTCTCTGAAAGCATTCATCGAGTCACACTAGGAATTTGACAAGTCAAATCGTCATGGCGATGCTGTGGGCCGACCTTTCGGTATGATCTCGCGCAATTCTAGAGAGGTATGCTCTAATGCAGGCATGCACAGACGGTAGCGATGAGTCTCGTACTGTTGTTCAACAATACTGCGCCATTTATTATCGTGCCACGTCTTATCATCAGCATTTGGGATACGCATGCCAATGATAACTGTGTACAAGTCAGTGTGTCATTCGAGGATTGCGTTTGTTGGACTTCGCCACCGACATTGGAGCAGCAGGAGATGGACTCCTCCGTATGATGTTCCAACTTGAGGAAGGAGGTAGAGTAAAATCCTTCACTCAGGCTCTCGTCCTAGCAAAATTCTCTACTACTCCATGAGAGTAAGTAGTCTAGGGCCCAATTTTTCTGCGTAACTATGTACTATCATGTCTATAAAGTCCCACCATATATAGAGCTTGTGTGTAATAGCTAGGTGTAAAAGTGCGACCTACCATAATTTATTTTAAAGGACTCGGTATGCTCTTGGATCAAGACTCTAACTTCGAGAATGTTGTGAAGGCAATCATGGAACTTTATAGGAGAAATATACAGCTGTTTGCAGGATATTAGGCACGACAGCGTTGTTTGAATTTCAATTCATGTCTGATCGGATCTGTAGCCTAGTAGAATGTTCCCCCAGCAAGTATCTTGTGGGCAGCGGCCGCAGCGCGGTCATTTTCGTCCCATCGATATCGTAGATCGCAATCGATCGGGACCATCGGAAGTTATAAACTTGTAGTGAATCCGTCAGTTGCCCGAGTCACTACCGGGCCAACTCCGGGTCTCCAGAGTCCTAACTAGTGTAACTGTATCGATGAGCCCCCAAGTTACTGACCCCCTCTTTAGGGGTCAGCTGAGATCCGGGCAGCGAGGCATGTTTCGCATGTGTTGCACATTTATACTTGACCAGCTATCATCATCGGTGCACGGCTGCAGTGACATTGATACATCTGAGCCTTACGGTACTCCAGCCTATACGCCAGAACCCTCTTCGTGCTCACAATATCCACTGGCAAGCCGGTGCTCTCTTGGAGATGCCAGTCGAACCCCACGGTACCACTACTCTTCATACTGAAGGAGATTTTGCCATACCGAACATAGGTCAGTGTTCGATACGCATGACCAGTGTTGTGTTGATTGTAGCAAAGCTCTCCAACTTGACAAGTGAAGTAGACGCCGGGCTGAGCTAGAATTAGTACTTACCTTGCACCATGACGCCATCTTTCATTGGAAACCTTACTGATTTTTTGGCTTGTTCGGCAGGCAAGAAACGATTGTCCTTGAAGCTTGGATCTTCTTTCTTTCTCTTTGGACTCATAAACAATGGTGCGCCATTTTGTTTTATTTTCCAAACGACTGCTCTCATCATTGCAAAGTACTCTATGTCATCATACTTTCGGCTGCGCTTGACCTCGTCCCTCCGTCAACACCCAAGGGCATAATTGCCTTTTGTAATATTGCTCCAGCCTTAATTGCGAAGCTCGGGTGGCCGTACTTTCTCAAAGGTCGCATACGTTATGCCCGACGCATTGTCGGCTGCTGCACGTTAAGCTTTATAGGCATGCTGGTAACCTGACTCCAGACTTACTTTGAAAATCACAATTCATGCAACACACAGGTCGTTGCCTTCCATGAAAGCCTGTATTCGAGGCTGCTGGGAATATGTCTCGCATCGTTTTCGTCGGGTGAGCCCACACATTCGTCATGCACACCCGTTTCTCACGTGAACGACAAATTGTAGGTCTGGGAGAAATGACCTTCTTGCAACTTTCGACAACATACAGCCGCTCGGTAGGAGGTCGAAGTGTTGGGTCTGCATTGTCTCATCCTTCAAGCTATTCCATGTTGATTCCACTTGACAGGTACTTCGCCTCAGGTACTGGAGCTGCAGGTATTGTCGGAGCATTCATGTGGTGGGAACTCAGGGGACTGGGTATCAGTACTGGTGTTGGCATCTCGGCGGTAACAATATAGACATATAGCGGATAAAACAATCGCTCATATCTCATCACAGGTTCTCCCATTCATCCTTCCTCTAGCATACTTTTTTCTGCTCCCCCGTCCAGCAGCATTCGTCCATCAGTCATTTTCTGCGTCATACACGCTCGTCCCTGCAGACGACCTCGAGACTGAAATTGATGATCTGTCTCAAGATGACGTAGAATCTCGCGTAGAGCCCAAGGTTACCGTCAGCTTATCAGCCGCGGATAAATGGCGTCTAGTCAAACCGATGCTATTGAAGTATATGCTTCCACTATGTGAGCAGTCTTTATTACTCGTGACTCTTATGTGTCTAATAATTTGCCACTAGTTTGCGTTTATACTGTGAGTAGTCAATGTTTCTTAGGCGCAGAGCCTGCCTTCTGATCTGCACAACCTAGTTCGAGTATACTATCAATCAGGTACGTTATCCCTATTCTTGTACTTCTAGTCTTTCTGACCACATGCAGGGTGTCGCACCGACTTTATTATATCCCGTTCCGTCACATGGTCTCATTAGCAAGATTATTCATTCCGTCCGCGACTACTATCCACTTTGGCAGGTTTGCATAATAATCTGCCGTGATCCTGAAACACATTCTGATAACGACCTTTTCATAGCTAGTCTACCAAACCACGGTCTTTTTCTCTCGTTCAAGCATATCTCTGGGCTTGAAAACCCTTCCGGCCCGTCTCCTCCCTGCTCCGGCCATCATCCAGTTCGTGATACTGCTTCTGCTAGTTCTCGAATCCGCTGTCGGGCTACTTCCGGAAGATCGTGAGGGGGGAAGTATATTCCTGGTTTTCATGCTCATCAGCATTGAAGGCGTGTGCGGCGGTTTGGCATAGTGTGTCTTATTTTTGTCCAGATAGAAGCTGTTGATCTGATTGAGTGATTGCTAGCGTCAACGTGTTCTATCGTATCAATCAAGAGCAACCGGATCCGGCCTCAGCGCACAATCCTGAGATCACAAAGCAAGAGCGGGAATTTAAGATAGGTTCTATTGGTTTTGCCGATAGCTCGGGGATTTTACTAGCTTCGATTCTCGCTGTACCAACAGAAATGGAGCTTTGTAGAGCGCAAGTTGCAAGGGGCAAGTACTTATGTCGGGGGCTCTAGATCCGCGATCCGTGGAGGACATACATGTTACATTAATCAGATACATGGGATCAGATATAGTTTATATACAACATTTTGAGCAGTAATGATACACATTGCGCTGCAGGTACCACGAAACCGAAATGAATGCTAGATAGCCAAATGAGAGCGTTTGAACACAAATCTGAACGAGCGGAGAAGGTGCATATTCTATGTCGGCCGACGCGGCGAGCCGACGTAAACGTTAAATGACTGCCACGTCTCTTGCAGATGCTGCTGGGTAAGTGACAGGTATTCTGCACCGGGTGCAGGAGCTTGAGTTTGTTGGGAGGTTTGATACTCATTGTCATAGTACGAGGACTGGTAATACATAGTGCTTTCCTGCGCCTGATATGACTGCTGTGCAGATTCCCAATACGATTGGGAGGATCTTGCGTTGTAGTCACCAGGTGCGTGAGGATTCGCAGTGCTGGATGATGATGACTGATGTGGATCATGAATATAATGACCAGGTTGTTCCTGGCTATAGTATTGCTGGTGCTGGGGATGTTGCTGACGAGGGTCCGCATGGTATTGGGTATTGTCAGGCTGGTGATGGTGAGATTGTGGCAGCGGCTGAGCGTACTGCGGCTCATGCTGATAGCGCTTGCCCTTGATTGCCAGACGAGTACACAGGTTCCCGGCGCTGATTCTCACTTTGGAAAGACTTCTGTGCCTCGACCAGTTGAGAAAATCCATGCGACGAGGCGGGAAAGTGGTTATGGTATCCTTGTGGCGGCTGTGTAACTGGGTGCAGCTGGTGCTGGGCCGGCTGGGCTTGATGTGTGCCCTCGTGCATACTGGTCATTCTACGTAATTCCTCAGTAGACTCAGGCACCACGAAAGCGTCGTCTTCTGTGTAATATGCGTCTCGTTCAGCATTATGAAGCTGAGCATTGAGATCCCCCTCGAAACTGCTCCACTGCTCGCGCAGCGATGGATGAATGTTGCTAAATGCCTGCGGGGGAGCGCCTTCTACTTGCACCGGTTGACTCAGATTGGTGATGTTTCCAGGTGAATGGCTCGACCGTCCTGAAGATGGTGGCACGGGGGCCTTCGTGGCAATCTTGTTGATTTGCCCACTGAAAATCGAAAGTTCATCCTTCGACTTCGTTGGACCGGTGTTCGAGAAGATATCTCGTCGAGTCACGGTAGGGGTGGCAGTACTGTATGCCTGCTCAGCTTTCTGCAACAGCCTCTCAAGGATAGGCTATGAAGGCATTGTCGTTAGCATGGATTGTCTGGTGTTCAGTATGCCAGTGCTAGTGCTGACGTACAAGGAATTTTCCAGCTCGACCTCCGAAAACAGATGCTTCTTTGAAAAGACTAACAGCGCGTCGCAGCTCGGTCAAGGCTGCAGTGGTGACCTTCGACCGAGAACCGCTTCCAGATGCATGCGTAACGACGGAAGATAGCATCACCTAAGTATGTTGGAGAATCAACACGGTATTCAGGACGGTTATGCTGGCGAGGTGTGCTCACGGATGAGGAGAATGCATGGGTCCATAAAACCCAGAAGCGGGCGATCTGTGCTGGGAACAAGTCGAACTGCGTACGAAGACCGCTGATCAGTTCACAGGCACTGCGGTACCCTGCAAGGAACGATGGGGCAAATGGGCTGCTCATGGGGTTTGTGGGGTTGTTTGATACAGCTTCCGCAAAAAAGCATCGATGAACATATAGCAGAGCTGCGACGAACTCAGAAATTCCTTTGATGTTAGACTGTACTGGAATTTGCTTACTAAGGTGCCGGTAGTTACGAGGCATGTAATGCTTCATCGCTTCCCCAAGTTCAGCACCTTCTCTGGGAGGTCGCTGGGCGTATTTTGGAAGCTCCATGTCACGAATCTTGCGATCCAGCTCGATGACAACAGAATACTTCGGCACCTTTGCCGTTTGTGCATGTTGGATAACTGCAGATATGCAATGGAAACCAAAACGAGCCTTCCATGCCGGGACTGAGTTTATTATCATTCAGACCAGCATACGAAAGAGAAGAAAATAGGACCTACAGCTTAGCAAAACACTTCCGTCTTCATCCACCGTGGAATCGGGGTCATTAGGTAGCTCACAGTCTATAAAAGGCAGGTAAAACGTAGCAAGACGACCTGTGGCCAAGGACTTTGTGAAGGTTAATAACACCCGACAGAATTACGAAGACAAGAATTACCTGCCACCCGTCTGTGATGAATAGCTCCCAGAACAGCGCACGGCGCTTTTGCACCTCTTGTGGAGGTAGCTGCCAGCGGGCGCAATCACGGTCTGGCGGTAGATGATGAGCTGATTTGACCGATGATATAAATGATCGAATTACTGACGCAGTCCAATCTATATAGCACAGCGTCAAGATAAATAGAAACAAGAAACCAATGCCGCTTACGCTCTGAGCTAACTTCGTTGCAAGTCCAAAGATTCCCCAGGTGCTCTCAATACTGTTTTCTCCACTGCAAAGGCCTTGATAAATTGCGAGTAAAGCCAGCGTCTGAATGGTTGCCACTGATGGTGGACGATCAAGTACGGGCTCCAAGTTTAGGGCAGCGCGCGTAAGTTTGAAATACATGTCGGCTTCCTCGTTGTCTGGCGCAGGGGGCAATCTGTGATCCGTCAGTGCCCCAAAGCAGAAAATCACGAACATCAAGGCGAGTTCATGAGGACCTTTGCTCAAAGCATCATTCCCCGAGGTCACTGGTGGCGCCACGGAACCCAAATAGATGAGGTCTGATGCCTCTGCATACCATAAAGGAAGGTTCTCCTCCATTAGTTGCCGCTTTGTAACCGCTCCAAAGAACCACGGTGCTTGCTGGAGATACAGTTCACTCAAGTGACGAGCACGATGCCAAGGAGGTAGATGATTTTGAATGAGGTAGTTGAGATCAACCTCGTCATTGAACACTGGAGCCAGAGGGAAAGACTTCGACAGATGGTTGACACTGAAAGGTAGACGCCCAGTGTGTTGTGTCCTGTCGCCTGGACTAAAATCAGGTGTCGATGACACAGCAGACTCTCCCTGTGGCACATATTAGTCTGGCGGTATTGTTGACAGGACCTTCATAACATACAATGAGCAGGCTCTAAGGTATTGTTGTGATGCAATCAGCCGTTGTAAAGAAGGCTGATAATGCAATGCTCACCTCCGAACCGGCGGATGGGCCATAGAAAGTTGCGGCTCCATCATCCCGTATGGCGAGCGTCCCAAAAGATTCGATGTATTGTGAGTCATCATCGACCTCCTGCTTGGATTTACCTGCCGTTTCCTCATCCACAGCAGCGTGCAAATCTATGATTGATTTAATGTCGAGAAGGTCTCTATGCAGAAGTGGGTGTTGTTCGCCAGGACTAGCTTGCAACATAGAAAGTGCATCTTCAAGTTGACGAATCCTGTCACTCATTTGTGCAATCTTCTGATGTAATTTTTCTGTATCTGCTAGCACAAACCTGAAACGAGGAATGACATTGATATGGAGTCTTCAGCCACCTACATGGCTCACAGGAGACTTACCGAGTTCCCTGACCAGTCGTGAGGGAACCTAGCGCCCATGGCCTTGATAAGAGGCATCTTATAGCAGATTGACACGTGCACATACCATTGGGACAAATGGCCGAGCAGCCTCTGCGTTTGCATGAAGAACACGGAACGGTTTTGTCGCATTTCAATTTGAGTCTAGCCGCAACAAATGAGGAGGAAACTAATCGAAACTGGAGCACTCACCTTCTACACTCGGCGCATGACATAGCGCCTCGGCTTCTCTTCTGCTCCTTGTCCATGGCCTTTTGGGCCTCCCTGGAGTCAGGCTGACGAGCATTTCCACGGGATGCTTGAGGCATGACTTTAGGCCCAGCGGGTATCTGACGCAACCGAGATGCGTAGAGCTGGGCAAAGGAAGAAAGGAAAAGGAGGTTGCAAGGGACCTTGCATTGTGTCCGTCCCTAACTTTAAGTCTTTTCGTCGAAATGGAATTACATATAGTCACGTTTTACGTAATGTTGCTTCCACTCTCACATTTACTATTTTATCTTCCGAAACTTGTCCCGAGAGGGTACCGTACTAAAACTCCCCTCAGATATACAAGTCAAAGCTGGGACAACAGCAACTCACCTTTCAACTCTGGTTGTCGGCTTTTTTGGAATACATTTCGGTGCTGTTATGGACCTGGTGCTGGATGCTGTTGGATCCAGATTCATCCAGCTTCGTCATGTCAGCATGACATGTAAACGTCCAAAATCAGATAAGCTGAACCGTACACGTTTTCGCCCATATGCACTCTTTTCTCAGGCCGGATATGCTGAGCCATCGACCAAAAGGTGTGGTGTCATATGTATTTTGTGCACTCATCCACAGTCAAGTGATGCAGGGACCCAGGGACCATTATGAGTCAAGATTCGTTATCACTGCCACTGCGGATATTCCACCTGAAGTTAGTACGTACGATGTGTTCATATAAACGCTCACTGTTGCCAACCTCCAGGTCTTAGAGCGACCTCAAGACGTATTCTCCTCGGCTTGTTCCACTGTCACCCTGCCGCCTACGACGGAGAAAAGGAGAAGTTACCTACTAAGGCTCTTATTTGATTGTGGTCCAAATTTGATCCGATCAGATTGTCTGGTGCGAACTCGAACGTTGTCTATCGCAAATTTGGTGCTTCCCTTAATCAACGGCGATTTATGTACGTGCTTCAAACGTTCAGCTATTACTTGACGGTGCTCCAGCAGACAGGCAAATAAATATTACGATGGTATGTATAGATTGCACATGAAAGGATACGAGCATGATCAGAATTACCGAGTACGTACCGAGTTATGTACGTCCCGTGCAAATGTAAATATGACTATCATCACTATGATACAGATTCCCAGAATGATCAAGCTACCAACTAATCTGACTTTCCGCCTTTGCTTGGCGCTGCGCTTCCCCAGCCAAACCAACTGGCAGCCTTCTTTGCCTCAGGCCTGTCACGAGCCTCCCGACCAGAGTCACCATCAACATCATACCCCTCTGCATCGCTTGGGACGTCTACTTCCTCAAATCGCCCAACAAAGCTGGACCCACGCTCCCGTAACTCAGAGTCTGAAGACGCACGGGAGGGTAGCTGGACAGAGCCTGAAGCGGGGGGAGTCAAGACAACAGGACGCTCTGCCGAATTGATGAACGCAAGTTCAGCTTCAAGCTCGCGCCTGCGATCTTTCAAGGAGCCCTGATGACCTGCATCAGAACGCCTTGTGAAGGTGTTTGCGGGAGTATTCCAGGCTTGGTCAGCAGATGGTCCTGCTGCCGCAGCACCTTGACGCAGCAGTGCTGTGCCAGAAGCGACGATCGTAGGGCCGTATGAGTGCCAGAGCCCCATTGCAAGACGAGTGGGCCCTGACGCCGGGCCAGCCAAAGTTGGAGGTACACCGGTGTCTGTCACCTCGCCTGCAGGGGTGAAATGGGCCTGTTGCTGTTGACCGATTGCTGCAGCGAGTGCGTCCCATAAGATGCGAAATCTTTGTTGGATGAAGGCATAAATCCGAATTTTAAAAGATGCGAGCGTCGCATCGATCTGGGATTCATGAGTGTGAAAGAATGGTTCAAGATAGTTGATGTAGAGGTAGGATGAGCCGCACGTTTGCGGGAGTGCTAGATATAGAAGAAATATGGTCTTCATGAGGTAGTAGAATGGTACCCTATTACATGTGCAAGGGGTATATCAAAACCTCAGCAGTGATACTATCGATGTAAACCGACTGACCATGAAACAAGCCACTCTGCGGCGTACTCGACGCCGACGGTACATCCAAGCACCGACCAGTACATGAGCCAACGCTCCAAATCCGCCTCGGAGGCTGGTCTCTGGGAAAGGGTTTTGTAGGACGCATAGCCAGGATAAAGAAAAACGACAACCGAACTAAACATTCCATCGGTATGTAGCTCTCTGGATATCTATGAAGACATACCTAATCACGCAAGATGTGAAATAGAAGAGCATGGTGTGCAGTGTCTCAGAACAAAAATCAGTGCACTTGTACGCAGTGCCACCAGGGTACAACGTTAATTATTAATAATCCCTTTACATAGAATGATTACATCATCAACTGCATTTCAATGATCTTTGTGCCACAGACGCGTCCCTTCAGGTCTCTTCACGTCTAACAGATTGAACTTGGACAACGTCAAGAGACGTTGAGTGCTGAAAGTTAATCTGTCGTCTCTAACTTCACTTTCCAACATGCCTCGGCGTAAGAGGAAGTCACGTTTCACGCGTAAGAAAGCAACAAAGGCAAGGTGTATAATCGGCATACCCACCGATAGCGAATGGAAAACGATGCAAAATTTTGCCTCGTTTGTAGGTACGATATCTTCACTGTTTTGTTTTTCAACTTGACTGTGACGTGGTGGCTGGTTTGGATTTTAGTCGCTGATGAAGAGGGGGACCCGCATAAATTTTCCACTCAAGAAACGTTCGTGTCTGACTTTACAGTAAGACGTAACAAACACTGACATTCAACAGCGCATTTATTCTACCAGAAGGGGTGCTTCCGGACAAAATGCATCATCCAACTGCATATTGGATTGGTAAAATCAAACAAATTAGGGCAAGAAACGAAGAAGATGTATGTCTCGCCACTGACTCTGGTATTATCTTCGCTCAGCCATGACGCAGGTATGGGTTCTCGTACAGTGGTTCTGGTCGCCTCAGGAAGTCAACTCTGTAATCAAGTCCTTGTAAGTGTACGGAGAATTGACATCTGAACAATATGTTCTGAAGTATCAAAGTGATGTCAGTGACTGTGGCCAATATGAACGAATCATGTCAGATTACTATGATTATGTATCTACGGCAAGTTTCTGTGGTAAATTTCTGTTTCTCGTGTTACATCATCAGTTTGAACTCTGTCTATGTAGATCATGCAACTGTCGTGAGATACGATGAACGCGCTGTCGACCAAGGGGTGTTCGACTCTGATGAATTCTACTGTCGATTTGACTTGGAATACCGCGCTCGGAAAATCCACGTGAGTGTACATCGGTTACTTGAAGTGGAAGTGATAATATCATCCCTTTAACAGCCGAATGTTACGCGTACTGCTTGTTGTTGCGGTGTATCTTACAATCCCGATCGAGACCCAGTAATGCATTTCTGCCCGCGTCCAGCTTGCCGCGCAGCCTTCCATCAAGAGTGTCTGAAAAGACCGACACAAAAATTAAATGCAGCTGCCAGGGCCCGAAAGTTTATCGAAAGTTGGCCCGATACAGATGAAAAGCTATCTATCGAAGACTTAGTCGGCACACGATCATGCCGTAAAAGAAGAAAGGGACTTGAATCTTCGATATCAGATCCTCTTGAGCAATTTCCGGAAGAGCTTGTCAAGGCGGCTCAGCAACAGATTGTAAAAGGTGTGCAAGCGGGGGGGTTGTCGGGAATGTGAGAGCGGTGGTGGCGGCTCGCCAACTGATCTACCGCAGCTTGCTTGACGATTCTTCTTTACCTACTGACTGGGAGGATAAGGTGGACGTCGAAGCAGCTATTCCCCCGAAGAGGAAGAGCTCTCTCGTGTTTGTGTGCCCCCAGTGCCAGAGTCTTATTTGATACCAAGGACATTACGGAGGGCTCTCGCATTGATATGCTACTCATCCTGCCCAAATACCGATACCTTTTCATTCTGCACAGGCTGCTTAATCTAGACAACTACTCATGTAGCATATTCACGCCCACACAGTACTATACTCTGTATAAATACATAGCCAAATAAATCGTGATTGTCAATCTCCTGTTGCTCAGCTTAGACTCTCAGGGGCATGGTATGACGCAATCCTAGTTCCTTTGAAATGACCTGAAACCTGCCATCTACGTAGGTACCGCTAACTACTATGCCCAAGAGCACGACTGCGAAGAGTACAGCAGCCAAGGCAAGTAGATACACTCTTGCTTTGAACCCATCCCATAACAACATGCATTTAATTTGGTCAGCCACCATACAAGTTAAGGTCTGCTGGTACGAAATGGGGCATTCCCCGCCACAGTTCAGAAGATTCCACCGCAACTCCGGCTAGTATGACTGAGGAACAGCCTACAGAATTGAAAGTGAAAGTGAGAAATATTTCTAGGCTGAGAATATCGAATTCATATGGATGTACAGGTCTCCCGACTGGAGTCAGTCAAGAAGGGTATTCCGGACAAATTTTGGGGCAAGCTACATCCTAAAGCTCTATCCGAGGGTGCTGCAGGTACTGGTGTGGCTAAACCAATATCGGGAGGAAAGGAGCCCTTGCAGAAAGCGAAGACGATGCCTGTCAGGGCCACCGAAAGGGGCTTTCAACTTGAAGTTTATGAACAAGATTGCAAAATTACCACTACATGCGAGTTTGACTCGGGTGATGGATGGGATCCTGGCGAATTTGAGGAATGGATTGCTAGGGAAATTGAAGAGAGAGCGGCTGAAGCTGGCATGTCGACTGAGGATTGGATTGCCAGCCAATGCGGTGATGATGAATGGTACTCCGATGGATTTGAACAGGGAGCATTCGATGGCATGTCGAAGGACGATGCTGATGCGAAGAGTGAGCAAATTTCTCCTTGTCATTTCACTGTCGACTCACCAGTGTGCCCTTGCAGTGACCCAGATCTTCCGTTCGTGTCGGCAGTGAACATGCCAGCGTAGACCTCACACGAACAGAATCAACCAAGTCAAGAGCAAAACAGTATATATATGCTCAATCCGTGTATATGCACATATGCTTTTGTCAGATATTATGAAATTTCAACCAAATGAGCATGCCAAGTCCCTTGAATGTAATCGTCCTGGTCCATAATCTCACACCGCAGAAAATTCAATCACACTCGCTCCCGCTCTGCGGAATCCTTGTGACTCTGCGTCTGCTTGCTCGAGATGGAATGACGGTACTGTTGGAAACCTTTTTCTTGCGCTTGCGTTCCGTCTCGCGGGTATTGAGTCGTACACCATATCTAGAGAGTTGCTAGAAATCCGACAAATTGTCAATCAAAAGTTGCTTCTGAAAGGGTACCCGGTTACCTTGGATAGCTCTGTTGAAGGTTGTAAACCAGGAAATTCTTTGGTTGAATATATGTGGAATGAACCGCCATAGCACTCAGCCTGCACTGGCACATCTACTAGACCTGCCGTGCGCGAAAAGAGATCGAAAATGCGGTAGCGGAGGAAGAAGTCGCCCTCGATTCTCACCGCAAGGTCCTGTATTGGTGTACGTATCATGTGAGAGCAAGTTCCCGACTATGATGAAAGACGTACAGCAAATGGAAAGACAAGAGCTCTCTTGCCTCCATAGTCTATACAAGCCGGCTGAACGAAGGTGGCACCTGAGAGTGCCATAGTACATTTCATGTGTTCAGGAATTTGGAATGGGTCGTGATGGACATAGGGAGGAAGGTGGGGGAGCTTAGCATCTGACACAGGAATCCTACTCGAACTGCTTAAGGGAGGTAATTGATCGGTGGACGAGATTGAAGGTAGTGAGTAGCCGCCAGAGGGGGGGCGAACGGGTTGGACTACTGGCGAAAGTTGGTGAGGGAGACGGGGGAGGGAGCCTGGCTCCGATGAGCTATCAGGCTGAGTAGACACTGGAAACAGGTCGACATTGCAAAGTAATCCAAGGTTTTGTATCTCGCTGTAAAAGATAATAAATATCGCAGCAGAACCAGGAATCCTGGGCGGTAACAACTTACTCGTAGTCTTGAACTTCGTGTTCGGATTCATGGTCACCCTCATTGTGTATGTAGTATAACCTGAGTTGGACCACTGGTGGTGGATCGAGAGGGCGTCGGTCTACACGAGCGTACCTGCATGCATGGTCAGCCGCATGGAAACGGGTGAAAGAGGCACCGTTTTCACTTTCGTCCTAGGTCTGCTTTCTGTATCTCCACGAGCTTAGCACGCACGCATCTTCCTCGGAATTGGCCAGAACTGAAATTGATGGGTGAGTTGATGTATGATAGAGTCGTTCGACGTGTTGACTGGTGCATTATGTGCTGGCAGCCCAGGTGGGCGAATAAGACGGATTGTGTTTGAAAGAGACGTAAGCTTCGATGATACTGCAGTACCCTAAAATCGGCGTTAGCGTGTACGATGTTCTACAATGTGGAGTTCCCCTCAGTTCGAGGATCTTCGGGGTAAGACGCTGAATGGAGACGCAATTCCCATTTGCGTGACGTTACTCCAATCGTGTTAAAGTTCCAGCTACCACTTGCACAGTGGACTGAACTGAATGCAGAGGCATGGATGGATCGCATGCTCCCTCCTAACAAGTCGTAAAAATGGCTCTTATTACCACCATGGCGTCATTGTCAAGCATCCGTTTCACCCGGCGCTTTGGCGCACTTTCATGGAACCAGCAACATGGCGGGGACCCACGTGTCAACGTTGGAAAAATCGTCGCGTACCCACAGATCTCAGGCTCTATTTCTGTGTCTGCGAATCCTAATTAAACGTGGACTAGATCACTTCCAGGTTAAGGTAAAACCGAGTGGGTCAATCACTGCCGTTCCAGCGTTGGAACACGCTGGACATGGGCTCCGAGTCGGACTCGGAGGTCGTCCCATTAATTCAAAAGGCATGCCTTCTACAATTTAATGTCGCCTACGAACATTCTCCGTGGTAAGAAATCTATGCCGAAACGTATTGGTCGCGCTGGACTGGATTTAAAATGTTTTCAAAGCTCCGATATCTTTCGTACAACTATGGTCATTCTGAGTTACTCGACAGACGTATCAGTGTGTCACAGGTAAGTTTCAGAACTTTGTGTTTTTGTATTCTTGCTTATCTCCCGTCGAAGCAAGACCCCATACCCAGGAGATAACACATGCGCTATATCCAACTACCGAGACGCATACGACCTGCGGAGGGACGCACATTCTTGGGTGTCACCTACAGTCCTCTCTCGTTTACAAGGCATGCAGCCCAGCTACTAACTCCCCAGTTCTTCTGTCCCCCTCACCCAGCTTGTTCATACTATCATATCCGGTTGCTTTCCACTAACCTCAATTCCATCTTTTATTTCAAATCTTACAACTCGTCGACCTCATACGCTTTACTGCCCTTGTCGCTCTCCCTATCATCACGTCGATCATCCATGGTCCTCCTGCCCCTGCTCCATCCCCGTAGGTCTCTCTCATAAACAACTGAGCAGACGCACTAAATGCACTCGCACTGGTACTCAAGTCGCATTCGGACGTGATATCCCGTCACCCATACGCACTTGGAACATACTTCTGACGGAGGCGATGAGGGTTGGCAAACCCAACACCTACAGTCATCTTGAAACGCGACATCATTGTTCAACTCATCGGAACAGCGGTCAGCGAGCTGCCATGGGATGGAGGTTTGGAAAACCCAACGCCTACAGACCTTAAACGTGACACCACTATTCAACCCGTTGGGCAGCGGTCAACGAGCTTGCATCCCGTCCAACACCTATGGCACTCCTTGACCGTGACACCACTGCTCAGCCCACCGAACCAGCGGTCAACGAGCTGCCATGGGATCGAGCTGGGTATATGATATCGAATGGCCGCCTTTGAACGAGCGAATTTCATGGCCAATCGCATGGATGCTGCAGCTGTCGCTTTGGATCTGTCAATTGCGGGCCTCTTGAAAAAGTATACGAGATCCATGCGGGTGGGCCACTCTAAGATCATTGTAGATGTGGATTCACGTCTTCACAGATTTATTCACATCTCGTCATTTTACGTTTTCTTGCTTGGCCAGGCTGTGTGTGGCGTCGGCTATTTAGCGCATGTGGCTCGAAGGCAACGACACATTTGGGAAGATTGCTCTAGGATAAAAGCCTGGGATTCGGGAGTCCAAAAAATATCAAAGTATCTGGCGTGCGGTAGCTCATATCTAATATAAAAGTGTTCTGGCGCCGGTAGGGCCCTTCTGATCAATTGTAAGCAAGGCACCAAGCCTCAAGGACTCCAGGTGTCAAGATCTGTGGAAATGGAAAAGGAACCTGATAACAACTGAGATGTTCTGACGATATACGGGCGCCCAAGTTTGAGATGCGCACCCCTCGACTCCCAACGTTAGTGGAGGAGGGCTCTTGTCGAACACGATCGGTTTCCCATCCCTCTGCCGGCTTGTGTTCGGGCCTTTTCGGTTACAATCATTTGACACCTTATTTGTCACAGACTTGTCACTCAGTTCTCGCTAAGCCCTTTTTTCCGTCGGTGGGCCACTCCTGCATGGTAAGCTTTCCCTTATGGGATGTTCTAGAGTTTCACATTGACCTCTTTGTTAACATCTCTGTTCGGTACCTGGGTCTTGCCACGGTAATTAATAATAATAATATTTTGTTCATCGACATAAAAACAGGAGCGCACGGTGTGGCTCGGCCTGCCACTTTCAATTCTTCTACCTTTAACTTTTAAGTCACCTTCGGTCATATTAGAGCCAACGACCAAAGGAATATCTATCGATGGGGCTTCAGCGAGGTTGGGAGGTTACATCATCTTTCTGACTGTCAGACTCACTCTGTCCTTAGCTTGCGTGCATGCATTCTTCTGGTCTCTGGCTTCATTAATATTTTTCGTTTGGTGGTGGATCCCGACAGTTTTGGTCAGTTGTTTCTGCGACGACCCTCGCGGGGCGTGAAGGCGAATTTATTTTTATGGACAGACTATTGCATAAAAAGGAGGTTTCAGCACAGTGACTGCGCCCAGTTAAGATCGGACCGCCGAGAAACCTAAATCACAAAAATGTGGTCAGCAGGTTTCGAACCAACTCCAAGAGGAACAGATTTTGACTCTGTTGTGGTAACCACTTGGCTGAGACCAGTTAGATATCCCTCCGAGTAAACTATCAATAAGTGAATGTCAAAGTGTGTTCCGATAGGAAAAAAACTGGCAGGTTTCGAACCTGCACATTCCAAGAAAGGCAGATTTTGATTCTGCTGCGGTAACCACTTGGGTAAGACCAGTTAATATCAACATTTGACGAAACCATCCATGACTGAATGTCAAGGTTTGCTCCGATGGAGAAAAACGCAGGTTTCGAACCTGCGCAATCCAAGAGAAACAGATTTCGATTCTGTTGTGGTACCCTCTTGACTTAGACCAGTTAGATATGCCTCCGAGTAAACTATCAATAAGTGATTGTCAAAATGGGTTCCGATAGGAAAAAAACTGGCAGGTTTCGAACCTGCGCAATCCAAGAGAAACAGATTTCGATTCTGTTGTGGCAACCACTTAGGTAAGACCAGTTAGAGGAACCTCTGACGAAACTATTCATGAGTGAATGTTAAAGTGTGTTCCGATACAAAAGAAACCAGGCAGGTTTCGAACCTGCACAATTCAAGAGAAACAGATTTTAATTCTGTTGTGATAACCACTTGGCTAAGACCAGTTGAGATTAACATTTGACGAAACCATCCATGAATGAAGAGCAAGGTGTGCTCCGATGAAGAAAAACGCAGGTTTCGAACCTGCGCAATCCAAGAGAAACAGATTTTGATTCTGTTGTGGTAACCACCTGGGTAAGACCAGTTAGATGAACCTCTGACGAAACTATCCACGAGCGAATGTCAAGTTGTGTTCGGATAGAAAAAAAGGCGCAGGTTTTGAACCTGCGCAGTCCAAGAGAAACAGATACAGATTTTGATTCTGTTGTGGTAACCACTTAGGTAAGACCAGTTAGATGAACTTCTGACGAAACTATCCATGAGTGAATGTATTGAAGATGTGTTTGGATAGAAAAAACGCAGGTTTCGAACCTGCGCAATCCAAGAGAAACAGATTTTAATTCTGTTGTGGTAACCACTTGGCTAAGACCAGTTAAGATGAACATTTGAACAAACCATTCACGAGTGAATGTCAAGGTGTGTTCCGATAGAAAAAACTGGCAGGTTTCGAACCCGCACATTCCAAGAGAAACAGATTTTGATTCTATTGGGGTAACCACTTGGCTAAGTCCAGTTATACGGACCTCTGGCGAAACTATTCATGAATGAATGTCAAAGTGTGTTCGGATAGAAAAAAAGCGCAGGTTTCGAACCTGCGCAGTTCAAGAGAAACAGATTTCGATTCTGTTATGGTAACCACTTTGGCCAGGATGCCTCCACAGTTGGCATGAACCTCCGATCGAAGAATTGTCCATGAGTGAATGTCAAGATGTGATGAGAAGGAAAATCATTTGTCAGCAAGTTTCCAACCTGCACCACCTAAGAGAGTAGCTTTCTGATCTGTTCTGGTGCTAGTTGGCTATGACTACTCAGGATAGACCTTGAAGGATGCATCCATGCGTGAATGTTCAAGGCGTGGTAAAAAGGGAAAAGATTGCTGAGCAGGTTTCGAACCTGCAAGAGATTTTCTGTCATATCACACTTACCACTTGGTTAGGACAGGGAATGATCACCTGAGAATGGACTGCCAGTGTCCAAGCTCCATATCTGCATCGCAAATATTAATATTGTCTGGCCCGTCTACCAGCAACGTGCTGTCCGTGGAGATGTAAATGCAGGTGATCCACTGGCACCGGCTTTCAAGTCTTCTCCCGATCCCCGCCTCAGACTTTTATTAGTGAAACTTTTAGCTGCTCACCCAAATCGTGATCAACAGCTCGTCGACCATCTCGTATATCGCCTGCTCATAAACATTCCGCGCGGACCGCGCCTCCTTAATTTCATTACCAGCCCGCACGGTGTCCCATCGCCGAATGGTCATGTCCGAGTCAAATCCGCTGATCATTTGCTCGCCGTCCGGAAAGTAGCGAATTGATGAAACATTGTGGCTGACGTATTACTTACCATCAACGTTGTAAGCGACTTGCTGCACGACCCTCCAAGAACATGGCTGGTGTAAAAATAGATTCGTTAGTAATTGCCACTGCATCGGACTGTTTCGAGCTGGAAGCCATTAATAATATTGACAGTGTCTTCGCTGGTGACATTGGCAAGTATAGATGGCAATTCTGTGGGTTCGAGCTTCGAAGGACCATTGGTAAGGTCTGGTTTTGAAGATGCCCGACTTGCTCGAGGGCTGCTGCACTTTCTCCGATGCTGAAGTGTATTATAAGTTCATCCGTGCTGTAGGTTTAGATGGGAGTTTTCATGTTACCACGAAGTTGTTTGAACTTTGCGATCGCCTACTAATGATGATGGGCATCTACCACAAACTTCTTAACCTGTGCATGACACAGCCGCCACAACATGTGCTTTCCCTCGTTCTGGCGCACGATCATACCATCATTTTCGTGTCCGAGCGTCCAAACATCTCGTGGTACCTTACTCCGGAAGCTGGCTATCAAGGAACAACCTCTTCGCTCTGATGTCAACTGGCTTGAAGTTATTATATATGGTTAGTCCAGTAACAATCCAGTAGCGATATGAGCTATCCCGTCCTTGGGGCTGTGTCATGCTCGGTCCGGACGGACTGCTCTTCATATCAATCCAAGCGGCGGTCAGCTTTGTATCAATGCAGGCTCTGGTTTACATAAATTAAGGCTTGACTGCCCAGAGCGCCCAGCTGGTCGTAAGGCGGGGAAACGAATGGAAGCAACATGTATAGTCCCATGTATGAATTAATCGAGCGTGCGGGTCCACCGAGGAGTTTTCGCACAAGTAGTGTCGTTTTGCGGGCCGAATCTTACTGTGAACTCGAATCTTGTCACCGCATTATAATGGGATACCGCCTGGGGCAGCAGGACGGACAACGTATCGACGGTGATGTATTGCAATGATATCGCGTGTGTATGAGTAATGTCAAAATGTGTTCGTGATGGAAGTAATGGTGAATGCGGACGAGCAAAAGTGTTGATATTTCAGGCTATTACATAAATAATGACCCAAAGCCCAAGAAAGATGCTGTGACAGACATGAGAAGCGAAGGCTTTCGGATGTGGGGCAAGCGGTAACCAGACGCTCGAATAACCAGGAACGCCGAAGATACAAACAAAGGGGGGAACTACTCTTACGCCAGTAAGAATACGGAGCTTGTGATAGTTAGAATAATCAGACGTTTAAGTACTTGTTGTGCAACTGGAGAGTCTAGGCCTGAACTCATCCGAATGCCCGACACGAACAAGTCCGATGGCAGAAGTCACAGACACCGCCCTGTTTACTTTGTCCTTTTGACCAAAGCTTGAGTTCGGTCAACAATCGGAAGAGCAAACAAACAATGTTACAACTCACTCAATCGGAATGTCTCGAGACATTTTTTATATTAATGACACAAGTATCGGCGTCATATCTCACGATTGCCCCAAGACCCGCCCCAAGACAGCCACGTTTTCCAGCGTGGGCCTTGAAGGAATCGTGACGGTTGAAAACTTTTGAGCATCCCGTGCCCCTGCAAACCCATGTTACGCCGAAGTGAGCGCTGAGAGTATGCCGTGGTATGGCACTCGCTCGCATCTGCCTGCTGCAACCTAACCAAGGGCAGGTAATTGACCTGTCTCCGCCACTTCGAGCGTCCCCGTGCCACCGCTGTCCGTGACGCATGATGGAGCGTCTGTCCGCTTTAACCCAGAGGCCACAGAGAGAGTCTCCACGATTGCATGCATGGACGTGTATGCAGCTATCGTTGTCCCCGTCCATGAGGTCTTCTTCATCAATGAGAAGACCATCGGCCACGTAAGCCCGAGGGCATCCAGGCTGCTGAATTTGATGCCCGTGGACCAATTGGATTTCGTGCTCCGAATTATGAGATACTTCGTGATCTTGGGAGGGTATATTAGGTAAGGTCGCGCTGCCATCAAGAAGAGGTGGCTGGGCGTTGAAAGGAAGGATAACAGTACTGGAGGATGCCGAAGGAAGAAGGGGCTGTATAGTAGAGGGCAGCTCCAGAGGCAACACAGGATGTTGAACTTGAAGAGCAGCTTGGCCGTTGAGGTCACCAAGTGCAGTTTCGAAGCCAGGAGAGCCTGTTTCAAGGGTTGTTGCTACATGCTCCCAGCGCATGGGACTCGGCGCTTGATAAGGTGGGTACGTGTTCTCGTAAAATTGTGAGGTCACTCTTGCGTCCTGCGGACTGTAGAATCAATATCGAAACAAGCATGAGCGATAAGGCGAACGGTATGCAGACTTGATTACCTCAAGTAATCATTGAAGACAGCATCGGGGAAATGATTTTGGGCAGGTAGGATACGACTAGTGCTGGTGTCAAATAGACCAACAAACGCATATATCGGGATGTGCACCTTATGCGCCAACGATAATGGATGTCCGTAGTGCCGTTGTTAACCTGTACGTCCACAGAGGACGGAAATAATGCATTCCTGTACGAGAAATTGGGGAGGTGAGGACGAAGTTAAGCTTGGCAGAGGACGCTTGCATTAGATTGGCTGGTCCCCCTAGTGCCACCGCCAACTGCTGATAAATGTCGAAAGGAAAATATACAACTACGTTTGCGTTGCAAGGAAGTCCTCTACGAATCGTCAGATCTGATGAATCTAACCAAAGGACATAGTACATACTGGACCGGCGACATATCCTCCTGCATAGGAGAATGGGCAATTGGTACGAGGCCTGGGATGAAGTTGCTGCTTGACATTACGTGGACCAAATTCGTCAAAGAGCAAGGTTAAATGCAGAGGAAAAGATGAGCACTGCATAGTTTATATGACCCATGTTTACGAATGAAGGCGTCCTGATTGTTACACATATTTTAACGTGTAACGCTGGCAAACAACTAGCCAGGCGGCATATATGAATGTAGTACAGTAAGACCGCCTGGTGCAATGGCATGGAAGATTGGAAATGAACCACTCCAATCATTTTGAAATAAAAACGGCCAGCAGTTTCGTAAGTCTCAGAGATGTGATCACTTGAAGGGGTGGCCCAGGTCAGTAGTCGATAAGCAAACATCCATATTATCACTCCCAGTTTAGAACGCCGAATCAGCGATGAAGAGGAGTGATTCTGATCAGTTGCAGTCTTATTGAGGGCGGACTTCCGGGATACTCGCGGGTCCGACCTTGTAGACAACAGATGACTCCATAGGGTAAGAGTCTTTGCATGTTTTGGGGAAGACGGAAATGGGTGTTGGCTATGGTCAGAGCCCTCGAAGAAAGGTAACGTGATTTCGCGGGAGAATGCATGTCCCCTGTTATATACACTTCGGGCATTGCCAGTATGTTCGGAAGATGCCAGGATCATCGGGATTTAAGCTTCAGAACCTAGCTTAGCGTCAAACTGGAGCAAACCAGCTGTACCGGTGTACTTAGTACTATTACTACAGGGTGGCAGGCTGTAATGTTTTCACATCTAATGTGGAAGATTAACTGAAAAAATTAAAAGTGGGTGCGTATGGCACCGTAGGATAGGGGCAGGTTGGCAGGTGCTATTGGCATGTGTACATACAACATGCATGCGAATGGCTGAGCGCTTGTAAAAACCAGTGACAATGTTAATGGCGCTCAGCCATATGCATGCTGTATCAAATTAATGTACCCACACCCTACATGCATGCCATTGCAAGACGAATAATCGACCTTCTACTGATATCAAACTTTAAGCTGCTGCCGCAGCCTGCCACTAGCTCCCATCCAGGCTGCTAAGTACAAGCAATAGTACTACCTTACATTACCATCACACGCTTCTACTGCCGTAACCTCCTATGGCGTCAGCCACCTTTGAACGAGGGAAGTTCGTGGCACTTAAGTGAAATCAGACATTCGGATGGTATTATATGGTATGGGCGCCTAGCAGCAAGTACCCATATGTTGTGTTCGAGCAGATGGTGTGGTTTTGCTTGAAATATCGAGTCATGTATACACGAAAACGTCTCTAGTAAACACGGGGAAAATAAAGTAGACCCTTGGTTGAAGTACTAGCCATGCTGTACAGTCCTTCGGAATGTCCGAGGGGCTTCCAGCCAGCGACGCCAAGTGCATACCTGACACGTTTCCTAGGATCCCTAGACAACGTTCAGTACAAGTGAATTATCTCCCTGAAACGTGCGTGTCAGAGGCCTGACCCTAGATCCCCGAATCAATATCGCCAGTCCTGCAAAAGTATTAGGTTCCCTTCGTCATACATGTGCAACCCAAATATGTGATTTATCAAAGTTCGTAGAAGTTCATATCCGTAGTACATTACACCAGTCGTGTCCATGCAGTACGAGGTAGGTTGAAACGTCAAAACTAGACATATTGAAGTGTTCATGTAAATGTCCAGCACGCGACGGGACCAGAAAAGACTACAAGTAATGGTGGATAATCTATAGAATGCGAATGATATAGATGACAGATGAATTCATTACAGATTATTGCATAGGGTGCAGTTGAATTGAATTCTGTTCCGGAAGGCGGCAGCTGGGGAGCGCTTCAATAAGCAAAAAAAAAATAAGCGGCCATAACGACTTACGAAGGACAATGAGTGCTGTAAATACGACGACGACTATCACATAAACAGTGCCATATTTGATGATCTGGGGCCATGTATGAGCATCCTTTGCTTATCCGCCAAGACTCGAAAACACTCACTATCCAGCGACGCTGCTTTTTCTGCTTCAGAGAATAGAGGGGAGCGCGAATCTGCTTGGAGGGTCGCAACCAGACTAATGCATTATCAGTAATGCACAAAAAATGTTGCAGTAGACAACTCACACAGCAGCATCGCATGCAAACGATCCGCGTACGGGAAAAGAATGGGTGGGGTCAACATGAACAATAGGAAGTGACCAATAAGAAGGTCTGAGCTCCACAGCGATAGCTCGATGATCTTGACAATAAATTCACGGGCGGGTTGTGACATGACATGGGAGCCAAGGCCACGTCCATACCACCGTCCAGTCCACCACGCACGGTTTGTCTCGTCATGCTTGAACTCACGCGATAGGAACACAGCAATGAGAACCTTGTGAACCGCACGCTGGATAGCAATGACTGCGATAATGCCAAGGACTGCGTGTGATGCATTCCACGTCTCAAGGAACCACTTCAATGCCGGACCGGACTGTGTCAGAACTGCTAGGTGGTAGACGTGCTGCAAAAACTCACCAAGAACTCAAAGAAACTTAGCATACCAACGACGCCAAGGAAGTGAGCGGTAGATGCCATGACAGATCCGAATTTCGGGAATGTGGGGTCCATCATTGGACCAAGGAAGATGGATATAATGAACTGCACAAGAAGGACTGCAGCGTTCCATACGATCGGACCAAGGGCAATGATCGCGATTCGGATCAGCGGGTTTGGTGGAATTTTGCCAGTTGTATCGGGGAAGGACTTGACGAAAATGTAGGCAATGGTAAACAGCACCGCCATCACGATAGGGAAGACGACCTCGGAAAATATGACCGCTCTCCAACCGGCGCGTGGAACATCACCCGACATTTTATCTGAAGGGAGACCAAGCTTCTTCTTCTTGTATCCCGTAATCATAGTCCGCGATAGACGACAGTAGCCGATCCAAGAGTTGTTATGCGAGCGCGAATTTCCACGAGACATCCATCTCAAGAATTCCCTACAACACATCCATCAGCGAGGGGGAAAAAAACAAAGGAATCAACTGACCGATAGTCGATCACAAAGTCCGCGAACGCGAACTGATGTGGGTTGAACAAGAAAGGAGCAACGCAAAGGGCAAGAATTGAAAACCAGAAGTAAATTAAGTAAGGCGTCCAAAGTGCCATAGTGACATAGAGAAGACTGATCAAGGTCCTCATGCCCAGGTAAATGCTCGGTCCGGCGAAACGAGAGAAGAGAATGCTAAACGAGATACGAGTAGTTGCGAATCCACGTCCTGTCGCGATGTATCGGGCACCACCGAAGGTCAAGTTGCTGATGATAGAATGCGTGTAGATTTGAGTAGAGAATACCTCAAAGATAGGGGAGAGGGACATGAACTGCTTTCCAAGACGAATAATGGCACGACCCGTCCCACGTTCGACCAGTTCTGTAAAAGCGTCAAAATCGCACCCCACTAAAGACAAGCGAATCGTGCATACCCTGAATGAACAGCGGCAGGAAGGCAATCATGAACACCAAGAAGATACTGATGATGCAACGGTGAATCCAGTCAAATACGGGGGTCAAGTTGTAGCAGCCATCCATGCCAGGTAGAACAGTGCCAGCGGAAGAATACTGACACACCATGATCGAAGAGTTCAACGTTCCCAAGAACACCACTGCATGACACAATCAATTGCAACTCGCGTAGTCGAAAGAGAATACATACTTGTCACAATGAAGCACTGGACGGCCAAGATAACCAACATGTTATTGATGTGGAAACCAGGGTGGCCGTAGTAGAACGTGAGGAAACGGTCGATAGGTAGTTGCGTGCCCATGTAATAGTACTCCCGGCTAAGCATCTGCTCTCCCATACCAGTGCCGATCTTCGTCTGGAAGTTGAGGATGGTACCGAACCCAAGGTCACGACCTTTACCACACTGGTAGTACTCGGTGTGCTTGATACGACCACCACGACCAAAAGCGTTCATGCCAGCATAGATATCCTCGTTAAGGTGCAGACCCTTTTGTGCCTTCGACACGCCACCACGAGTGTTCATGTAGAGCGCGTTCAGGAAATCAGGATGGCCATAGTGAAGCTTTCCACCGATCCATGCCCAAGCACGAGCAGACAGCGTACCGAACGTCTGCTCCTTTCCGGCGGCGAGATCACCAAGGATACCGATGTTCTCCGAGAAGATGTACTCGCGAGCGCCGACGATGGCCACGGGGCTTGTCTTAAACTCTTTATGACCATATTGTGCGTACGGGCTCTGAGTTGACACCGAGTACTCCTCGAACTCGCCCAAGATGTTGCGAATCTTAAGACACTCTTCCAGGTAGTTATCCTGGTTAGCATCAATGAGTTGCAGGTATTCGCCACGATAGAAGATGATCGCGTGATTCTGGTTATCCGACTTGCCGTCACCAAGAATGGGATTACCGGGGAGCTCAATGCGGAAGTTGGGGCGACGACGGCCAGTCTCAGGAATGAATTCAGAGTGGCCATCGATAAGCGCAGAGAACAACCGCGATTCGCCACCTTCCTTGCGCGGTGGCTCCTCATCCAGGTACGCAATCTGAAGATCCGGGTATGCACGCAGCAAGAATTCGGCGTTCTCGTGCTCCTCCTTGTTGAATTTGGAGTACCGCTGCATCGAGACGACAAACTTGAACTTGCGGCGGGCCATGCGTTCAAGCTCACGTTCTAGTTTGTCCGTGTTACCGCCGAACTGCTGCACAACCTCAGGGTTTTCCACGCGGTAGAGCAATTTAATCGCCTTGGCGTAGTTCATCATACCGGAGACTGTACGGTAGAGCGTCTGCGCACGCAGAGAAGCCCAGATACGGGTCCGCAGGGTGAATTCGGGGGCAGCGCTCTTGAAACCGATGCAGTAGAACGGCAGATCATCCATCTTTGACTGACCCTTCTCATCCGTGCCGAAAGGACTCGTGCCGTTGAACATGGCAGACTCCTCGGCCAAAATCTTGGTATCCTTAACGAAATTGTCCCATTCAACGGGGTGGAGCTGCTTCAGGTACTCCAACAGGGTGACACGGGTATTCTGATCTTCCTCACGGATAATCTCCCTCAGCGATAAGAGGATCTAAAAAGTGCTTCGTCGGTACAACTTCGGATAAGAGAAATGAACCACGGACCTTTTCGCTGTAATGTGGCGTCAAGACCGTAAACGCGGGCATAGCATCCACAGGGAGCGGCTCCGGTACAGCAGTCGTGAGTGACTGTGCAAAGAAGGAGATCCGGCGCTCAGCCTCACTCCCCGAAGGGAAGAACTCCCCCTTGAAACCCTTGTCGCTCTGGGAGATGAAGAACGGTGGCGCACGGAGACTGCGTTTGCCATCATGCCCTGAGTCAACCTGGTGGTACAACAGCTTCTGCACGTGCTCAATGGAAAGCAGGTGCTCGCGGTACATGGAAATTATAATCGCGTTCCAAATCTGGGACACCAACACCTATAGAAAAATATCATTAAGGTGCATTCAGGCAACGATCATAGAAAACTGACCTTCGGTTTGTACTTGACCTCCATATCCCTCGTCGCTAGCAGCTTCGCATAGATCCGTTTTGGTAGCCTGGTGTAGATATCCTTCCATGGCGTCCATATCGATAAACCAAGTAAGAACGACCGCGCGATACTGAACACCGTATTCCAAATGATGTACCAAAGGAACGTATCGAGGAAAAACAGCACTAGGTCCATCACGTACATGATAGCCAGCGTGAACGCAGCTTGGTTGGTGCACAGACTGGAGCCAAAGTACCTGTCGCTACAACCCTGGATCTTCATGCCCACCATCACTGCAATGGGATCACGGAAAGAAAGCGTGAGGAAGAAATAGGATTCCGTGGCTTTGCAACCGAAAACAAGTGCCCAAAGCGCGATAGAGCCCAAGCGCGCCTTTGTGTGCAACCCAGGATACGAAGCAGTGAAGGTTTGACTAGCGAGGTATTTCCGCGACTTGCCGGCGACTCTGTCCCCAAACATGCGTCCAGACGGCATAGTCGCGAAGAGGAGCGTGGCAACAACCGAGATGAAGAACTGCACGATACCGAGGATGAGGGCGAGTGAACTCGTGGTCCCGTTGGAGTTATTTTCTGCGATGGCAATGTAGAAGGTGGGTCCACATGTCAGTGCGAGGGTGATAAACAAAAATAGTAAGCGTCGTGAGAGATGAGAGGTATTATTCCAGGTAGTGGGGATATACGAAAACTCTGCGAGAGTTGCTGCGATCATAATGATCGTCGCAACTGCACCTCCGAGCGCGGTGACAGACCATGATAATGCCGGGGAGTTGTAGACTTTATTCAAAGGAAGTGTGATCTGGTATACTTTAGGGGAGTTGAATGCGGTATAGAACCAGTAGAGAGAGATGTGAATGACCCAAATGCGGTTGAAATTGACCAGGAGATGTCCAAAGGAGCGTTTTTCATAGTAGGTTTTGAAGAATGCACGATTCCAGTCAATGCTCTGAAACTTCATAAACCTATGGGGGGGTGGAAGGTCCACAAGTCTCGTCTGAATTGCAAAATCGGTTTAACACACAGCTGTAAGCAGCGAAGCAGCGTACCTTGTCGGTAAGTATGATCCGAGCAATACCTTCTGGATACCAGAAGAGCTGGTTGACATCGTCGTAACCAATGATATCTGCATGGTCTCGCTCCCGCCTCACAAATCGCCCATCAACTACCTCATAGCCTTGGTCCCGAATAAAGCGGTACAAGGGCTTGACGACGGATTTCAGGTATAAACCTTCGGGTACGGGATCCACTTTGTTCTGGCACTCAGGCGAACGGTAATAGTCATCCGCACACTTGAAGATGAAGCACAGACACTCGGGAACAAAGCGCACTTGGGCAGCCTCACCCCAGCAAAGAAGGTACAACGCGATCTGGCGGAGGCGATCGTATTGGCTCATGTTGTTCATGGCCTGACGCCAGCGCTCCATAGCGGTTGCAAGGGATTTCTCATTAGACGAGCGTGCGCCGGCCCTGCGGTTGAGGCGCTGAAGACCAGGATTTTGAACGTGGCCCACGGCGTCATCGAGGTCGAGTTGGGCCGCAAAATACCATTTACGGTAATTCGCATGCTCGCCACCGATGTAATCTGCATGTAGGGTGAGGAGTGCCTGATTGGGCGACATACGGGACGCTCGGCTGTCTAGCAGTTGCATCAAAAAGTCAAACTAGACCAGTTGTCAACATCCACAAGAATTTTTAAGGAAATAAAAGCTACCATGTTCCGCATAGAATCTCGCTGAAAACCGAATTTCTGAGTCAAGTCCAGGAAAATATCTTCTATTTCCTCCTTGGAAAGTGGGATTTGACGTTCGGCTGACCAGGCGGGATATGCCTCACGGGCGCCTGGTGGTCCTGCATATTCGGCCCATGTCGTTGCATTCGAATCTGACATGCCCATTCTCGAAGGTCCTAGGGATTCTGAGGATGCTGGAGGATACCGCTGGGCATAAATGTCGACATCGGAGTCTGTGTCAGGTTGTGCTTTAAAATCACACAGGTGTGAGTATGATAATGGCACAACAAGACGCTCCACAAACCGTATGGGTCGTAGTTGCCGTTGTGGTCATAGTATCGCTCAGTGTCATTGAGGCCATTGTTGCTGCTGTCTGAAGCATAAGTGTCTCTACGACCGTAAGGGTCGACATTGTCGGAGTCGTTGTCGCTGTAAACGTATCTGCGAGGACCACCCGCTGTGGAAGTGAAAGGATCTGCGTGATCTGCTGTTGGCGAGGAAGACTGAGGATACATTTTGACCTCTGTTTTCCTGAGTTAACAGGCCAACAGGAAGGAGAGAGCCGTGGTCAGGAGAAAGAGTGGTGGTGTGAAGAAGAATGAGCGAGGTGCAACCTGGTGTAACGTTTTGGTGCAAACTTCAGGTTGGTGCAATGCCCATCCTGTGAACGGCACCCTGTTTCCCACGTGTAAAACTCCACGATCCAAACCAACTGAACCACTTGCTCGGTTTATCTTTTAATTTTCAGTCATCCTCCAGTGCTAGCTATTCGTGTTCTCTTAAAGTCAACCTGGATTCAATACATACGAGAAATAGGCATGCAATCCGCCACTACTGTATGCACGTGCCCTTTGCAAAAAATAGTCCTCATAACCTCCACGACCCAGGATAGCTTGGGATTAGTTTGCGCAGTCGTGATCCGTGGTCCTCATGACTACGTCAGCCACGTATTAGATTACAACACGACGGACTATCTTTTTTTTGACAACAAATGTCGGAAGATGGCATATGATAAGATACCTAGAACGACAATAAAGATTGATACGGATCTCGCACTGATAATGCCGTTTCATGTTCAACCTAGTTCCATTTGAAATGATCCAAACTTTGCAACGGCGATTAACAGAGCTTACCACTGAGGTGAACGGAGAGAGGATCGGGATCGTAAAGTGCGAGGTACCCTTCGATTTCGGGGAATCACGCAGCAGTATGTAAATCAACGCAAGGAAGAGAAGCATAAAACATGCTACAAGGGCTGCCTGAATGAATAAAGTGAGCTGCACACAGGAACACAAGCAAGTTAATGCAACGCACGACGAACTTTTCGAGCCTGCTCTGCCGTTGTTCGCTCGCCGCAGGAAAGCCGCAAATTGATTCTACGTTCGGTGTCACGATTAATCACCGAGAATATTTTTTGGACAGTGCAATTTGAATACTCACCGTCCGCTTCTCTTCCATCCCTAGCCTCACTTCCGCCATTTCCTTCTGATGCTGAACACGCGTTGTCAGCACCGTTTCAGCCACCAGTGCACGCGCAGCCCAGTACTGCTCGACGAATGTGCGAGGCTTGGCAGCAGCAGGTGAAGAGTACCATGTCGTTTTACGACATTCCAGCATGTTGTTAGATGTAGAGGTTCTTTCCACCACAAGTGAAGCACTCGCGATCTGCATCGTTCTCGATACTGGAGGTTTGCTTTGGACAGACAGCAAACATTGGTTAACGCTAGATCCAGCTGTTTGGGTACTTGACGATGCGCTGTGATACGTGGCTGGTGGCTTGGGCTTTCTAAGCTTGTTCATGGTTGGGCGTAGAGCATGAAGTGCGTAGCAGGCCTAGACCAAGTTGAAATCAAGCGAACCTGCTTTCAATTAAGCATGCCGGCATCTTATTGACATCACAAGGATGGCCTGAGGCCATTGCCAATTTGCCATTAGTTCGAGGAGTCGTTCGTCTTTATCTCAAAGCAATAGCAATAATAGCTGGAAGCTTCCAACGACCTGCTTATAGCATGAGATTGTCTTATATTATGACATGTTCTAAGACAATTGTCAGCTTGTGCTCTTTCTAACCCTGACATGTCTTCATCAACCACCCCAGTACTTCCCTTCGCGCAAACTCTCGCAACCATCTCGCGTTTGGTTACCGATCCTCGATTGTTTGAAGCCACGCATCGGAATCGTGTGTGGATCTGGTCTCAGCACCCTCGTCTCGAGCTTGAAGAATGTGGTGCAACTTCCGTACTCACAACTCCAGGGTTTCGGAGAGAGCACAGGTATGTGTCCAACAAGGACGATCAGGTATCACTGACCTCAGCAAGACCATCCACTAAGTTGTTGGCCAAAAAAGCATGCTCGCGTTCGGACTAATGGGCAAGGATAATGTGCCTGTTGTCGCCATGCTTGGGCGGGTGAGTGAGGCGGAACACCGGTTCGCCAGCGAGTTTATTGAAATATAAATGATAACAGTTCCATCCATACGAGGGCCACAAGCCAATAGTGGTGACGTATGGTATCAGAATCATGAAGAGATTAGGCGTCAAAGATGTTATCAGTAAGTGCGCTTCTGACTAGCAGAACAAATGCCTGATCCAATACAGTAACAAACGCTGCCGGGTCATTGACACCAGATATACCCGTTGGAACAAGTACGATCTTTCATCTATACCAAGCCCAAGGCTGAACGATGTCGCAGTTGTCGTTATTCGCGACCACCTCGCCCTCCCCAACCTAACTGGGATGAACCCCTCGTTCGGACCCCTCATGTCCCAGGAATATGCCCGATTTATTCCTCTGGGTGATGCATACTCCCCTCGCCTACGACGCCTTGCCTTCCTTGCCTCCCACTATCTTAAGTTTGATTCATCTGCACTGGCTGAAGGAACGTATGCCTGGGTGGCAGGTCCTGCATATGAAACCCCTGCCGAGGGCCGTTTCCTGCGCGATGCAGGTGCACACGTAGTCGGTATGAGCACGATACCCGAAGTAGTGGCTGCGCGAGAAGAGAAGCTCGAGGTCATGGTGCTGAGCCTCGTTACTAACACGGTGGTCATCCCTGATACCTACAGGAGTATCAAGGCAGAGGTTGAAGCTGAGGTACGTGATCATGTAAAACAAATACTCCGATAGTGATTACTCCGTCGATGGTGGCCTCTGCAGCTTGCTGGTCAACACGTTGAACTTCCTTCCATGGAGACCGCGTCGCACGAAGAAGTCCTAGAGACTGGGAGACAAAAGGCAGAGGTGATGAGGAGTCTCGTCGAACGGATCGTCGAGCTTGTCCCGGCAAACTTATGAATGGAGTCGGATACTGTAATCAAAACCTACGTTTGGTTCTGAACAAATTTCGACATTAATTGATGTGCTTGAGAAGATTTCCCAAGATATCGTGCCACTTCTGTTGCAAGCGATTAAGTCCTACGGCAGGGTTCAGTATATAAGTTCCTGTCACGGTCTTCGGCCGTCCTTAACTATACCACGAATTCCTCTACTGCATCGACCAAGAGCAGCTGATTATCGTTCGGCAATACAACTCGGAGCATGATACGCTGGCATATGCTCCTAAATCGGCCGTGACGGGGCGCCGTCATTCCATATGCCATACCTAGCCGGGCCAGCCCAAGCAAGGGCTTGAGCTTGAACTTCTACTCTAAGTCAAGGTAAGGTTTTTACAAAGCATCGATTTTCCCCAGCAGCCGCTGGCTCGTTGTTAGCGTGCTCACGACATCCCACGCGCGCACGCCGTGTGCTTCATTTGTATCTTTCAAGCCCACGCTTACAAAAGGCATTAGCATCTGTTTTTGATTCTACCACATACTGGTTCTTTTCTTCCCTTTACTAACTAGCCATGCCAGTTCAAGGAGCTACGCTCTTTACTGCTGTTAGACGCTCGCTGGGTCCGCAGAGCAGACCGCTGGCACGAGGCTTTGCGAATTCGATGAGCTTACGTGAGTAGTTTGTATGTGTCCGTATGGTTGGGGTAGCTCGAGCTACGCCTTTGCAGTAGACGTGCCGTTTCTGCAACCCTCTCGTTCCATACGTACCATCAGAACCATGTGCTGATACGATTCCGACAGAATATGGGAAGAAGATTGTGGTAGCGAAACCCGTCGTGGAGCTTGACGGAGATGAGATGACGAGGATTATTTGGAAAAAGATTCGTGAGGAGGTGCACGTTTTTTTAAATCTTCTGCTACACTTTATCTCAAACGTGATTGCTACCTCAAGCTTATCCTCCCCTATCTACAACTGGACATCAAGTACTACGACCTTGGCCTCGAGTACCGTGACCAGGTACGCCTCCCATTCCACCAATTCACTTTAATTTCCATATTCATGCGGTGAAAGACCAACGACCAAGTAACCGTGGAAGCTGCCAATGCCATCCTTGAGCACAAGGTCGGCATCAAGTGCGCGACAATCACTCCCGACGAGGCTCGTGTGGAGGAGTTCAAGCTCAAGGAGATGTGGAAGAGCCCGAACGGCACGGTGAGTGTTATATCTGGCAAGCAATCATCGCCAACTTCTCAACAGATGATGTAGATCCGTAACATCCTTGGCGGAACTGTGTTCCGTGAACCCATCATATTGGATCGTATCCCTAAACCGGTTCCAGGATGGGTGAAGCCAATTGTGATTGGCCGTCATGCATGTTCGTTATTCCGTTTGTTATCTCGTGATTGTTAAGCCTGACAATGATGTAGTCGGTGACCAGGTATGGTATTTTCGAACGTGAATGGTATACGTGTTTATGTGCGTTTAGTACCGTTCCACGGACTTCGTCGCACCGGGACCAGGGAAGCTTCAGCTCGTATACAGCCCTGCTGATGGAGGTGCGAAGACCGTCATGGACGTGTATGACTTCAAGGGAAAGGGTGTCGCCATGAGCATGTACAACACTGATGAGGTAAATTCAGCGGCTCTTCATCCTGATGCGACCATTGACTATGCCCGTTCTTAGTCAATAACTGGGTTTGCACACTCATCATTTAAGATGGCTCTCCTCAAGAAGATGCCCTTGGTGTGTCCGAATTTACCCGACCCGTATACATCATGTTGACGTAACTGTGTCTAGTTCATGTCAACAAAGAACACCATCATGAAGAGGTATGATGGCCGCTTTAAGGACATCTTCCAAGAGATCTATGAATCGCAGTACAAGGACGCTTTTGAGAAGGTCGGCATATACTACGAGCACCGCCTTATCGACGATATGGTTGCACAAGCGATCAAGTCCTCCGGTGGTTTCGTATGGGCATGCAAGAACTACGATGGTGACGTGCAGAGTGACATCCTCGCTCAGGGCTTCGGTTCCTTGGGCATGATGACCTCAGAGCTGATCACCCCTGACGGCCAGGTCGTCGAGAGTGAGGCTGCCCACGGTACCGTCACCCGACACTACCGCGAGTACCAGAAGGGCAACGAGACGTCGACCAACCCTGTGGCATCGATCTTTGCATGGACCCGTGGACTTCTCCACCGTGCTAAGCTGGATAACAATGAAGAGCTCAAGAAGTTCTGTTTGGATCTTGAGGCTGCATGTGTGGAAACGATCGACAAGGATGGAGTCATGACCAAGGATCTTGCTCTTGCTATCCACGGCAAGAACATGAAGAGAGAACATTGGGTCATCACTGACAAGTACATGGATGCAGTGAATGTAAGTGGTGGTTATGAATACATGTACCGAAGCTAACTTTTTTGTGCAGGCTAAGCTGCAGAAGAAGCTTGCTGGAGGGGTCACTGCTGCACCTTGAACGTGATCGTGTATATTTCTTTTGTAAATAGAGGGGATGCGTGTTCGAATAGCGAATATTATACTTTTCTATGCAACATGCGAGCGTCGTCGTAACCCAACGCGTTACGATGACCCCTAGTTCTAACAGGATCGTCTGAGTGCTTACTGAGCACAGTTTTCAATCGCTCTACTCTGTTCTTTGTTAATGATCTTGACATTTACCAACGTCAGTTGGCTGCGTGGTATTGTGTATAAGCAAGTAATCATTTCAGTGACAATCCTCAGTCCACAATGAAAATCAACATAGTTGTCACTGTATGTCATTCAACTGAATTTCCAGTCGTCTGTATTTCCGAACCATCCTAGCCGTCACCGGTCACCGTGTCGCTACCGGTTTTGCAGATGAAACGGACAAGTCAACCGCGCAGGTGCTGATGATAACCCCTTCCCATAGCGCCCCTAGTGCTGTGATATGGTGCACACGAGGAGTCTGTCACAGTGATGCGTTGGCCATTGACGGAAGAGCTGAAGAGCTCGAGTTTGCTGCTCATTGTTGCTATCAGACAGGAGGTGTCAGAAAGGTGCCAGGTGAGTGAGTTATCAGGTAGCCCATGAGTAGCATTGTGATTCAATGAGATGAAACAGAAATATAGGTACAATATCGTACATAACAGATAGATTGACGAGAATCATCTTCGTGTCCTTAGTAGTTAGCATCCTGTTGAATGAGCGCAATAGCTTTCGCAGAACGAGGCTTAATAGAGCACTTGAACGGCTTGGGGTGGCTGGGAGTATGTCTAGCTTTTAAACCAGCACTGCGGATGCGATAAGATGCATGACATACCTGATCGTGCCTGATGTATGGTCAACTTCAGGGGTAATCTCAACACCCTTCTCGACGACCTTGGAGATATCAAACACTGCGAGTGACATCACGGTAGATATCCAGACGGAGGCATCAGCGAGGTGGAGACCTGTTCATGAAAGCAAACAACATCAAGATATTGTTTGTTGAGTGTGATTTAGGCGTACCGGGGCAGATACTGCAAAGCAGGCAAAGTTAGCATTGCACTTGAAATCAACTCCGTGCTTACCGCCTACCAAAACCAAAGCAGATCGTACGAGGATCGGGATCGGGATCTTTTCCGTTATTATCCAAGAAGCGTTCAGGGTTGAATTGCGAGGGGTTAGCATATGTCCGCGGGTCATTGAGCATGAACCTGTCTTTCAATTTGGTTGATATGTCGAATACGAAAATATAAAAGTGCTAACCAAATGTTAGGTATTACCAAAGAACCTTTCGGGATGTGGTACCCGTCATGGATATCGTCCTCGGTAACGCAATGCGGGATAGCTGTCAATTGAGTGGTCGATACCGCTCGGCAATTAATGAATGCGATAAACGATATCCACATACCGAGAGGGCCGACAACATTCCAACGAAGGACTTCTTTCACAAGCGCCTCAGTATAAGGGAGGGAGTCGCGGTCTGCGAAGGAGGGAAGACGATCAGGACCAACAACAACATCTATTTCAGCCTGGGCCTTCTTCTGCGCATCAGGGAACAGTGTCATAGCAAGGAAAAACGAGTATATTGTAGAAACTGTCTGTGGAGACAGGTGTTAGTCTCAAAATATGATGATATAAAGGGAAGAGCTAACTGTGTCGGCACCACCAGCGTATAAGGATGCAGCAGACCATTTCACTATGTGATCCTCAACAGCAGACAAAGTACGGCCTTCCAACAGATTCGAGGTGAAAGATATCGGGGCAATGCCAGCATCCTGTCAAATATTCAACTCATGAACGCAACACCACAGATGCTTGATCACCATCTGTTCCTTAACGAACTTGTATGGTACATCAACCATCTCTTTCAGGTTCTGGCGCCATTCACGGGCCAAGCGCTTGAAGCCAGCACCAGGAAACCACTCGGGGACGTCGGCCACTGGAAATAATCAGGCCAATTACAAGTAAAGGTCAGGGTCTTGAAGTCTTACAGAGTGGCACAATGTCAACAATGAAGGCGCCGGGAGCAGTGGACCGCGAGAATTGGTCCATAACGCGGTCCGCAACGTCGATAAGTGGATCGTTGTTCTCCTTCACTTCATAACCATGAGAGATTCGCAGAATGATAGCGCCAGCGGTGCTACAAGAATTCAAGGTCCCACCCATGCAAGGGTAAATCATACAACATACTGTCGAACATGGGCTTGCAGTTGCTCAGGGTTCAAAAACACACGCTTCAGGAATCGGCGAGTCTCAATCTCCTCGATCGGGTAGTACACATCCAAAGCAGCACGATTGCCCAAGATTTGGTGGATGTTCTTGCGATACTGGCGGAAGCGGTCACCATATGGGAGAAGACCCAAAGCGTGCTTCCAGCCAACAAGTTCGCCGCCCATAGGCAGAACAGGACGGTCAGAGTACACAGTGCCTTTCTTGTCCAACATGTCCACCGCACTCTTGACTGAGTTTAACACAACGATGTGCTGACCCAGAACCTCAATATGCGAGATAGCACCTAGAAAGCACGGAATTGGAATGCATTATTTTGGAACAACGGGGGACACTCACCATACCTCTCACCCCACTCCACAAAGGTGAGCCAAGGTTTGATTTGAGGCATGTCTTGAATGTTCCCGACGAGTGGCCACCCACGGGGGCCGGGGGGATATGATACAGGATTCTTGTTCAACACCTGCTTGACCAGATATGCTCCGATACCAGCAAGACATATGTCCAGCCAAGTGACGTTGGGTGTCAACATGACCCAGTAGAAGAGGATGAATAAGCAAAGAATGAGGCTGAGTACTTGATGAGAGAACATCGGATAACATGAATCCTATCCCCACGATAATATAAATACTGCAGCCATAAAGGCCGACGCTGTGATCTCATCAGGAAAACATTCCCGTGTTAACTTAGAGAAAATTAGAACAATTGCTTGGGTGAGATAGTATTCGGACCTTCCACAATTGCCTTTTGTTTGTCCTGTGTCATGACCTTCTGCACAACTGTCTCCCACGTCATGTCGTTCGCCTTCCCAAGTTGTTCTTTCAAGTTCTCTACATCAGCTTCAAGATCGGCAATGTGCGCACTCGATGCCTCCGAGGTGCTAATCGCGTTCGGTTATACGAAAAACAGTCTCGTTGAAACTCGGCTTCGCTCGGTATCTCTCCAGGAGTCTTAGGGGGCGAATATCAACATAAGTAGAGCAACCATCTCAACAGAAGAAAAATCTACCTCATCCTACACAGGAAGCACCATCGCCACTTCGTGTGCATTCCTTGGTTTTGAATAATTCATGCGGTGCAACAGCACGACGGGGCACATAGGAATGATGTCTTTCGCATTGCCAGAACTTCCAAGATTGAGGGACAGGCTGATGTGCCTAAGTGTTGTGAATTTGAACGTGGCGATAGTGGGCGTCCCAAGAGTTGTACAAGATGCCTCACGCGACCCACTGTCAAAATTTGAGTCAGGATCTACCTGACATATGATATTCTGACGCGCCTCCTACAAATGTATTCGACCTTGGGTCGTCCCTCCTGCCCAGAAGCTTCTCGAATTATCTAGCGCAATGCACGAAGGCCTTTCAGGGAGGACTACTTGAAAGTGAGTTGGTCCTAAATTACACTGAGAAAGGTGAAAGTTGTATCAGAAACATAAGGCCCACCCTTTGGAACTCATAGACATCAAAATCTTTGCTTTATTGTGCAGTGCGGCGCAGAGCTAGATTGCTTGAAAGATGCAAGCGACGTACCGGTCTGTACGTCATGAAGAACAATTGCACCTGGTGACTTGAGCCAGAGCCAAAGACCTGAGTTGCTTACCGAGCGGTGATTATGTTGATGTCTTTGCCACTGATGCGCCTGAAGCGCTGATCGATGCACTTGTGTTTCCCTTTTACAACTTCTTCTTCTCAGAACCTGCCTATTGAGGCAAGTGCTTCCATTTACAGCAATTTGCATAATAAGAGTGGCCGGAATCCCCGGCTTAGTCACTTACCAAGTGGCACCCCGAAAAAGACCCCGTACACCCCTCGAGAACACCGCGCCCAACACCGCCAACGCCGCCCACAGGTGCAACTCCAAGCTCCCAAATACCCCAGAAAACCATCAAAAACATCAAAAAACAACTTCTAGATATGTATCTAACCCTGTTTCATTACTAACATGCCTCCAGGTCAAGAGGTGTGCGACTGGTTAGTTCCAGACACCAACCATTTTAGTTCGTCGACCCACCACCACCACCGTTACAGTGACCTCACGTGATGTCATACGGCCAAATCGAGTAATTCTGTCATGTTGAAAATTTCACTAATGCATGAGAGATGCATCTTGATATTTGCATGTTGTTGATGCGTTGTACATGTAGTAACATAGTGTATCGAGACATCTGACCATAAAAACACTAAACAGGATGTTTAAGTAGCATGAATGACATGAAAACAAGTGCAACAAAGCGTTTAAGTAAGGTAATCATCACAATGCAAGTAACAGGTCTGAAAGAATGAAACACTACACCGGAACACGAGCTTTTTTCGCAGTTGACCCTGAAGCAGCCTGTGTGTTGGACTTGTGCTTGCAAGACATCGAAGGTGCAGGCTGGTTCTCTTTGTCTCCATTGAATAATGGAGTTAGCAAGTACATGTTGGAAATTCCAGCATCCTTCTGCTTGAGTAAAGTGAGCGTGATTGACTGCAGAACACTGGCTGGAAGCAGGTGGCCACTGGGATTTTTGGGGTGTGCATACTGAGGGTGGACTTGATCGAGATGCTGCAGCATATTGTGGTGCCAGATGGCACCTACAAATGGTGGTGCAGCACATGACTTCTTGCCAGTGACAGGTGTGAGTGTGGGGTGACAAAGCTTGCACTTCAGAGGGACATTTTGACATGGTCAGTTTTTTGACCCAGTGTCCACATTTACATAGCAGAATTTGTGCTGGTAGGAACATTGTGTCTCCAGGGTAATGGCACCATTTGTCCTGATTCTGATTGAGACTTTGCACTTGTCTCATTCAGACTGTCCACAGAAGCCACATGGCTGCTGAATACCAACCTATGAAACAGTTTAGGTGTTAATTAGTTTGTTGAGTGAATTATGTATGTAGGCTTGCTTCCATGACTTGTTCTGGTCTGCTCTCACTCACTGCTCTCTCTAGCTTGTTCCCTCACTCTCATTACCTCAAGTCTCATTCTCATCTGCTCTCATATTTTGTTCTCACCTACTCTCATCTCTTGTTCTCACCTCATTTCTTGTTTTCACCTGCCCTCATCTCTTGTTTCACCTTCTTGTTCTCACCTGCCCTTGTCTCTTATTTTCACCTGCTCTCATCTCATTCTCACCTAATCTTGTTTCTTATTTTCACCACTCTCATCTCTCATCTCTCGTTCTCACCTAATCTCATCTCTCATTTTCACCTGCTCTTGTCTCTCATTCTTGCCTACTCTGGTTTCTCATTTTCACCTGCTCTCATCTCTTGTTCTCACCCGCTCTCATTTCTCATTCTTGTCTCTCATTTATACAATGCCATTTGTGCTCACACATAGTTAGAAAATCCATTATCATGTATTAGCTACACTCTTTTTAATGAACACATGTTTTTTATTGTATACAAGTCAGGTCCAATAAGCAGAAAATCTTGACAATACTAGCACATAATCTGCAAAAACATCATCTAATTATGAGAAAGTTAAAGGGGGGTAAAAGAGTCTTGATAATCTGCTAAACACTATGTTTATGCAGAATTGTTGGTAATTATCAAAGTTGAGTCTAAAGTAGGCCAAGTTTGCTTGGGAGGTTTTCCCTGATGGTGGTAGCTAGGTGTAGGGATCTGCACAGGTAAACCCATGGGTGTCCTGAGGTCAACCCATACCTGTACCCATAGGTGTGCAAGCACTAACAATACCACCAGTGCCATCCAGGTCACCTACTGCCCCCATCCAATCTTAACAGCTGCCAGTGCTTAGCACACATCAGTGAATGCTGATGTGGCTCAAACATATGTGGAAGACACCAGAAAGTGCCAGAAGAGCAGAAGGAGTGAAAGGAGGGATGGGACAGGCAGAACAAGACCAATGAGATGGGGAGAATAAGACCAATGAGATGGGGAGAACAAGACCACTGAAATGGGGAGAGCAAGACTGACAAAACAGGGAGAGCAAGACCACTGAAATGGGGAGAACAAGACTGATGAGATGGGGAGTGTGAGACCACAAGAACAAGACTGCAGAAATGGGGAGAATGAGACTGAGAACAAGACTGCCAAAATGGGGAGAACAAGACTAACAAGATGGGGAGAGTGAGACCACAAGTATGAGACTGATGAGACAGGGAGAGCAAGACCACAAGAATGAGACTGCCAAAATGGGAAATGGGGAGGATGAGACTGACAAGACAGGGAGAGCAAGACCAACAAAATGGGGAGACCAAGACTGAGGGAGAACAAGACAGATGAGATGGGGAGAATGAGACAGATGAAATGGAGAGAACAAGACAGATGAAATGGGGAGAATGAGACAGATGAGACAGGGAGAAAGGTAGTTAGCAGTATAAAAACACACAGTACACACACCTTGGAGAGTAGGAAACAGTAGAATTAGTAGGCGGTACAATTGGTGCAGAAACAGTACTTGACAAACATCAAAATAATCACTATATATGGAAGTGGCAGGTATGTGATGGGTCATGGGTCTCAAAATCCAGACCCATACCCATGACCCACCATGGGTTACCCATACCTGTGCAGATACCTAGCTAGGTGACAGATATACTCTAAATATGCATAGAAATAGACCCCCCATCAGCAAACTACTTTGTTCTGTACAGAACTGTACAGAGCTGTACAATGTGATAGATATGCAGCTTAGTCCCTTCTGTACACTTCACTACAATAACACTTCATTCTGTGGGTTCCTGTACAGACCACCACAGACACCCACTGAGAATGTGTGATGTACAATATTTCGAAAGTGCAACAACAAAAAATCATGTGCTACTGTCCAGTAGCACACTAAGCTGTACCATTCTGTCCACACATGCAAAAGATGTACACAATCAAAAAAATGTATTGGATGATAGTAGTAACACGGAAACACAAATGTGGATACACTAGCACTACTAATGATGGATGTATGAATGCAAGAGAGAGAGATAGTCGTGAAATAGTGGTCCAAATCTAATCAAGCAGGACCCGCAAATGATGATGCTTTGATGTGCCCTTGCCATTGAGTTTGCAGGACTGCGCCCTGCGTGGATTTGATTAGCAAAGACTTATTTTGAAAAAAACTCCTTACCATCCTTCTGCAGCCCACTCATGAAGCTGTTGTGTCAACTTAGGGCCGTGATACTCATGCTTCATGATATTCTTGAGTTCGGCAACCATTGAGAAATAGACAGAGGAGTAGTCTTTGGCAGTAAACTTCGGAAAATACTTGCCACTGCCATTCTTGATTAGTCCATTGAAGACACAGTTGTACTACAAATTTGGTGTCAGTGCATAATCAATATAAAATATCAAAAAAGTACCGCAGTGCAAACCAAAGCCAAAGACTCCAAAGGTAACTCCTCTTTGAAGACATTGGGTCTCCTGTGAGTGATGCGATAGGAACCAGTGTAGAAGAAGGTGACAGCAGCTGCCTTGAGTGCAGGGTGAGCAGCATTGTTGGTTTTCCCAAGGTCATCCACGCCGTCGCGAAGAAAGAAAGACTCGTCCAACAATTCTGAAGCAGCGTTCTCAACCCAGGCAGTGCGAGCTTGAGGAGGTACCTCAGCTGGGGGGATGAGGTTGTACATGGAGGGCATGATGCTGATAGCTATCTTCTTGAGGTCAGAGTGCCAGGTTGATAAGTCTTCATATAGCTAGATAATAGTGCATGAGGAAATGAGCAAGCAACAATGGACATACTTACCAACTTGGCCGTATCAGCCTTGTGCTCAGGCCATATACCTAGTCAACCTCATGAGTGAGATATCTCAGAGAAAACAATAACATACCTGCTTCCACCTTGTTACCTGCTTCAAGCCATTTGATGAGTGATGACATAAGTGCTTCAGTGACTGAAAGAGGCAAATCCTTGACGGTGTCCAGGAATGCATTCTCGATTACATGCTGGACATGACACTCTGATTTTGCCTCCTCAAGAAAGGTCTTCCATTGTGGAGGATACCAGCTGAGTTGGGTTGGCTTAGGGCCTTCAGTTGGTGCCTTAGACTTGGCTGATTTGACCTTAGCCTTAACACCAGAGTTGCATGACTTCATATTCATGGCTTGAGTCTCTTGGCAATGGATGAGACCAAGCATTTTGGGGTCAGGGAGGCGCAGATGTCCATTTTTCTTGTGGTAACTCTGTAAGACATCCTCTGGCTTGGTAGGCTTCAAAAAATGATTAATGAACTCTGTGAAATTATGAAGGACATACCTCACTCATGATATTGCTGCTACTGCTACTGCTACTGGAGGTCTTGTCAACTGTTAATGATCCTATTGCAACATTCTTGTCTTCATCTTGCAAATGCTGGAACTCAAAATCAGAAGGTAGGGCAACAGCCTGAGGTTGGGGCACTGATGTTCCTTCCTTTGAAAAGCCTGTATCTTGTTAGTGATGGATATGATTAGTAAATGATTGTGTACCAGGATGCACACTATGACTCCCATGGACTCCTCCCCAACCAATTTCACCATTGTCCTTATCACTTTCTTCATCAGTGTTGCTTTTGTCAGTGTCGTCAGTAGAGGAATTGTCATCCTCAGATGTCGAGACTTCAGCTCAAGCTTCCTGGCCAATTGACGGGAGGGAGGTGCTGCGATAGCTAGCTTCACCTTGTGCTTCCTGACCAATTGGCCGGAGAGAAGGATCTATATTTGCATAGAAGTCAGCTTGCAGATGCGACCTCATCTCAACTGAGGTCATCTTCAAAGAGGCATCAAGAACTTTCTCCATGTGAGAAGGGCCAATTGATGGATGGAACCTGAAACATTCACCATCTTCATGCCATACAAAGTTTGGTTGATTGGGCGCCTCGATGCTGGAGGCAAAGGCAGCAATCTTCTTGATAGAGTTTCAAGTAAACAGTTAGTCTACAGAATTACAAAAGAGACGCTAACCTTGACTTTTTGCCTTGTTTCCTTGGAGGCGGAGCACTGGAATCTACCACTGGCTGTGAGGCACTGTACAGTGGAGGAGCCTTCAACATAGCATCATACTAGTTAGTAACATTGCTGATGAATACATGAAAAGTTACCTTTGAGTGACTCCCATGACCCTTGCTAGGTGGTAATGGAGTGAGAGGGTTCACAGGAACGTTAGAATCAAGGGTGGTTGAGCCTTTGGGTTTGGTTGCCCGCCCAGGCGCCTCCAACAAGGCACTAATTCTCTCAAGCTGACTATTCCTACCCCCCTTCCCAGCACCTGCACAATTAGTATGTCAAAGGTTCAAGTTGTCAGTGTCGTCCAAGTCAGGGACTGACTGTGGGGGCTTTACTGGTGGTGATACATCAGCCTGCAATCAGATCCATGATCACTTTGCCTTCTCTTCAATGCTGCCAAGTGTCTTCCCGAGATCAGAATCCACAGCTTTATGCTTTGTCTTGCGTTTCTTGGGACTACCAGCACGTTGTGCAGGCATAGTAGAGCTTGTAGTAGAGCTGGGAAGACAAGAGTAGGGAGCCTCCAAGCAATATTAACAAACACTCACTTTTATCCTTGAGCTTCGTGTCATAGTTCGGCAGTCATTGCAGGCAATTTTCGGAGGTATGAGTCAAGTTGCTTGCAAGTAGCAATGTGCTGATGAGTGAGTCAGTAGATTAAAGTTCAAAACATAAATGATGCCAAGGACTGTGGGAATCTCGCACAGGACATAGTAGACCCTGATGCCCTCTCTGACTTGGCATGGATGATTCTAACATGTAAAGTACATACATATGGAGACATTCATCATAGCTATTGAGTCACTATACATAGGGATGAAGCGTTTTGGAACAGAAAATCTATGGTCACTTGAGTAATTATGAAGATCAGGTTTTGTTCCACTTTGACGGCCTGATGGGTACTGCAGCTTCCATCGTCATGTTGCCTACAGCTGGCCCCATGTGCCCAGTCATGTCATTAGGTAACCTAGTGACTCCTGGATCTACTGCACCTGCGGAATCAGGAGCATCTCCAGTTGGCTGTTTTTGCTTGAGGATTGTTTTGGCAAACAATAACTCAGGGGATGGTTCATCCTTTGGAAGCTCTGTGAGATGTCTATTCAACATCTCAAGCACAGCATCAAAGGGTACTGAATCTGGGTTGCTGTTGTTCCTCATCAGCCCATACCATTCTTTTGTGAGAGGAATAAGATTCTTGAAGTAGGGATGAATCTGCTTTTCAAGCTTCTCCAAATCCTCTGAGTGGAAAAAGAACCCTGTCTTAGCTTGGTCACACTCCACGTAAGAGTTGGCAGACCATGTGCATGGTAGCCATTTGATCCTATTGCCCCTAGACTTGAGGACCCATTTCATCCTGAGGGGACCCCTGAATTCAATGCAGATCCAGGCAAAGACGTAAAAGAGGGATTCAAGATTATCAGAAAAAGTGTGTTTGATCAATGTAGCCTGTTGCAGTCTCGAATGTGAAGCTTTCTTTCGAGTTTTCTTCTGCACAGACACCAGAGGAATGACATCCGAGAGCTGGTGAAGAAGCTTCCGCGACATGAACAGTACTGTGCCCTGGTCATTTTGTGAGCAGTTGTCCATCAAAAACAGAGTCAGGGAGTAAAACACTGACCATACCACTGATAGGGTAGCAATTGCTCTGAAGAATACGCACAGCAAATTCCCAGTCTATCAATGTGCCATGGGAGCCATTACCATCGTCCTTGATCATAGAGTTGTTAAGGCTGCAATCTCGATGCAGAATACCTTGCTCTTTGACCGCTATCTTTTGAACTGGAAAAAGGTAAGTCAAAAATTTGGATATCATCACATGGCATGTACTTACTGGTGATGATATCCCAGATCACACTCACTAACTCTGCCTTTGTGTGGAACATATGCAATGGTCATGCATGGGGCTTCAAAACCAGTTGGATATGAGTGTGGAAGGTACCTTCTATACTCTCCAGTGTTTTATAGCAATATTTCTCTGTTTCATCGACCTCTCCAGATGCGATCTCAATGAGCCAGTGCTCAACAAGTTCGGGTATGCCACGAACCCCCTTCATCTCATTCAACATGGTGACCTCATTCAACATGTCCTCCTTACTCCCTAAAACCCAATGATCTTTTATTATGTATTCCTCCTTGCCCCTCCTTGTCAAGTAGCACACAGTGCCATGACTGACAAGCCCTTGGCTAGAGAACATGACTTCCAGGATATTGTAGTAGTTATGGTTGACTCGAATTTTTCCAATCAGCTCTGGAAGAGGCGCGAGGAGGAGATCTGCAGGAAGGGGTGTAGGAAGACCTTCCTGGAGGAGGAGGTCTTCAGGGAGGAGTTCTTCTGGGAGAGGGTTTTCAGGATCTTCAATATCTTCAATATCTTCATGATCTTCATGATCTTCAGGCAGGGGATGTTTGGTCAGAAGTGATGGCTCAGGACCCTCTGGTTCAGATATGGGATCATCTGCCAAAGCACCACTCTCAAGGATGACAGGTGCACTCTCATTCGGTTGTTTAAGATCGTATTTGGCAGTTCCAGTGGTAGGATGAGTGAAGGTGGAGGATTGGTGGAGCTGGCCAGGCTGAAGCGTCTTAGTAAAGATACTGATGGTTGGATCATACCCAATGCACTTGAGGCCACCGAAAATGATGCATGAGAAGGTATGCAAGAATCTGTCCAGATCCTGGTTGATATTGATGCAAGGGGTTGTGATACCACCCAAGTGATCATACAAATGCACGCGAAGATCTCAATATCCATTGCAAACTGAGAGGAGCAAAATGAAGTGTCTCCAGGGCTGGTGCCTTAAAAGAAGGTATGCCTTGCTATCGATAGTCTTAGCAATAGTAGTGGTAGGATGGTACCTTTGGAACATCAGCTCACAGTTTTTGCACAGGTAGATCAACAATCAACATACTTTTGGGATGTCAACTCACACACTGCCTTGATCATATCCCACCTAGCCTCCATGTCATCTAGTAAGGCTAAATCGGGTTTGGGCTTGATTTCGTTGTCCTTGACTGGGCGCATGGAGTTCGCACCGCTCCATGTCCATATCACTCCACTGGGATTGAACTGGGTGAGCTTTTCATTTGCTGCAGTGAGGGCAATGGCCACAGTATTGAAGAACCATGCAAAGCTCATCTCATCACTGATTGATGATGATGATATTGGTCCCAGCAGCGGCGGTGCTGCGCTGACATCAGGCAGGTCTGCCAGTGAGTCATCAGAGTCTATGCCAACTGCTTCATCCCTGCCATCATTCCCTTCTTCTTCCAAGTCCTGTTCTTCGTCCTCTTCATCATCCTCCTCATCCTCTCTGAGATCCTGCCTACTTTTGTCAGGTGACTTGCTAGCATGCCGCTCATGTGTGGGAAGTGCCCAGTTCCAACAGTGATTCACAGTATCATACAGTGACACTGACTCGGTTTCACCCTTGTTGGTGGGATTTTGTTTTTTCCTGAAATTATGAAGGTAAAGTGGAGTTTTGGTATTTAAAGGAACAGTAAGTGAATTTGCAAGAGGAATTGTAGTGCTAAAGGTTTTGAATATCAAGGAAAGTACATGGCTGAGGTGCCCATCAGGTTCCTGTAAAATCAAACCATCGAGTTCCCTTTCGGTGAGTGCATCCATGGTAGGAACATTATTTATCTTGGGTGCAGACATCAGAGATGAAAGTTTCATCCCATAGTCTACAGACCAAGGTTGGGCACTTGCACATGGCATGGTTGTTGAGAGACTAGGTGAACAATGACATGCCACTGCCAGCACTTCACACCACAAGACTTGTATTATTGAGGATAGATCATGTACATATTCCTATGCTGATAGAGGGAAAAAGGTATTTTTATCCCAAAAGTGATTCAACTAGAACTCTGACGCATGTTCCAAACTGTTGTATGCAGTGAGACGCATGTCCGCAACAGTGCCAAAACATGGAACAAGATTGACAGGTGCCCTTAATTGAGAGACAGGTACAACATCCCCTATGCAAGTCCCATTAGAGCATTTTGCTCTCTTGAGCAAATGCAGCTGTGTGATCGGATCACGATCACCAGAGACGTTAAAGTGTTGGACATAAGTCAAGAACTGATCTTTCCATGTTGAAGGGGTGCCATGTTTGGCCATGGGATGCATGATAAGTCGAAGCTGTGCTACAGCGTGACCTGAGGAGATGGAAGATGAATTAGATTAAATTAGATTGATATTTCAGCATGAGACAAGACAGAAGCTTACCTGAAAGACCACTAGTTGGCCAGGAGTACCCTGCTTCAGTCTGGACAATGATTGTGTCATAATGACCCAAAATCCAGGGGCCACCAGGTGGTGTGCAGTTCAGTGTCTGAGCAGGTCAAATACTATGAGGATCATGAAATTCTGTGTCTTGAAGCCAGATTTTGATCCATACTTGGAGGTTGTCAAAAGGAAGTATAGCAGAATGTTCAGCTCTTCTAGGACCGCCTATCAGATGAATGTATTGATGTCCAAAGGTGGCCTCACATTGAAGGTAATCAGCGATAGCTGACTGCAGATCAGGAAGGCTGAACTTGTTGGCAATCTCATCAACAGTGACCTTCCTAATGGCGGGATCATAGGAAAGATGGAAGGCGGTGTGTTCAATGATGAATGAGCATAGAGGTAAGGGTACTGAATCCATATGCTGGAGCTTCCTAGCAATAGAAAAATATTCAGTGATGGGACATGAGTATCCAGATGAATGGACCATAGACGGACACTCAATAGTCTCGTCAGCATCAGTGTCAACATCATCTTGAGGGTCTATGTCGACATCCTGCACTTGCAAGTGGCTTTGATCATGATCTAAAAGGTTGGTGGCGAGCTCAAATCAACAACACTTGTCGGCTCAGTTGAGATGTCAACAGATCTGTGGATCATAGTTGACATTGTTGCTAGATCTTGCAGGGTCCTTAATCTCTGTGATGTGTGTGTGTTCAGTGATGTCTGCAGTCCATTGGCTCGTGACGCCACTGTTGTGAATGCTGGGGACAATGTTCTGCATCAATTCAAGCTTAGGTATATGCCAATTATTGATGACTTTATTGCACTGCCCCTGATGAGCCCCAGCAGCAATAATCGTGTCCTTCTTCACATGGAATTTGTCCAGTGCACTGGAGATAAGCTTGAGATCATTCTCATTAATGTGTGGCAACTGCACAAGGTAACAGAATTGCATGAGCACGCATACTGCAGCAAGGACACCAGGGGGTGCTGCATCCACACTAACTGCAGTAATAGATCACTGGATGTCACGGTGACAACAACCAGTGACTTGTTTCAACTTCGATATCCCTTCACAAAAGTGCTGAAACCTGGTGATGGGCTGTAGAACAGAGAATTGAAAATCAATTTCAGATTCTCCGATGGATACAATGAGCCATTGGGCATCATGGTTGTAGAACTCTTTATGGATGTGGTGGAGGATTTTGGGGGTAAGAAAATGGGAAGGATCTGCAAATATCCAGTCACTCCAGAATGGCTTGTCGACACCATTCAGGCAAAATTTCTGGGCTTCACGGAAATAAGCCTCAAGATCATTTGGGTTAGCATGTGAGCAAATAACAGCAAACTGGGCAAGAGTCATTGATCTTGTCCTAGGTTCATGCCAGAAGCTGTCTCCGAACTGTGTATACATCAACATCGTCATGGGAGATGTTTTCCCCCCAACAGCTGCCAGCATCATTGCTTCAGGCGTATCGACAATATAACTTGCGAGGGTAGTAAAGCAATAGCGACTGCACCCGATGGGATCAGACAACATGATACCATGTTCAGCAGCCTGTTTCAGTGGATGTAAAACAATGTCGAGGCATTGGTGGATAAGACAATCCTGCAACACACCCTTCATGCATTTTTTTCTTGTGAATGAACTTCAGGACAGGTAGAAGCGCAGTGAGGACAAAAGAGTGGGTTGACAATTTCGAGCGTGTGTTCATGTGTAGATTGGCAAGGCTGATGAGGAGTGGATGAGCGACATGATCGCCTGTCAATGATGAAATAGTAGTCTTGTCTGAGGATAAAATCATGCCAAGGAGGGTTGCACCCGCAGGTAAAGCAGACTTCAAGGAAACATGAGCTATTGATTTCACCCTCCGATATGTTGCGCACCTGAATTTCCCAAGCATGATCTCCTGTCATCCATTCAGTATATACGTGGCAGGCTTTCTGCACACAAGTATATACTCTGCGAGCGCTGTAGTCTATACAATCGTGAAACAGTGGATGGTTGAAGATATTCAAGATGCACTCGAGAGGATCACGCCAGTACAGAATAATGGGCAACTTTGTAGGATGCGTTGTAGTGATCACTTGCAACTTCCAGCATGGACCACTGGGCAACATTTCAGCTCGGCCCCATAACTCTCTTGCTGAGCGGAATGATAAAGATAAGTCCTTGATCTAGATACTCTTAAATGTAAGCCGTAGCGATGACCTTGAAGTTGGGAGACACTCACCATTTCGAGGCCTAGAAATGCATCTATCTTCCCCATGCTTAATCCAGAGTGCAGAAGCCATAATGAAATTTGCCATTCTTTCCGAGAGCTGAAAGGATAATAGAGGTTCATCTTGTGATATATGCTGTTCTTGTCGGAGTCAAAGAGACTCAAAAATGTGTATCCATCCTCGAAGGCAAGCAGGGGATTGGGAAAATGGTCTGTAACTTCGCTGCTCTCATCCTGTATTTTGTCCTGAGGCATTCTCTCCATACTCTCTCCTTCACCAAAAGTGTCACCCGAATCCATGAATCCCACTGGTTCATAGGAGTCAGATATGTAAGGTTCGGCAATGTCGTCCACTTCCATGGCATGATCTTCCAGGGAGCAGCTGGATTGCTCGAGTTGGATCAGGTCATCAAGCCACGTGTTACACCCGGATAAGGGCTGACTCATATGGCGAGTGACAGATGAGTGATCTTTGAATTTTTTGCCACACAAAGGACAATAACTTGAAGCTTTGGGCATGTTGTCAATGTGCAAAGTCCCGAACAAGTCACAGGCCCAGCATTTTCCAATAATCCTTCTTCACATATTGCAATGACCATTTCTACTCTACAATCCTTATCAGTCAGCACTTCTGGTTCATACTCACAAAATCCTCTCCAGGCCTACTGCAACAGCAATGGGGACTCTTGCAAGCCATGTCGTTCGAATCTGCACACCAGTCATCACACTACTAGTGGTATGTCCGATATATTGGAAGTTGTTGACAATTTCAATGCTATGGTGAGTCAGTCTTTCAATGTTTTTGTAAAATCTCAAAAGGATCAGCATTTCAACAGTCCATCAGAGATCCATCTGATGGTGAAGCAAACCTGATGATGGACCTCATAAGAGCGAAGCACGAAGTTTTCCAAGCTGAGAAGGCCCTCGCAGATTCAATACTACAAGAACATGAGGTTTTGTCAAGCTTGTTGAGATTCCAAGCTGAAACTGCAGGGAAGAGGTTGGATGATGCAGACCTTGGCCTAGGATATATGCGAGTTGCCTTCAAGAGGCATGGTTGGACTCCTCACACTTAGGCCCCTCTACCTGGACAAGGATGTTTGCACGCTGGTAAGCTTGTTATGATGGTACCCCAGGATGAACTGATGTCTGAACACATCACAGATAACTTAGAAAATGCATGGCATGTCACCACTTGGCTTGATTAATTCTGTTTGTTGTCGGCACTTTTGTCATTTTTTTCATATTCAACATACTATGCACTATGTAGATTCTTGTGATATCACTTATATGTCCAAAATATATGTTGTTGCATTTGTTCATAATTTTCAGCGCACTAGTACTGTGAGTGATGTAAATATTTCGAAATATAGTATATACTACTACTAGTGTGATCATGGCACTTGCAACTTGAAGCCGAGATTGCTGTAATTGAGTCTACTACTGGTCAAAGCCTGGAAGAAACTGTGACTCTGTGAGTGACTGGAAGTAAGTGGTGCTGTAGCTACTGTATGCTGTGAGCTTTGTGTGTACTGTGAAGTTCTGTGGTTGGCTGTAGCTCGAATGTAAATTTAAGTCTTCTGTAGACAAACTTGGTAGTTTGCTGATGCCTACCATCCTTGAGGTCCGGTCCTACAGGAAAATTTTTCACAGGGGGTAAACCACCAGGAGAGGGTGGGTATACTGCATCACAGGGTCTTGTCCTATGGTCCTGGACTCCTGATACATTGTTCCTACTGATGAATAGATGTTGTGGATACATTTTATAAGTATATCCACTCAGAAATAAATAAATGGGAACATATTTTGTGTTTTCCTATATATAGGCTATATCTATTGATGTAGGATGCTTAGTCTAAATGCATTGCTTTCCATCATTTTGCATCAATACAATCTGAGAAACAACATCTATTCAAATCTACGGAAATATAACTACTCCATGTTTTGTATACTGGCATCAATCAGTGTCGCTACCAGACTAGTACCAGTCATCTGAGTATCGACGGAACGTACCATTTGTCGACACTCATATATGGACATCCAACTATTCAGATTCCATTGATTTCCGTCGTTCTCCATGCGAGGGCATCCGACCGAAGCTAATTTTTCGTGCAGGCCAGAAGAAGCTTACTAAGCGCTAAGCCTTAAGCGTGTGTTGCCTGTCGTATCTCTCTTTTGTAAGTAAGTAAGTTGTGAATATTCCACTTTTCTACGCAACATGCGGCGTGCGAGCGGCATTGTGGCCTTATACCAATTTCCAAGAATAACTGCAGATGCCATGACAATAGTTTGGTCAATGCCTTTTCAACTTGCATCGATCTGGCAGTACTTGTGTAGTAATGGATGAAAGGACACCCGGACCAAGGTTGCTTTAGTTTTCGCTCTATTGCCTTGCTCACGCACACAACAGTATTATTTAACACTCTGTTATAGAGTCACTGGCAGCCTATTGCTGCCTCGCAGACCCGATCAAAGGAGGTTATATATAGGCCCAGGTTGGGGGGATCATTTATAATGCTTTTCCACTGGTGTTGCGCCCACCGCACTGATCATTGATCTTTCCACCCTAATTGCTAGCAGCATTATGCGCGATTTTTGTGACTCCGATTTCCTCCCAAAAGTTCTTATGGCATATCCATCAAGTAATACGATCCCACCGGTAGCTGACCGACGTGGCTACGCGCGACTGGACCTGATCTAACTCTTCTATCTGAACGACAATATTATGTATGGAGGAGACAATGTGAGTCAAGGTGGAGCCTGTACGTAGCATCGAGCCGATGATCGACTCGGATACTCGCCGACTCGGAAGAAACAAGGGCTACGCATTAATGATTATGGCTGAAGGTGTAGGTTATTCCAATTATTGTTAGGCTGTCGCGGCCTTCCGAAGAAGTGTCCCACAACTCACACATTTCTTCATGACCTTGGACCTTGGCACCAGTACTCCCCTCCTAGAGGCCCACGTCATGTTTCTAGGCAGGTGTCCCGAATGCGTATCAGTCAAGACCGGCTCGATGGCTCCTCGGAATATTTCAAGTTGGTGCGTCACTGGTGCAGCGGTGCCTATTTTTTTTGTAACCCCCCCGTGTTTATTGTCACCGTGCGGCAACTACTTCCTTTGTTAGTAGCCTAGACCTCGCATCCTCTTATAAATCAGGCTGACAAGGCCCCGAGGTTTAATTATATAAGGACAAGTTGGAGGGTTTATTTTGTTACCCCTTAGTGTTCTTAATTACAATGCCCAGCACCTCATCGCCCTACGTGCCGCACTACGTTGCTGCACCTCCTACGGAGGAAAATTGTATGTGCAAGGTCTTGTGCTTAATGCAGAACACTGACGTATGCATTGACAGTGGAATATGCCAACCTTGCAATCATCGACATTTCGAAAGCCAGCTCCGAAGAAGGATGCGCCGCGCTCGCAATTGAATTAAGGGAGGCTCTCCTGAACCTCGGGTTCTTCTATGTCGTGAACCATGGATATTCGCAAGCTCAAGTAAGACAATTCTCCAACATCACATAGATCATCAATTAAATTTCGACTCAGACAGCCCGCATGTTTGACATCGCAGACGTACCCTTCTCGGCTGTCACTGACGGCGAGAAGCAAATTTATGCTTCGACAAGAAAACAAAATGGGATGCTCCAAGGATATACATCAGTGCAGTACTGCGGTACGTAGCAGTTGTGCATCGCGCACCACAGGAATATTCGATTGGCTCAAATAAATTGAATTCAACAGGATACAGATGGTCGAGTACGCGACCAGCTTGAACAATACTGTAGTGAGCGGGTGCACATTCATTTTTATAGACTCACCTCATATCATTATAGTCAATCGCGATGTGACCAAGCGAAAGCACCCAGAAGCGCTCCTCCCTCTCCTCCAAGAGATACAGGAGTTTAGCACACACAACTACTTCAATGTGTTGTATCCTATCCTGAGGTAAACGTATGTCCTGGTGTGCTCAGGAAGACTCTGATAAAATATTTTCTCTCAGGCTTATTGCCCGCAGCCTCGAGCTACCGGAAGATACACTGGTGAACAAACATGTCTTTGACGCCGCCGGCGAGACAGCTGGTACATACATACATTTCAAACAGTTTGTACCATTACTGACTTGTCGATCAGTTAGGTTCATTAAATAGTAAGTACTTCCTTATATGTCTACTCTTCACAAGTTTACGTGGTATAGCTACCCACGAACAGAGGAAGAAGAGGCCAAAACAAAGAATGTTTGGCTGAAGGGCCACACGGGTGAGTGATTTACTCACGCAGAAACTGTGCTCACAGCGTTTACTACAAGACTTCGGAAGCGTTACGATTCTCTGGAGTCAGCCTGTCGCCGCATTGCAAATCCAGACCCGTGAAGGTGAATGGCGTTGGATCCGTCACATGGAAAATGCGCTCGTGGGTGGTCATATTCTATGTCTTAATCCATGACATGACGAGCGGGTCATAGGTGGTTAACGTAGGCGATGCAATGGACTTCCTTACTGGAGGGTACTACAAAGGCACGATCCACCGCGTTGTCCAGCCCGCGGTGGACCAGCGGGACTATACTCGCCTTGGAGTGTTCTACTTTGCCATCCCTAACGACGATATCAAATTGGTTCCGATGGTTGAAAGCCCGGTCTTACAGAGAGTGGGAATTCAGAGACGGTGCGAAGATATCGAGGCACCGACAATGGAGCAATGGAGGAAAGCAAGGACGATGGCTTATGGCCAGTCGAAATTGAAGAGTGGAAAAGAAAAAGACGTAGAAGAAGAGATCATCCACGGGGTGATAATCAAGCATTATAACTGAAGCTTCAATTTGTATAGTTGTATTTTCTGTCTAATTGTCCTTGGACGATGAACGTCGCCTTAAAATATTGGTGACGTACAGGTTGACGAATACAGGAAAGGACCAGTGCGGGAGACCATTTAGGCGAGAATCTCATCCAAATCGCCACGAAAAAAGGGCCCGTGTCAATAGTATACGTCTACTGGTAACACATCAGGGTAGAGGCAGCTGAAGTCCTAGAGCACTGCTATCTTAAATAGTAGAATGAACGATATCATAGTATCACTAGTGTAGACTGTTCTGTAAATTATTTCACGCGCAAGTAAGTGACGTCATCCTTAGAGTTCAATGTGTGCCCTAGCCCATGGATATGAGGAAACTAAATTTCAATGCGACGTAGTGAACCAGCACATATATCAGCAACGCATTGGAATCGGCTTAGCGGTCGTGAATGCATGATGATACAGGCAAATAAATTATATATAGTCCTTCGGATAAAAGATCAAGCGAACCGTCATACCAGCAGGTCTTTCATTCCAACGCGTACGCTCCCCTGGAAGGGCAGACCCAAAAGGTCCATTTCCGTGGCCGTGTCCTCATGGTCACGGAACGGTAATCCAAGGATGTGCACCCCGACATCAGTAGTTCCCTGCAAGCCAGCCAATGCGCCATGGGTGCCAAATACAACCTGCAACCGATCCTGCGTGAAACAAGGTTGCACAAAAAATAGTACTATACATACCTTGCTGATGAAATTGCTGAACTGTTTCTGCCTACCAGGAAGCACCTCCAACGGAACATTGACCATATCTGCGGTGACTGCGAATATGGAGCCTTCTCCTTCAGAGTCGACTTGAACGCTTGTTGCTTCCAACCAATCTTCAGGTCGTATATGACCAAATGCGTGTTCTGGAAGTGGATCCGGTAATTCTTCTTCGTCTTTCTGTTGGGGCAAAAGAAGTGTAGGCAATTCATGGACTTCCCCGTCGAAGACCAGAACATCAGGGAATACGCGGGTAACATCCAGTGTAAGGTCCATTCCTTTAGGCAGCACTATGCGAGCGAACACCGAACCACTCGCAAGAAAACCGGTGCTAGCAGAGTTGGGTTTGATCTTCATGTCGTGAATTGTTACATTGCGGAGTATGTGTGGTTTGGAACTGGGGGCCGGGAATTCCATGTCCACCGCAAAAGATGGGAATAGTGGACATGCAACGGATACGAGGTTAGGTTCGAGAGAGAGGTATCTACTAATGAAAGTGGAAATGGATGCGGAAGGGTCGGTGGGGAGGGGAAGAATGCTTCCAGAGATAGTGAGCGTGACGCTGGGGTGGGTCAGCGTGAACGGGTCGGTATGGACCGATGCTATCGGTACTGATGAATGGTTTTCGCCGGGGAGCGAAATTATGAACGGAAGTGAGGGTGCAATTAGGTTCATTATAGGTGGCACGGGATTGATGACAGTCGCAAGGGCATGTACAGTCACATCTTTAGCTTCAGATTGCACGCCGAATGACTGCAGCGTAATCAGCTGCGAAATGGATGGTAGTGGTACGTCCCTGCCCGGAGTGGGCAAGCCAGGGATTGGCGGAACTGTCGATATTGCTGTAGCATTCTTAGCAAATTAATAGATAATAAGAAGACTTACGCTTCATGGACAACTGAGTTTGTATACCTAATCTCTGAAGCCTTAGCATGTGCCTCCAGCCGTCTTTGTTCGTTGAGCCCCCGGAGACGATCACGCTAGGAATAGAGGCATGTACAGACGCAGCACCAGAATGCCAGGAGTCGTGCACGAACTGGTTCACATCAGACGCGTTCCGGGTGGGGACGACAAGAAGAGTTAAAGACAATGGGGATAACCACGAATCATCATATGGGGGATCGACGGTGAGAGGAAGTTCAAATGGTGGCGAATCGAACGTGGCTAAGAGTGCCTGTCGCTGAGAGAAGATTTGAACGGTAGAGACATCCACTGTAACTCTGCCCAGCATCTTGACGCCCCATTGACCAAACGACTTCCATATATTGTAGAATGTTCCCTCGTCGTCATCCATATCGGCTCCCATGATTGATCCCGCATCAATTCCAGCTCTTGCTTGTACTTGTATCCATGTCCCGCCGTCTGCTGTAACATCGAGTACACTCACCCGGTATGGTCCTTGTATCACAAGCGCATTCTCTAAGACGTCTTCTGGGGACACATCCGACAACCTGGCTGCATAAAAGAATGCCAACAGAACAAGCAGCAGAAAGATTACGATGCAGGAAGACAGAGATGCCAGGAAAACGAATACAAGCTTGGACCAAAGCCTTCGCCGAGCGTCCGAGCTGCTTTCGAGGTCGACGTTTTCATCGTCTGTAGCACGTGGCTGACTGGGAGCAACTTCATTGTGATGTAGTAGCAGGGGTGTTTGTTCTGAAGGTTCAGGATGCCTGGCCTTTCCTTTGCCCTTGATACATGGAGGAGAATTGTCGTTTTCCGCAAGTGTCATGAATCCAGTAGTTGTCAGGAGGAGTGGAGTAGAGCTTGCTCAGCTCAGTCTGCTGGTACTAGTGCTCTTGGGCTACGCAAGTCCAGAAAAGGCCTCAAGTAGACTATTGTTAGTACAAGTTTACAACTAGCGCTTATATAAAAGACTACAAAAAAAGGTCTATAAGAGTCTAGACTATGTATAGCTCACTAGTGTCGTGCATGAATGCATGACCCATGACCCACAAGTACACAATGATACCGTTGCTGTACAACCAAACGTATAGTAGTAATTATTCCCAACGAATTTTATTTTCCGAAACCGGCCGGATTCACGTCCGACGATTGATCACAGCGGGGGAGCGATGAGTGTAAGAAAAAGGAATTTTGGCCTATCCACATGAAAGTAGCTGCAATGACAAGGCTGCGAACAATACTACTGGTACTAGTACTCGATCACCATAAGCTTAGTGAGCAAAATTGTCAAATCCCTCGGGCGAGCCTCGAACAACTTATACATCCACAATCGATTTCAGAGCTTCGACTGCCTCGAGGAAACACCATATTTCCTATGAAGAAAGTCAGCCATAATTTGCGCTGTATGGAAAATTAGCTATCAAACAATTAGTTACTCGAAAGTGACGTACCAAGCGCTTCTGGAGACTCGTGAGGAATCTATGACACGATTATGTTAGTTATACAAACGATTAAGGATGAAATACTGAGATACAAACAAGATGATCAGATGACTTGATGATAACGTTGGATGAATTTGCTTGTCTGCGCCAAACACGCTCCTTGGAGACTTGCTCCATCATCGACCTGTAACTGTAGTGCTTATTAGTTACTGAAAATTTTCCTGCCTCTCTGACGTACACTTCCCGGGTTTCTTTTCCGGGGAGAATCCATAGCAGCTCGATATTCTCATCAAGCCTTTCCATCGACTCCCAGGTTTCGCGGCTAACTTGTAGGTTGGCATAGACAATAGCCTCGTGAATGGGGGGAGTTTTCAATCTGACTCTTCCACTTCCATCCTCGTATAGTCCGTAATCGACATAGAGCCGAAGTACATCAGGATGCCAAGCGGAGAACACAGGTGAAGATTTGAAAGAACGCAAGGCGTCCTCCCTACAATCATAATCAGTGGATGCGAGGATGAAGATTGATATTTAAGCACCGTGATAGCCAGTGTTGACGCCTTATCAAGGTATGGCCAATCATGCGTTGTGTGTGCTCCAATGGAATTCCTGTGAATGTATCGATCATCGCATCAACGAGGATCAGCGAGGAAAATAAGGCCGGGAAATTTAACGCGACTGAAGCACTGCATAATATCATGAGGTTCAGCAAGGCCTTTGAAACGCGATAACATACACCACACAACCCCCGAATGAGTGCCCCGCTACGACCAGGGTCCGGGAGGAGAAGCCACTCTTTTGACGTGCTTCGCTAATGGATGCAGGAAGTCGACGAAGTTGGATAGGCAGCACAGATATATCTACTTTTTCTGGCATGTAGTTGATGAGAAAGTTTGTAATATCTCTTGCATTGTCAGTCCAATCAACTGCTTTCAATAAATCTCAAGCGAGCGGGTTTGAAAAGCGTTCTCTCACAGTTACCACTGAGATTCTGTCTGTTTAGCAGAGCAGAGTCCCCGTGTTGCACGGACTCCCATGACCATATCTCATCTATGACACCACAGACAGCTAGCAGATAGCATAGGGTGGTTTCCCAAATCTAAATATGCATAATGTATAGTCAAATTACTAGCATGAGGACCGTGAACAGACATCGCACTCACTTCCTTCGGAAAGCCCGTTCCGTGCACAAGGAATAGCGTAATTCCCTTCGTTCTGACTTTGGTCTCCTGGTCCCTTTTTGAATATCGGTTGACACAATTCCACAGCAACCTCTCGTCCGTGATCCTGGAGTAGCCGTCCTCCCCTTGCCGGGTCTGTTGCTCTATGAGTTCAAGTCCCAGTTTCTTGATATCCCTCTCGGTTATTTTTGAAGAGCGGGGGGGTAGTTCAGGAACTGGAGTATTTGGGGTGACTCTGGGGTTGGCTGCAAGTATGATATGCGTGCTAATGTCGTACATGCCAAGTAAGTTGTCGGTCCGAGGTTTAAAGGGCAGGGGCGGGATCTCGACGCGCCCCTCATGGTATTTCACTGGCACCCATGGGCGCGGCTTCACGGACGTCCGGAGTGTCGTAGGAGTGTAAGGGAATGAGGAGGGCATAAATGCTGCTTGAAGCTTTAGCATACACGAACTGGACTTGGCTGAGTGGTTCCCGAGTAGTTAGAACGTAATTTTATTACTCCCTGAATGTCGGACGATTCTGTAAGGGAGAAAAGGTGGGCAGGGAGGCTTGTGTCGTTCAAGATTAAGCATAATTAAATGGTCATGAATAACGCATATATCATAAAATTTACGTCCCACAAAAAGTAGGGAAAAGGTGAAGAATGTTAGAATAACGTATTTGCAAATTTTGAGCTCACAGGATCAGCGCAGTGTTACCAATACCGGAAATCACTAGAAGCATCCTGATACATCTCGGCAAAGGTATGCGACTTTGCTCTACGAAGTAGGGAGGGTTCTGTATGCACGAAATCACCCGGATGCGGACCAAGGTCATGTTGGATGGACATTGGAAAATAATCTGTCAATCACCTGATATGAACATCATGTTGTGTAATCACGTAGAAAACAAGTAACCTAGATCTAACATCTAGACACTCGAAACTGTAGCAATTACAGAAATTCAAAGCACCGGCCAACCAATTGCCTGCATATCGGAGCAAGGTCAGAAGTTCGCAGCGCGAAGTTCCTAGTGTTCAGGCGCCTGTATGCAAATGTACATCTGAAAATATTTCCTTTTATGTATATATTGTCTGAGGGTTTTATGCGTGTATGCATCGGACGGATTCGGACCCCAAGATCATGACCGGACCAACACGCTAGTCGCAGTCCGAATACAGTATACTGATGGTCCATGGATCTGGATATCACGAAATCCACTCAACCCCAGTGTCACAAGTATGTACGCACACAACCGCTAAAATCTAAGACTGGGCTACATTTGTGTGAGAAGGCAAATCAATGCGGAGATGCTTCACCAAGTTCTTCTGATTGGCAACGCTGGCACCGGCATTTGAAGAACCAACTATCTTCTAGATCCCGTCTACGCTGCGTAATGGTTTGATCGGTATCGATATAGCTAATGCAGAGCTCCTCGTCAATTTCGACTGAGCGAGAGGTGGTGAAGTGCATAGCACGTCCGACACGCGTCTTCTTGACATTTGGGCAACAACCTTTGTGGGCCGACGTGCTGAGTAAAAAGGCTTACGGAGAAGTGGGTTCTTACTGTGGTTAAAATAACTCGCGCCCGCCCAAAGGCCCCATCCGAGCATTTCATCTCTGCTATCTCCATCCCAAATGCCGAAAGCATTCCCGGTATCGCGCGCAAGGATATGTCGGGCCGTAGGAACGTACAATCTGAGATGCTTCGGAAGCGAATGGCACAGAAAAGCATATACGCGTAGATGCGCCGCGAGAATGTAAGGCCGCACGCTGACATTCGAGAGCTCGCTGCTCTGGAGATCAAGAGCCTCTGTCCATGGATCCAAGGCGGATATTATCGAAGAAACTACGGGACTGGCGAGACGGTGATCGAATACATATCGCTGCACAATGGCTGACGCAACCGAGCGTGATATTTCGAGTTCCATATCTTCTAAATTCATCGTCAAGCAGTACGCAGAAAGACGAGTACGAGAGGAAGCCAAATCCTCGACATCCGTCCATGCTTTGTCAATGTAGTCTTGCGTGATTTGTGCAGTGGGACCATTTGGCAATATCGGATCGTAGCCGTCCCTGGCTGAATTCCTCCGAGTAGCTATCTTTGCTTTACCAAGAAGAGCATTGACATCTGCAATCAAGGGACCTATCGCCCCACTTTCCCATGTGACCTTGCATTCATCTGTACAGAACCAAACAGTCTCTGCAGTTGCCCTGCAGCTTCTGATACTCCAAGTCCGTGAATCGCCGATACTTCGGGAAGTACTTGCTGCATAAGCGAAACACTGAGCACAGACCTCCCTGCGATAATCTTTGTAAATCACATGCGCAAAAGGAACTTCACATGCAAAGATCTTGGTCCCCTGGGCAATGGGCTGGAAAGCAAAGAGAGAACGTCCCCCGTGCGGTGTGGTACGCAAGTCGATTAGCGGCCAAGTCATTTAAGATCGTTCTAGCTTCTATGCGCGATTGTAGCGAAGGAAGACACACCAAGGATAGCTGGCCGGGTGAAGTGGAAACTACTAATTCGCCGCTATTTTCTTCGTGTGTATACAATTCTTTGAAATACCATCAAGAAGGTTGAAAATTTGAAACCACATCCAGGTGTCACGCGTCACGTTTTGGCTGTGACTTACGCTCTGCCAATTCTTCACATGAAGAGCAGGTTTTTCAATGCCGAAAAGCCGAAGTGCGCTTACAATAATCTACTGGCCTCGCTCGCACTGACAGCCAACCCCTAATCTCAGAGGCAGATCAATGTTCTTTTGATCCATCTGCCAGACTGGGGTGTGATCATGAGGGAAATCGATGATCGCTCCGAGAGTGATGGCATGATGTCACAATTTTCTAAAGAGCTTCACGGGGCCTAGACTGACTCGCGCTATCGGTTCCACTTCCCGCCCCAAGCTGACGCTTTGGTCCCACCAGTGCCAGCACAAACCTAAATAGACTATGACGTGTTCGTTCTAGCGATAATTTGCGAGAGAGGAAAGGAGACAAAATGAGACGAAGCTGAGTGGCTGTCCCGATATTCGACACAGTTGCTGATATCACAGTAAGTTCTAATTGCTTCCTTATATCAGGAGGTTCGACCGTCTAAACTTCGCCAAAGGCCCTTCAAAAGTGAGTGCAGGTAATGGGCTTGCGCCCAGATTTCGGACTTCGACAACTGACCAGATAGGTGATGAGCTCCAACAGCATGGAGTCCACGGCGTCGGTCCTCTTAGACTCGGCACCTGCATAGCGTTCAGCGGGCTGCCAATCATATCTGTGGCATCCTCCAGATATGTCCGCATGCATCTTTGTAAAGGTACGCGGGAAGTGGCTATCTAGTATATAGCAAACGAGAGTCGGAGAACTAAAGTAACATACTTTACTCTCTCACTCACCCCATCATGACATCTACGTCGCAGCTTTGTCAGTCAGATCTATTCGAGAAACGCTCTGAGCTCCTCAGCCGTGACGCTCGAGTGGTTCTCTCGTACGAGAGAGCCAGGGCTATTGGCTTAGCGCACGGTGCATATGAAGCATTTTTGTTCATGGGACACATCTTGATCTCGTATTGCAGGCATTACTCTTCATGACACTTTGGATTTGACGCAAAAATTTTGGGACATGCACATTGATCCAATTGTGGTCCTAGACGGGGCTGCGTTCACGCTACTGATCATTCAGTACAATTTGGTCGCAGGAACGCTTGCACAATATGCTGCAACTACTAGACCTGATCTGGTTTCCCTCGTAGAGGACATTCTTCGATGGGATGTTATGTGAGCAAACCGTACATTCATCTTGCAGAAGCGCTACACGATCTCGTTGCAGTGGTCAATTCTGCCTTACCGAGCTGGGGAGAGGCCTAGACATCTTTCGAATGAAGACATCAGCAACACTTCTCCCAACGGGTCAATTCGATCTTCATACGCCGTTGCCCTCGGATGCCAAGTACGATACCAGTATATCCTTGAGAGCTGTTAATCATGGTAGCCCAGGTTCATGCCGCCAACTGTTCCAGTGAAAGGTCTTCCATGTGTCGCTATTGTTTTCGCACAACTGTACGTGAACGGCGAATGCCGTGGACCTCGACCGTTTCTTGTCAATATAAACGACGGATATCATATGTGCAACGGGGTGACTTCAAAGCGAGTGCCTCTTTAAATTTATTTCATCTATTTCAAACTTATTGCTCTATAACCAGGTTACTACCACCCAGAGGAGGCTCAGCTCCCGTCAACCATGCACTTACAAGCTTCCATCATGTTCGCTTACCACCTTCAGCCCTTCTCGGGGACCTCGACAAGTCCAACAGAATCCATCATGACTTTATGTCCTCTATATGGCGTGTTATGGTCGGGTCGCTAGCCATTGGCTCAATGGCAATACCTGATCTTCAGATGTCATCGTACATTGCGGGCGTTACTTTCAGCGTCGTCATGTCACCAACGTGCATGGAAATCTTGTACCCATACTTTCATACCGGACGCAACAGCTCCCTCTACTACATGCCATTGCTCAGGCGTTCGTTCTAAGAGCGTTTTATAAATGGGCTATCGAACAGTTCATGGACAAGAATCTCGATGTCCGTGTGCGACATGGCGTCGCGGCTTGCTGTAAAGCGGTCATGGTTCAACACGCACAACTTGCAAATTATGCCCTGTCTGAAAGAATGGGAGCTCAAGGCCTCTTCGAATATAATAGGCTGTCCAATTTATATGTACGAACGCCTTCTCTTGGTCAGTCATGTTAGATCAAGAATTAACCTGTTTCGCAGAGCGAGATTAGGGGAGTTAGCATCGCTGAAGGTGACATTTTAGGTAGGCGACTTTTAGCCTTCTCCGGTGATATGACACTGACTAAAGATATCAGGGCTTTCTATGCGTCAGTGCAGTGCATCGATGTCTGCACAAGCTAAATACTTACAGATGAATTATAGGACTCGTGGAAGATACCTTGGGGCAAATGTACACGTTACCTCTCTCGACACACCCAGACAGCCCCCTTGCGTTGCACGAAATCTCGTTATTCGATGAGGCAACCGAGACGGTTTCCTCCTCATTCGACTTCACACAAGGGTTCATGCAATATGTGCAGCCGCGCTGTCAGCTGATGGTTGAATCCATGGGACATCGCATGGCCTATGACGCCGCTGTCGACCAAGGGATATCCCAGTCTCTCGTCGATCTGTATCTCATCAACGCGATCAAGACAGATGCTGCATGGTATGTAGAGCGTAGCATACTTACGCGACAGGCCATTATGCGTATGGAGGATACTGCTTTGTTGGCGGCTTTGCCTCGCCTGGACGAGTTGCTCGCTGCTATGGAGGTTGAGCCATACGTTTCGTCACCCATCATATCGGATGAGTGCTGGGAGAAATTTAGCAAGACGTTGCCTGTCTATAGCTCCCCTCAGGCTGAGGTGCTAGCGCAGTCGACTTTGGTTTCGGAGCGAGCTCGACTTTAAAGCTCTGGGTCACTATAGCATTGAATAAAGATATGATGGATATTTATAGGTGACAGTTCCTCATGATTAGCTAGTAATTTGTTTTTCTCCCCGTGTACTTTCGATGTCTGGGAAATACCCATGCCATGTAATACTATCCAGGACATAAACAAATAGATACTCGACCCATTGATATACACGTCGGACTGGTTGCTCAAGTTTCCGGGTGTAGTGTCGCACAACACTCGTTTATGTACGCAATTCTAGAGCTTTGATCTCCCTGAGGAAATATCGTATTTCCTGTTCAGGAAGTCGGCCATAACTCCTGCTGTATGAACAGTTAGATGGGAATCAATTAGTTTTTATGTCAACATACCAAGCTCTTCTGGAGACTCCTGAGGAATCTAAGGTACGATTATGTCAGTCATAGAAATAATTGAAGGCGAGATACCGACGAGATGGCTAGATGACTTAAAGATGATGTTGGATGAATTTGCAGGTCTGCGCCAAGCACGCTGCTTCCTCAGTTCCACTAGCATCGTCCTGTCGGGTAACGCCTATCAGTTAGTGAACTTCATTCCGCCACCTGACTTACACATCCAGGCTTTCTTTTCCGGGAAGAATCCACAGTAGCTCAATCTTTTCGTCAAGCTTTTCCATCAATTCCCAGGTTTCACACCTAGCTCGTGGGTTCGCAGCGATAAGAGCCTCGTGAATTGGAGGCATTTTCAATCTGACACATCCGCTTTCATCCTCGTACAGTCCAAAATCAACATAGAGCCGAAGGACGTCAGGATGCCAAGCAGAGAACGCAGGTGAAGATTTAAAGGAACGCAGGGCGTCCTCCCTGTAATCATAGTCAGTAGTACTCTGATGCAAGAGTATTGTTAAATTTTAATCACCGTGATGGCCATTGATCGCGCCTTATCAAAGTAGCCCCAACCACATTCTGTGTGAGCTCCCACACAGATTCTTGGAAAGTATCAATTATCGCATCGACGAGTATCATCGAGGAGAACAAGGCAGGGAAATGCAACGCGGCTAACGTCCTGTGCAATATCGTGAGATTCGACAGGTTTCTGAACTGCGAATGACATACACCGAGCAACCTCCAAACGAGTGTCCTGTCACGACCAAGGTCCGGGAGGAGAAGCCACTCTTTTGGCGTGATTCACCAATGGATGCAGGAACTCGATGAAGTTGGATAGGGAGAGATGATGTTTCTACCTCTTCTGGCATATAGTTGATGAGAAAGTTTGCAATGTCTCTCGCATTGTCAGTCCAATCAACTGTTGTCAATTAATTCCAAGCGGAAGGTCTAAGAAACGATCTCTTACAGCTACCACTGAGATTCTGTCTGTTTAGCAGAGCAGAATCCCCATGTTGCACGGATTCCCATGACCAGATTTCATCTATGACGCCACAGGTAGCTAGGAGATAGCATAAATTGGTTTCACATATCTAACACACGATTAGATTCTCAGCATGCATGAAAAGGCATCACGAGACTTACTTCCTTCGGAAAACCCGCTCCGTGCACAAGGAACAAGGTGATCCCCTTCGTTCTGATTTTGGCCTCCTTGTCCTTTTTTACATATCGGTTGACGCAATTCCACAGTAACCTTTCGTCTGTGACCCCGGAGTAGCCGTCCTCACATAGCCGGGCCTGTTGTTCCATGAGTTCAACTCCTAAATTCTTGATATCCCTCTCGGATCTTCTTTTCGAAGAGCGAGGAAGTGGTTCTGGAAAAGGAATATCTGGGGTGACTCTGGGATTGGCTGCAGGTATGATATGCGTGCTGATCTTGTATGCACAAAGTAAGTCATCGGACCTAGGGTTGAAGGGCAAGGGCGAGACTTCGACGTGCCCTTCATAAGGCTTGAATGACACCCATGGACGGGGTTTCACGGTTGTCCGGAGTGTTGTAGGTGTATAGGGACAGGAGGAGGTCATGACTGTCGACGACTGCTGCCTGAAGCTCTCTTTTCTATTAATTTCCGGTTCAGAGAATACCAGATTGACCGTTATCTTGCAGAATCAGCACGGATTATATGCCGCTCGGTGATGGCTGTACCATTAAGCTGGGGGTCTTTCATTGTGACTGCCGTGACCGGACTTTGACGGTTCAGAAATTGTTCGAAGCAACCGAGCAAGGTCTAGTGAGGTCCAATTCATACTGATGTGACAGGCTACCAGAAGCCGAGTCAGAAAAAGCATTCCAGAAGTTCAGAACGGGAAATAATCACTCAGCTACAGTCGGATCTCAAATCCGTCAATCAGTGCGCTATAGTCACGCCCACACCCTATCCATCACAACCCAAAGATAGATATAAATATACCTAAAGAGAACGAGCTCAAGTGAGTTCTATAGTACATCAGTAAGGTGTGTAGTATGTGTATTAAGATATGACTTACCCCCAGCCGAGTATAAGAGGCTGGGGACAAGGTGATAAATGAGTGTAGCGAAAGTATCGCGCGTGGAACTACCTAATATGGTAAGTCCGCTGGCGTTGAGTGAGCGTTTGAGTTACAGCTATCTTCATATCAATAGGCCAGAATCTGGAAAATTCACTTAGCTGCTTTTGTTTCTTGTTGGAGCGACACCAAACAGAGGTGTACATAGGCATGCTCAGTTCTTATGATGTTAAGTTTAAGGTGTGTGTGGTTGACTATATATTATAGAGGGACTCTATGGAGCTGGATCTGTTTAACTGGTCACATCAGGAAAATAATGATATATTATAAGGGATCTGAGACAGTCACAAGCATTTGAGGAACAGACTGGAACAACATAAGGCTAGACCCGAATGATGGCAATGGCAATATATTCATATGGTGACATTTTTTTAACAGGTGCCTGAACACCAACAATTGACAAAACCCTCCTCCCACTAATTGTGGGAGTCGGGGATAGGCATTCGAGTGCTACTTTGTGGGTTGCTATGTGGAGTCATTCATTCACAAGAGATGGATTAAACACCTGTACTGCCATAGTTCTGGACATATGACTAACACAACCAGGTAGGGGTTGGCAATTGCAAGCCTTGCAGTGTAAATTGATGAATTGTGCATGGAATGCCGAAAATTGATTGTCAAACTTGTCTGTTACAAAACATGAGTTAACACATAGTATCTCTATAGTGATACATCAACAGACATCAGCAATGGGAGGTCACTGCAATAGTTCTACCCAACATTGCTCGATGAAGTTCCAGTGGGAGTCTTCAATGGCAGGGATATCTGGATGTTTAGGCTTGACACCCCTAAGGATGGCCATAACTACCTGATGATCACTGTGAATATTACAGTATGGCTGCTGGCCTGATAAAACCTGACAGAAATGAGAACAAGAGCACTGTAAATATACACTTTTGACACACCAGGTATGTGATGCATCCAAAAGAATAAATATCACTTTCTAGTTTTGGTGAGCTAAACACATCATCGTTATCTGGAACTTTGAAAAGCTCAGGTGCATCCCATCATGGGTTTGGCCTGGTATACGAGGTCCCGTTTAGGTTGGAACATGTAATCAAGAGCCCATAGTCAGTTACAAGAGCTCTTCTGTTGCTATTGATGAGTACATTGCTCTAAGAGGATGTGAGAAGTGTCACAAATCTGCATACCACACTGTTGCTTACACCTGAGAGATCTGCATGAGCCACTTCATTCGAGTGGACTATGCCCCATATATCAGCTTATCTTAATGCAATGTAAAAATAACATGGTACACAATATTGAAGACCAGCAGCTACATCAGCAAGCTGTTATGACACTCATGAGTTGTGGTGCAGTTATATCATTGGGGAAGACTTGCCAAGCTGAATTTGTGGGCCTGAGAAAGATTGTCATAGTTTCTATTGAGATATGTGCTTAAGGATCCATTGGACATCCAAGGAGTTATGATAGCTGCCACTGGACCAAACCCATAGGCAATCCCGCACAGGGTAAGAATGTTATCATGGTGCAGTGGTTTCCACCTGCAGAAGTTGTCCATCAATCTCTGCAAATATTTTCATATCATTATAGTAGGTGTTATACATTATATAGGTCTACCTTGTTGATGATATCCTTGAACTGGTTGTCGTGAATTTCGATCCTCACACACTTAATGGCCACCTTGAAACTTATCATCAGATGTCAGAATTTACCATGAAAATTATACCAACCTCCACATTGTCATCTCTTCCTGAGAATCTGCATTTCCATATGTCACCAAAGCTGCCCTGTGCAGTAGCATGAGTAAATTCCTTGACAATCTTTGTGGTAAGGTCAACCAGCTGGCATCTAGATTGAGAATTTTGTCATGAGTCAGCCTCACTGGAGCCCTGTAAGAGACTATGCCCACTCACTCATTATCATTGGCATCTACATCCAGATGCATCAAGCACAATACTTTTATTTCAGATTGGATCTTCCACCATTTCTTAGGCATCACCTTCAAGACCCAGGTGGGAAGGAAACCCATTTATCGGACTGGGAGTGTGATAAAATTGGATCTTTATGGGCCAGTTGGAGTGACCACAAGAACAAGAATACTTACCAGACTTTACAAGATTCTTTGTTATGTGAGAGTTGTCAGGATCATGGTGAGGGGGAGCTCCAGGGAGGCCACTCTGTGCATCATTGGGAGGATCGTCAAACAGGCTAGGAAAATCTTAAGGCTCATGTAAGTGATGGTCAACAAGGTTTCACAAACTATGCAGGCTGACCTGATGAGGAAGGTCTACACATGACAAAATTGAGTACTTCATCTGCTGAAGGTTGAAGTTTGGGTCTGAATTGCAAGCACTTTTGAATAATGTCCCAATCTGAGTCCATTATTGTAGGATGGCTGTTAGGGTGCTGTGGGCTGCAACCTTGGGATATCATAACAATGATATGGTTGTTGGATTTGGTCTCAAACCAAGGGTGCCGACCTGAGAGAATCTTGTTCAATGAGGCCTCAGGAGGATATTTGGGATCAAAGAACCAGCTCACTTGAAGTGTCACACAACCAAAAGAGTAGATATTGGGTTTTTTCAAAGGTATGTCACAGACTTCTTCTGATAGGACAAGTTCTGGTGCTGCATAGCAGATTTGACCTGGGTGTATAGACATTGCACCCAAGTGCAACTGGCTGAGAAGCAGCTGGACAATGGTGGAAAGACCAAAACTGATTAGCTTCACCTGACCTCCCTCATCAATCAATATATTTGCCTACAGGTTCATCAGTTCTCAAGAATGCCTCAGGAGCTCCAAGCTCACCCCTGTTATATCCCCATGCATGATATACACTGACAACAGTGCTACATAGTACCATACAGCACCACACAGTGCCACACAGCACCATACAGCACTGTAAAAGGGGGGACCTTAACTTAGGGTTTTGCTGATGCATCTTAAGAAAATATATGAAACTGATGGTACTGCAGTCCAGCACTGACATCCTCTAACTTCCAACTTCAGGTGAGTCTTGAGAAATGAAAGTATGTGATGAGAATTCTACTCACCATATGTGAATGGTCCAGTACTGTTAGATCACCATGATTAGATGCCAGGTAGGCATTCAACGTGTCATTGGGAATCCATGGAGTTACTAAGCTGCACAACTCTGACCTCTGTCCAAATCCTGTCACTGTACCCAACAATGGTACAATATTGTTATGTCGTAGAATCGTCAAAATGCCAATTTCTTGGCTAATTTTCTGAATGATCCAAATAGCATAAGTATCATGTCCCAGTATATGGGAACCTCATATTTCTTACCCTGAATATTCTCTCTGAATCATGACATTGCTCTGGATATCTGAAGGCCTTGACCACAACCTTATGTGTTGATTGATTGGTTGGCATAAGTCAGTACATGGTAAACAAGTGTAGCATGTGGACTGACGACAGCTGAAGTACCATTTGCAGTGTAATTACATTTCCATACATCGCCAAATCCACCTCCACTAATGTGGTCCTGAGTTATTTGAGTGATAAAGGGTGTTAAGTCATCTAGCAAGTCCTCCAGCCTACATGGCAAGATCAGTAAAACAGATACTGAGTGTGGCACCAACAATGTGACTATACCCCATACCACATCCAATTAGCAGCCTCTGTGAGTGATGGATGGTCAAAGAATGTGGATTGGATTCAATTGATAGTCCTAGTAGGTTGACTAGTAACTGGCTGGCCCATCAAGTTACCTATACTGCAGTGGAAGCAACCTTTTTGAACACAGAAAAGGCATGACAAATGCGTGAAAAGTAAACAAGGGGGCCTTGTTTTCATACCACTACCATGAATGAAATTTCCCATGCTTAAAAATGTGGGCAAGGTTGAGCTGTTGTAGCTCACAGCACAATCTGGCCATATACCAAATCACACTATAACCTGTATAAACTGCAGATACAATGACAAAACCCTGAACTCCCAAAAACATCACTGATAGAACCACAATGAATGAAAGCAATGACATGAAGGAAACACAATGAAAACACCCATATGCACAGGCCAACAATAAATGGACTAGACTCAATTAAGGAATGACTAAGAAACCAGATAAACATCAAAACACCACCATAAAGACCACAGCATAGATATATATGTAAAAACTGAACACCACCCCCCCCCTCCCCCCCTACTAACTCATATCACTGCTAACACACCCCATATGAAACTCACAATCATCAGCAAGCACAGATAGACCACAGCCAACAAAAACCAAAATGAAACCAGCCACAATGCCCTCACCAACCTACTCAGGAGACCAAAACAAACGAAGATAACTGCACCAAGAAAAGGTATAAAGACCCTACCCCCCCCACCAACTTATCTCCCCATCCAACCAAAGATGAAAGAGAAAGAACCCACCTCCCTCAAGGCCATCTCCCAGGCCACTCACCCATACCCCTCCACCCCCCACCCACCATCTCAACCATCCTGGTCTAGGCCAAAATACTTCCCCCCTGACATCCTGCTGGAAGACAATCTGGAACATGCTATGGACCTAATACCATACATACCTGATCCCCCCCCCACACCCTGCTCCTGACACACCAACCCCCTCAGGCCATACAAACTGTGTACACCCACTCAACCCTGACCTCCTGATATTCTGGGAATTCAGTGTTAAGACATCCGACCTGAGCAAAGATGAACCCCCATCCAGCAGTCTCGCAAACTCCATACATGCCCCTAGCAACCCTGCATCAGACCAAACAATGAATGACCCTATTAGCCCCACCACAGACCATGTCCCAACTCCCAAGGAACAATCCGTCCTGGCACATCTAGCGTTAGCAGACATGAATAGATCTGTGCTAAGTCAAAATAGTGTGAACCATGTTACCACCCTCCCCCAATTTACCCCAGCCCCAGCTAGAGGTTTTCTGACAGTGCACATATCACACTCTGTGCAAATTTTTGACCACCTCAATAACAGAGTCCTGCTTGCCTGGTTTCAGGTTGAACACCTGAAATTCATGGTCAGGGTATTTGACCACCCTGGGAAAGACGTAGCTGAGAGAGCTGCCATAATCATGGAACATATTCGTGCAAACATCACCATCATTGCAGAATCCATTCACCATGACACTCCTTCCATCTGCATCTCCCCCCTGCAACCCCAAGGAGGGAAAGGAGCAAAGAACCTCCCAAATAGATTCCTGGTTCACAGAGTCTCCAATGAGACAAGGGAACTCATTCTGAAGCAATGCATATGGTCCACAACAGACCTAACCTTTGAAGCTCTCTCCTTTAACTGTGCAAACCACCCAGAACTTCTTTTCAGTCTATCCAGCTTCATGACCCTAGATGCAGCCACCATTCTTCAAGCTGTCATGGAAACTTGGTTGCAAAATGAGATCCACAGCCACATTGAAAGCCTTTTCTCAAAGTGTGGCTTACCTGATGATGAGCTAATCTACAAAGCTACCTGAGACTTCATTGTGTCATGCCACATTGAGACCCTTGACTTCAAGATACCAGGAGGCCTCTCAGTCCCACACTTCAATATTTTCACAACAAGCCCCACCAATGACACGAAAACATGGACTGAACTCAAAATCTACCTAAGCTCCCTCATCTACCCTACCAACCTTGATGGCTGTGGAGTTGCAATGGCATGTTGCATATTCCAACCTCGCTATAACCATTTAGTATGTTACATAAGCTACCTATTATTTTCACTTGCACATAGCAAAGCTCGCTCCCTCAGTGACTTCTACCAAGATCACTGAGCTCATATACTCACTGTAGGTTATGAGCCCTGTGCTCATCAACTAAAAACATAACCAAGTATATGAAAAATATAGCCTGCCATGTCCAGCTCTAACAGTAAACTCAGAGAAGATTTTCTATGTGTCCCAAAGCTTGCTGCAGATGGAGAAAATTGGATGACCTACAAAGATAGAATGCAATGGTCAGTAGATGCTTGTGGGTTCCTTGGTCACCTAGATGGGACCAACAAGAAACCAGTAGATACCTTGACATTATCAGGAAGAGGAGCATCATGGTCACCAAGTATGATGGATGAGGTCAGAGAACTTGCTGCATACAAGACCACACTGAAGGAGTGGGGCATGGGGGAGGCAATAATGAAGCAGCAAATTGCCAGCACAATCCCTGACTCTTTGTTCATCCAAGTCAAGGGCTTGGATACAGCACAAAAGATTTTCATGTACCTTTCAAATCTCTTCGAGAAGCATTCTCATGTAGTCTCTGTCGAACTATTGTGAAAGTTACAAGATCAAAAATGCTCTGAAAAGGGTAACATCAGAGAACACTTTGACAAGCTGCAAATGATTTGCGAGCAACTGTCCTCACTAGGCCATGCCCCAACAGATGAAAGCTTCACGGCAATCATCATGAGCTCACTACCCCCATCATATGACCCCCACTTGTCAGCACTGATGGCATCTGCTAAAGTCTCAAGCATTCAACTCACTGCAGACATATTGATGTCAACAATAGTAGATGAATTCAACCACTGAGCAGCCAAGACAAAGAAGAGCAGCTCATTGAACGATGATGCAGCCTATAATGTGAATGCAGGCAAATGAACTCGTCAAATCAAGGGGAACTGTCACAATTGTGGCAAGTATGGCCACATGCAATGAGACTGCAGAGGTGAAGGAGGAGGTGCAGCAGGAGGAAAAGCTGGGGAGAAGTCCTTTGGAAAAGGGAAGGACAGGAAACCTGAGACTGCCGCAAAAGCCAAGGATAACGAGGAAGGTGATGAACCTGAAGGTGGTTGGTTAATGGATGATGCAGATGAGACAGGAGAAGAGCAAACATCATTCACCTATGCAACCCTAGCAAACTTGAACTCCCAACATGAATCTCGAACCAAGTTGCTCGACTCAGGTGCATCGAGACATATGTCATCCTATCGCGATCTGTTCCAAGATTTCGTCAACATCATGCCAAAACCCATTACAACCGCTGACAAACACACCTTTGAGGCCACTGGCAAAGGGAATATTATGATTACCCTGCCAAATGGCAAGTCAAGCACGCGAATACTCCTCAAAGATGTCCTATACACACCAAAGATGGGTGTAACCTTGGTTTCCATCAGCTGTTTCATGGCAGCCAGATATGCTGCATTGTTCCATGCAAGCTTGTGCAAGATCTTCAGTGATGCAAAGAAGCTACTGGGAGAGGTCCCAGTCTCTAAGGGTTTATACTGTGTAAAGGCCCCCAGGAAGTTATTCGCTGGACTTGTGAATGCAGATGAAACACTCACCATGTGTGAAATTCATGCTAGACTTGGTCATATCTCCCTGGACAGCATCACGAAGATGATATGAAATGGTGTCATCACCAGAATCAAGCTGGATCCCTCAGATGCAATGATGGAGAAATGCAACTCTTGCAAATATGCAAAAGCCACCTGCAAACCAATTGGAAAAATCCGTGACCCTCTGAGATGCGAGAAGTTTGGTGACGAAGTCCATAGCAACCTCTGGGGTCCATCTCCCATATGAACTCCTGGGCATAAAGAGTACTTCGTGTCATTCACTGATGACTTCACTTGATTTTCTCACCTGTACCTGCTATGCATGAAGGACAAAGCCTTCAGTGTGTATAAGTTCTTTGAAGCCTGGGCAAACACACAGTTTGACGCAAAAATCAAACAATTTCACTCCGATTGAGGGGGAGAATTCACTGGAGAAGAGTTCACTTGTTATCTCAACAGTAAAGGCACCGAACACAAACTCACCATACATGACACTCCAGAGCACAATGGAGTTGTGGAGAGACTCAACTGCACTGTCTCTGAACGAACGTGTGCACTGTTGCACGCCAGTGAACTACCCAAGTTCCTATGGGGGGAGGCCATCATGCATGTCACCTGGTTAAAGAACCAGACAGCAACTCATGTCCTGGACAACAAGACACCATATCAGATGCTGTACAAAAAGGTGCCAAACCTAAAGCACCTACCAGTCTGGGGTTGCCACGTCAAAGTACACTCAATGAATGGCTCCAAGCTTGATATGCACACCATAGATGGTAGATGGATGGGATTTGATCGCAACAGCAATGGTCACTGAGTTTACCTCTTAGAAACTCAAAGGATAGCTGTGGAGAGGAGTGTCAGATTCAATATGGCAGGGGTGAGAATACCTATAGGAGGACCAAGTGGACCAGAAAGCCATACAGTACAAATCTATGATGTCAGTTCAGTACCTAATGAATCAATGAGCCAAGCACCACACACTGATAACCCCAATAAAGCACCCAGCAATACTCCAACACCACCCCATAATCCCATTCCTCCTTCTAGAGACCACCTGGGACTGCAGTTTGAACAAACCGAGCAGCCGCACTGTTCTGGAAGGGTGAGAATAGAGTCAGCCTACATTAGAAGTCTGTGCAATGGCACAGGCACCACAGATGGCAAGAACACTGCTTTACCTCCTGGGATGCAGCCTGTGGGGGAGTCCAGTAACCTGGCCACTGAGCTAGGAATGGCAGGGGAGTATGGTGAGATAGATGAGGATGATGAAGAGGTCTTTGCGATGGTCGCAGGAGTAGCAGCAATAGAAGGGACTGATCCCACCACGATCAAGGAAGCAAGTGCATGGACTGATTGGCCTAAATGGGAAGGGGCAATCAATAAGGAGTTAAATGCACTGGAAGAAGCACGCACCTGGACTGTCGTTGAATGGCCAGACAATGTCAACATTGTGGGATGCAAGTGGGTCTTCAGAATAAAGAGAAACGCTGATGGAGAAATTGAGAAGTATAAAGTGAGATTAGTAGCAAAAGGGTACTCACAGGTTTACAGCCTCAACTACTACGATACCTACGCGCCAGTGGCACGTCTCACCTCCCTTCGAACCATCCTTGCAGTTGCAGCCAGGAGAGATTGGGACATCGACATTTTCGATTTCCACAGCACATTCCTAAATGGGAAGTTAGATGCTGATGAGGTAATCTATATGGAACTCCCACCTGGACTCAACATCAACAACATGTTCAAATGTCCTGTCGCCCACCTTCATGTCACCCTCTACAGATTGAAACAAGGTGCCCTCAAGTGGTACCAGGAACTCTGCCAACTATTGTTCAGTTTAGGGATGAAAAGAGCAGAGTCGGATTGGGGAGTGTTTTTCAAACACATAGGTGTGGATATTCTCATTCTTGCATCTCATGTTGACGATTGTACTCTCACCAGCAGCAACAGCAACCTCATCACTCAGTTCAAGTCCGACGTAGCAGCTTGCTTCAAGCTCACAGATCTTGGCCCCATCACATCATTGCTCGGCATGAAGGTCATGCACGACAGAGTCGTGTGGACCATCTCCTTCTCCCATGAAAGCTACATCAAATCCATTCTTGCTAAGTACAACTTCTCTGACCTCAAACCTTCCTCCATCCCCATGGATCCTAATGTCCTGCTCTCACAATCACAATCCCCCAAGACTCCTGCAGAGTCCACACCCATGAAGCACATCCCATATCGCGAGGCCGTCAGCTCACTTATGCACCTCGCAGTGGGCACTCACCCCGACATAGCATTCACTGTTTCAACCATTGCCCAATATGGCACAAACCCTGGCATAGCCCATTGGGAGGCCGTTAAGAAAATCTTTTGGTACCTTGCAGGTACCAAGAAGATGGCACTCACCTTTGGCCAAGGTAAACTCGGCCTCAAAGGCTATGCTGATGTGGATGGTGCCTCCCAAGAGCACAGACATGCTATCTCTGGCTATGCATTTTTGCTGGATGGTAGGGCCATGTCCTGGAGCTCAAAGAAGCAGGAGCTGGTGACACTCTCCACTACAGAGGCTGAATATGTTGCTGCCATGCATGCAGTGAAGGAAGCCATCTGGCTTCATCACCTTATCTCTGAAGTCTTTCGTCTGCTTTCCCAACTGACCATCCTTTACTGCGACAATCAGTCCGCCATTGCACTCGCTAATTCTGGCGTGTTTCATGCGTGCACCAAGCACATAGATATCCACTATCATTGCATTCATTTTTCAATTGACAAAGGTTCTATTTTACTAGAGTACTGTCCTACAGACAACATGGTTGCAGATACTCTCACCAAACCCCTTCCTAGCCTCAAAGCTAAGCACTTTACCACTGTGCTTGGCCTCCACTCAGTTTGAGGGGGAGTGTTGCATATTCCAACCTCACTATACCCATTTAGTACGTTACATAAGCTACCTATTATTTTCACTCATGCATAGCAAAGCTCGCTCCCTCAGTGACTTCTACCAAGATCACTGAGGTCAGTACCTTCTATTCATATAGTACATACTTATCTAACAGCTACTGCAGCGAGTATATGAGCTGCAGGTATATATATCAATATCAGTGACTTCTACCAAGACCACTGAGCTCATATACTTGCTGCATGGCACTCTTTGCTTGGCAAATCTGCCACTCCCTCACACACCCATGAGGTCTGTGCCCCTTCCCACTCACCCCAAACTGGAACGGCCCAAAGGTGGGAAACAGGAACAACACAAATGGATCATGCCAACCAGGAAGGGCTAGAGGTGGTAGACCTGGATGAGACACCTAATTTGAAATATCCTAATATCCTAGCACATAGCATTGTAAATCCATTACATACTCAGCTGAGAACCACCATCACCATTACATACACCTACTCCCCCCTTAGTTTTTGCCTTAGACACAACACCTACATCCATACAACCCCTACCTACCTACCCAGCCCACCCCTGTCAACATGTAATAATCACGATCCTTCCACCAAAATGTAACCCAAGACAAGGAAGACCCATGAACTCAAACCATAATAAGAAGCATTTAATCCCCCACACACACATCTAACAACCCACCTAGCCTGGTAACAAAATAACAACATAGCCATGAGCCTTGAAAATAACACACACTCCAAACTACTGAGTGCACCCCCAAAACTCTTAAAAAGAAAAACTAAATCAATGATAATCTAAATCCTGACTGATAGATTGTCAACTTGATTCATACAGTATGCCAAGGTGCATTCTGGACCCCCCCTCCCCCCCAACCCAAAGCCCAAATATGCTGACTGCCTCGCAGGACATGAAAGCTTTGGTAGCCTCAATGGCAATTGCCAACAGCAGAGACCTATTTAGGTCAAGGACTTGCCATGCTGAGAAGCTGAAGCCACCGCTGGATGAGTAAGGTGATGGGACACCCACCTCTGAAAGCATGAGAATATGTCCACCATGGTTGCCTGGGATATGACAACCCTCTCTTCCCAATGGTTGTTTCAGAAGATGCTGACAACTCAACCACCCCCTCACAAAACACCACAAACACCCCCCCCACACAGTAGCATTCCTGGTCCTGGTTTCCCCCCCCCCTCCCCCGAGAAGCAGAGAGGATGGACTTCAAGCCACTGGGCCCACCCTCAAGGATGCTACACAAGAGTTCAGAGGTGGAAACACTCCTATGGCACCCAACCTGGCACCACAAAATTCTACACAACCCAACAATATCAATGAAAATCGACCAAAAATCAAAAAGAAAACTAGATCAAACCTCCATATCGCATCCCTAAACATGAAAGGTAGAACATCCACACAACTAGACAATAACACAATTCCAAAATGGTCAGCTATAAAACAAGTAATGAGAGAAAAGAAAATTGGCATATTATGCCTACAAGAAACACACCTAACCCAAGATCATGAGAACCAAATAAACACACTATACTCATGCAGACTAAAAGTAATCAACTCCAGAGACAATGAATGCCCTGGAACATCAGCTGGAGTAGTGTTCATTCTAAACAAAGAATTAACAAATGCCAACAACATTGAGTTCAGAGAAATCATACCAGGGAGAGCACTAATCCTGAAAACAGAATGGCACAACAACAAAGAACTCAACATACTCAATATCTACACCCCAAACAATCCAACCAAACACAGTAACTTCTGGACAATGATCAAAGACTCAGAAACCAGAAGAAACACTCAACAGATAGACCTCATGCTAGGAGACTTCAACCTAACAGAGGACCCACTAGATAGAGCCCCTGCATGCCCAGACAACAAAAGCGTGATTGATGCCCTGAGAGATCTAAGAGAAAAGTTAAACATACATGACACCTGGAAAAAAATGCACCCAGTATCCCATCTCTTCACATTTTACAGCAACACCAACTCATACTTGAGACTTGATAGAATATACTCATCCCCAGTGCATAATAAAAGCCTACATGACTGGTCAACATGTACATTAGCCATCCTGACCACAAAATGATACTAGTTCGATATGCACCCCCAAATATGCCACACATAGGTAGTGGGAGATGGTCCTGGCCACTAGGTCTCATAAATGACAAGAAACTAATAAATAATATAAGCAATCTAGGGAAAATGATGTAGGGAACAAGAATCCTCTAGGCATACAGTGGCTCAAAAAACTGTCTGCATGTTTTGACATTTTTCACTATCTATGATATTGTGTGAGAAGGAACAAATGCCTCAAGGACATGCTTATACCACATTGTAGTATGGCTTCAGGGCTTTCATTTGAGCCCTACACCGTGGGAATCAGTGGAGATATGGTGGAGACATAAGGCTTATAAAATGATGACTCATGTGGACAGTTTTTTGAGTGTATATTAAAACTATATAAATCATTATTTATGACACCACAAAAATCATGCCACTATTATATAAATTATGAAGTGGTGTCATTATGTTATTTTATGACTATATCTAACTATATAAACCAGAATATCTCATGTATCATAGTCATAATCACCATGAAAACCATCTCTTCTGCTCAAAGAGATAATATCCTCTCTCTGTCTTATGCTGGCCTCTCTGCTTGCCAAATTTCCTCTAGAACTGGAGTATGCAAGTCCACTGTGGCCAAGTTTATCAAAGAAAGCCACCCAGACAAGGAAAACTCTTGTGGAGAACGTCCATCCAAGCTTACCTCTACTGACAAAAGGGCTATTATCCAACATATCACTACAGGAAAGGCTGATAATGCTGTCCAAGCCACCCATTATATCAATTCCACCATCACCACCCCTGTCTCTTCACAAACTGTGAGGAATGTTCTCAAGGCAGTAACAAAGAAGAAAAAGCCTCTTCTCTCCATCAAACATAGGCAGAGAAGACTAGCCTTTGCCTTAGCTCATCAACACTGGACTGTAGAGGACTGGAAGCATGTTATATGATCAGATGAGACCAAAATCAATAGGATTGGGTCAGATGGGAAGGTATATGTATGGAATATGTATGGAAAAAGAAGGGAGATGGCCTAACAGACAGAGAGGTTAATGGGACTGTCAAGTTTGGAGGAGGTTCTTTAATGGTATGGGGCTGTATGGGATGGAATGGTGTGGGAATGCTTGCTGAGGTTGAGGGGAAGATGAATGCTGAGCAGTATGTGGACATTTTAAATGACCACTTGCTGCCTAGCTTGGCAGAATCAGGGATTGATGAAGAAGATATCATTTTCCAACAGGATAATGATCCCAAGCACACATCCAGAAGAGCTAAGGAATGGTTTGAAGAACATAACATCAATGTTCTTGACTGGCCAGCACAGTCTCCTGATGTCAATGTCATTGAACATCTCTGGGGAACACTCAAGAAAAAGCTTCAAGTCTATGAAAACCCCCCTAAAGGAGTATGGGAGCTTTGGGAGAGAGTAGTAGTGGAATGGGGAAAGATCACAGCTGAGGATTGCCAGAAATTAATTGAGAGTATGCCTAGAAGGATAGAGGCAGTAATTAAAGCCAAGGGAGGTCATACAAAATACTAGAATACCTGGTTATTATTGTAAAATACTTGAGTTAAAAAACTGTCCACATGAGTCACCATTTTGTGAGCCTTGTATCTCCACCATATCTCCACCGATTCCCACGGTGTAGGGCTCAAATGAAAGCCCTGAAGCCATACTATAATGTGGTATAAGCATGTCCTTGAGGCATTTGTTCCTTCTCACACAATATCATAGATAGTGAAAAATGTCAAAACATGCAGACAGTTTTTTGAGCCACTGTAGATGTATCATATGACATATAACATCTAAATTTGAAGCATGTGGCTATCAAACCTTCATGCTCATCATTACCAACTATCAGCTTGAGAAAATAACATTTAATCATATTGCTGCTATACTATCAGCAGAAGAATGACCATGGGTCAAAGTGTGATGTGCATGCCACCACATGGAGGAGCATTGAGTAGGTCTCTTGTATTATCAGTAGAATGTGAGGGTCCCTTGCTAGACACCACTGCCAATGCATCACCCTTCTTCTTACAGGGACCATGCTTTATACCCTTATCAGTGTGTTCCCTCCTTGATTTCTTGGTGACCTGCATAGGTGCCCCATCCATTGTGAACACCACACTTCCAGCTGGTGTTTCTGAAGGTACCTTGCATTTCTGGGTCTGTGTTGGTTCAGGAGCAGCAATGGAGGCATCACAATCTGATGGTTGCAAAGGAGGGTTGGCAGGGCTCTTGGGTACTGAATTGGACAGTAGCTGGGGACCTGGTGCATTGTTCTCCCCTTCAGCAATGAGGTCTTCTTTGTCAGCGTCATGAAGGGTGCTTGCCAAAGCAAGAACATCAGTGAAATTTTTCACCTCCCAAGCTTTGTACTCTTCATCTGAGAGCTTGCAGAAACATGAAGCATTGGAGTCCCAGGCATTATACAATACCTGAAGTTCTGTGAGAGAATTAATATTGCTAGGTGCAATGAACTTGCTGAGTGGCCAGTTGTCAAGGACAAAGTGGTATTTTTGTGTAATATTCCTGTTGAAGTTCTGATAGTACATCCTCAATACTTTGAATGGAGCTGCTGCTTCTTCTGTAAATTTAAATTAACATGCAAGAACTTGTTGAGCCTTTGTAGCGCAACTCACAACATTTTTGCATGATCAAAACCTGATATTTTTTCTTCAATGCCAATAAATCCTGTATATGAGTCTTTGCAAGGCCTGGCCAATGAAAAAAAAAACCATATCAGATCATCAGATCAATAAACAATGGAATGAAGACACGAACCTTTGACACCTGAGATACAAAATCCTTCTACATAGAATGCACTGTCTCCGACAGAAGTCCTGATAGAAGAATCAAAGAAATTGACAGTACAGGCAGTTTGAAAGACATGAGGTCAATTGAAGTGGTCAACATTTGCATGGACTGCAATAAGAAGGATCTCTTGTTGAAAAAATCTAAACCTACCTTGGAAGGCTTCTATCTTTAGTCATCATTCCAGCACCTTCCAATGGCATTGTAGGCACAATTCCAGACCCTTCCATGGAACCTGATATATTTTTGGCACTTCAAAGGACCCAATGATAATTTTAGCTGTGTCCAATCAGCTTCCAAGCTTCTGATTATGAGTCAGCCACCTTTCACTGGTCAATTTCAATAGTGTTCTTATCTATGGGACTCATCTATCATCTAGTTTCTTTCTCTATCTCAAGTCCATTTGAAGTTGATACTGTACATATTGTTCACCATGGTGCTGCCGCACACTCATGCACTGCAGCTGCAGGCACCAGCTGGTACCTCATCTGGCCCAAATCCAAATGAAGTATGGTGTAGATATTGTACTTAATCCTTCATGTCTTGGGGCATTACATCTCATGAAAGGAGTTGTTTGCAAAAGCGGGAGAAAAAGGAGGTTAAGGAATTTGCAAAGCTAGCTATAAGAGCAGTTGAAGCACAATGAAAAGGTATGTGTTAGCTACATTCTCATTTAAAATTTTAACATTCTGATGTGCTATCTGAACCTGTGAACCTGGATCAGAACAGCGCAAAAAGCACCATCACAAGGCACAAGATGCAGCCAGCCTGAGTGCTGTCTCACAGCCACTCCTGGGTCAGCCAGGAGGAATGCACTTAGTGGAGTCTGGCCTTGATGTTCCAGGATATGATTACCATGAAGGGGATCTTGGTGATCATGATGCCTTGAGCATCAAAGACTCACATCAATGTGAGTGCTGCATATTACTAGAGCCATGATTCCTCTCCCTGACCAATTCATCAATAATAAAGGCTCAGACTCTGATACAAGCATCTGAGAATGCACCTCCACCCATCATCCCTCACCCTGATCTCAACAAGTTCAAGATGGAGTACCACCCCACCAGTGGTTGACCTACAGTTGTCGAAAGCTTTTCAGTCTATGGACATGCGGATGCAGCACCTCCTTTTGTTGATGACTCTCCATGGCTTCCTTTTTTGTGCCATGCAGACTTCAAGTTTGCCAAACTGGCGCACCGAGCTGCTCTCAGCAAGGAACACACAGATGAATTTTTGCAGCTGATCTGGAACATTGTAGATGGTCATGCAATGTTGACATTTAAGACTCATGGCAATGTATCAAAGCATGGGATAAGGCTTCAATGCAGATGACACCAGTAAGGGTTGTTTATTCCCAAGGCTGTTAATCTAATGTTTAGGTAAAATTATAAACTGCAGTTTGAGAAGCATGTCATATCTGTAGATTATTAGAAATGGAAACTGGACTTTGACATATATTCACAGCCACTATGGGACTGGGCCATGGACCTACTCAACGAGCCTATCTTGGTGCCACATTTTGAATGGAATGCTCAGTGGCTGTACAAGCATGATGGTACTTGATATGAACAATTTATACATGAACCTTGGATGGCAGACCATTGGTGGAGGATCCAAGTATGCACATAATGTCATGTATTAGCTTTGATGTAACTAACCTGTGATAATTTTTGTTGTAATAGTCAACATTACCTAACAATGGAGTACCATTTGCCTTCATTTTGTATGTGGACAAGATGCACTTGTCATCATCTTGCAATGTCAAAGGATATCCAGTAATTACTCGGTGCACAAATCTGCCTGTTCACATATGAAATTGCACTGGAGTAGGAGGTGGTCGCCTTGTGGGCTGGTTACCAATTGTACATTTCTGTTTCACCTCAAACATCAGACTTAATATGATTGTCTTAATGGTGGCATTATTCTGTGACAGGTGCCTGAAGATTCCAAAGAAGACCACAAACTCTCCTACACCAATTTAAAGTGTGTCATTTGGCACAAAGCATTTTTAAAATTTCTCAAGATCATCATACTTTACTCCAAGACAGGATTTGCCCATAAATGCTTTGACAATGTCACACAGTGGTTATATGCACTAATTCTGCTATTGTTGGCTGACTATGAAGAACAGTGAGTACCTTGTCTGGTTCTAGCTTGATTCTATTGACATTTCAACAGGTGTGTGATGGCATTAATACATGGGACAGGCTCGCACTGTCCTTGTCCCATCTCCCTGGTGCCTTCAACAAAACTTCATGACTGCAATGCAACATACCCTGTCCAAAAAGTTGAGGATGCACAAATGCATGTCAAACTATACAAGGAGAACCATGCTGCAGGAGAAGCAGCCCTGAAGGAACAGGGTCTATGACCTATTCAAGTACATCCTTCAAATTGTTGTCTCTCTTGCATACTCATTTTGTCAATCATTAATGTCAGAATGTCTTCTGGAGAATTGCAAACTCAGATCCTCATGAGACAATCTCTCAGGACCAATTGTACGCCTTGCAATGTGGTGTATACAGCTACCATATGCATGAAGAGGTTAAGAAACTTGCAGAAGTTCTCGGGTGCAATGCCCTCAAGCAAATTGATGAGCAGTAAGTTCTTAACATCTGTCATTATCATTGTTTGTCCATCTTTTGTGTGAAGATTTGATGCCTTTCCACAATGGTGGGGTCTCAACCATTTTTGCTGGGTCACAAACATTAGCTTTAGTGATGGGAACAAATTCCAGGACATCTTGAAAGTATGTCTAATTACCTTGTTGACACACTACAATTTCTTACATGACTATTTCAATAGCAAATTCTGTTTGCTTCTCATAATGTGCTCACAAAGCAGAAGAGCAAAGCTGGCTATATGCTCTTGCAGTGCATTGCAAGTTACCTTGCTGTGGACATGTATGTCTCGCTTGACACCCACACAGAGAATGCTCTTGCAGCTGGTGAAGTGGTGAATCAAGATTTCCTGAAGCATTTGGATGTGCATACTAACAATGTGGTTTCTATTGCTTGTCTAATTACAATCATACAAGAGTATATTGATGTTGCAGGTGATTCAACCAAGAACTGGAACTTCCCAAAGGTACATGCTGGGAAGCACATATTTCATGACATATGGGAGAAAGGTGCTGCTTGGAACTTCAGCACTCATCCCAATGAAAAGCAACATGGACCACTCAAATGGATGTATTTACATCAAACAAACTGCAAAGACATTGCAAAACAGGTGATTTAATTATTCTCATTCTTATTATTCTAATACTACCAACTTAGCTTCTCCAATTGAATCACAGGACCCTTGTGTCTGAGCTTATTGGTGCCCACATCACCCACCATGATGAACAGCATCTGTGGGAACTCAGGGATGCTAACTACAATAATGACAATGATCCAGATGACAACAATGACCCTGAGGATGCTGCAAATATTGGCGCATCATTTGAGGGCTATATCTATCTTGGTTCTCCTCAATGCCCCACTACTTTTGCTGATGTAGAGGAAGCAAACAGCTCATTGCACACTTTTGAGCAATTTCAGAAGAAATTTTCGATATTCATCAATGAATTCCTTCCTTCCCATGACATACTGTTACCTGATGGGACAACCTGATTGAGGCTGGCAGCTCAGGACAATGTTAGTTTGAGTCATTTGTTTTCCTGCAACACTGATCAGACTATACTTATTGCAGCTACAGGAATATTGCTACCTCAAAGTGCACTATGAGTCAGTTGTTGACTGGAAGCTTGCTACAGACTATCTTCATTGCAGTCCACTCTTCCACAGGCATGAGCACTGTGACTGCGTGCTCATTCATACTCATGACAAGGATGGTAATGACAAGAACATCTTTGCCCAGATCCTCTTCATGTTCAAGTATACTGTTGGCAACCAATGTTTGGAGCTTGCTCTAGTGCTTCCAATGGATGCTCCAATTGGCCCACAGCCTGCTGTTGATCAGGACCTGTGATTTACTCAGCTGTGTGCATGGCCTGCAGCATCTTCAGAATTCATTTCTGTTCATTCAATCATCCATGGTGCTTTACTTGTTCCAGATTACACTCATCCTGATTGAGACTTCTTTCTTGTCAATGTTGTTGATTCTGACATGTTTCTTTGGTCTCAGCAAAATCTTTTAATATAGTAGTACAGAATGTTCTGAATCATGCCTCATTGCTGTGTCTATAACAACAAAGTCATCATGCTATACTCATCCTGTGAGCTGCCATTGAGCCATCATACTCTACTCATCCCATGAACTTCCACTGGGCCATCATTCTCTACTCATCCTGCTCTACTCATCCCATGAGCTGCCATTGAGCTGCTGTGCTCTACTCATCCCGTGAGCTGCCATTGTCTGAAATGTAAGGTAATGGTGTCTGAACTATTACTGATCAATCTTTACCTTTGATCATCAGATCCACCTCTATCAACAGCTCACTCACAAAGTACAATTCACTAGCTGCTGTCATGCACTTCAAAGACTGCCAAGAACAGCAAACCTGCCTTGAGCATGCAACCACACTTGCTAACATCAAGTTCTTGCATGCAGGACTCAACATTCTCAGAAGCACACCCTGGAAAGTTAACTGAAACATCTTTGACGTCATACTCAAAGTCTGGAACTCTGGTGAGTGGCTGTGACTCAGATCCAGGGCATGGCCTCATGTAAAGGGGAGGAGGTTAAATTCAGTGAACCTGTTCTGGCCAAGGACTTCCCCAAGATCAATAACTGGCTTACATCAAGAACCTGTTAAACAGGCTTGCTGTTTGTGTTGCTGATGCATTGTTCCCTTATGGATGGGAGCATCTTGGTGTTCCTGATTGTCTTGTCCAGACACTATTGACAGACCAAGTGTACTTGACGTTGACTCAAGCACTTGACAATCAGCTGGGAGACTCACCTTTCAGGCCCGCTGGCACAGGTGAGGATGCTGTCTCTATCTTGTGATATCAGACTAACATAAACTTAGGCAAGACAGAGTCCACCAAAGCTTGTTGAGCTGTTCAGGCTGTACATTCTATTCTGATGGTTATGTGTTCTGAAAGGAACACATTGATTATCATTCAGGATGGCCATGACAAGACCTGACTGCAAGCTGATTTCCCAGGTCTGCTCTTCTCATAGGGTTTCCATACAGCAGAATCACTCACTTCAAAGATTGTACCATTCTTCAATCTTTGCAATGAACAGCTCTCCCCCAGCTACATTATGATTTTGATCTCTGTGCTTTGAAGGCTGTCCTAACAGGTGCTAATATCTTGAAGTGTGAGTGTCTGCAGAGTGCAAGATCCAAAGATGCAGATAGTGTAGTTGGTCTTTCTGATAGCATCTTGGAGCAGATTATCCTCATCCAGAGTGTCATGGAGACAATTGTGCTGAAGTTGGTTGCTGATGATGTTCCTTTGCTTACAAGGTAAGCTTTGTTTGTTCTATAAGACAAATGACTTACCCTGGACAATCTACTTGCCAATGTCTTCCCCAGTACTGACTATGTTCCAGTTGACCTCAATGCTTTGCATAAACAAATTCTCAAGGGATGCATGGAATGCCGCCTTGTCGATGATGATCAATGGGTTGCCAAGATTCTTCAACTTTATCAGATTCAGAAGATTCAACATGGTCTCATGATAGTAGGACCTTTGGGTACTGGGAAAACCAATTCTTGGCAGGTTCTGCTTGCCATGCTTGAGAGGCTTGATGGCATTGAAGGAATTCCCTATGTCATTGACCCTAAGGCTATGCACAAGGACACACTGTACAACACACTCAATCCTACCACACATGAATGGAATGATGGGCTGTTCACCTACATCTTGTGCAAGATTGTCAATGATGTTTGTGGTGAAAGCAGTAAGAGACATTGGTCAGCCTTACTTCCCACTGTCATATGCCATTCCAGACTCTCAACTCTAAATCTGCTTCTCTGGATATCCAGATCTGAGATCTGGATCTCAAATGATCTGATCTATCTTTATCTTCCTTCTGGAATCCAAACCCTATATCAGTGCCCAACCCCATTTAGACTTCCCCTGTCTCTGGACTCCAGTTAACCATGTTTCCCTTCTGATTATTGATCTGTTACATACATTTCATTTCTGGTGTTCATTATTTGTGATCTGTCCTACTTACTAATAGACTTTGCATATGCTTCATACATAGCATTTATGTTTGCTGATTGATTCCTATATGATACCTACAGTATATAAACCTCCTGTAACTCTCAGAAATACTCCAGTTCGAATATCATCTTAGTTCCTGCTCATTCCTGTGTCCTCTGGGCTTGAGACAAGTCTCTTGTCATATTCTGAGTCTTAGGATTGCATCCTAGACTACATTTCCGACTCTACCTTAAGGTAGTCTATCCTCTGTTAGTTTCTAGTCCGGACTTTGTCCAGATTAGTCTTATCTGCTTGCCCAAGTAACATCCAGACGTCCATCGGATTTATCCCATGTTTCAGATCCAGATGTCTGTTGTCCACCCTAGTCAAATCCCAGAAACTCCGGACAACTGTTCTAGCCCCCATAAATTAAGGGCACATACTTGGGAAAGGGGCACAGCATACAAGCTGAGGCCAAGCCCTTGTGATCTGACCCCCCTTGAGCACGTGACCTTAACACCCACCCAACTTAATGAAATTGCTCAGGCCATAAGTTCTATCCTAATAGTTATGCATCCTCTTCCAAATATAATATTTGCTCATTCAGGATGGCCACAATGAGACCTGACCACAAGCTGATTGCCCAGGTCATGCTCTTCTCACAGGGTTTCCATACAGCAGAACCACTTGCTTCAAAGATTGTACCATTCTTCAATCTTTGTGACAAACAGCTCTCTCCCCAACCACATTATCTTCACACTCTGAAGGCTGTCCTAGCAAATGCTGGTATCTTGAAGCATGAACATCTGCAGAGTGCAAGACCCAAAGATGTCCTCTACTCATCCTGTGAGCTTCCATTGTCTGATGGGAATTTACAGATCAATGTAATAAAGGGTCTGAACTACTGATCTGAGGCCAGTTCAGGTGTCATGTCTCCTAACATGCAGTGTCCTCAAAGTATCCCTGCCTGCAGATGCAATTAACCTTAGGTATGTGTTTCCACTGGAAAGCAGACTGCAGTTCAGGTCCTGACAGCCATTACCATGCTATGCTTCATCATCCACCAGGCACCTAATCTGTGTGTTGCACTACTCATCCTTTTCTACAAGAGATATACTCATGCTTTTTTACAACAATGCTGGGATAATATAAGGCTGCCTTGGTTATATCATCACTTCAAATCAACAATGATGCTATACTGTTTGCTGCAGATGGAAATGCAATAGGTGTGTATCTTTACCTTGAGCCGAAGTTGTTTACCTGTTTAATTTATTATCACTGACAATCTTATTACTTTTGCATGCAGGATGAGTATGTATTTAGGATGAGTAATACATATTTGTGTGTAAGGCAATTTTTTGGTGTGTGATTAGGTTCCCAATACATATTAATATAAAGGTCATTGTGCTGATTTGTATTTCTTCAGCTCACTATTGGCGACCAACTTTGTTTCAGTACAGTCTCAGGTGCCTTCACATCTTAGCAATACCATGCCCCAGCATCAAGACCCAACAACAAACAATTCATTTGACAGTAGCTCAGACAACAGTTCTGGTTCTGATGAGGAGTCTGACTCCAATGAGGAGCTCATGTGAGTTCACATGGCAATCACTCCTCCTCCAGATGCTGCATCCCCTCAAGAGCTCCATCAAATAAGTCTTCCCAGGTCTAACTGCTTTATATCCACTTACAATTGTTTATGGAAGGCCCTTGCAATTGCCCAAAAGCTTCTACTCAACATGTGCAGCTGGTGCAGAGAGCTGTTGAAGAAGAATGCACTCCTTGAGGCTTCAGCTTCTCAAGGCCAGAAGAAGCTCGCAGCAAATGAACTTGCCCTTGTGGTGAAGCAAGATGTCATCAAGGCCCATGGGTGCAAGTACTCCATGGCATGCTGTCTATGGATTGACACAAACCTGTTCCCTTTGCACATGTGTCCTAACATCAACCTCTCTAGCAAAGAGTGCTGGCTCTCTCCACTTGCTATTGAGGACAGTGTCAAAGCCAAGTTGTTCCTCTTCATTCCTCAGACTGACCATGAGTTGATGAATCACAAAAACTTTGGGAGTAGTGTATGTGCCACTTTTTTTTGGTTCAAACTTCCTCAAATCTCATTATAACCCACTTAGTTTGCAAAAGGCATCAATCCCATCTGTTCTGAGATGGTTTCCAATGTCAAGTTGTGTGCTGGTGCAATTTTCACCATGAGCTCAGACATCTTTCTTACAGGCTACAAATGAAGCACTGAACCCAAATGCCAGGCCCTGCTTGTGAATCCAAGTAGTGCTTACACCAAGTTTGTGCCAGTTCTATTTCCTAATCCTGATAATCCATCATCACAGACCTTTCTAAAGATAGCCAAGCTTGTTCAGGTTTGTATTTCCTTTCATTATGTGCACTACATAATGACTGACCAGGCATGATTACAGATTTTGAGAGTCTCGATTTTTGGCAAGAGTTTGCTATCTTCCACATCAATCCCAGCCAGAAACATGAAGGTGAAGATCTGGGAGTTGCGAACTACAACTCCAGGCATGATAGCAGCAGCAGCCATCATCATAAGTTATCACTGTCTTGTGCTTTCATATTTCACTCATTCACACTTGGTTTTCAGGCGATCTTTCTCCTCTCTGGCAACAAAGACCTCCTTCCAGTGGGAGCTGAGAGTTATATACCATATTGTGAGTACCACAATTGGTACTGCCAACAATTGACAAGCAGAGACAAATGGTCTAAAGACATCCTTACATTTTTCAACAACTTCATTTTCTCAGTTTCCACTTCCATGACTGTTAGCAAATCACTGCACAAGGGAACCCAACTGACACATGGGAAGAAGATTTTGAATGTGCCTTGGAAGATGGGGTGGAAGCACCTGTCTTCAGTGCCAGCACTCCACCAGTGTTGCCCAGATCCTTGCCTCCTAACAAACCCCCACCTCAAGTCTCTATTGACAATACAGAAATGGATTCAGATGCAGTTGCTGCAGCTCAAAGCAGACCCTCAGGATTTATCTCTACTGCAATGCAAGAACTAGTAATTTTAGATTTGGATGCACAGGATCAAGTGGTGGAACACAATACCATTGAAATCACTGACATGACCACAAAGCCCAAGCCCAAGCCCAAGCCAAGACGTGGAAAGGGCAAGACTGCTCTTGATGGTGATTTAGAATTGACAGCGGGTCTGAGTGGTTCTAACGTCTGGAAGTCTTCATGGAAAAAGTAGTCTGTCATCTTCCCTCCTTCATATCCTGTCACTCCCACCTAGAAATTCCTCAATTTGCCTTAAATTGCCCCTCTGAATCCTTGCATTCTCTCAAAATGCATTCCAATTAAGGATAAGTGCACATAATAAGGTCAAATACTGATGTAAGTATCTTAGACTTGGCTTGGACTGAACTTGCACTTTGGAATTTTACTTGGACCATTGTGACAAATTTAACAACAATTATCATCAACACAAACCATGTTGATGAACTCTGAATCAGATGTTGTCAACTACCACACCCTGGTCCAGGACCATAGTTGTATTCCTAGCTCTTCTGAATTATCTTCTGGGTCCATCAAACTCACCCAACAGGCAATGTTTCTGGATTACATTTGCTCTGTGGGAACCATTTCCCAGCTCATCAAGGAACTCAAGGAACTCACACAGTGGTTCAGATGGCATGAAGTAAGTATTTTCTCTTCCATTATTGCATCTATCACATTTTCTAACCTGAACAATTTAAATGTTTCTTCCTTGTGTTATCTAGCTTGTCAAGACCATTGGAGAAAATAAAGAAATGAAGTTGTTGCCTCAGAGGTGGCTCCCCTCCACACCTCACCCTTCTCTGGCTGTGCCATGAGCAACTAGTCCTGATAATGACAAGCATTATGGTATGTTTGTGACTCCTTCATGGTGTATTTGTGGCACTGATGAGCATGCCAATAGCCCTTGTCTATGGTATTTAATCAATTCATTCATTCAAGTCATCAACTGTGGTCATCCCCTCTACTCCAATATAACACCACTCATCCCACTTCTATTGCACCCTGTTCCCTCCACTCCAATGTAACACCACTCATCTCACTTCTATTGTACCTTGTTCTGCACTGCATGCCAGCTAGGGACCTGAACCTATTGTGCACTTGAAGGTGAGGCTACCAGTATAATCCTCCATTTAATGGCTCTGATCTTTCTTTGAATTTAAGTTAGTTACAATTTTTGCTACTGATTATCTGCTACTGTGGGTCCTTGGAATGTCAAGTAATGTCCACAGAAAAGATGAAGCGCAATTGAACCTGGATGTAATGTAGATTTAAATAGTTCATTTTGCAATTTTATCCAAATTTTACTGCATTGCATGCAATAATGCAAGCAGTTCTCAAGGACCTTGGAATTATGTAATTCCATTGGAATGAGCTTCCAGGTATGTACCTTAAAACTGGCACTATGGACCTGGAATGGTCTTGGGAGCATCTTGAAAGGCCCCCCTGCTCCTTCCAAGGGCCTTACAAATAGTTTGGGTGTGCTTCCAAGTACCTCATGATGCTGCTGGCAAATTGAGCCCTTCCAATGCCTTTTAAGGTATGCCAAGTGGACTTAGAATTTTCTGATATCTGTTCCTGTACACGCATGCAATTCCATGAGCTACATAGGTTAATGTCACTTAAATATTCAAGAGTAAAAAACACACCTGGTTGTCTATGCTTTGCAGTGTCTTGTTCACATCTTGAAATGAGTTGAGTGGGACGTTGTGGGGAGCCAATGCCTTACTTTCACATTGCTCTGCAAGCTCTATCATCACTCCTTCAGTTGCAGCTTCCCTTTCTTCCTTTGCCATTCCCTTCCAGTGAGCAGAGATCTCAGCAGCATGTTGTGCAGCCTTGTGGCAGTTCTTGCCTTCAGGAATTCCTAAAATACATTCTGTCAGTTAGTGCCTATGTACATTTATATGATCAACTAACATACCATCATTGATGTTCTTCATCTCCTGTCACACAAATGCATTCTACTATGACAATGAGCACTTGTTCTTTGTGTGATGAGTGTACTGTAAGATTTCTCAATAGTAATACTCAATGTTGTGTCCTCCAAACTTCACACAGAGTTCAGTAGCCTGATCCATTATTATCTGGTTAATATTCTCCAAGGCCTCTCTGTACCCAGCATTGTGTTCTGCACACTTCTGCTTCAGAACTGCTTTTTCAGCTGGAGTACTAGTGTGGTGTGTTTTCTTGCAATGATGCCAAGGAGTTCATGGATTACTTGTAGTTAACTTGTGCATCACAGACAGATAGTGGCTAACTTGGCCTGGTGCACTGAATTTTATGGGCATGGTACTGGGAGTACTGCAAAGTGGGACAGTATCAAGCAAACTGAAAAACAGTAAAATATAGCATAGCATACATAGTGTGTAAAAAATAGTTCACATGATGTAAAGAACCTTAGTCAGTGTCATCCTTAATGCCAGTAATCAAACACCACAAGAATGTAGCTTCAGTCCACAGCATTCCTTTACCAACAAGAATACCTACAAAGTCCCTACAAGTTGAGGTCATGTCATGGGCATGCTTGATGCCCAGAATGGCACAATGAGTGAAGCCATGAGCATAGATGTAAGTGTCTGCAAGATCACCAAACAAAGGAATTGGGGTATTGTCTTCATCAGCAGGTCACTCATAAATGATGCCTGTGATACACCCAAGTTCCCAGATGAACTGATGAACTGGCCACTCAACCTCCCATGTTGCTGAGTGCTGTGTGTAAAAAGTAGAGTGTCTTGACAAAGATTTTGACAAGGTAAGACTGGAGATAGTTGCTGTAGATATGTTAGTGTGATAGGCAAAGACATAGTGTAGATATACATACACAGCATGGAACTTGGAGTTCAAGAGTGATCTGTCAAAGTCAGGAAAGAGAGGCCATGTTGCACTGGAGACATAATACAATATTTAGCATACTTCAACTCATATACAAGATATCCATACTTATCTTTGACAACTGTGAATGATGTGTCAGATTCATCAGAATCATCACTGCTGCTGTTAGTTGGAACTTCATTTATATTGGCACTGATGTTCAAGTCTTCCTCTCCTCTGAGGATCAACCATGCCATTTCCATGGAAAAGCAGGTAAATTTTATATATAAAGCAGAGCAGTAACCATTCACTGCTTGTTTACACTCTGGCCTGCATGTTGATCATGAAGGAGAAGTGGTTTGATGAATAACTAGAGAACATACCATGAAAGAAATATACCAGTTTGGTGACCTAAGACAACACTGTAACAACAAGTGATCTGCAGGAAATAGCTGGAGAGAGTTTTAAGGATATTCTTTGCAACTGCAGATGTTGAGAAAGCATGAGCAGCATTGGTCACTGGGGTTAGCTGTGTAAGATCTGACATTATGGACTGTAGTTCATTGATAATGAGAGCTTGGGCTTCATTTGAGCATTTGATGATGATGGGAAATGGGGGACTATGCAGGCCTGAATTATTGATGTTGGGGCTGCAATGAATGAGCTTTGTGAACAGATATAACAAAAATTGCTGAGCTCACCAATGCTCCTTAATGTCTGGATCCTGCCCACCTATAACAACTCACCTAGTCATAACTGAAAATAAGAAATGATGCTGAAAAGAATAGAAAAGATTGAATGTGAGTGCATGGTCAGAGATGATCAACAATACTGAAAAGATAGAGAGACAAATGACAGCAATGATACAATAACAATAACAACAACAATAAACAAAACCACCCCTGTCCTTGTGACAAGCCTTGATGGCAAGATTGATGACAATGACAAGAAGACTGTCCCTTACCACCATCAAGGAGGCTACAGAGTAGATTGATGACACACATATTGCAGTGACCTATCTCCATATTATATGAGTGAATGGACATGCATAATATCCCATATGATACAGGCCAGCAGACCATGGGCTGAAGGTAAAAATATCCCTGACTATGATAGATGGGCTGGGAGGGATATTATTTCCAATGGGGACAGGTGGGCCCATCTATGCTGATGTTATAAATATCCTCAATGATGGCAGATGGGCTGGGAGAAATATTACTGATGGAGATGGGTGGGCCCATCTGGGCAATATGTAGAGTAGGATAGACATATATGATAGACAGCTAGGCTGAAGAGAGATGTATGGCAGATATTATATAGATGGGCAGGTCAATGTAGGGGTATATTACATAGACAGGTGGGCTGATGTAGGGTATATTACATAGATGGGTGGGCTGACATAGGGGGATGTCATATAGACAGGTGGGCCCAGATACATATCATTTAGATGTATGGGCCAAGGTATTGGTATACTATATGGACATATGAGCAATGCTGTTGCACTAGTTTTGATCTGAGTCATCAATGACATTCAGACTCAGATCCTGTCAATGTTGATCAAAGTCAACACAACCAAGTGCCCTGTTGACTCAGAATCCAGCAATACCTCAGAAGACAGTCCATAGATGTAAGGGCCAAGGTATTTGTATACTATATGGACATATGGACATATAGGCTGAGGTAGCGATATATATTATATTGATGGGTGGGGCAAGGTAGTTGTTATCACACATAAACATAAACCCAACACCCAAAACCCAAAACTCAAAACTCGAACATCAAAACAAATTTTGAAACTCAAATCACCAAGTACTGAGTCCCAAAGCCCAAACATCAAAGCCCAAACATTGAAACCCGAAACTTGAAAGTTGTAAAAATGTATGAGTTTCGTAGGTAGTTGTATATCATCCAAATCAAAGGAGGTAATAATTCAAAGTCATCTAATGATGAAGGTCACAAGTGCCAGAAAATCAGGCACCCAGTACAGACGCAAACATGCAGCACTGACTACCAAGTAGCTAATACACACAGCTTGCATTGCCCTACGAGAAGCCAAGTTCCAACTACCAAACATCAAGTGAAGGGTACCGAGATCTGAGGCCCAGGTCTCACCAAACAAATATCTGATATCCAGCACACTTCCAATCATCTGGTATTTCATTGAGCAATGGACGATAACACATCTTTGGAAAATAACATCATGCGAGGCTCCCTTATCTGATCCTCACTATCTCCACCCCCTTTAACTCCAAAGTGTGGACATGCAGGGTTTGGCATCCAATTTCCCAAAATCAATTCCATCATGACTGTTTCTTCCACTTCCGATATTGAAATAACCCTCTGGCGCACTTGGGCCCTGACTGTCACTCATGAGGCATGTGAATATACCAAACAGAAATTCAATGCAGAGAAGACAGGAGGAGACCCAGTTATACCTTCTCCAAACCTAGACACTGATCTGGTGATGGCTTGTGATTGATTGGTTGATCGCCTGATAAAGGCATACAAAAATCCCAGTGGGTCTTCCTGCAGATTCAGAAAATTTGTTTTATCAGTCAAATTGCTTCATCACAGTTCAGATGCAGATTGATATTGCAAGATATAGCAAATTGATCTCCCTGAAGGACACTGGGCATAATGAAGAGAGAGAGAGAAGAAGTTGCTTGAGAGGTGTCCTCCTGGCCATGAGGGCACAAAGTTGGTTGAGATACCCACTACAATTCTTGATGCATCCAGTACCATCATCACATGGTACATCCTGGATGCCCTGACTGATGTCACCCAGATGTGTAATATATATTGTTACTTGATGGATATTAAACATCAAATGTTGCCTACAGAAGGAAATTTGGGTGGCCTCTGATTTGCTTGCTCCAATCCTCAAAAAAAGCATCAAGCTTGATAGCAATTGGCAAACTAATCAAGAGTGGTTCAAACCAAGCTCAGAAAATGATGTCTTAACTCCTGGATGCATCAATTTGTCTCTAGCATGGTTTCAACAGGGGCACAAGGTAGGATCTGATGAGATGGTGATTCTGGTAGTTAAACTCACAAATCCCCTAGAATCAGTCAGATCCAGAGGTATCTGCATCATTGAAGGGGGCATCCCCTGAGAAGATCCTCAAAGCCATTGCGAGGCCAGCAGCCATTGCAACAGTGGCACTCAGGGTGATACATCCTGAGCAGTATTGGGCAGGTTTGCAAGCCTTTTCAAGCCTCAGAGAAAAGGCAGAAAGCAAGGAACTGCCAAAGATGTCAGAGACTCTCCAGTACTGGGCATCCATATTTAACAGCCCATCTGTCATTTCCAATTGGGAAACCCCCAATCATCAAGACCATTTATCTATTCCTGAATGCTTCAACATTCTCACTACTGTGGGGAATTATTCTAATGCTTGGATGAGTATGCCAAGCCTTCAGCTGGAGTTCAGGTACAATCCAGGTTGCATGATTGTGTTTTCCAGAAGGATTGTGAGACATGGGGTTCATGCAGTGGAAGGGGATTGGATTGCTTGGGCATGGTATATGAGGGATTCTGTTCATGTTTATGCCAGGGTTCTGTCATGTGGATGGGCTAGGGTGGATCACAAACAGTGAAAGATCAAACAAGTAGAAAGTGTAGTTACCCATGTTAGCACCTACTGTCAAATACCAGATATTAGATCTCTGGATCTCAAATATGAGGGCCTCAATATCCAGAACTTGACACTTGATAGTTGGAACTACATACTCAATATGGGATATCTGGATCTCGATACTTGCTATATTCAGGATTTGATATTTGAAACTTGATATTTGACATTTGATGCTTGATGCTCAATATTCAATACTCAATACTCAATAGTGGACATTGAGAACTTGATATTTGGAATTCAACATTCCATAGTTGGGTCTCAATATTTGGGGCTTGACATCTGACAATCAAGTATTGAATGTCAAGACCTGGATACTGAGTCCCTAATATCAAATATCAAGTCCCAAATATCAACACCTGAATCTTGAATATCAACACCTGACTATTGAGTATCAAATATTGAAACCCAACTCAATAGTCAGGTCTCAATATTTGAGATTTGGGTGTCAATATTAGGGACTCAGTATTTGGTATTTGGTATTTGGTATTTGATAGTCAGGTGTCGATATTCAGGACTTGATATTCAGTATTTGGTATTCAATAGTCAGGTCTTGATATCTGAATCTCAATACTCAATACTTGATATTCACCATTCAAGTCTCAATATTTGGGACTCCACACTCGCAACTTGATATACCAGGTCTTGACATTTGATTCTTGATAGTTGAATGTTGAGACCTGAATCTTGAATATCAAGAGCTAACTATCAAGGAATTTGACATTCAATATTCAGGTCTCAACATTTGGAACTCAGTGTTCAGAACTCAGTATGAAACTGCTCCCATGCATATTTATTCCCAACCATTCCTACTATTTCCTTAGGAAGATGCTCATACTCTGCAAGTCTCCTTTTGACAAGGTCCCAGAGATATTCAAATGGGTTAAGGTCAGGAGATTGTGCAGACCACACCATAGTCCTAAATTCCTGCCCATCTAGTCACTTCTTGACCTTTTTACAGGTATGCTTAGGGTCATTGTCTTGCTGAAAGATGATATCAGAAGCATTAAGATCATAAAACTCCAGGAAATTCTGAAGTTTATCCTTCAAAATTTGAACATAAAGATCTCCATCAATTCTACCATCAATCTTAGCAGCATAGCCAACTTCTTCACAGGTCATACAACCCCATATCATCACAGAACTTCCATTAAACTTGATAGTTCCTTATACCAATCTGTCACTATGCCCCTCTCCTGACTTTTTCCAAGCCCATTTGCAACCATCTGACCCTAGGTAATTAATTTTGGTTTCATCAGACCATATGACCAACTTCCAGTCCTCCAAAGTCCAAGTGTGCTTTGCAATATTTGGCAGATAGTAGAGAGTGTTTGAACTTGACTACAGCCCTCATCCCAGCTTTTCAGGTAGCAGCAAGTGGTACTTGGGTTGGGGGGCTAATTGACAATATTTGAAAAAGATTTGATCACTTGGATAGCAGTTTCTGCCTGCTGAGTGAAGATGAAACAAATAGGATGACAGGTGTTGACTGAGGAAAGCTTGGTTGAATGACCACCAGTGAACTTTTGCAAGTAGGAACACTCTTTTTAATGAAGCTTGGAGATAGTAGTAGTGCTGACATCAGTTGTGGAGGCAATAGAGTGAATAGAATGACCAGCATTAAGCTGAAAGAGAATGGTATTCTTTTGAGTAGTAGAGAGAGATCCCGTGGTGGTAATGATTAAGAATAAAGAAGTGTGGGAGCAATTTCAAACTCAGACATAATATTTTTATGTATATTTTTATTTGTATAAGCAAATAACAGTAACTATCCTCTGATTTGACCGAGATCCCACCATCTATGTTAACAACTGCAAAACCATTACAATGGTATCTCTGTCTTAAAATAGGCATATCTTCACATCCCCTTGGCCAAATTACATGATCCAAGTGTCAGTCTGTAGCCAAGGGTTTGTAGTTCACACGCCCCCACCAACACTAAGCATGATTCCCACATGCATAGGCACTATATTGTGTACACTGAAAAGTATCAAACATTGTAATGGTTTTGCAAGTCACCGTATGATTGTCTGGACTTGATACTCAATATTCAGTATTCAGGACTCAGCACATAATGTTAGGTTAGATATTTGGAAGACAGCATGTCATTTTCATGGAGTTTGGACTTCAACATTCTGAACTAAAGGACTAGGACTACTCTCCTCTTCCTCTCTTCAATCTGGTTAGGATGCCAGTGTACACTTCAATCTCTGCCATCTTTTCACTGATGCCCTCTTGTTGCTCCTCAACCAATGTATGGAGGTGTTCTCTAAGCCACTTTAGTCCCATCAGTGATGGAACCAAGGTGTTATCCACCTGCTCAGGAAGAATCAGACCATCGTCCTCAATGCCACCCTAGAACAGATTAATCATCACTCAAGGAAATTGTTCATAGTTCTTACTAGCCAATGCTGGTAGTGAAAGATACAGCAACCCATTACCTGATCCCATTGCCATAATTCATCTGGGATTGCAGTGCATCTGATCCACCATAAAGTATCATAGCCAGATATAATCCTGGAGGGATCTCCCAGATCTGTGATATCATGAAAGAGACATAAGTGGGATGAAAAGATGTGATCCGGAACCATGTTCCAGGTGAGCTGGGGGAACAACTGAAGAATATGAGCGACTGGGTTTGGAATAATTGAAATGATGTCCCTCACAGCCAAGTACTGCAGGATGAGTGTCACAAAAGTCTGTTGGAAATCTCAGCATTGACCACTGCAGTCATCAGTCTCTTACAGCAATCTCCCATTGCAGCCCAGCTTTAAAGTGCATGATCGGAGCAGCAGAAGGCTCCTCAATGTTGGCAGCCTCCATCTGATATTGGGAGATAGATACTCAGATATACAATGCAGCCATTGACATTGTAGCTGCAATATCTGCAAGACTGGGTGTGAGGGGTTGGTATTCATTGCCAGAATCCTTGGTATCAGAAGGGGATACAGGAGGAGTATGCAATACAGGCATGGCTAATGCAGGAGTATGACACTGGAAATCACAATCACAATGACAGTTGGTTTGGATGTGAAGATATGAGCCACCAGTTGATGGATTAAAAATTTCAAACTCCAACATTGGTTGATCTGGGCATTTCCCAAGACTAAAATGTTTGGGTTGAAGTAGCTGTTTCATATTATTGGCAAAAAAGTTCATTCATCTCAAGTGTCCATGAACCCACTCTGCAGGTCTTGAAATGCTGCCTGGGCATCCTGTGCCAGTAATGAATACATTTGGGATTGCCTTCCCAAGTAGCATGAATGACCCAGAAGGTGTTTCACTAATGATTCCTGCATCCTGTTGCCCCATTGGGTTACTTTGCACAAGAAAAACTTACATGTCCAATCCATCTCCAATTGGACCAATGTCATTTTTTCCTTCCACCAATCCCATAGGGCCTTTGCCCGAAGCCAATGAACTCAGTAAACTTCAGATGGGTCCTGTCAGCTGAGCACAGGATATGTCAAGCATGCCTGAACTCACATTCCTCATTCCATGAGTGATCTGGACCCCCCAGGTCCACTTCAATGGACCATAACCAAGCAAGGGACTCATTTTGCTGACCTTGGGCATTTGGATTGCTGGCAGCAGTGCTGATTTTGAGCTGCTCCTGAAGCAGTGGTTTGTATTTCTGAAGCTGGTCTTGCCCTGGCTCAACTTGCATCATTTGCTTCCTGGTCTTTGTATATATACTGGCATGGAGGGACACTGCCTGCTGCACTGATGTCACCTGGGACCAAGCTCAAGTTTTCAGGGCTTGAGATTTGGCCTGCCTAACCATTGTTCAGAATAGGATTGCCTTGTTGCACAAGTGAATCCGGAGGTTGTGAAGGGCATCATTGTCCTGCCCTTCACAAAGTGACATCTCCAGTGGAATCAAATCCTCTGCCATACAGCATCTGCTTCAATCTACCCTGAGGTTTGATGGCAATGGGATGACAGTGAGCTCAGGGGAGTGAAAGAAACTCATGAAATGCTTCTTGGTCCTTTACCAAGTGGCACCCCCTCAAGGACCCTGGAAAAATCAACCAACTTTGTGCCCAATGGCATCAAAGGTGTCAACAACACCTACCCTGTCTCCTCTCTGCTACCTCTTTCTATTACTAGTCTCTACATACATAACGAATGTACTACAAAAATCAAAAAACAACAAAAATAAAGACAAAACCATGGCTCCAATGCCACCCAAAACTCTCCAAGCTACTAACCAGTCTGTAATTGCAACCATGACACCAACCACTAGAGGACAGAAGACTACCACAAGCAAACCCCTGCTATCAAAAAGTAAAGAAATAGAAAATCATTTGACTGACCTAGACACCAGATCTGAGATCAACAACAGCATCACTACCAAAAAACTACTGCTATCTCACAGACTAGACCTTCCCATCACCTGTAATGCTATCAGGCAGATAGCACACGCCCTGCTGGAATACAGCATTACAGCGAAAGTGGGAGCTACACACATCAACATACTCCGATCAATGGCTATACTACTCATCGAAGCAGAAAAGAACTTAGACACAGCAAACCTGATAGAAAAATTCTCAGCCTTGATATGAGGACCAATCACACAACTAGAGGAGAAAGCTACAAGAATCGAAGAAGCTACAGTGACTCACAAAGAAGCCCTAGAAAATGCAGCAAAAGAGCTGCGTAGCACTTTGTCTAACTCATCAGAAAACATTGAAAAAGCAGTCCTAAATGTAACCAAGGTGTCACAAGACATGCCAAAAGCTATGCAACCTGAAGGGATGCACACATATGCAAACACAGTCAAAACTAATGCTCCTCCCCCACTGACCAAACTCCTAGCTCATGGAGAAGCACAAGCAAGACAAATACTCCTGGATAGATGCTCATATGGTGAAATAGACACCCTACAAGGATTGACTGAAGCAGAACTCATCACAAAAGCAAAACTAACCTTAGAACTTATAGAAAAAGATGGCCTCACCATCCACCACAGCTTAATGTTCCAATCAGCACAAAGACTCCCTCACAGTGGAATCCTATATGAACTCGACTCAGCAGAATCAGCAAAATGACTCAGCATTCCATCCCACCAAGCAAAATTCACCATCAACTTCAGATCAAATGCCACCATCAAGGACTGATCATACCACATCATAATCAAAAATGTCCCTACATCTTACAACCCCAGCTCAATATGCACCAACTCAGACATTGAAACAAACATCAGACTCAAGCCAGGCACCATTACCAAAGCAAAATGGATCAAACTGATAGCCAGACACAAGGCAATGAAGGAATCAACTACTAAGCTATGGCACTACAAGGGATGCCAAGTCAGAGTATATGTGTGGTCGTCTCAGCTCTGCCTAGGCTGCTATACTTTGCAAAGGCAAGTGCATTCAACCCAAGGGGAAGCGAGTGCAACACATCCACAGGTTGTGTGAAGCATGGGAAAGTCACACACACAAAGGCAAAGGTGCGCACAGAGAGTGGTAGGGCGCGCGAAGCGTGGGAAAGTCGCATGAAATAGGTAAAAGTGTGCAAAGGGCTAGGAATGTGATGGGGACTAAGGGAAGATGATGACTGATACTGATGGGCACAAGAACAACAAATGCGATGATGATAGAGTGAGATTGCCAAATGCTACTGATTATGGCTCAAAAAATGCGTGCACTATGCTGAGGGATGCTAAGGGATACTAACTGGGAACCAAGTGGTAGCTAACTCCATGATAAAAATGCAAATGGTATCATGCAAAAGGCGACTAAGTGCATTCCCATGATGTGGAGCCAATGCAAGTAAGGTGCAGGAATGAAGAAGGTATATGTAAGTAAGGGTCCATGATGGAATATGGTGTCATGATAAGAATAAATGCGAAAAATGTACCAGTAGGACTTGCTGGACAATGGATGGATGCTCCTGGATGATGGGTGATGAAGCATGGGAAGATTGCGCATGTATAGACTGAGTGAAGGAATGATATAGGGAATGATGCCATGAGTTCATTCTGCAAACTGTATACAGATACATCACAATATAGGGCTCTATGGGCATACAGAGGTGTGAGTCTCTACAGTGAATCAAGGGACGGTGCACATGATCATTACCCTCAAGACTAAAGAGAGCACCAACCAAATTCTCCATTTTGGAATATCGATAGAAGGAAAGAAAGTATTCAGATGTAAACTCCTTCTAGAACTGACACAATGCCTCAAGTGTCAATCCTATGACAGATCACACATCACAGCAGAATGCACTGAAGACCATGATATGTGCAGAACTTGCAGCAAGCATCACCACACAGCAGCATGCAAAGTAGATGACCCTAACTATTTCTAATGTGCTAATTGTGATTGCCAGGGCCATGCCTTATGGAGTAGAGATTGCCCATCCTTCATCAACAAGTGGGAAAGCCTCAAAAACTGATCTGAAGACTCAAAGTACCATTACTTCCCCACCAAAGACCCTCTCACATGGGAAATGACAGAAAACAATACTGAGCAATGGATTGAACCACCAAGACAACCAGTGTGGACCCAACCAGCAACAGACACCAACACCCATGCAACTATAGATGTCTCCTCATGAAAACACCTCATCCTCAACCTCACCCACATCCTCAACTTCAACCTCAACAACTCAACATGCAACAAGAACAGCAAAAACATTGCCAGCCACGTGCAAACCTGAATAGGATCCCAATTGGACTCAACTCACAGCCAACCAATGAAAACAACATGGATCCACATGTGCACCCAAACTCACCACCTCAGATCTCCTCCACCAACACCACACCCTTGTGGTTTCCCCCCCCACAACTCCAGACATCAACATTGGCAGCCCCTCACCACCTGACTTTGCATAATGCAGAACAACAGTAATGAACAACCTTTCCACTCTGACCTTAAAATTTGGCAATAAGACTTATGAAAATCTTCTAGCGCCTGGGAGCACATGCTCCAAATCTCAACCCTGAAAAGTACTATCTCGCATGCATCCAAGAACCATTCCTCAACACCATAGGCCTTGTGAATGCTTCCAACCTTAGACAGTTCTGGGATGTAATATACCCCACCAACCACCACTCAAATCCCAAACAGTCGCAAACCATCCTGCTTGTCAACAAGAAGTTGTCCAAGAACAACTGGCATATCATTCCACTTGACACACCCAACATCACGGCCATTGAGATCCACAGAGACTTCGGAAAAGTACATATCTATAATATCTACAATGCCTGCAATCACTCAAGAACACTCCAATTCCTGGAAAGGCACATAATCTTAGAAGAGGCTGCCTCCCACAACCTCCCCCACACTAACACTAGAGGTGAAAATAGAGCAGATAACACCCACATGATATGGATGGGTGACTTCAACTGTCACCACCCCATGTGGGAATTGACCAGCAACTCTCACCTATTCACCATGGCAAATTAGATGCCATGGGTATACTAATTAATCTTCTCACAGAATACAGCCTCACCCAAGTTCTCCCCCCTAGCATAGCAACCCTCAAAGCCTCAAACACCAAGAATCACACCTGGCCAGACAATGTCTTCTGCTCAGCCAAAATTGAGCAAATGTTTACCAAATGTTCCATAGAGTATCAGTTACACCCCATTATCACCGACCACTTTGCCATTATTAGTATCCTAGACTTACAACATGAATGCATCATCACCGCTCAATGACTGAATTTCAGAGATGTTGAATGGGATGAATTCAGAGAAGTCCTTTCCTCCCACCTTGATGCACACCCTCCTTCCACTAACATCCAATCTATAGATGAGTTCAAAATTGCCTTCATGCACCTTACTCAATCCATCACCAAAACTGTAGAAGACCATGTACCAAAATCCAAATGATCTTGACATTGAACAAAAGCAAGTACACAAACTTGGCAAGAAAGCTAGAAACCTTCTAGCTCAACGACAAGACCTGATCCATGAAGAGTTCCATCTCACCTGCAACCACTTCTCAGAAAACATCAAGAAAGCAAAGAAAGAACACTGGGAAGAATGGCTCAAGGCCATCACACCCTCCAACATCTGGGATTTCCACTGTTATGCAGCCAGTGACCCTTCAGAACAGGTTCACACAAGAATTAAGATGCTGAAAGACCTGCAGGATTCCAATGGAACGAACACCACACAGAACAATGCAAGAAAAAGTGAACTTCTCTATGATGTATTCTTTCAACAGCCACCTGAAAACAAACATGTTGAGCCAAATTTTGTCTACAATCCTCCTATCTGTGAGTTTGCACCAATTACTAACAACCAAATCTCCTGTACCATAGACAAACTCTCCCCATACAAAGCTCCAGGACCAAACAGAATATGTAACTGTGTATACAAGAATTGTACTGACCTCCTAATGCTGTACATGGGACCCATCTTTCAAGCAACATTCACACTTGAACACTACCCTGAAGACTGGAAACTATCATCTACAGTAGTGCTACAAAAACCAGGAAGGCCAGATTACAGCTTGCCAAAAGCATACCAACCAATCACCTTGCTCAACACCATGGGTAAAATTCTCTCCTCCTGCATAGCTAACAATCTAGTGTACATAGCAAAGCACCATAACCTCCTCCCACCAATGCACTTCAGTGGACGTCCAGGAAAATCAACAGTAGACTCTCTACACCTACTAATGAAATTTGCAACAGACGCATGGGCCTCAGCTGAGCCTTACATATGTCTTGATATTATTCCTAGATGTCAAAGCCACATTTCCTAGCATAGTGGTCAATTGCATGCTACACAATATGAGACATGCTGGAATCCTGATGGAATACATCAATTGGTATGGAAAACAACTCAGCAACAGATCAATGACACTGCACTTCAATGACTACAGATCTGACCTTTTCAATGTATCAAACAGGGTTGACCGAGGATGCCCTTTATTGGTAATAGGATTCTTATTTTACAACTCTCCTGTACTACATGTAGCTAACACTGAAGGACAGAAAACTATGTTCCAGGAGCTATCTGGTGAACTGAGAAGCTACAACTAGGAAGCTACAACTAGGGGATGCTACTAAATAACCCAAGTGAATGGGGAGCAACCAATAACTGGAGACAAGGGGAAACTGAGTAGTGACTGTAGAGTCCTAGGTAAAGGGAAGATGATTATATAAGCAGTAAAAATGCGAACATAACCTAAGGAAAGTAACAACAAGAGAAGTATAGTAAAAACTACCATTTGCAGGCTAGAGTCAATATGATTGTCACATCACAATGAGGAGAACTAAGTCTGGGATTCATAGATGACATCACACTAGCAGCACAAGGCACAAGTTATGAAGAAGCAAATGGAAAGCTTAAGAACATCATAAAAAAACAAGGGGGTGCTTTAGACTGGAGTAGAGAACACAATGCTGATTTTGAACTAGATAAAACAGCTTTACTTTGTGTATCACAAAGACAAATTGCTGACCCCAACCACAGGAACAAGACCCTCCCAGCCTCACACCAATCAATCACCATGTGCAACCATGTCATTGAACCATCCAGATCACACAAGTTCCTAGGTGTAATCGTCAAAGATGAACTCAATTTCAAGGAATACACCACATACACACTAGTGAAGGGAATACGCTACACAATGGCATGCCAGAGGATGACATGAGCAGCAAAGGGGGTCCACAGCAGATTATTGAAGAAACTATATGAAGGTGTAGTGATCCCTAAAATGCTCTATGCTGCTGATGTCTGGTGCTCAGGACTGATCATGAAAGGAAGAGGAAAGAAATGCAGGTCAAGGAGCATGGGGCTTCACCTTGAAAATGGAAAGAGTTCAGAGAATGGCAACAACAATGATCATGGGCAGGATGAGAACTACCACTACCAATGTCCTTGATGCACACGCTAATATTCTTCCTTTCCAACAGTTATTGTGCAAAGTATGCAATAGAGCTACCCTACACATGGTAACACTAGACAAGACCCACCCCCTCCACAAGGGAATCTGTGCAGTGTATAACTCATGTACCAGAAGAAATTTCAACAATGGCAAAAGACACCTGTCACCACTACACCACCTCCTCAACAAGTTCCATCTCAACCCACACCATCAAATCCATAGATCCAACACACCATTATCCTAAATGGTCCCCCAATGTCATCACGGAAACGGCTGAAGATACGATAACAGCAGCAAGACAAGACACAGAGGCAGATGAAGACTTATAAGTATATTCAGATGGCTCTGCCATAGACAGAGGAGTTGGAGGAGTGGCAGTATTGATGAGGAACAGCAAGATGACAAAGGAAAGAAGATTCCACCTAGGAAGTGAGCAAGAACATATGGTCTATGAGGGAGAGTTGGTAGGAATGATATTGGTGGTGGAGATATTGAGAGAAGCAGGAGGGAAAGGCACCATGTCCCTGGGTGTTAACAACCAGGCAGCCATCTTTGCTACCAATGTGTTTGTCTCCAAACCAGGGCATTACTTCATGGATAAGTTCCATGATGACCTGCACAGACTTATCCCAGCACATGACAATTGCAAGCTAATGGTTCAGTGGATGCCCAGTCACAAGGGAATACCTGGAAATGAAGCAGCTGATGAGCAGGCCAAGAGAGTGGCCAGAGGAGAGAGTAGTACACCCAGGGAGCTTCCAAAGACCCTCCTCACCACCAGAAACAGCATCAAACTCACCCTACCAATCAGCAAGTCAGCACTGAAGCAGCAATTCCAAGAAGAGATTAGAGCTGAAGTGGCAACCATCATGAAGGACTCACCACACTATGAATGCCTCCACAAAATTGACAAGAATACCCCATCAAAACACTTCTCCATGCTAGTTGAAAAACTCCTGTGACACCATTCCTCTTTACTCTTCCAACTACACACAGGCCACACACCTTTGAACAAGCACATGCACCAGATAAAGAAGGTCCCCAGTCTCACATGCCAGCAATGTCATTGCCATGAAGAAACAGTCCATTATTTCCTACTTGCCTGTCTGAAATACACCAGACAATGACTTGCACTCCAAAACGAGATAGGACCCCAAGCCAGCCACCTCAAGAACTTGCTAAGCAACCAAAAGTGTATAAAACCCTTACTCCACTTCATAGCAAGTACACACAGTAGAACACACCTTTGGAGATGTCATACCCCCTGCAGATGATGAAGCAGAAGAATGAGCCCCAAAATATCCCTATCATCTTTAGTTGGCTTTACCCATCCTCATGCCACACCTGGACCAATGAACATACACCACATGATATTTCCCCAAAACAAATGTAAATGAACAAGTATATACCTGTATGTTTTGTCTACCATAGGGCATCACCCCAATGGACAATAAACAATGATTAAAAATTAAAAAAAAAGCTCAGGGGAGTTTGCCCATGTATCACATGTGTCAGTGAAATCTGCTGGGTCATGATTGAGATCATCAAGAATGTCTACATTCAAGTCATCAGGATCATCATCTGCATCAAATCCCTCTCCCAGATGCATAAGAGCAGACCAAGTGAATCCATCTATCTGGCCTTGGAGACAATTGTGTTGCTGGGCAATGTCTAATCTCTGTGTCTCTGTAGTTCTTCTTCCAATTCTTTGGAGCTCAATGACCAATGCAATTTGAGCCTCTTCAATTGCCAACCCCATTGATATCCATGTTGCCACTGATCTGCAAGCAGGTGCTGCATTACAGGCATTACCCTCCCCCAGCAGCCTAAGCTTGATCTCCTTTTTGCTCAGTGCTGAGTGCAACAATTAATTCTGACTTCAATGGAGCCAAAGTCAACTTACCCTTCTTGATATTAATCTCATATACATCCATCACTACAGGATTATTTATTCTGCTAGACTGAGCAATCCTCTCACTGGCTAACCATTCTTTCTTTGAAGCTGCAGGTGCTGCTTCATCAAGTCTGTCAAAAACCTTTTCACTTTCAGCAATGACATTCTCCACCTGCTTGTATTTACAGCAAAGAGTCCTTTTCATGTGGATCATCTTGCAGAAATTGGAATCATTCATCTGATAATCAAGACATTCCTTTTGATGCAGGGATGACATTCCCCAAGCAGCAGGGGAAATCAGGTTGAGATGTGACCATGGGATCTCCATGATCTCACCATCAATCTGACTGATGCCTTCAATAAAATTTGATGCATATTGGACATAGCAGCTGTCCTGATGTCCATGGACATGCCACAACCCAATTCCAGGAATGATGGTCAATTCTGGAACCATTTCAAGAAATTGGCTTTGATCCACCTGAACCCAAAAGTGCTTGTTGTATTGACAGTTGATGTCATAGAAGGTGACAGCCCCAGTGATGCCTTCCATGTTGTGCTGGGCAGCCTCACAAAGGGCATAATCCATGTTCATTTGTCTGCAAATGATGCATCGTTAACTCTAGACCATCTCTGTGTGCTAGTGTACTTATCACTATATAATTAAACAGACTTGATCAAGGCAAATGTAGAATGGCATTGTCATATCTGCATATCCAGATCTCAGATCCGACCCTTATCTCATCTCAGATCCACATCTTATCTCTGATCCTATCCACATCTTATCTCCCTCCAACATCTCGTCATTCAATCTGTCCACTCATCTGGTCCAGTCCACAACTCATCTGAATCCACAACCAGCACTCATCTCCTTTTGGTAACCCCCTAACTCCAGTGTTTCGGTTATCTGTATATCTGTCCTGCTCCCTTATCCGCTACCTATGTTTCATTTCTGTTTCATGATTTGTGATCTGTTTCTACTTACCAATAGACTATCCACATGCTTCATACATAGCCTCAGACTTTGCTGATTGATCATTCTGTTAGATACCTATAGTATATAACCTCCTGTAACTTTCCATAGTACCTCAGTTTGAATATCATCTTAGTTCTACTCATTCCCATCCTCTGGACTTGAGTATCTCCACTCTCATCACTCTCTGAGACTTAGGATTGATTCCTATAGTCTATCCATATCTGCCTCTGTCTCCAACAGTCTATTACCATTAGTTTCTAGTCTGGACTCATCCAGATTAGCCCTACGATACCTATCCCACATCTGGAAGTCGTCCAGATCCGTTATGCTACTTGTCTGACCTTCTGGACATGTTAGTCTTGCCTTCCTGAAATAAGGGGCAATACTCGGGTAAGGGGCACAGCACACGAACTGAGGCCGAAGCCCTTTGGATCCAGTTATCCCTTGAGTACAACCTTAACACAGGCTCAAGCTAGTCTTCATGCTCGCCTTCTTCAAATAAATCCCACCTATCTGTGAGGACCAGACATTTTTTGCCATCATGACCAAGGTGTATGACAAGTCCAACATGAGTGAGACAACTCTGCTTGAAGAATTGACCATTCCATTGACTGATCCAGTGGAAAGGATTGCAACAATGTTGACTCCTGAAACAGCCAGTGCAATATAGTGGCTCCCCAAGGCAATCTTGACATTTGTAGACCCCATCCTGGTCACAGACAATGCATCTCCTATCTTCTGGTGGAGCTTCTCAATCCAGGAGGTGATGCAGATACTATTCCTGCCTTGGCAGCCATTGTCTGAGGTAATCATTCTGACTCTGCATTTTTTATGCTCAGCTATCATTTGAATGACAATCCAACATTTTACATGAACTTGCCATGGTTTTTGGGAGTTGCAAAGGCTCAAATGAGCCTTGGTCATGCTCATAAGCATTGTCAGGAAAGTCTTCCCAAGGAGGTGGTGCCTCAACTGGCTGAAGTGTTAGTGATTCTGGGGAAGAGTTAGGCATGGACCCATAGGCATGTCATTTTGTGCTAGCAAGTGGGACCTTGACCCAAGTTTTCCTACCTTTGCTCCCCCTTGTTTCTACCCTGTGGGATTTTTGCAGTGGGGTGCATCTACCTATCTTCGTCTTATTTTCTGATGTTGCAAGCAAAGCATTAGCTCAGGAAGGTCAAATGAATTGTTATTGCAATATGATGTTATGCAGTCTTGATGCATCATTACAAATTCATTTCCACTAATGGTATTGCATCCAATATGGGTCAATTAACCAACTGTTAGGCTTTGCTCAAAGTTCAACTTGTCACCATTATTACTTCCAACTTGCTTATCTTTAGCCCATTCTGCAATCTCATTCACCATGGCAAGATCAGGTCACTCCACTCAGTTGACTTCTGGAAGACATAGGGCATGTCAATCACAGACACAGAAGCTCATGGAAAACGAAATTTTGGAGTTGAAGAACTACCTTCCTGAGTGGACTTCAGCAAAAAGGAAAGAGAAGTGGGCAGTTTTCACTGCCATAGCTAGGGCTGCCAGGTTATTTGCTCCTAAGGTCGACCAAGCACAATGGAAAAAGAGGAAGCAGGTGATTCATCCTCGCTGTGTTGAAAAACTAAAATTTTAATATCTTATTCTTCCATCAATGCTCAGATATACAAGACTTGGTTGTTCAACAACAGGAAAAAGAAGGAAAGGAAGGACATGATAAAGTATGAGAGGAAATGGATACCTAGGATGGTGATCTACCAGTGGAACCAGGAAGAGGTGCTAAAGAGGATCAAGGACAAGTCCAGGGCAAAGCCAGGAGGTCCCGGTATGTTCAAGCATTATCAGGCAGCTGTAAAGAGAGTCATGGCTGAATTGTCTGATGACAAGTTGGAGAAGGCAAAGGAAACAGCTGAAGAATGGTCCAACAACTTTCCTCCTCCCAAGATACAGGCACAAGTCACTTGTAAGAAGGGACCTGCATATATGGAGCACTTTTCAAAGGAGATGTGGAGGCAATGCAGGATGAGAGTATTTGTGATGTCAGCTTGGAAGAATGAACAGGGAGAGGTGCTGTTCAGGATGTAAGTGAATTTTGTTGGCTATCACAGATCTTCAATCTCAATACATTTCATGCAGGCATGATGATAATGAGGTATTAGGAGATGGGGACAGCTTCATGAAGATAAAGGACTGGGAGGACATCAAGCCAGTTTGGCAGGAGTATGCACAGGAACAGTTCAGTGAGTATTTGAACTCTGGCTACTAGAAGGAATTTGTTGATCATTGTGATGATAGGTGCCAGGGCACAGGATGGAGGATGACAGATGAAGGGAGGTTGAAAAAGAATCAGAAAGCCTGCTTTTGAACTGGAAACCAATGGAGATGAGATGCCATTGCTTCCAGACATCACCAAAACAAAACTCAAGGAGGAGAAGGCCATAGTGAGGGCATTTCTTATATCACACTATCATGAGTCTATCATTGCAACACCTGAGAATTTGTTGAATGCATGGACACAGGGATCTGTTCTGGGATTGATAAGGCAGTCATGCCATGGAGTGCCATCATACAAAGTCAGGATGACTTTGTGGCAAGAAAGTATGTTCCATCAGAGGTGGACTTGAAGGAGCCTTTGAAGTTGCAAAATTGGGACACTATGGCCTTACTCAATTTCTGGCATGCTCAGCAGGAGAAAGGCAAAGGTCTAACATTCCTGTTCAAAGCATAGAAGAACAAAGATGGAGACATGGTAGCATTGGTTGTATCTGGGAATTCACCTTTTCATTGGACTCCTAAAGTCAGAAAGCAGATGATCTGAAGGCCTCAGAATTCATCAACTGACACCAAAAGTCATCCTGGGAGTAATCCCAAGAGTGACTCTCATCACATGGAGGATGATGCTGATGATGACATGGCCAATGGTAGATCCCTGCAAAAGAGACCCAGAAGAGAGCCAGGTCCTTTGACAGCACATGAAGGGACAGCAGTCCCACATACAATTCCAAAGCCTTGCCTGGTCAAGCTGGCAAAAACTGGTGCATTGCTGACATTGTGAATGGGTGACCTCCTGGCTTGGTTGACTAACAGAGTCACCAGCAATGTTGAGGAGGATGTTGCAATGGAAGGAGGGCACACGTCTCTGGCACCAAAGAACATGTGGGGAAAAAAAGCAGCAATTGAGCCATTGGTGAGGACAACCCAGAGTAAGTCAACACAACAGCCATCAGACAGTACCCCTTGAGTGACTAGAGCAAGGAGAAAGAAGTAATGGACTTATACTACACTGGCTGCCTTTATGTACATGTCAATGTTATTCAATCTCTATGGCTCACTGAGTCCCAAGAGTTGAACATGGAAGTTTAATTCTTACTTTGGCCCACTGAGTCCCGAGTGTTGAACACAGAAGTTTAATTCTCACTTTGGCTCACCGAGTCCTGAGTGTCAAACACCAAAGTTCAATTCTCGCTTTACTGAGGATCACTGAGTCCTGAGTTTGATCATTGAATCAGACTTGGGACTCAGTGATCCTCAGTAAAGCAAGAATTGAACTTTAGTGTTCAACACTCAGGACTCAGTGAGCCAAAGTGAGAATTAAACTTCCATGTTTGACACTTGGGAATTCCTGAGCCTCAAGAACTCAATTGGAAATGGAAGAGGAATGTGTCACAAATTCAGTTGTTTACATGATGTGGGTATGTTAATGAAAATTCAGAAGTCTACATGTGATTTGACTACTATTAGAAACTCGGTAATTTACATTTGAATTTGATCTTCAAAATGATTGATCAGGGAATCCACTATCTTGAGCATTTTGATGCTCATCTATTAAGCTCTTTGCAACCTCTGGAGGTCTGTATCAGCTCTTCTGAGTTTGTTGGAAGTTTCTGCCCAAGCCATCTGGAAGGGTCATTCAGCCTCAAGTGACAGTGGAATGGAAGGATCAGGAAGATCCCCAGTATGTTATTTGTAATCACTGAGTCAATCTTGAATGGATTGCACTTGCAGAAAAATTAGCCCAAAGATAAATGATCTACTGTGTCAGATACTCACACCTGGTGTGTTCATATGACCCAAATGGTCAGAACTCCCAGACTATCAAACATAAATCTTCATTAGTGAGTTCTGACTGTTGTAAATGAAGTTCAGTAGATGTTTTGTCTGCTTGAGAGATACATTAAGTATCTATAATCCTCTGGAATGAATGGACTCACATGACATAAACACTTCTGATGCAGCCAGAGCATCAATCTTAGGATCAGCAGAATCTGGCAACTTGTCAACATCAATGATATCATCCTCAGGCCCAAGGTACAAGTCTGGATCAATGGGAATACCTGGATGATCAGCTTGAGCTGGAGGTGATTGATCTGCAAGGGTTTAGTGAGCATGCATGGTGATCCTTGATCCTAATGAATGTATAAACTTACCAGTGACACACACAAAGCTTGTTTTGTGCATGGTCATGACCATATTATGATTTATGCTGATTTATGTTACTCTTTATTTCAAACTATGAAGTCACTTGAACTTTTCTATGCACAACATTAATTTTATTTGGACATTTCAAAGCATGTTTCACCAAGAAATGGCTTAGCTGTCCATGTAAAGTACTTATTATGCCACTTATCTTTCTTGTATATGAAATAAACATGTGTTGACATTCTATGCCACTTTACAAATATGTTTCAATATTTTATGCCACTTTATTTTGTATCTATGTATCCAAAGCTGTGAAACCTGACAAATTGATACTATGATTAGAAAGATGATGATTGGTAAAGCACAACAACAAGCCAGTGCTAACACAGCCCTTACCAAGCATTATTACAAAGCATGGCAGTGTTATGGTCTTAACACAGCCTTTGCCAAGCATTCTATAGTCCTTTCTCATAATGATTCATACTGACTCAGTATGACTCAATATGACTCCAATTTAATTTAAGTACATTGGTAATCAATAGCATAGCCACTAGTATAGTAGCATATAAGGGGCTCATTTTCCCCTCTTGTGAAGTAATCAATTTCATTCCCAAGTATTAATCATCCAATCAGAGTGAGACAAAGTTTAGGGGAATCAAAGGAGGATTAGTGCATACACCCCTAAGTTTCTTTACCCCTATTATCTAAGTGAACAAATAAGTGACAACTAGGAGAAATATTAGCTTATTTACTCCATTCTTTTATCACATTCTTCACATATTATTCAGAAGTATTTGAGGCCACACACTTGAGCCATATTTGATTACACAAGTAGTATTCATTCTAGCTCTCTTTTAGACACAGGAAAAGTTCTGTGGGGAGAATCACACATATTATTCATCAATAAGGAAAGACAAATAAGACCTACAATCAATCTGTCAACAAATATTAAGAGCTTGGCCACTTAAGACTACATCAAAGGGTGTACTCTGTTCTGGACTGTGTCATACTCATAGTGAGTGCCTGAGCAGCAGAGAGTTGGATTCAAGGCCACATATCGGGACAATTTCACTAGTGAATTTGATCTCCATTGCTGAAGAAAAGTAAGAAATATCCACAGGGATATATTATAGCTCTAGTTATTACATACAGCTGCAACATATTATTCTGAAGGTCATAGCACTGCATCACGCCAGTTACTGACTTTACTTGAGATCATAGTACTGCTTCAAGCCAGTTATTGATTTCCACACTTCTTTGTCCATTTTACATCACTAGTGTTCACTTGAAAAGTTCAACAAAAAAAACCTTGTCCCCCACAAATGACTATGTTATCAACCATTGGTATTTGTCTGAACCATTGACCACAGAAGGATAGTGAATTTGGTGACTTTTCTGCCTTTCACATCCTAGTAAGACACCACCTCCATTGGGAATATTATCCCTCCTGGCCCATATCATATGGGATATTATGCACATCCATTCACTTGTATAATATGGAGATAGGTCACTGCAATATGTGCAAAGACTTGATCCCTCTCACCAAAGAATGGCATTCAGTATTGAAGGACAACATGGAGAACCCTGTTTCCTTCAATGACATTCTTTCATTATTAAACTCTCACCTTGACTGTCTCCTGGATGACAAAGAGCTCATATCCACTGTCAAGACACTGAAAGAATCTGCAGCTTTTCTCACAGACTGTTGAGAAATGCATTGCTTTGCAATCTCCCCCTGTAGGATTACCTGAGTTGGAGCAGTGGAAGTCTGATGCTGATTTTCATGATGAGTCAGACCATTAGTGTGTATATATGATATTCAATGTAACCATCACACTATCTCATTACATTGTTTGCTGTCATGTCACACTGGTATCATCCCTTTTCACATAAATTGTACATTTTAGGTTGTTGTGACTTGTATCTATTTTTACCTGCTGAATGCATAGTACTATTCTCAGGCTCAGTTAAGTTGAGTCACTCTTCATAAGATTCCTAACATGCAGCATTGACTATTACATGGGTATGTAGAGGTTTTTTGAAGTAATATTGCTCATTATTCACATCCACTAGCCCAACTGGCTCTGAGATATGACACTGGTACTATAGTACTATAAAGGCTGATGCATCTGTGATTCAATGAATGTTAGACTGAGACTGCACTGCCTTCTCTATTCCTTGTGCACTCACAGTCATGCCTCCTCATGCTATTGCTAGTCCCAAGATGAAGAAGTCAAAGCACAAAGGCTCAGATGCTTCTGGCAGGGCAGGTTTGCCAAAGAAGTCTCACAAAGCTGCAGAGTTCACCGAAGCACCCAGCATGCCACTTGTTTCTCTTGGTCTGTCTAAAGCAGTAGCTGAGGACAGTGCTCCACAACATTCTGGCCGTCCAAATACAGGGACCAGAGGTAGGAACCATCAGATGCAAAAAATTGGTGCAGTCCTTAAGTCTCAGTCTCAAGGCCATCCTCCCAAGGGCTCCACATCTCTCACTTCCAATATCCCAGTGAACCCTCAGGGTCCAGAACCAGCTCATAGGGGCCAGAAGGGTCATTCTAAGGTTAGGTGCATCACTACCTGTTTTTGCTGATGTTGATGTCCACATTCAGGTTGTCCCTCCACCTTATAGTTCACTTGCAATTACCAATAGTCCTGCCTTGAGTATCAACAACACAAATCCCATTTTCTCAATGCAGCCACCTGGTAGAAGGTTTGGTTTCATTACCCCCCCTAGTACTGAACAGTCTTGAAGAGACTAATAATCCTTATGTTGCTATTGGTGTGAAGGTTGCCAAGAAGTGCACTGCAAAAATGGCCAGTGATCAAACCTCATCCAATGTTGTACCACTGCTGCACACCACCTTTATGAGGCAACACCTGGATCCAGCCCTATTTGAGGAGGACAACAGTGTTAGGCCTCAATCTGTACTGTGAGCATCCAAGTTGTTGAACAGCAACATTGAGGATGAGGAAGAGGATGATGACAATTCTGGATCCCTCAGCAGGTGCACAACACCAACAACAGGTACAATGTTGTGAGGTGAGGAAACAGTTTCTATTCTGAACAAGGCTCACTATTATCCCTCAAAGCCTAGTGACATATTGGAGCACCATCACAAACAAAATGGACAGCCTCACCTTCCTGACCCTGAAACTCTCAAGCTGCTTCATCAAGTAGCTGAGGGCACCAATAACTAACAAGCTCCAAGGAGAAGCAGACAGACACAACAAGCAGATGATAGGCCCAAGCCTACTTCATTAGCTTGGTACAGGCTGTGTTGGAAAAGCTTCCTTGAACATACCAAAGGAGAATGTCATGTGGAACATGCACTTGAGGACCCATTCCTGACTTCCATTAATGATCTTGCAGGGTCTATAACTGAAGTTCTCATTGCAACTTTAGTTGCTTGGGACAGGGAAGGAAAGCAATTCAAAGCTGGTAAGTGTTCATTTCTTCACGAGTTAATTTGTTTTATATTGTAATCCAGGAATTTGGCCAGAGCAGAAGTGTAGTATGGCTCAGTTGGTGTGTCATGTTTCACTCTCTTAATTCATAATGTCTCACTGATACAATTGATTTGAAGTTATACAATGATCTTTCAACATGGTGATCAGAACTGCTATAAGCTTAGTACCTATTGCATACTCACTTGTCCCCCCTGCATCAGTCCCTGCTCAAGAACATGCAACATGGATTGAAGGTGCCACTTCACAGTTACTTGCTAGATCTGAGTTCTTACAGTTTGGATTAGATGCATTGGTAAGTGATCGTGTGCTGACCATAACAACATACATTTAATAATATCACCAGGGCAAAACAAGGAACTTCACTCATATTGCTCTTCATGATGTGTCTACTGCATTCTTTTACATGGGGCCATATCAAATTGCACAGAAGAGACCAGACATATTTCACAAACAATTGCCCATCTCATGCTTGGCTCTGGTTTCCACCATGGTACTTTCTTCCCTTCTGCCTGACATTATGTACTGATGTTTTTATAGTACAATTGTGTCCTTGACAGCCTTGCTAAAAATGGTCATGGCAAATCTTATCCCAAGTTCTCTGCCAAGGAATACAGCCCAATATACTGCCAGATGCTCAGAATGATCAAAAAAATTCCTCAACATCCATATCACAGTCCCATGTTGGTAGCACAACTTCAGGAATGGGCTGAAGCAGGATGGCAAGAACATTTTTTTTCTTTGAAATTTCTGATGCTGATTATTTTTACCCAGGGCCACAAGTCTGGAGCTCAATGGCACTGAGGAGACCAGACATAACCACCTACAGATTGTCCTCAACTGAGTCTTTGCATTCCTGTGTCCAAGTTGCAGAGCTGTTTTTTCTGTCAAGTCACATATTCATTTTGCTCTGAGTCTATCATTTCACTACTAGTATACTGATGTTCCTGTACCATGTGATTCAATATATTGCCATTGTACCTAAATGCCTTGGGTGAACTGTACAAAGTGAATGTGTGCACAATTCTCACTCTGAGTGCTCTGTGAGTGTCTGTACATACATAAACAGTGAAAAAAATTGCAATTTAACAGGTATTTCATATTTACTGGGTGGTCTGTGAGTGTCTGTACAGATATTCACAGAGTAAGGAGCTACTGTGATGAACTGGCTAGTAGGGACCAAGCTGTAGAGCTTGTGCACTGTACAAAGCTTTGTGGTTTGCAGATGAGGGCTCAGGCCCACAGCTCAGGCCTGGAAAATCATGAGCCAGGCCCTAGGCCCTTACAAGCCAGCAGCATAGGCCTGGCTTGGCCTGAGGGCCTGAGGCCCAGCCTGGCACATCACTATTAGTAACTACTCACAAATGTCATCCTTGCCCCCAAATCATGTTGAAGTGAACCTCAAAGATGATAGATATACCACTCACCAGTGACACAAGCAAGTTTCTCACCCAAATCTTGTTCCAGGTATATTTTTTTTTTAAATCTTGGTATGCTATGAAAAATATATAAATATTCTTGCATTCTGCAGCATTTCAGTAGGTCAGGTCACCATAGACACCATTTTTTTCATATCAGCTTGACAATTCATGCCTATGACTCCTTACAAACTACTCACTACAAATGTGTGGTAAAACCCTACCGGTATATATTTCCATTGGACACTCATTTTGGCTTCACCCTCTTGAGACGAAATCATGCGCGGAGTTTGAAAGTGGCTGAGCCCCCACCTACAACCATCAAATGCAAGACATGTATAGGTGGAAGTTAAAACAGGAGCTTGAGCTAGGGTGGGAGGACGATGCTTGATGCAAAAATAGCGCAGATACCCGTCTCCTTGAATGAAGACAGTGAACTCACCACATGCATCTTGTCGAGCAGAATTTCAAGCTCTGCATCGAATCGTTTAATTAGCGCACAGATGGTGCAGATCACCAATGCGGCCGTGTTGAAATTTTCGTTCTCGGATTGGGATAGAGGGGGACAAGGAGTGTGATTGCACGGTTTAGACACGAACGGCAAAAATGATCGTGATCGATCAATATACGCAATTTGCCAGGGAAAGTAGAAGAAATTAAAAAGTGTCCATTCCACAAAGACCCTTCCCCGCTAACATGGGAGTCGGGAAAATTAACTTTTTTCTGCTCTAACACCATTCCTTCGTCTGCTTTCGCTCCCTGTTGTTGTGCAAAATAATTTCGTCGTCGTCGCTTGTCTTCATAGAACGAAGACGAGACTCGGAGAGATCTTCCAGTACGATCGTGGTGGTTTCAACAGCTACACGAGTTGCAGCCATGCGCGTCCTGTGTTGTCCACCAAAAGTTATGATGGGTGTCGGATTGGATGGTGAATCATCATCTGAACTTAAACGGAAGATAAACGCGACGACGACGCTCAAGTTCGCGACGATTAGAGACATAGAAGCCTAAAGCGTGATCAGCAGCGCTCGAGGTCTGAACAGGGACACCGAACCTCGACTATAGCAGCCATGACCTCCTTGAGCCCTCCACCAGCGAAGATGTAATACGCATGGGTGAGACTGACAATTGTGGTGATTGCTGACGTAGAGAAGACGGATAATATCCGGACTTTTTGCGACCTTGACAATCTGACTTTGTAAATGAGGAAAAATGGAGCAACGATGAGAAAAAAGTCCGCAAGAACGTCGGCTGAAATACATCAGAAGACCGATATAATTTATGAACAATGAATCCTCACTGATCATCTGCGTTATTGCAACACGCCTGCCGAGATCGCACTGCGGATGTGGTTGCGATTTCCAGTTGGGCTGAGTTTCACATATCCACCACAGTTGTGAAAAAAGTAGAGCCCATATAGCGCCGAAGGTACCGACAGCGCACATAAGAAATCTCCTAAATTTTCCCGGGATTGTGAGTCGCACAATGGTAAACAACATGGATAACTTCGATGACCTGTGTGTTCATGTCAGTTCTGTCACGTTGCCATGCCACTAGAACCTAGTGTCTTACCATACAACTCCGTAAAAGAATTGTGCGATCCTGATGTAGTATTAGCAACGTCCTTCAAATATAAGAAGAAAAGAGAGCACATGTAGTATAATGCTATCCTTGTGTTTTGAGGGTATCTTTCTGTGTTTATTCACTAAGATATATGCAACCAACACACTGCGGAGACGCTCACCGTAGTCTTGTAGATACAAGCAATCGGAGATTAATAGTAGAAAGTCGAATACCATGCCGAGAGCCACCCATGCATCGTCAATCCCCAGACGCTTCTGCCGCACACGGATGCACAAGCGGAGGGATGTGATAAGGACAGCCGTAACCGTGAGGGTTATGTCTGCGACTAAAAAAAGTATCAAGTACAGCGACGTAGAAGGTCAAGCAGCTAGACTCACCTTCCGTCTGTTGCAGAGTGGGACCTGGGGACGACATGATACGCCTGAGGAAGTAGTTAGATGGTCAAACGGCATATATATGCGGCTATGCATGAAAAAAAGGCTGCTCAATTCTAAAATTTTAGAATTGGACAGCAGCGCGTGTTACGCGTTCCGAGTCGTTCCGTGACGACGCGGTTGAACAGTAGTTCCAGTTCCAGTTCCTGGACCCCTCCAATAGTGCCTATGTTACATGAGGGTAATTGTATTTGTTGGTGTCACATCTATATAGGAATGACTGGATATTTACCTGTGATCGACATCACGTGACATCTCGCAGAGGTGTGGCGTAAATTTCTCGCGTAAGTCCGGTTCGCGCCAAAATAAAATAAAATTCGAAGATGAAAGATCTAAACCACACTGGGAAAACATGCAAAACGGCTGATTGATAGTATCTGCGAAGAACCAAGCTGTCATAATCCTGCCCAAAGCTGTTGGACTCGTGCTCTCTGGTACCAGGAGTGTTTTGAATTAAGAAGAGGGTGTGCTTGTGAGCTGGTGAAAAGAGCATGGTAGGTAGTGGATACATGGTACCGGTGTCGAGAGTGTTTCTGAATAACATCAGGTTCATCACGGTGGTGATTGTGCGAGCACAGCCGTAGAGCTCAGGGGATCACATTGTAAGATATGAATGTGAAAGAAACAGCCCGAGGATGGTCACTTACGCCAGCTGAGCACTGGCAAACCCTAAGTTTAACCAAGGTGAAACTTGCTTGCCTGATCGATATCGGTATACACGACCATCTAAACGAAAAAGATGTCCAGAATACAAGAGAATCCTTCGAGAGGATATTCAAGTGGAATTAAGACGAAGCGGCAGGTTGTCGGAGTCGTTCTCCAGTTGACAGTGAAGTACGATGAAGGCGGCCCGTAACGATCCGAATTTGGAAGATCAGTCACGGATACAATTCTGATCGAGCGCTAAGCGGCCCGTACTTGTCAATGTCAAGACTGGCAGAGAAGCGCCCATAAAATCACTCAAAGCCAGATAAACTGTAATTTGATGTAAAAGAATTGATGGTCGTGTCACTACATTAATGGGCACGAAGCCCAATTCCATTTTCAATTGATGAAGCTAAGCCTGGATTACAAGTTACAGAAGGAGTTGTTATTCTATCGCCGCCAAGCTCTCTGAAATGACTCGAAGGGCAAGCTAAAATGAAACTCAGGGGCGCAAGCAAGATTGAATTTTTCTTTTTTGTATACGAGGTATATTGATCGTTTTGATACATAGTAGATACAAAGTCTCAAACACATTAACTCCCGATCGTAATTTACTTGGTATCTCGGCAGTCATAGAGATGTCTTGATATATGGAAAAGAGGAAAAGAAGAGGGGAAATAGTCAGGGATACAAAGGCATATGATGATAGATGCGCGACGAGATGAGATGCGGAGAGATCCAGGAATACAGTGATGGGTTACGATCGAGAAAAGGCCAAGGAAAAGAGAAAAAGAGAAAGAGTTCGCGGACAGCCACCAGTGCCGAGTCCAGACAATTAATCAATCCTAGAATTAACGCGCCCCGGCACCAAGGTTCATAGCACCCAAAATGACCTCCCACGCCAAGTCAAGACAATGCCAGAGTTCAGGATCATGTACGCCCAATGCAACCGCGTTCCTCCATACAGCAGCGATATTCTGGGCGACGTTCGTGAGTGCACCCATACCGGGGGCCGAGGACATGAGATGCGCGGACAGCGTGTGGAGAGCAGGTCCGGAGGCTAGTGTGCCGCGGAGTGCTTGTGGGGATGTGAGGGTGGATAGGAAGGAGCCCGGGATAGCTGGGAGGAGTGCGGAGAGGAGTTGGGGTGCGGAATGGGTGTAGAGGAATGTGTGTAAGGGTGCGAATGCTGCCGGGGCGGGTATGGTGAGAGGGAGTACTGGGAGGGTGACGCTGACTGTGGCGCCGTGAGACGAGGCTGATGGGGGGAGGCGGGGGAGTGAAGCACAGTTAGATGCGAGGACGAGGGCGTGGGTTGCTACGAGGGTCACATGTGAATCGGAAGTGGATGATTTGGAGAGAGCGAGTATGTGTGTTGGGTAAGAAGAGGAGGGCCCGGATGGCCGAATCGGGATTGTCAGACTAGGTGTGTGGTGCAGTTGGGAGCGATGCATGCTCGGAGACAATTGAAGGGCTGAGATACCAGCAAACATCCTGAGCGATATGTTAGAAGGAGCTTATTGTAAGATTTGAAGTGGTACTCACTGGTTCGCCTGATTCTTGAGACCACGTCGGACGTAGTCGACCGGTACATGAGACAGTTCAGGATCGATAGCAGCAATATTTTGAGCAGGGACCTCGATGTATTGTGGACGTTGCAACTTGCGAGGAAGCTGGACGTTAGAAGGATAAGATTGTTGTGAAGCCATTGTTGATGTGACTGATTCCTCGTAATCCCAGATGGCTTTTGTTTGGATTGGGTGTGCAGGACGGACTTGGTACATGGTGGCTAGATAACAAGAAGGATATCAAATCACTCTTGGGAGTAGTTGTGTTTTTAAAAAAAGATGAGAATGAGAATTGCTTTATATCAGTCTAGTCTTGCAACCGTTTTCAGAACAAGGATATGTTTCTTGAGTTTGTTTCACTCTCTTTGACGCTTTTTTGGACATTCGTTTGTAGACGGTTTAGGTAATTCCCAGCAACCTTGCTCGCCCTCCGCGAGTCAGGTCATATGCGTGAAATTCAAGCCAGCGCGTTTTTTTACGTAGTCATCACTACTCGCCAAAAGGACAAGGACGTACCTTGTTCTTTCACCTCATCCAAAGCTGTCACCTAACCTTTTCTGGCATCAAGAACCTGCTCGAACATGGCATACCTTGTTGACGTGCTCGAGGCAACTTTACGTCGATGTGATTAATGCCTTCGACTTCCATCTGATGCCTTGTCTTAGGTTCAAACCTTCTCGTTTTGTGACTGATAGCATGTGAGTAGACCCTGCACTGCTAACCTTTTGTGGTACCGGTTACTTGTAACAAGTAGACCTTGTTTGCGTGGTCAAGGTAAATTTACGTCGATGTGGACCTTATCATCAGACGGATTGAGTTAACTCTAGTACTGCACGCCTCCGCCGCAAGCTAACTATCCGACGGCACTTGATGACGTTCTGAAACCAATCCCGAGAACGTTATTGGTTCGAGGAGGCAGTCAAAATTACTCCCGGGTGGAACCCGGAATTAAATTCAGTCTGAGAGTCTGGCAGTGGGACGTAAACTGTTGATGGAATTCCTAGAAGATGATGTTAAGTAGTGGCTCTCCTGAAATAAGAAATACTTTCTGATCCACGCAACGCATGCAGCCTTGCAGTAGGCATCGCCACGTGAAAAGAGGTTAGTAAGCTAGAATAGGCAAGTCTCATATGTGTCATGCACAGCGGTTGAACTGCATTCCCCCATCTGTGTAATTGTTTTATGATGCGCGTCAGCTAGCATTCGGTCCACAATTCACAATCATTGGCACTTGTCCTTTCCACCACCGTGAAGCACGCACCACATGTTGCTCCACGATTCTCGACACCCACCAGGTGCCGAATCATCAACTTCCTTACTCTCTTGTAACAGAGAACGGTCTTCCACCTTACGGCCCGCCAAGAAATCTAGTCCAAAATTACACCTGTCACCCGTTATTACAGCCAAGCGACCTTCTTCGCCTACGTCTGATACCCGGGCATTGAAATCCCCAACTCGACTACACCCGGGACCAGCTAGCCCTACGAATGGCACTGTGCATTCCTCAGGGTTTCGTGCCCAGCTTGCGCATCTCTTGCCTCGTCATGCTATATTTCTCTTGCGCCTTACCATACATCAGCTCAGCAGCGTCCCGTTTGTCAATGGAGAATTCGAGGTGCGGTGGAAGTTCAAGGGGGTCACGTCTGGTGGAGGTCTATTGGGAAAGGTGAAGGGCAAGGGCAGGGCTATGGGGAGTACCACCCCGAACGGAGGTGCCAGTTCAGCTAAAGGAAAAGAGAAGGAGAAGCTTCACGAAAGTGAAATAGACGTGGCTAACGTCAACGATGCCTCAGACGCTCAAAGCATTACCAACTCCAATTCATCCCACTCACATGGCCCATCCATTCCCTCAGTCATCGTATCTGCAAACTCACCTGTAGTATCCCCTACTTCAACCTCAAATACGGGCACCGTCTCAACCCCTAGTACAACCTCATCATCCCAGCATTCTCGTACTCAACACGTACCCCCACAATACCTTTCCGCTGACTGGTTACCCCAATCTACCCCACCAGGCCCATCCCCCTCTCTCGCTAAATCACTTCCGAATGCCTATTCTCCTGCCAAAGGTCACACTCCATTTGAACAGCTAAAGGAACACAGCGTGGTATGGGAACACACTCTTGATGTTATGGTCCAGATGGGTATTGGCAGGGAAACCAACGAACTCGGAGGTTGTGAGGCAAAATTCGTCGTCATGCAGGTCCGTTTTCTGCAGTTGCTTTTTCTTGTCGTCTTTTGCTGAGTATGTTTCGCAGCGAGTTATCCCAGGCGATCCAGATGCACCGCGAAATCCTAGGCTTGGCGCCGTGAGCCTAAATCTCGCTCAATATGTTGACGCCGGAGTCGTCACTCGCCGCTATTTGCTTAGACAGAGCAAGACCAATGCTACGCTCAAGGTATTTCTCCTATCAGTCTCTCTGTTCTTTTTTGACTTGGTATTTCTTCACAGCTCACTGTTCAATTGGAACACGTCAGCGGCGAATCATCCTACATCGCTCCACCTCTCCCTAAAGGAGAGATCCTAAGCGGGGTAGCCGGTCTACTCGACAATGACATCTTCCGAACACGACCACGCACCCTTGATCTCTACGCAAACGAAAACTCCTCGTCCTCCTCTGTATCTACCGTCTCAACCCACTCTTCCCCAAAACGCGGACCCGGTTCAAAGCGGAAAAAGAACCCGTTGGACGCGAGCCAACTTCCGAATACTCGTGGTATCCGCGGGACGGAGAAGCTCATCGAAGCGCTGTTTAATCCTGCACCTGTCACGCGCCCAGGGCAACTTACCCCCTTCACATATCTCCACGAGCCTTCAGCGCAGCCGCGTGACCACTTTCGAGAACTTACCACAGAAGATGGGCACGTCCAAGTTTACGCAGATGAGGATGAAGCAAGACTCGCAGACGAATCCCTATATTCAAATTCAAATTCGGATTCCGTGGACCTGAACCACCCTCTTCCGGTACGCCAGGACTCAGAGAGCGATTATCAGAGTATGCGCTCGAAGTGGACTGGCTCATTACGGGCGCCGTCCATGAAGAGTATGCGATCTGTTGCTAGGGGTCGATCAGGGGTTGACGTTAACGAGCTCGGCCTGAGCTCTGCTGTGTCGAATACGACTACTGTGGAGAAGCGGGGGTGGTGGCGGAAGGTGCTCCATGCCGGAGCTGCATCATGATAGTAGGGGTTTTTCTTTTTCCTACATCTACGTCTTTTGTCACTTTTAAGGTTGCTCTTCTTGTTATTTGTCATTCAGGTTTTCGATTTCGCTATTGCACTGCATTGCTTTCAAAGGGAGGATTCAAATAATCGAGTTTTCATTTATATATCTATAGCTGCATTATGCTCCTACTACATCGTTCTGTTCGTTCATCTTTCACTACATAAATTGTATGGTATGGTATATAATCATGCCTTAGTGGATTATTATATTCTTGTGATAGGGCGCCGGGCGCTTGAAATGAAATGAGACACGTGCGAGTTTAACTTGAAAGAAGCTGCCAGGTTGTTGAGATTCGAGGCATTATCTAGGAATGTGTGCTACAGGATAGTCGCATCTGCAATGCTCAGGATTCAGCTCGGGAATCATACAAGAAACACTGAATAACCACTCACCACTACTAGTCATACGCGTTAACTCGAGGAGGCATCGGCCCCGACCCAAATACCCCCCCAGCGATATTCATCCCAATTTCCGGGCATGTGGGACTAAGTTATCTCTGCGTCTCTGTTTTGCCTCTTTTGGCATCTCTTTCTCGAGCTGGATCTTCGCTTCTGCTTCATCAGGAAATTCACACATTCCCTATTTTGCCCTTGAACAGACTTATTTGCACTTGACCGCCTTGTTGAAAATGGATCTACTTGTCCGAAATTTCAACTTGAATGTATTCAGAAAAAAAATATTGAGGTGTATTGATATATATGTTTTATTGTGTTTCACACTCAAAAAATATAAGATATGCTAGGTGAATGATGCGAGAGAGAGCAAACGAGTTTTGAGATAAGTGTGTTAAGCTGATTAAGGACATTAAGGAATGTGTGAATTTACTGATGTTGTACCGAAGGCTAAACCTCCTCTTCGGCACGTCTGGCTGTTCGCATACCAAGATCCTGTTAAAAGCTAAAAAGAGAACATAATTAGAGACGGCGGGACGACAGGAGACCAGAGAGCATACCTCAGTGTTGGAGACAAGGTATGATACAACGAGACGGTACGTATTATATATTAAGTGAGTGGATGTGATAAAGACGAGAAAGGGAATGTGCTATGAGGATGACGATTCAACAGATCCCCATGCCTTCCATACCTACTAAATCAGCTTTGGTACGCAGGAGGTAATTATCAACGCCACCGTTACTGCTCCCCCATAAAAGTAACGGGCCCGAGCCACTCAGTAAGCTCTCTGAATTCTCGCTCAATCCAACGGTCGATTTCTTCGTAGTAACAATAACAGTTGTACTCAAATGTTTTCTCGCTCTAATTCTACTATTCTTGCAGTGCCACTCAGCCAATGACAAGCATAGATAGACCTTACTCGGTTTCTTCAAACAAGCACGCAAAGTTCAGTCAACCGTACGGCATTCGTAGTCGGAAGACCCTGAGTCGGACTTTACTCAACATGTTCGCTTTAGCTGAATGTTACAGCCATCTCCGAACGATATATAATGCATGTTGATTCTTCAAGATAATGGTCAAACTGGTGTTATCTGAACCGGAAATCGATAGAAAGAGAGCTCCAGGTAGCAGTCATCGACAGTCATGACCTCCTCATATCCCTACACGCCTACAACACTCCGGACGAACGTGAAACCTCGTCCATGGGTGCCATTCAAGTCTTATGAAGGGCACGTCGAAGTCCCGCCCCTGCCCTTCAAGCCCAGGTCCGATGACTTACTCGGTACACACAACATCAGCACGCATATCATGCCTGCAGCCAATCCCAGAGTCACCCCAAAGATTCCAGTGCCCGAGCCACCTTCTCGCTCTTCGAAAAGAAGATCCGAGAGGGATATCAAGCATTTAGGACTTGAACTCATGGAACAACAGGCCTCGCTATGTGAGGACGGCTACTCCGGGGTGACAGACGAAAGGTTGCTGTGGAATTGCGTCAATCGATATGTAAAAAAGGACAAGGAGGCCGAAGTCAGGAGGAAGGGGATCACCTTGTTCCTTGTGCACGGAGCGAGTTTTCCAAAGGAAGTGAGTCTCGTGATGCCTTTTCATGCATGCTGAGGATCTAACCGTGTATTAGATATGTGAGACCAATTTATGCTATCTACTAGCTGCCTGTGGTGTCATAGATGAAATATGGTCATGGGAGTCAGTGCAACATGGGGATTCCGCTCTGCTAAACAGACAGAATCTCAGTGGTAGCTGTAAGAGATCGTTTTTCAGACCTCCCGCTTCGAATTAATCGACAGCAGTTGATTGGACTGACAATGCGAGAGACATTGCAAATTTTCTCATTAACTATATGCCAGAAGAGGTAGAAACATCTTCTCTCCCCATCCAACTTCATCGAGTTCCTGCATCCATTGGTGAATCGCGCCAAAAGAGTGGCTTCTCATCCCGGACTTTGGTTGTGGCAGGACACTCGTTTGGAGGTTGCTCGGTGTATGTCATCCGTAGTTCAGAGACCGATCGAATCTCATGATATTGCACAGTACGTTAGCCGCATTGCATTTCCCGGCCTTGTTCTCTTCGATGATCCTCGTCGATCCGATCATTGATCCTTTCCAAGGACTCGAGTGGGAGCACAACCAGTACTTGGCTGGGGCTACTTTGATAAGGCGCGATCGATGGCCATCACGGTGATTAAAATTTGACAATACTCTCGTTTCGGAGTACTACTGATTATGATTGTAGGGAGGACGCCCTGCGTTCCTTTAAATCTTCACCTGCGTTCTCTGCTTGGCATCCTGATGTCCTTCGGCTCTATGTCGATTTCGGACTGTACGAGGATGAAAGCGGATGTGTCAGATTGAAATTGCCTCCTATTCACGAGGCTCTTGTCCTTGCGAATTCACGAGCTAGCCGCGAAACCTGGGAATTGTTGGAAAAGCTTGACGAAAAGATTGAACTACTGTGGATTCTTCCCGGAAAACCAAGCTTGGATGTGTAGGTCAGGGTGGCGGAATGAAGTTCACTAACTGATAGGCGTTATCTGACAGGACGACGCTACTGGAAGTGAGGAAGCAGCGTGCTTGGCGCAGACCTGCAAATTCATCCAACGTCGTCTTCAAGTCATCTAACCATCTTGTCTGTATCTCGCCTTAAATTATTTCTATGACTGACATAATCGTACCTTAGATTCCTCAGGAGTCTCCAGAAGAGCTTGGTATGTTGACATAAAACTAATTGATTCCCATATAACTGTTTATACAGCAGGAGTTATGGCCGACTTTCTGAACAGGAAATACGATATTTCCTCAGGGAGATCAAAGCTCTAGAATCGCGTATATAAATGGGTGTTGTGCGACACTACACCTGGAAACTTTAGCAACCAGTCCGACGTGTACATCAATGGGACGAGTATCTATTTGTTTATGCCCTGGATAGTATTACATGGAGCATGGCATGGGTGTTTCCCAGACATCGAAAGTACACGCGGAGACAAACAAATTTCTAACTAATTATGAATATCTCGACAGATTATAGCTAAAGTTAAGAGGAACTGTCGCCTTTAAAGATCCATCATATCTTTATGCAAGGCTATAGTGACCCAGAGCTTTAAAGTCGACGTGGATGTCGTGATGGAGTGAGTGGGAGAGTAAAGTATGTTACTTTAGTTCTCCGACTCTCGTCCGCTGTATACTAGATAGCCACTTCCCGCGTACCTTTACAAAGATGCATGCGGATATATCTGGAGGATGCCACAGATATGATTGGCAGTCTGCTGAACGCTACGCAGTTGCCGAGTCTAAGAGGACCGACGTCGTGGACTCCATGCCGTTGGAGCCCATCACCTATCTGGTCAGTTGAAGTCCGAAATCTGGGCGCAAGCCCATTACTCGCACTCACTTTTTGAACGGCCTTCGGTGAAGTTCAAACGGTCGAACCTCCCGATATAAGGAAGCAATTAGAACTTACTGTGATATCACCAACTATGTCGAATATGGGGACAACCACTCTGGGACTTCGTCTCAGTTCGTCTCCTTTCCTCCCTCGCAAATTATCGCTAGAACGAACACGTCATAGCCCATTTGGGTTCGTGCTGGCACTGGTGGGACCAAAGCGTCAGCTTGAGGCGGGAAGTGGAACCGATAGCGCGAGTCAGTCTAGGCCCCGTCGGAAGCTCTTGAGAAAATTCCAACATCATGCCATCACTCTCGGAGCGATGATTTCCCTCATGATTACACCCCAGATGGATAAAAAGAACTTTGATCCGCTTCTGAGATTATTTAATGAATAGGTTGTTCGAAATTTGGCCAAATATCTGTCCGGACTTGGCATTTTTGAGGCTTTCGGAAGGCCGGTGAGTAGCACTTTGGAAGGGAGCTCAGGCGAATTTCAGGGCAGGTTAACATTGGGTTGACTTGGGTGATGGATCGCAGGCCAACGCCGCGTTTCGTCATGATGCTTCCTGAAGATCCTGCACGGAAATGAAGACCCGACTCCCGAGAATTCTGTTGTGTTGAGATTCTCGTGTGCATTCAAAACATACGAGCTGCACATGCTTCAGACGCTCAAAGCATCACAAACATTCACAAACACCAACATATCTAGTTCAACCTCATAATATTCGTACTGTCTCAGCCCCTAGTATATCCGGTCATCATCCTATTCTCGTGCTCAACACGCACCCCCACTTAATACCTTTCCGCTGACTGGTTACCCCAATCTGCCTCCATTCTCTCGCCAAATCACCTCCGAATGCCTATTCTCCTGCGAAAGGGCACACCGTGCTCTGTTCGAACAGCTAAAGGAACACAGTGTGGTATGGGAACATACCCTTGATATTATGGTCCAGGCGTGTATTGGCAAAGAAATCAATGAACTCAGAGGTTGCTAGGCAAAATTTGTCGTCATGTAGGTCCGTTTTTCGTAGTGCCTTTTTATGTCATCTTTGCTGAGCATGTTTCGCAATGAGTTATTCCAGGCAATCTAGATGCACCGCGAAAGATGTTTAATCTTGCACCTGTCGCGCGCCCAGGGTAACTCACCCCCTCACGTATATCATATGAGCCCTCAGCGCAGTCGCAGTCGCGTGACCGCTCTCGAGAACCAGCACAGAAGACTTAGACGGGCACGTCCAAGTTTACGCGGAGAGCGAAGGCGAGGATGAAGTAAGACCCGCAGGCGGGTTTCGATTTTTGAATTCGGATTCCGTAGACCTGAGTCACCCTTTCCAGCTTGTCTCGTTGCGGGCGCCGTATATGAGGAGTATGTGGTCTGTACGTGTGGGTCGATCAGGTGTCACCGCTAACGAGCCTGGATTCGGAGTGGGAGTGAGCACCACTGTGTCGAATACGACTATGATGGAGAAGCGGGTGGTGGCGGAAGGTGCTCCATGTCGGAGTTGCATCATGACCAGAGGGGTCTTTCTTTTTCCTACGTTCACGTTTGTCCCTTTTATTGTTGCTTTTCTCGTTATTCAGGTTTTCGATTTCGCTACTGTACTGCACTGTTCTGGGAGGATTCAAATGATCCGGTTTTGATTTATATAGCCATATCACGTTCCTACTACATCATTCCGTTCGTTCATCTTTCACTACATAAATCGCATGGTATGGTGTATAATCATAATCATGCCCTTTTATTCTTACGATAGGATGCTGGGCGTTTAAGATGAAATGAGACATGTGCGGGTTTAGCTTGAATGAAGCTGGGTCGTTAAAATTCGAGGTATTATGTAGGAGTATATGCTACAAGACAGCCGCATCTACATTCCATCAGGATTCAGCTCAGGGATCGTACAAGAAGAACTGAATAACCCTCACTCACCATTAGTTATGACGCATCAACTCGAGGAGGCGTCGACCCCGACCCAAATATCCCCTCAGAGATGTTCAACTTCGCTTCCCTCGATTTCCGCGCATGTGCAACTTTCGCTCTGCGTTTCTGTTTTGCCTCCTTCATCTCTTTCTCGAGCTGGATCTTCGCTTCTGCTTGTGCCAAAGCCTCATCTTCGGTCCGTTTGACATCTAGCTGCTCGCGTACTAAGATCCTGAGACGCATCCCTTCTATACCTAATAAATCGGGTTTGGTGCGCAGGAGGTAGTTATCAACGCCGCCATGCTACTCCAAGTGCCAGTAAACAAAAAAAATACACCACGTCCAAAGCAAACGAGCATAAAGTAACGGTAAAGGGTATAATAAGAAACCACCTTAAAAGACAAAGAGCAACATACCTTGTTAATACTCTTAAGCGCACGCGTCGTAAGCTTCACTTTGACATCCCGCCCCAACGCATCTGATGTCAAGCGTTTGGTGTGAACATTGGGAAGCCATGTGCGTCTAGTTTTGTGTTTTGAATGCGGGACATTGTTCCCGTATTGTTTGGTTTTACCATGGAAGAGACCGAGTTGGGAGCGGCGGAAGGGAGTGGAGATCTTGGATAGTGCTGATGCTAGGATTGGGGGGGTGGGGAACATGGTTGATGGTACTAGGAAGCAGCACAAGTTAACTTGGTTTTGGCCGGAAGTAGTCACGTGAGTAGTTTTCAGCTGCAGGCGTTTTGCTTCAACATCAACATTTTATTAATATTCCAAAATGTCCACAGACCCAAGAGATTCGACTCGGGAAACTAAGCTGTCTCTGCCGAAAACGTGGCGTGCAGAGTCTGCTGGTGAGTACAGTACATTCTCTTGATTCTACAGAACTCAACGCACACTGGCAGACACTATGGGCTCGATGGGCATGTTCCTCGCTGGTCTAGTGCTAGTTTCTAGAAATCGGTAAGTCTACTATAGGAAAGCCACCTTTCCATACTGGTTGCTCTTTCTAGGTGCCTCTTAAGCTCAGAACCCGTCTTCACAGGTACCTAGCATGGCCAGTGGTCCTCATCGCGCTCAGCAGCTTCATGAACCAGCACCCTATTCGCACAAAGGAGGGTGGGAGTACGCCTTGGACGGCGCTAATGTGAGTCCGCAGTGCATAGGTCTGACTTGAAGACACTATTAATACAACTACTACTACTTAGGACTGCGACGTTTGCATTAATCGTATCGCACGCTGCAATGTTCACGTTCACGGACCCTATGACGGGCGCGATCAAGTTTTCTTCCCCGTGATGATCGTGCTATATGTAAATCTATCTTTGGGTTTTGACGGATAAGATGTGGACGTGACTAGCGCACTGATTGACGGATTTGAGATCCGACTGTAGCTGTGTGACTATTTTCTGTTCTGAACATTTGGAATGTTTTTTTTCTGATTCGGCTTCAAGCTGGTACACCGTTATCATTCCAAATAGGTCCTTACTAGACCTTACTCGGTTCCTTCAATCAAATTCTGAGCCATCAAAGTCTGGTCACCCTTACGGAATTGACAATACAAAGCGCGCCAGTTTAATATTATAGTCATCACCGAGCGGTATATAATCCGTGCTGATTCTGCAAGATAACGGTCAATCTGATATTCTCCGAATCGGAAATTGATAGAAAAGAGAGCTCCAGACAGCAATCATTGACAGTCATGACCTTTTCCTATCCCTACACACCTACAACACTCCAGACGACGGTGAAACCGCGCCCATGGGTGCCATTCAAGCCTCATGAAGGGCACGTCGAAGTCCCTTCTCTGCCCTTCAAACCCAGGTCCGATGACTTACTCGGTACATACAATATCAGCACGCATATCATACCTGCAGCCAATCCCAGAGTCAACCCAAATGTTCCAGTTCCCGAGCCACCTCCTCGCCCTTCGAAAAAGAGAACCGAGAGAGATATTAATATTTTAGGACTTGAACTCATGGAACAACAAGCCCGGCTATGTGAGGACGGCTACTCCGGGGTGACAGACGAAAGGTTGCTGTGGAATTGCGTCAATCGATATGTAAAAAAGGACCAGGAGGCCAAAATCAAAACGAAGGGGATCACCTTGTTCCTTGTGCACGGATTGGGTTTTCCGAAGGAAGTGAGTCTTGCGATGCCTGCTTATGCATGCTAGGAATCTAATGGTGTTTGAGATGTGCGAGACCAGTTTACGCTATCTACTAGCTGCCTGTGATGTCATAGATGAGATATGGTCGTGGGAGTCCGTGCAACATGGGGACTCGGCTCTGCTAAACAAACAGAATCTCAGTGGTAGCTGTAAGAGATCGTTTCTTAGACCTCCCGCTTGGAATTAATTGACAACAGCTGATTGGACCGACAATGCGAGAGACATTGCAAACTTTCTCATCAACTATATGCCGGAAGAGGTAGAAACATCTTCTCTCCCCATCCAACTTCATCGAGTTCCCGCATCCATTGGTGAATCACGTCAAAAGAGTGGCTTCTCCTCCCGGACCTTGGCCGTAGCAGGACACTCGTTTGGAGGTGGTGCGGTGTATGTCATCCGCAGTTCAGAGATTAATTGAATCTCATAATATTGCACAGGACGTTGGCCGCGTTGCATTTCCCTGCCTTGTTCTCCTCGATGATCCTCCTCGATGCAACACTTGATCCTTTCCAAGGATATGTGTGGGAGCACAACCAGTACTTCGTTGGGGCTACTTTGATAAGGCGCGATCAATGGCCGTCACGGTGATTAAACTTTGACAATACTCTCGTTTCGGAGTACTACTGACTATGATTGTAGGGAGGATGCCCTGCGTTCCTTTAAATCTTCACCCATGTTCTCTGCTTGGGACCCTGACGTCCTTCAGCACTATGTCGATTTCGGACTGTACGAGGATGAAAGCGGATGCGTCAGATTGAAAACGCCTCCCGTTCACGAGGCTCTTCTCACTGCGAATCCACGAGTTAGGTGTGAAACCTGGGAATTGATGGAAACGCTTGACGAAAAGATTGAGCTACTGTGGATTCTTCCCGGAAAACCAAGCGAGGATGTGTAGGTTAGGGTGGCGGAATGAAGTTCACTAACTAATAGGTGTTGTCCGACAGATCAATGTTAGCGGAATTGAGGAAGCAGCGTGCTTGGCGCAGACCTGCAAATTCATCCAACATCGTCTTCAAGTCATCTGGCCATCTCGTCTGTATTACCATCTTACCTTTAATTATTCTATGATTGACATAATCGTGCCTTAGATTCCTCAGGAGTCTCCAGAAGAGCTTGGTATGTTGACGTGAAGGACTAATTGATTGCAATCTAACCGTTCATACAGCGGGAGTTATGGCCAACTTTCTGAACAGGAAATACGATATTTCCTCAGGGAAGTCAAAGCTCTAGAATTACGAGTGCTGCGCGACACTACCTAGAAACTTCAGCAATCACTCTGACGAATATATCAATGGGACGAGTATCTATTTGTTTAGGCCCTGCATAGTATCACACGGAGTATGGCCCATTAGTATTTTCCAGACATCGGAAAGTAAATGGGGAGAAAAACGAATCACTAGCTAAGCGTGAGTAACTCGACAGACTATTAAAGTTATGAGCAACCGTCACCAAAGATCCACCATATTTTTATGCAAGGTCATCAAGCGACCCAGAGCTTCAAAGTAGAGCTGGCTCCAAAACCAAAGTCGGCTGCGCTGGTACCTCACCATGAGAGGAGCTATAACAGGTAATGTCTCGCCAAATTTCTCCCAGCACCCATCCGATATGATAGGTGGCGAGAGGTACGGCTCAACCTCCATCGCAGCGAGCCATTCATCCAGGCGAGGCAAAGCTACCGACAAAGCAGTATCCTCCATCCGCATAACGGTCCGCCGCGTGAACATACCACACTCTACGTACTACGCAGTATCTGTCTTGATCGCGTTGATGAGATACAGATCGACGAGACATTGTGAAACCCCTTGGTCACCATCACGGTGATAGCGGCATTATAGGTCATGCGCGCCCCATGGATAATGATGGACTCAAGTCATCAGCTGACAGCGCGACTGCATATTGCACGAACGCTTGTGTGAAGTCGAATGTGGAGGAAACTGTCTTTGTTACCTTTTCGCTTCTGCAAGCTACGCCTAGTAGGGGTTCTGTCTGTAGCCGATGTAATTGGCTAGCAATGACGCCAGCATGTACAGCAACTCCTGCAACCAGATGAGCACCCACTCGTCCCTCAGCTTCAACTGCATTCCACAATCATCTATTCATTTATTTATCCCCTCTCCATCACTCGACAGGTGGATCGTTTTGCGACATAAGTCTTGTCACAACTTACAAGCTTTGATTCAGCTCTTCGTACGTCATTCCTTGAGATAACTAATGCCCAGATGATTTTCACGGCACCCTCGAACCTGGCTAGTACTTTCAGTTGGTCCATTTCATCACACATGTTACAACCTTCGTGAATGAGTGAGGATCAATCAATGTCAGTATATCTATCTTGTACCTACTTATCCTGCTCTCTGACCTTGTATTAATAGTTCTTCCATCGTCTGAAGGAACTTGGGTGATGCTGTCAGAGGTCGTTGTCAATGGTGTTCAATATAACTCCCATGAGTGTCAGCCCCACCCAAAATGTTTGGAAGGGACCCAAGTGGATCTCCTCAACTACACCTACAGATCACTAGATGACACGGAGAAGAATCAACTCATTTGGCTGTATGGCACAGTTGCATCAGGAAATCTACACATTACTTAATGTTCCTTAAAATCTTGAAAATTTGTATCAAGTAGACTACAAGGACTAAGCCAAATGTAAGAACATGCAAGAACATAAGTCTTTGCTTGATGGAGACTTGATGTCTTTGTGGGAAACATCATCACATTGTCATTAAGGAGCTTATAAGACACAAAAGTGTGACAAAAAATGATCTAAGTCAATATGCTATTTCAAACACATGGTGATCTATGAATCTGTTAACATAGAAGCTGGGCCATATGTCTAAAATGTTATGAAGTGTAAGGTTGTCCGAAGCAAAATCAGAGTCAAAAATAGGTAAGAGGTGACATGCATGAATAATGGTGTCAATGTGAATGATGGAGAGCTCTTGACTCGAGTCTGCATGAAAAGAAGGTCTTACCATCCACATGCCAGTGTCTGGATTCGGCTCATTCGCAATGAGTTTGAACCAGTGGATGAGGGTGCAAGGGAAAGTCTCTCGACTGTGCTGGAATGAAAAAAAACACAGGACATGACTGACGTCCATCCCATTGATCCCATCCTCGCTGGCAGTATTGACGAGGACAGTGTTGTTATGTGCAGGGCCTCAATGCCATGATGGTGCTGCATGAATGTGTTCGTGCCACATTCCACCAACACCGCTCGGGTCACTTGGTGCATAAAAACTGGCTGCGGCCGAATTAAATATTTTGATGCGGCCCTCGAATCATGGACATGCACTGAGGGGAACAGTGTCAGAAGTGTGCATGTCATCCGCAAGGAGTTGATCGAATAGAAAAAGTCGGACAAGGTGGGGGAGATCCAGTATGTGAAGCTCATCTGCTAACGCGTGGATATTGCACGCACGATATCATTCTTTGAAGACGCTAAATTGAGTAATTTGAGATATACATGAGGGAGAGGGAACTCACAATGGGTATGTGCCAATTTGACATTGCACTGTGCTCTGGGTTCTTCTATGATGCCATCTCCAGGCTTGTCCAAGTGGGGGCGCTCTGAGTCTGCCTGGTCTGCCGGATTGATCTGGATGTCTTCTCCACTGTCGTCATCACCATCATGATGGTCGTTAGTGCCATCGTCGTCGTCGTCATCATCAACTGCAGCAGCTGCTGTGGCAGTTGTTGCTGCTGCTGTTGGCATCGGTGTTAATGTTGGTGCTGCTGCTGTGGCCATTTGGGTTGTTGTTGTTGTTGCTGCTGTTGCTGCTGTTGCTGCTGTTGCTGTTGCTGCTGTTGTTGCTGTTGTTGCTGCTGCTGCTGTTGCTGCTGCTGCTGCGGCCGTTCAGATTATTGCTGCTGCTGTTGCTGTAGTTGCTGCTGCTGCTGCTGCAGCCCTTCGGATTGTTGCTGCTGCCGCTGTTGCTGCTGTTGCTGCTGCTGCTGTGGCTGCTCATGTGGTTGTTGCTGTTGCTGCTGTTGTGCCATGGCCGTTGTTGTCTGGGGCATCCACCTGCATGGTGACATCATTCTGTGCAGACTCAAGCTGGTCTAGTATGCATCCATATTAGTATACATTTGTTGTAACAAGTAGAAGATGTACCTAGATATGCTAAATGATCTAAAACGAATGAGTCAGTCAAGCATTCTGCATGCAGTGAAGTCCGAGTGTGATGCAGCAAGTTTGTCAAGGCACTGGTTGGTGAGCAACATTTGTCCAAGGGCATTGAATTTGCTGGAATGGCACCAAGGCTCCTTGATGGCCTTTATGTGTTTGGACTCCGTTATGGAGGAGCATATCCCGTTCGGGGCACCAAACAAATGGATGAGCATGGAATAATGGCACAGTGTGTGCTGGCGTGGCAGGGAAAATCTGTTGAATTGAATACTGGTATCTTGGAAGATTTGTCGATAGCGATGGAAGTGTCCAAGACAGTCAGAAAGCTGTAGAAGGGTGTCCTCTGTGATAATGTCTTGTCACATGATGTAACAGAATTTGAGGAAGGCCTGAAAACATCAGATGATGTCCTGAGGGATGTGTCCCTCAATCACAGGGAGATAGACCTTCATGAGGGCCTTGGAGTTGTCGCCAGTCCATTGAGAGAATCCATGTCCTTGTGGAAATCGATGAAGTCCTGCGAAAGGCGGAGCTGCAGCAATTCTGAGATGATGAGAAATTAGTTAGAACAATTGAGAAACACGCTGAAACTCACCGATGATCGATATCATCCAAAATTGCCTTCGCGCATGTCTTCCCATGCTCTTTTTTGAGATACTTCTCAACCCATGCCACGAGATGGTCTTTAAACGCTCCTTTAATAACTTGATGTAGGATGTCTGGTGCGAGAAGCTGGTGAATGTCACCTGTGAGGGAAGTCGTTGGTGAAAGGCTAAACATATGTTAAAACGATACCATTAAATAGTAGAAAGACTCACCACTACATCACTGATGACTCCCCATTCCTCCCAAAGTACTCCAGCATCAACTTCATCACACAGGATATCTACAACTTCCCGTGAACGAAGCCCACCCTCACTGCTGTCCAAATTGTCAGGATAAGCGAAACATCTAAGGTATTGGTGTTAGTACAGGAGATACCAAATAGACAGATGAATTACTTACTTTGTGCACCAATTCTGAACTACACAACCAAGGACAAGTTGCTCAGGATAGTCAGCAATATAAGGACTGAGACCATACACCACACATCTAAAATGCCTGTCCCCAAATTGGACAACCTCAGGGACAGACATGGCGGGCTTGAGTGATGACAGAATCCATGACAAAGAAGAATGAAACAGTTGTTTCTTAAATTTTCGGAAACACAGATCATCTGAATGTTTTTTTGTTGCTGCAAGACTTTGTTAGTATTGAGAAGCGCTGAGAAATTGAATACACACTTTTTGGAATGGCCAAAAAGCCAATGATGGCTACCACATTATGGTGAGCACAGCAAACATTATTATGAATGTTCCCGATTGAGGCATACAGCGGGTAGTAATCATTTTGTCCCATTGCGACTGAGACTGTGGTTTTGTCACTTCTGAGTATTACTGGGACAAACATTGAACCATGCATGGCAGGATCTTTGGCAATCTCATCCTGATGAAGTGTCAGTGAAAGGAATTGTGTTCATAGCATTGAACTTACTGCTTGGTCCCAGGCCCAATCGCCTGACATCACATTGTGCCATTGGCGAGTTGCGCTTTCACCCTGGCCTTTCCACTCATGATACAGCGCATAATCCATCTCATTTTTGAAGTCAGGATTGCCTAACATGTTGCAGATGATAGTGTGCGGGTCGTGGAACCATGTAGTGTATGTGGTGTCCATCCACAGTGTGAGATCACTTGCTGGATCAGCATCTGCACCATATTTCATTAAAAAACTCTGCCAAGTGACATCTCCAATTGGCATTTCATCGATAGTCGAATATAGGTCCCGATGGTCTGCAAAAGGAGGGGTGTCTCCATGTTGCGCAAGACCAAGGCCCCACAAGTGCATCAATTTATCGATGTCACCAGCAGACATCTGAACCTTCTTGTACAAAAACTCTGTGGTTTCAAACTCCAATCAACTATGGTAAGGCATCCAGTCACCTGGCTGTTTCAATGTTAAGGGAGGAGGTATGGTATCCGTGGGAACGAAATTACTTGCTGCATCACATATACGACCTGTGCAAAAATTATTTTAGAATGTACTGATGATAAAATTGAGCTACATACCATCAAGTTCAAGGTGATAGTCGCGATAGACTTCATCCACGTTCCCACTGACACCTGGGGCCATGTTATCATCTATGGCATCATTGCCATAGTCATAGTCCATTGTATCATCATGGTGATCAGCTGTGTGGAAGTTGACATTTGGAAGCAGCTGCTCCCCATTGTTTGGGTTGGATTCTGCAGGGCATTGGTGTGCATTTGCAGGCAATTTGAATGAAAAATTGTGGAGTGCATGACAGTGCTGTGTGAGACCTGACCGGTTCTTGAAATAGCGGTTGCAGCCAGTGTGTGGACAAGGGATTAAGTTGACATTGAATGTCCTGCAGTTTCATGCCATTGGTGCAGAAGTCAGAATGGAGTGTGACTATAGGTCAAATGTGAGTGAATAATCAGTGAAACGAGCAAAAATACGCACCAAAGAGACAAGAACACAGTGCACTTGAGGGCTCGGGGTGCAGGAGGGCTTAGCAGCCAGTGTCAAGTTCCAACTGGCACTAAAACAAGCTAAGGGTCAGTAAATAGCAAAGTACATAATGGCGGGCTCATGCAGTGTATATAACAACACTCTAAAACAACCCTTCTTCACCACTTCTTTGCCCTGCCCAAAGAGTCCACCTGTCCTGCTCAAGAGTCCACCTGTCCTGCTCAAGAGTCCACTTGTCCTGCTCACCAGCTCTCTTCCTCATTCCTGCTGCTGACCATGGTCTCTACACGTCTGTCCAATGCTTCAAAAAAGGTCACTCAGGTTGTCATAGACACACAGCAAAAAAGATGAACCTCAGCCCAGGTACAAGAGGACAACACTTGTCTCCAAAGGGAAAAGCAAGAGCAGGAGGCAAAGACCCACAAGGGCATTGCCAAAGTTGCAGCCATTCAGGATAAACTTGCCATCCAGGAGCAAAAGGCAACCACCATGAGAAAACCCTGTCCTTGTCCCATTGGCAAGACTGCTGCTGCAACCACTGCTACCAAGATGGAACCACCTCCTTCCCAGGCTAAAGCCACAGGACCTGAAAAGAGGTGCTGCAGCAAAGGCAGCAGAGGCAGAGGATCTAGATGAGGTGGGTGATAGTGGTGAGGCAAACACGCAGAAAAAGCGGAAGCAAGTGCAGAAGACAACTCACCGTGATGCTGTTGGGGCTGTTCATGGTGCTGCAGTATCAGCTGATACTGATAAGAACAATGATGTTACTGATGGGATCATGGTGTTGAGTTCATGTGCATCAGATGCTGGCCCAAAAGGGAATACAGCAATGTATGTACCTTGATACCACACCATGATGTTGCTGCTGACTGAACTGACTCTTTTTTACTGGAACTTGCTGAATGATTTGACCAGTGGCTTGAAGAATGCGGCCTACAAGGGCTCAGTCTCCATGTGGGCACATGGAGTTAAGAATCCAAAGACAGGCACGTTGTCTCAATTTCCGAGGAGTGAAACACATCCAACCAGTGCATCGGCATCTCAGCGCCCACACAGTTCACCAAAGTGACAATGATCAGCAGTGCTACTGCCCCCCCAATAACTCCTGAAGGCTCAGAGATCAACGACAATGCCCACATAACAGGATCTCTGCTGGATGAGGATGAGGAGCCAGAACAATTGGCAGCACATGCCCTTGTGAATATGAAGAAACAGCCAAGTGGTTTGTGTACTGTGTTAGGAGCAATGGTTCATGTTTTTTGTTTATTTTTTGTTTCCTTTGTTAACTACTTACTACAGGATGTGGTTGAGGTTCGCAATAGTCCACTGACCCTGCCTCCACCTCCGCCTTCATAATATCAGTTCACTCACTCCAAGCTGCTCCCCTCATCTGTCACAGGGGACGTTGTCATGGATGACAACAAAGCGGAATCAGAAGACATCATTATTGTTGATAGTGTTGAGGCAAGCCCTGTCATTGCTACAGGAAGCAAACGGGTGACAGCAAAGGTACACACATTCACTCAAAGCAGTCCACACTGATACACAACCTGTTTCACAGACCAATGTTGATGTATTTGATGATTTGGATGTCCTGCCCAAGAAGCGTGTCAAGAAGGAGCCAATAGACGCCCCAGAGAAGAAGGCAACCGCTGCGGAGAAGAAAGCCACCACTGGAGAAGTCTTAAGAGTAAAGTACAAGAACAGTGATCTTCCTGCTGGTTGCCAGGACAGTAATACATGGCGTGGCTTACTCATTCCTACTATCGCTCATGCTGCTGGTGGGGATGATGTCCATCCATGGCTTGTCGAGGATGACGCGCTGATTCTGATCCTCACAAAGGCTTGGAAAACTGTCTACACAAAAAACCTCACACTCATTAATCACTTGATTGTCCCAGGAGATGCTGTCTATTACATGGTAAGTCTCACTGATACAGTGTGTTTGTAGCTGACACTCTATCTAATGTAGGCTAAGCAATGCTTGAGTGAATGGCATGGTGGATTTGGTTCCACTGCCATCATGATGATCACAAGTCTCATGGCAGTGGACCCGCTCTATGAATCTGAGGATAACTGTGTTGAATTCACAGATTTTTGGCTCGAGGACAACAAGTTTCTCTTTGGGGATGTTGACTCTGACAACAAGAAGGTATGTGTCATCGTTTGGTGTGATTTTTTCTGACATCTATGTGTGTCTAGGAATGGTCAGGAATGTGGCAGTCAACATTTATCCTGCAGACTTTCATGGTGCACCTCAACTACACCCAAGGACATGTACTGGTCCCAGAGCTCAACAGCGAGGAGCCAGTTCTCCAAACTGTGCTTTCTCTCTCTGCAGTGGCAGTATATTTTTTTTGTTGAATTCACACATTCTTCTGATGACTTCAGCAGGTCAAATGTGCCCTTGTTCTTCTTGTGAATAAAGAGATGACTTTCGAGATCAAGACCACCACCTCTAAGGGCAAGAAGAAGCCTTCACAGAAGGGTAAGGCATCAGCTGCAGAAACCGAATGGATCACTGTCATCAGCAAGAATGAGACTTTTTTGGAGCCACTCAGGGGATATGACACCCAAATGTTCTTGACCACCATCAATCATGTTCCCACTGACAAGATGAAAACCATAATTGAACAAGCTCAACAATACATGAAGGCCATGACTTGTGCTGGACAATTGAAGATGGATGGTGTGCTTGTGGACACCCAAAACGAAGACTTCGATGAAGAGTATGCTGACCTGCTCACCTTCCAGCTGAGTGTAATTTTTTAATTTTTAATTTATCATTTATGGTGCTCACTCATTCATGACAGATGTACATCCATGGCTCGTGGCTTGTACTTGAATTTCGCCTGCTATCATTCAAGTTGCCCAACTGCTGACTAGTGCTTTTCCTCGTTTCATTCATATAATGTCTCACCATCACTCTCGCATGCTTGAATTACTATCATTTTTACACTGGCGCATTGCACTGCAATTTTAATCGTGCTTTCCTGTTACTTTCCTCTGCTTGTTTTGCCCTGAACTTGTTTTAATACCCTTCATAATCCCTCTTAGCCACTACTTTGGATCTTACTGAAATTGATGGATCATGTTTGGCAAACAGCACTTGATCAAGCAACCCTTAAGTCAAATATAAGAATTTGGATCTAATTTATTTAAGAGATACTGTTCTTAATGATTTCTGGCTTATTTGTTCTTGATCCATTGTGAGTACATGCTCAGCCATCATTAAGTCATCATTAAGTAATGTGTTGATTTCCTGATGTGGCATCAGAAAGTCTGCTGTTGCATTCACAGTAGCTGAAAGCTAAAAGTGACAGAGCAGACAAATATCAAAAAGCGGCTCAGAAGAACTTTTTTTCTTGCACAAGAACATGAAATGTTGCACAGCTGGATACCTTTTTGCTATGCTTGTCTACTAGCTTGCCAATAATTTCTGGAAGGATATAAACAGAGCTATCCATGAGAATCCCACCCTGCTAGACCCTGACATGCCTCTGTGACCAGATGGAGGTTCTCTTTCTCCAACCTCTCTGGAAACTTTGATTCAAATTATGCAGGTATCCACCTTTGGTGTTTGTCATCGATGCCCTTGATGAATGCACATCAAAACCTGAGCTTACTGACCCTATCCTTTCCCTTGCACAGGCTCTTCATGAACCTGATCTTCCCATAACCCACATTCTCAGGATGTCAAGATAATACTAGCACTGTAGCTATGGTCAGTCAAGGATATTCCTACTGACACCAGTCTCCCAGTAAATATTTATCACTTGTCCATTCGGGACTACATTTCCGACTCCTCAAACTGCAGCCTCACTCATGCACATGACATATCGATTGCCCACTCCCTACTTGCTAACACTTCTTTCCACTTGATGGTGAAGGAGATTCCAAAAAGCACAGCCCTCCTGGATGTGCTCTTAGATTTGCAGAGACAGAGCCAAGCTTTGCAACCCAGAGATTAAAAGACTCACTGGTTTTTCTCGTCCAGCCACTGGAGCCAGTGTCAGCCCTTTTCAGCCTGATATGGCTTCAGGGAGATTGTGGCCCAGATTTACAATTCTGGCTGGAGACCCTGGACAGGTGTGCCTGGCTGCAAACCCATGCAGGGGATGACTGGTTGCATACACCAAGAAGATGTTTGCTAGTCGTCCTGTGAGGCATTGAAGCTGTTGCCAAATACACTGTCACCTGGTGGCATTGGCCAGGATCCACAACACCCTGGGGTGATCATGCATTAAAGCTTACAACTATAATCAATATGTAATGCATGAACAGTTATAATTGTAACCCTGAATCATGCATTAATACATTACAGTTGTAAGACAGCCACCCCCTAAGACACTCACCACCCAGTCACCCTCTGAGCCTATCCCCAGCATTCAAAAGCCAGGTACCTTTGCTGTGAAGGCTGACCAAGGCTGACCAGAAGTGTATCCCTGACCAGAAGCATGGAATAAGATCTCAAATCAGATCTTAGATCTAAGCTAAGGTACCATGAAGCATTACATTCATGCATGTGTACTTCAGGATGAAAAACAGGTATATATTGGCTGGCAATAGTGTACACAAGCAAACAAGTAACTAGATATTGGGTAGTGGCAGGGCTGTGAGATCAGGGAGGTCAGCACCAGAGGGAGCCATGTTTGACAAGGCTATGGTATTGGGAGCAAGGAAAGAAGACCATAACAACTGAAAATGATCAGCAAATGCTTGATGAATGCTTGTCTGCTTGGCAGCATAAGCTCATATACCCTCAAGGCAGCCTGCATCCTCCTCCACACACTAATGCCCCTGCTCATCCCACCAGGTGGCCTGCCACCGAAAAAATTGAAGGACAGCGATGCATTTCTTCCTGGAGCAGTTTGACCTCCTCTGCCCAGTGCATCACACAAGCTCGCGCTTTGCACCATTCCACCCTCACACCTATATTAATGTTAGCTTAGCCTGCAACAATGAGCATCATGACTCACCATCCTTGTCTGTGCCGTCTCCACCACTATCCACCCTACTCATCCTCCAAATCCAAGTCAACTTTCATCTCCCCTGCCCTGGCATGGAATATGGATCAATAAGCGGTTGAATATCATCATCCTCCAGTGGCTGAAGTCCTTCTTGCCATCCCACTTTTCCAAGCTCTTGGGCCAGGGCATTCAATGCACCCCATGAAGCATGGTAGCGTGCAGAACATGCTGCTTATCTTGCACTCACCCACTCAAATGCACTCTGAGCCCTTGTGTTTCTGCCCTGCCCATGCACCCAATCTTTCTTGTACATCAAGAGGGATGAACATATCCGCAGGCATTGATGAAGTTTTTCAAGCATGTCATGTGCCTGAGTGAGCCGCAGTTCCTACTTGTAGTGTCGCAGTCAGTTGTGGCATGGACAATTACTGATGGCAGAAGGCAGCAACAGCTTCACATCCTCCATGTTCTGGATGCCTAGAAGAGAGGGTGGCATTGAAGTAGAAGTTGAGAGGATACCCTGAATGACAGGCATGTAAAGTGCCTGTGTTGTCCTCCATGACTCAACCTTGCAATGAAAAGTGTTCCTCTGGCACTGCAGGTTGCCTTTCTGAGTATCAGTGATGTGGTTACCGAGACTCTTCATGAACCAAAGCACATGTTGCCTGTGTGTCATGGTCAGTTTTTGAATCTAGAGCTGAAAAAAATGGAACTTACTGTTCCTCTTCTAAGTTGAGACCCAATCCCACAAAGACACTAGGTGAAACCTCAGGGTGCAGTGACAAATCCACCCCCCTTTCCAGGTCCCATGCCTCCAGCTGTGTGAGCTTCAGGTGTGCCCCAGCCTGCATGATTGCTATGACAAATTAATTCCTTTACCCTGGTGTCAATACACAAACACGTACCAACTGATTTTGCTTCAAATGGATTCAGTACATGCACATCATTAGGGTTATCCTCCCGCATCTCAACCTTGGCCTTCCAGGCTATACAATTTTCCTTGGTAAGGGCACCATTGAGTTCCTCGAATGTGACATGGAAAGTGGCCTTCTCGAGTGTGGCTTCTTTCATCTTGTGTAATAAACTTGCTCCTAAAAGTGCACACTTAGAACTGCTGCTTCAGGGAATAAGTATGACTTACCTAAGTCCACCACCTTTTTCCAGTTCCAGTCGCCAAAGTGATCATCCAACATGTCATGCTGACAGCTCAGGCCCTATCTCCTTTGTGCTGGATGCCACTGGGTTTATGTTTGACCAGCCGCACTCCAGAGCCTCGCCATCAGTGCACCTGACCTAATGAGATCAGTTGAAAGAGAATGCCATCTGGCATTTTGCAATGTGTGCAGGTAGGTGAAATTTAGGCACAAAGAAGCGAGCAGTTTTGATTATGTAATCAATCTGATAGTCTTTGGGAAAAGTAGCCATCCTGGCCCACAGATTTTTGTGCCATTGACACATGATATCATATGACACATTAAGGACTTTGAGAGAGTGGTGACATAAAACTGAAAAGAACAAAAAATCCATGTTGATATATCTGGTGTTGGTGAGTCAGTGATGAGTTGATCCACATTCACTCAACCAGAGCATACCTTTCACCTTTCTGCAAATCCCTGACCCCATTTGGAAGCTTCATGTTGTGGCATACACAATCAATTGTGCCAAGTCCTGTAGCTGCAAGCCCCTGGGATGACTTCGTCTTGGCCATGTTCACTGCATTGTTACTAGCACATGTACTTTTCTGTTGAACCTATCAATGAAAACTTCAAACATGACAGAAAAAATTACCCACCTCTTAAACCTCCATGCCATGATTGGTAAGATGTGTCTTGTATGTAGTCTCATCAATGAAGTATCCCCACCCGTGCAATAGGCTAGGATCCACAGTATCCTTTGAAACTATGCGCCTCTTCAGATGAAAATTGGCATTGATCGCGAGAAAGCAAGTGTATAACCATCTTGAGAAACATCAGAAGCTGTCGATATCACTCAATTAAGCCTTCACCTTGTTCCTTTTGGAGCAAGTTCCCAGCCATCAGGAAGGTTCTTACCTGGCTGAGGGCATGCCGGGCATAGAACTGTGCATTTGCCCTGCAATGTAGCTAAGATGCCAGAGGGATCATGTCCATGGCCTGCTTGTTTCAGCATTTTTATATGCTGATATTCACATGCCATGCACATGAATGCTTCATAGTGGTCCTTCTGCTTCAAAAGGCCAGTGTTATCAGTGAGATGAACTAAGGAATGGTAAAATTCATAAGCAGAAACTTTGGATTCAAAGGAGAGAATGTGGAACTGCCGAAGAATGCAAAGTGTTGTGGCAGTTCTTGGATCTGTTGTCATTGCAGGGAACCACCCAACACGTAACAGCTGCTGGGTGTGAGATTGTGCTTTACAGCACCCACAGAAATCCACGGCCATAGGGTGGATGCCTAGCATGTTGATGAGGACAAAATCATCATTGAAAGCTTGATTTGGAAGGAGGCAGGATTCACCAACCTTGTGGCCAAGTTGCACATGAAGCCCAAGATCTCTAAGTGTCAAAGTTTGAAAGGATTCACCATTCCACTTCTAAGGAAATTCCCATCAGCCACACACAAAACATTGAGTGCAAGACCTACCTCAATACGATGCACTGGCAAATGAGCATGAGCTTGAACAATGCATGTTTGGCATGACAACATGGGTGTGAAACAATCCTTACAGTGGTATATGCTGGGATTGATACCACAGGCACCGCAGACAGAAGATGAGATACTGTCACCCCTTCCATTGTGATGAAGCATCTCGACAAGGAATGTCTCCCAGTGTTCTATCCAAGTCAGGAGAGGTTGATCCTAGGCTAGGTAAATAAGTGACAAGCGAGTGAAAACTACAAGTGTACTCCAGCTGTTCACTTGTGCTTATTTGGAGATCCGACTTCCTCATTGAGTGAAGGTTCTTGATCCATTGGCACATAATATTCACTGTGCTTGTCATAGGAGAAGTTATCGATGTTTGCAGGTGCTGCATTGAAGGGATCCGCCAAACACAATGCCTCTGGAGGCCTGAAAACATCCTGGCATGATGCTGCTAGACTGCCATATGGTTGCGATGCAAACTTGACCCTCTCTTGAGTAGTTACACTTGATGAAGGAACAACAACATATTTGTTGAAACATGGTCTTTTGCATCCACAACCACAATCACTGCCATGGCCAAGTCCAGTGCCATGTTGACCTTGAGCACAACCACAACCTTGGCCTCAACCACGACTATTGATTTCCTGCCATGTCCAAGGAAGCATCCTGGCTTGGACTACGGTCGTTTCATGAGCTATGAGTTTGTGGTTAGTTGCAGATTATGTAGTTAGTACTAGTAAATACATACCTTATTCATTCATTATGCCTCCACTTGAGCTCACCATTGTGTAGTCCAATGTGTAGTACTATACTTGAAAGTGAAGGAAACTTGGGATGTACTTTGGGATCCTCCAACTTATTTATGTGCTGCTAAGAAGCATCCAATACCCTCCCATACAATCACACATGCTGCAGGTGGTTCCCAGCGGAGTTCACTAACATCGTGAGGGTTGTGAGGGATATAAGAGACCCATTGATTGATTGAAACCTTTACCTATTATCCATTGAGTCTGATACACAAGTCACCCAGTCACCCAGTCACTCTTCCATAAAATGAAAGTCTTTCCCACACTTGTCAAGGAACAGACTTTCAGTTTGTCTGAACTGATCACTGCGGTGGAACTTCTGTGTGATCAGCAAGGTGAGTTTACACAATCACACTGGCTTGTCAAGACTCACCTATCATTTTTAGTCCTCCAGCAGGCCCATACTGATGCTAGGGTTGAGGTACCTGAACATTTGGAAAAGGTGATTGCAACCAGCTATTGCCCCGGTTATATTTTGCATGCTCACAGACAGACTTGTTATGTCTATGGCACTCACACATGTACCTCTACCCTGGCTACCACTGTCCTTGCTAGGGACAGTGCAGACACCATAGGTAAGTCCTCCCTCCATCAACTTCAACAGGTCCTTATCAAATACACCAGATGACACTCAGAGTGACACAGAGTCAGATGTTAGTGACAGTACCACAGCATTATCACCTCCTGCCATCATTATTGCACCACCTCCACCTCCCACTACCTTCATTGCACCAACTACTGCCGCCATTGCACCTCCCACCACCATCTTTGCATCTCATGGGAGCACATCAGCTTCTGTATGCTGGTATGTCATTACCGTCGGGCATGAGACTGGCGTCTTTCAGGGCTGGTTAGTATCCTGCTGCTTATCTAGATTTCTTGATTAAATTTTGTTTGCAGGCACAACATGCATGCCCATGTAGTTGGTGTCCCTGGGGCTTGTTTTGGCAGATACTCCTCTCATGCTAGTGCAGAGGAGGCATTTGCTCAGGCGGTGCATGATGGGACAGTGCAAGAGTTGGCGCTTTGAAGAGTTGGCGCTTTGAAGAGTTGGTGCTTTGAAATGGTGCTCTGAAAATGTCACATAGTGTATACCTGTCACCTAGTGTATAACTGTCCTTGTTGTTTACTGTTGAAATGATAACCTCATTTTCTTAGACATGCATTACATTGTGAATAATGGTGTTGAGGGTGAACCTATGCATGTGTCATTGACATGGTTGTCCTCTCTGCAAAAGCTGAAGCAGACTTGGAGTGACTTTATTGCATGTTTGAGACTTATTTTGTCTGCTGAAAGGTTGAAATGGCTTGAGGGTGGATGGGCAGACAGTCTAATATTGAAGTTATATTGTCAAGTTGCTCTGTGCACATGTTGAAGTAGCTACGATGTCATTTTGTTATGCAGTTGTGAGCTATGAACAATTAATCTCCCAACAAAATGCCTGATGCAGGTATGTTACTTAAAGCTTTAAGGTATCAATATTAACACACTGATTGCTTACAACTATTAATCTCCCAACAACATTACCACAACATCTCTTGCTACTGCTACTTGATGCCAGTGAAGGGTCATCCATGTAAATACAACAACAATGCCGAGAGGGCACGAGCAGCCCACCAATATCACAAAAAATACTATGAAGCATGGGTGTTCATTACAACTTGAATGCATTCAACTATAGTCACTAATGATGTCTCTAGAAATAAGACGGCTATCTGCCAAAAGAAACAGGCTCAATATCATGGGATGACTTGGACGTCTCCCCAGTGCACTCCCACCTCTCTTAAAACAACAGCAACATCCCTAACTCGCCCAAAGGCAAAGTGTGCTGCCATCATTGGCACACCTGCATCAAGGACCAACTCATTTATAACATGCCGGTGACAAGGTCACTCCATTGCTTGACCATCGCATGTGTAAGTGTATCCTTACAATGACTAACTATATTCAACTGATTTCTGGCCATTGGCCATTCAACAATGCAAGCAAGCAGCTCAACTGTGCCCAAGCTGCGCTATTGGACTGTACTAATATACCAGCACAGCAATTCTGTGAAGAAATCTGTGACCAGCTGATATGCAATGATAAGACTTGGGAAACTACTAATGTCAAGCTTCTGGAGGTTCTGACATGTCTCGAAGAGGTTCAGGTTGGTCTGCAGGGACTGGAAGCAAGTGTACTTGAAGAGACAGGCATCTCAGGATTTTTCAAGGACATCAGCGCAATTTCTAAGTGGTGCAGAAATATTATTTCTGCAATCGAGGAACTATGGTGTTATGGGATGTCCATGATGTCTGACCTCACTGACAGGTGCAGACAGGGGGAATTATTGTACCAGACTCTGTAAGACACTACTGTGTTTCTTGCTATGTAATATACATGTCCTTAGCTTCATGCTCATCCACCAGCCAGAACTTAAGAAGATTCGCAGCTTTTAGGGTGTCTCCAGGGTGTCTCTGTCACGCTCGTCCACCAGCCAGAACTTAAGAAGATTCATGGCTTATTGCCCTGGCCCAACACTGGCAATTGTTAGGGCGTTGAAGGAATCAACTACTAAGCTATGGCACTACAAGGGATGCCAAGTCAGCATATATGTGTGGTTGTCTCAGCTCTGCCTATGGCTGCTATACTTTGCAAGGGCAAGTGCATTCAACCCAAGGGGAAGTGAGTGCAACACATCCACAGGTCGCACAAAGCGTGGGAAAGTCACGCGCGTGGAGGTGAAGGCACACACAGAGAGTGGTAGGATGCATGAAGCATGGGAAAGTCGTGTGCTAATAGGTGAAAGTGTGCAAAGGGCTAGGAATGTGACTGGGGACTAGGGGAAGATGATGACTGGTACTGATGGGTGCGAGAATGACAAATGCAATGATGATAGAGTGTGATTGTCAAACTGCTACTGACTATGGCTCAAAAAAAGCATGCACTATGCTGAGGGATGCTAAGGGATACTAACTCCCAACTAAGTGGTAGCTCTCTAACTCCTTAAAAATGCGAATGCTGTCATGCAAAAGGTGACTAAGCGTGTTCCCACGATGCGGAGCTGATGCAAGTAAGGTGCGGGAACAAAGAAGGTATATGTAAGTAAGGGTCCATGATGGAATATGGTGTCATGATAAGAGTAAATGCAAAAATGTACCAGTAGGACTTGCTGGACAATGGATGGATGCTCCTGGATGATGGGCAATGAAGTGCAGGAAAGCATGTGGGATGCGCGCAGGAATGCGTCACAGGAGAGTAGCGCATGTGTCATGCGATGCACAGGAAGATCACACATGTATAGGCTGAGTGAAGGAATGATATAGGGAATGATGCTGTGAGTTCATGCTGTGAATTGTATGCAGATACATCGCAATATAGGGCTCTACAGGCATACAGAGGTGTGAGTCTCTACACCACATGCACCAAAGGAGCTGGAGGTGTACTTGCAGTTGTACTACACAGACCACATCAAGGAGTCAGCCGATGAGGTAATTGCAAGTGGGGGTATTACCTCTCATGGTTCCAAGTTGTGTGTGTGCCATGAGATGACCACAGAGAAATATGAGGCAGAGTTGGCCACTGTGAAAGAGAAGGTTCAGAAGAGGTACTGAAAGTTGAGTAAAAAATTTAAGAAAGTGTGCAGGGCTACCAAAGCCAAGGAAAGCCAGGATGTTGATGAAGACACAAAAGTGAAGTACATATGTACTTTGTTCATAAAGCTTGCTGCAATGTTGACTGGTGTGCAGGGCTATCCATGAGCTTCCAATGATATTGGACCAAATTTTTCAACACCTTACTTGCATGACGGGAGGTTGGAAATTCTCAGTCCTGATGGGTGGTCATGATCCAGAATCTGGGGGTACCATGCATTTCTTCGAGTTTGTACTGATATCTAAAATAAATAAGTAACTAAACAAATTTAACAGCTATCACCTTGGTGAAGGCGCAGCTGGGGGACAGTTCGCAGACTCATACATCAAGTACAGCAATGTACTTAAGGGGTTTGCAAGTTTTGTAGAGAGCACAATCAGTAAGCATTCATCACAGAAAATAGTCACATCTTACTTACAAAATTGTTCAGAGTATGAGGAGTCTCTTCCAGTTATCCGCAGTGGGCATGACAGCAAGGCAGAAGAGAATGTTGATGAGTCCAGTGAGGACTCAAGCAATGGTGTCATATGCCATTCCAGACTCTCAACTCTAAATCCGCTTCTCCGGATATCCAGATCCGAGATCTGGATCTCAAATGATCTGATCTATCTTTATCTTCCTTCTGGAATCCAAACCCTATATCAGCGCCCAAACCCATTTAGACTTCCCCTGTCTCCAGACTCCAGTTAACCATGTTTTCCTTCTGATTATTGATCTGTTACATACATTTCATTTCCGGTATTCATTATTTGTGATCCATCCTACTTACTAATAGACTTTGCATATGCTTCGTACATAGCATTTATGTTTGCTGATTGATTCCTATATGATACCTACAGTATATAAACCTCCTGTAACTCTCGGAAATACTCCAGTTCAAATATCATCTTAGTTCCTGCTCATTCCTGTGTCCTCTGGACTCAAGACAAGTCTCTTGTCATATTCCGAGTCTTAGGATTGCATCCTAGACTACATTTCTGACTCTACCTTAAGGTAGTCTATCCTCTGTTAGTTTCTAGTCTGGACTTTGTCTGGATTAGTCTTATCCACTTGCCCAAGTAACATCTGGACGTCCATCGGATTTATCTCACATTTCAGATCTGGACATCCATTGTCTGCCCTAGTCAAATCCCGGAAACTCCAGACAACTGTTCTAGCCCCCGGAAATTAAGGGCACATACTCAGGAAAGGGGCACAGCATATGAGCTGAGGTCAAGCCCTTGTGATCTGACCCCCTTGAGCACGCAACCTTAACAGATGGTTCAGATGTCAAGGGGGACTGGAATCATAGTGGTGATAGAGAGCATGAGAAACAGGCTAGATTTGAGGTGGCACTTGATGGGTTGACTCCAATTCCAAACAACAAGTCTAATGCATCACAAATGCTTCAGGTAAGTCTCACCAAGTCAAGTTAATGCATTACATCATTGATGCATTTGCCATCAGTTCAACTTGCCCAAAGCTTCTATTGGTTCTGGGGCTCATGACACATTGGTTTGTTCAGCTGACTAATCTGTATGATTTCATTGTTGATTGGTATCTCTAGCCGTTCAATTACAATGCTATCAACTACAACAGTCTGCAGCCTGCAGACTATGAGGCTGCATTGTCCTCTTTCCTTGAGGCGTCTCTGCTCAAATCAGACTTTGGCATGGTGGTATCCAACTCAAATCTGCCACCTCTACCTCCAGTAGGTAGGGAAGTCCCAGTGCCACCATATTGTTTCCCTGTGCCTCAGAGCATTGAGCCTGCTGGTCCTGCACCAGCTGTGGTGTTCCAGCCTCCTGCACTCCAAATGACTGGACCTCCTACTCCCCCAGCATCTCAGACCTCGCCTCCTGCATTCCACATGACTGGACCTCCCACTCCCCTGGCTTCTCAGATCTCACCTCCTGCATCTCCACCTCCCACTCCCCCGGCTTCTCAGATCTTGCCTCCTGCATCTCCACCTCCCACTCCCCCAGCAACTCAGATCTTGCCTCCTGCATCCCAAATGACTGGACCTCCCACTCCCACAGACTCACCTCCTGCATCCCAAATGACTGGACCTCCCACTCCCACAGACTTGCCTCCTGCTCCACCTTCTGCAATGACCAGACCTCCTACTCCCTTGACATCTCAGTCAGTGTTTGCTGCACTGGGACCTGGGCCCCTTCCCCCCACAGTGCCTCAACTTGCTCACCACATCAAGGACGAACAACCTGGTGTTTGGTGGACTGGTAGGACACATCGAGCCATCCCTTTCAATCGTCACGAACTAGATAATGTCATCGGCAACACTCCTTGACAGTCTGGCCAAGTGGGCGGGGAAAATGATACATCAACTCAGGCCTCGAAATGTGGCAACAAGCACAATGCTGAAAATACTTGTAACACATCTAGGAAGTGAGTGTGTTTTTTTTCTTTAGCATTCCAAGACATTGATATCACAATCCAGGAAATCTAAATTGGCATAGGCCTACTAGTCTATATTGGTGACTCGAGTGTGGTTTTTCTTACTGTATATAGCACTATATAACTTTTACATTTTGAACCATTGTAGTAGATAGTGTCAATCTATAGCAATTTTTTTGTGAAACTATTTTGCCACCTTAAGCTGAGTACACTATGACTTTCTGACTACAAGTCAAGACTCCATGAAATTTTTGATGCTCAGGAAATGCTGTTGTTGAGACTTAGTGAAATTTTGGACACTTGGGAAAAGCCATTGTCGAGACTTCCATAGATTCTTTGATGATGGTGTGGGGAAAGTCAGGAATGAAATGGGGTATGGGTATGTAGTACTGGGAGCCACCTAGAAAGGCCTGGTACTATCTACATTTAAACAGCCCAAAAGGGAAGGAAAGGTACAGAAGGTAAAGAAGTACCTACCCACTTTTAAGGAGGTGGATTAGATACCTGGTGTGGGCTGAGTATGGTAATAGTGCTAATGCATTACTGATGCATGAGGGATTCACCAAGGTTTCCAAAAAGGGAGGGTGAGAAGCAGTAATGGTTCATGCATTACACTTTCTTTACAGTTGTAATTATTTAATGCATGATTATGACACTATGGGCTGCAGGATCTGCTTCGACACCTGATTCTAACATGGTGCTGATCATGGGTTCTGGAGGGCGACAGGGAGATGGCATCGGTGATTGAAATGTTTGGGGATGAACGAAAGTGATCGTTCCGAAATATATATGGTAGTATACGAATAAATGTAGCAGGAGTGAATATGCAATCGACGTACTTTGTGGTGTCTCACTAAGAAAAATCAATAATGAATCCATGTCCGAGTTTCCAAACAGCTTAGCAGAACCGGGTGTACAGAAAAGACAAGTGAATTTCGGAGGGACTTGGTGCTGAGAGCCACACAATGATATCAGCAAAGAACTGGACCGGGTGAGGGAGCTGGGACCGTATACTCTGACTTCAGTACTTTTTGGTGTTTGCCGAAGATGTGGTCCGACTTAACAAGAGCCTCATTCGACTCTACAGTGTCTCTGCCAAAAACATGACATGCAGTACTAGTAGTGAAGCCACCCTTCTATGCTGCTCTTTCCATGTACTTCTTACCCTCGGACTAAACATAAGGCTAGTCATGAGAATGTGATAGTATATAACGACAGGCCATGATTTAGACCTAATCATAATAGATGGGATTTGGAAAATATTATTCCTTTAGTTTCCAGAGTGAGTTCCGGGTTAACTTGGGGAATTGAAATGATCATGTACTCACATTTCTGAATCATGGCGCCCACTTACGGCTTCCTGTGCGGCGATCATCATGGTGTCAGATATCAATGCATCATGCATCATTGACTCTTTTAAGAGCCTGCATGCCGACACCGTAAAAATGGAACGTTATCTTCCTTCTACTATTCCAAGTCTGTCGGAGGTGGCTAGTCTACCGGGTATGGGCCACGATGGCATCTGATTCTCCAAGATAGTTAATCCGATACTCTCATCCAGAACCGAAAACAACAACTTGACAGAATAGAGACTTCCAGGCAGCAGTTGTCCACTGTCAGTCATGACATCCTCATATCCTTACACACCGACAACACTCCGGACGAGCGTGAAACCGCGCCCATGGGTGTCATTCAAGCCTCATGAAGGGCACGTCAAGATCCCGCCCCTACCCTTCAAACCCAGGTCCGATGACTTGCTCGGTACATACAGCATCAGCACGCATATCATACCTGCAGCCAATCCCAGAGTCACCCCAAGTATTCCAGTCCCCGAGCCACTTCCTCGCTCTTCAAAAAGAACCGAGAGGGATATCAAGAATTTAGGACTTGAACTCATGGAACAACAAGTTCGGCAAGGGGAGGACGGCTACTCCGGGGTCACAGACGAAAGGTTGCTATGGAATTGTGTTAACCGATATGTGAAAAAGGATCGGGAAGTCAAAGTCAGAACGAAGGGGATCACCTTGTTCCTTGTACACGCAACGGGTTTTCCAAAGGAGGTGAGTCTCGTAATGCCCGATGCATGCTAGGAATCTAATCGTGTATTAGATATGGGAGACTCATTTATACTATCTATTAGCTGCCTGTGGCATCATAGATGAGATATGGTCATGGGAGTCCGTGCAACACGGGAACTCTGCTCTGCTAAACAAACAAAATCTTAGTGGTAGCTGTGAGAGATCATTTCTTAGACATTCTGCTTGGAGTTAATCGACAACAGTTGATTGGACTGACAATGCGAGAGACATTGCAAACTTTCTCATCAACTATATGCCGGAAGAGGTAGAAACATCGTCTCTCCCTATCCAACTTCATCGAATTCCTGCATCCATTGGTGAATCACGTCAAAAGAGTGGCTTCTCCTCCCGGACCTTGGTCGTGGCAGGACACTCGTTTGGAGGTTGCTCGGTGTATGTCATTCGCGGTTCAGAAACCTGTCGAATCTCATGATATTGCACAGGACGTTAGCCGCGTTGCATTTCCCTGCCTTGTTCTCCTCTATGATCCTCCTCGATGCGATGATTGATACTTACCAAGAATTTACGTGGGAACACACACAATACTTGGTTGGGGCTACTTTGATGAGGCGCGATCAATGGCCATCACGGTGAGTGAATTTTGATAATGCTCTCGCGTCGGAATACTACTGACTATGATTGTAGGGAGGACGCCCTACGTGCTTTTAAAGCTTCACCTATGTTCTCTGCTTGGCATCCTGACGTCCTTCGGCTCTATGTCAATTTCGGACTGTACGAGGATGAAAGCGGATGCGTCAGATTGAAAACGCCTCCCATTCACGAGGCTCTTGTCCTTGCGAATCCGCGAGCTAGCCGTGAAACCTGGGAATTGATGGAAAAACTTGACGAAAAGATTGAGCTACTGTGGATTCTTCCCGGAAAACCAAGCGAGGATGTGTAGGTCAGGGTGGCGGAATGAAGCTCACTAACTGATAGGTGTTATCCGACAGATCAATGTTAGCGGAATTGAGGAAGCAGCGTGCTTGGCGCAGACCTGCAAATTCATCCAACATCGTCTTCAAGTCATCTGGCCATCTCGTCGGTATCTCGCCTTCAATTGTTTCTACAACTAATGTAATTGTGCCTTAGATTCCTCAGGAGTACTCCAGAAGAGCTTGGTATGTTGACATAAAAGACTGGTTAATTATCATCTAACTGTTCATACAGCGCGAGTTGTGACCGACTTTCTGAACAGGAAATACGATATTTCCTCAGGGAACTCGAAGCTCTAGAATTGTGTATATGAACGGGTGTTGTGCGACACGATACCTGGAAACTTTAGCAATCACTCCAACCAATATATTAATGGGACAAGTATCTATTTGTTCAGGCCCTGGATAGTATCACGCGAGACTTGGCATGGGTGTTTTCCAGACATCAAAAGTCCATGGGGAGAAAAACAAATCACTAGCTAATTACGAGCAACTCGACAAACCACTAAAGTTATGAGCAAAGGATCCATCATATTTTTATGCAAGGCTATAGCGACCCAGAGCTTCAAAGTCGAGCTCTCTCCAAAACCAAAGTCGGCTGCGCTGGCGCCTCAGCCTGAGGGGAGCTGTAGACAGGCAGCGTCCTGCTAAATTTCTCCCAGCACTCATCCGATATGATGGGTGCCGTGACGTATGGCTCGACCTCCATCGCAGCGAGCAACTCGTCTAGGCGAGGCAAAGCTGCCGACAAAGCAGTATCCTCCATACGCATAATGGCCTGCCGCGTAAATATACCACGCTCTACATACCACGCGGCGTCTGTCTTGATCGCGTTGATGAGATACAGATCAACGAGATACTGGGAGACCCCTTGGTCGACAGCGGCGTCATAGGCCATGCGATGTCCCATGGATTCGACCATCAGCTGACAGTGCGGTTGCACATATTGCATGAACGCGTGTGTGAAGTCGGATGAGGAGGAAACTGTCTCGGTCGCCTCATCGAATAACGAGATTTCGTGCAACGCAAGGGGGCCGTCTGGGTGTGTCGAGAGAGGTAACGTGTACGTTTGCGCCAAGCTATCTGCCACGAGTCCTATGATTCATCTGTGAGTATTTAGCTTGCCAGACATCAATGTGCTGCACTGACGCATAGAAAGGGCTGGCATTTTTAGTCAGTGCCACATCACCGGAGAAGGCTAAAAGTCGCCTACCTAAAATGTCACCTTCAGCGATGCTAACCCCCCTAATCTCGCTCTGCGAAACAGGTTAATTCTTGTTCTAACATGGCTGACCAAGAGAATGCGTTCGTACATATAAGTTCGACAGCCGATTATATTCGAAGAGGCCTTGAGCTCCCATTCTTTCAGACAGGGCACAATTTGCAAGTTGTGCGTGTTGAACCATGACTGCTTTACAGCAAGCCGCGACGCCATGTCGCACACGAACGTCAAGATTTTTATCCATGAACTGTTCGATAGCCCATTTATAAAGCGCTCTCAGAACGAACGCCTGAGCAATGGCATGTAGTAAAGGGAGCTGTTGCGTCCGGTATGAAAGTATGGGCACAGGATTTCCATGCGCGCTGGTGACATGGCGACGCTGAAAGTAACGCCCGGCGATGTACGATGATATCTGGAGACTAGGTATTGCAATCGAGCCAATAGCTAGCGACCCGACCGCGACACGCCATATAGAGGACATAAAGTCACGATGGATTCTGTTGGACTTGTCGAGGTCCCCGAGAAGGGCTGAAGGCGGTAAGCGGACATGATGGAAGCTTGTGAGTGCATGGTTGACGGGAGCTGAGCCACCTCTGGGTGGTAGTAACCTAGTTATAGAGCAATAAGTTTAAAATAAATGAAATGAATTTAAAGAGGTACTCGCTTCGAAGTCACTCCGTTGCACATACGATATCCGTCGTTTATATTGACAAGAAACGGTCGGGGTCCACGGCATTCGCCGTTCACATACAGTTGTGCGAAAACAATGGCGACACATGGAAGACCTTTCACTGGAACAGTTGGCGGCATGAACCTGGCCCAGGGCTATCATGATCAACAGCTCTCAAGGATATACTGATATCGTACTTGGCATCCGAGGGCGACGGCGTATGAAGATCGAATTCACCCGTTGGGAGAAGTGTTGCTGATGTCTTCATTCGGAAGATGTCTAGGCCTCTCCCCAGCTCGGTAAGGCAGAATTGACCACTGAAACGAGTCCATGTAGTGCTTCTGCAAGATGAATGTTACAGTTTGCTCACATAACATCCCATCGAAGAATGCCCTCGACGAGGGAAATCAAATCAGGTCTAGTAGTTGCGGCATATTGTGCAAGCGTTCCCACGACTAAATTGTACTGGATGGTCAGTAGCGTGAACGCAGCCCCGTCTAGGACCACGATTGGATCGATGTGCATGTCCCAAAATTTTTGTGTTAAATCCAAAATGTCATGAAGAGTGACGCCTGCAATACGAGATCAAGATGTGTCCCAAGAACAAAAATGCTTCATATGCACCGTGCGCTAAGCCAATAGCCCTGGCTCTCTCGTACGAGAGGACCACTCGGGCGTCGCGGCTGAGGAGCTCGGAGCGTTTCTCGAATAGATTTGACTGACAAAGCTGCGACGTGGATGTCATGATGGAGTGAGGGAACAAAGTATGCTACTTTAGTTTGCCCAACTCTCGTCCGTTATATACTAGATAGCCACCGCTCACGTACCTTTACAAAGATGCATCTGGACATATGTGAAGGACGCCACACTGGTCTAGTCATTATTAGAGGGAGCAGCTGTTTTCCTTCTGTTTTGGTCCGACTAGGGGAGATTAAGTCACGAGGTTACAAGAGGCGAACCTGAGATTCACCTTAAGTTGGACAGTACCAGTGATGGTAGAGCCGAAATGACTTGACATTTTGCAAGGCAGCTACAGACATAATTGGCGGTCCGCTGAACACACTATAGCTGCCGAGAGGACTGTCACATCTGAGGACCTCGTGTCCTTTGTGCCATCGGAGCTCATCACCTATGTGGTCAGTGGTCAAAGTCCAAAATCTGGCCACAGGCCCGTTACTCATACACATTTTTTGAAGGGCCTTCGGCAAAGCTCAAACGCTCGAACCTCCTGATACAAGGAAGCGATTAGAACTTACTGTGATATCAGTGACTATGTCAAATATAAGGACAGCTTTGCCTCAATTCGTCTCCTTTCCTCTCGTAAACTATCGCTAGTATGAACACGTCATAGTCTATGCGAGTTTGTGCTGGCACTAGTGGGCCCAAAGCGTCAGCTCGGGGCTTGAGATAAGGCAAAGAAACATACGAAGAATGGCATTATGCTATTACTCTTGGGACGATGATTTCCAGGTTTTGCATCGCACCCCAGGCAGATAAAGGCTTTAATCCGCTCCAGAGATTCTTTTAGAATAAATGACTTTGCCCAAAATTTGGCCAAATCTCCGTCTGGACTTGGCATTTTTTGAGGCTTTCGATGTGTATCTGAAGTTAGCATGGATCCTAGACTTTTCTAAAGAAGGCCAGCGCCGCGTTCTCGGGATAATGGATCCTAGACTTTTCCAGCGAAGGCCAGCGCCGTGTTCTCGGGATGATGCTTCCTGAAGATCTTGTGCGGCAATTCGCAAGACTCGTCTCCCGAGAATTCTCAGGCTAGTGTCCCGATATTCATTCAAAACTTACGAACTGCACAGCATGCCCTTGCGGAGCAGGTTCTCTACCTCATAGAAAAAAAACTGTTTGCGAGCCAAGTCGGTGCCCATTTCATTCTCGACGAAGTCACTGTAGCTCATTGGAATGCCTTTGCACGTCCCTCGGTAAAATGAGTTATATTGAAGCTTCCGGCGATAACAAAAGTTAGAAGTTAGATGACATTCCCAAGTACCACTACCGACATACCTCCACACTTGTCTATGTACGCCTGGTTCTAGTATTGCACAGTTTGAGCACGACACAAAAATGTCACACCTTGGCGGTGGTCATGCACATGTCATCCCACGTAACCATCGGCCTCTATCCGACTTGGCATTTTTAAAACCCAATATTTGGGTTCTGGACAGACTGACCTAATAGGGAGCTTCAGGCGCCGATCTGCAAAACGACGAAATGAACGCTTAACTTACGCGCGTTACGGACACTTACGAACGCTTACGACCTCAGTAGTGCAGGCTGCTGATTGGTGGAAGTACATGTGTATCTTGGTTCTGACAAAATTTCCAAGATATGCTGTTTTGATCAAGATTAGTGGTGTTCAAAGTGTTTTCCTGAAAATTCGCTAAGCTTGGTAAGCTCCATGAAACATTGCCAAAGTTTAGTTAAGAGTTCAAAGAAATGTCTTGAAAATCCTGACACATGAGTGTGGCTCACGTCAGCATCACATTAGACTTCAGAATGAGACTTAGTGATAAAAAATGTAGTCATATACATGCATATAGTGCTGCCATGGTCCAGTCCCAAACCGTGGTTCGAACCTGGCCATTGGTCAGGTTTGTCCTTGGTTCGGTCCATGGTCCAGCATTTTACATGGACTGAACCAGAACAAGGTTTGTGGTCCACTAACTCCTGTGTGGTTCATCTATAGGTTTGGACCTTCCTGAACCATTCTGAACCCAGAACTGAATCTTCCTTGCAACACCTTCAAGGCTCAAGCACACGCTTATGGTCATTTTGACTTCTCAATCCTCAAGATTTGCCATAGTCACTTTGACCTTTGGCATTCTCAAGATTTTTTTCAACTTATCCTGTCCGGAGGTTCGCATCCTGCACACCCTGCTGTCTGATAAAGCCTACCTGTCCAATCAAGCTTGAGGTACGACTTTTCCATCAAATCAAGTGCAATAAACTGATTGATATGATACATTGATATATTTTTTTAGGATCTGTCAATGCATACTACAAGTTAGTAGGAGATTGGGTATTCACATATAAAGGGAGCAAGGTGAGTGATATATTTTGACTACCAGTACAATGTCTGAACCTGAAGCACAGTGTGCCCTCAACCCAGATGGGTCTCTAAAGGACACCAAAGACATCATTTTTTACAATGATCCTGATGATGCCATCCCTGTTTCCACTCCATCCTCTGCCCAGCCCCCCACAGATGCCTTCTCTGTGCTACTGCAGACTGGATGCAAACCAGTGCCACTTACTGCAGGTACTTGATGCTTCATTTGCACCTCTAAACCTTCTGCACACCTTCATGATTCCGATAACACTTGTTCTTCGACAAGCTGCAAGTGCGCATTATCTAGTGCAACCGAGCAACTAGTTAGGAAGAAGGTTGCGTTACAGCTCTCCACTCCATTATTGGACAATGAAGACTCTCATGCAGCTGGTGCTAACATGGATATTGATACTGACCACAGTGCTGGTCAATCAGATGAGGCTGAGGACAAAAATGTACCAGCACCTGAGGACGAACCTGAAGATCTTCAAGACACCACCATCTGAGCCACTTTATCAAAGAGTGAGCACACTGCTGATATTTGAACAATCTTCACTTGCAATGACAAACATTGGGTCTGCAAACCTTGCAGGGATGCCGGTGAACTTGAAAGCAAGTACACGTCTTGCAGAGGTATCTCTACACTACACATGCACATTTGTCGGTATGTTCATGTCTTCTTTCTCTTGAATGATCACTAATATTATATATCTATCAGTAATAAAGCCCATTTTCAACTTTACAAGTCATGCTGCAAAGCTACAAACATCACCATGCACCCTCGAGCAGTTCCAACTGGTGAGGTTCAATCCCTGTGAGTTACATTTGCCATATTGTAGTGTGTTGTACTGATTCATAGATAGTTCAAGACAATCCACCCTCAATGACAGCCTTGCCCTGAAAGTGCCCATGTTTACCAAGGCAGGGCTTCTGGAGTATATCATGGAGCTGATTGTGACCAAGGACAAGGCATTGCAGCTCATCGACAAACCAGCCTTCCACAACTTGCTTCATTATGTCCACCCTGCCCTTGCTGAAAGTGACATGCCACACCACATGAAACTTATGGAGACTGTTAAGGTCCGTGCAGTGCAGGTGGTCAATGTCATTTGTGAGCATCTCGCAAAGGTAGACAGTCAAGTCTCGATGACTTTCAATTCATGGACATCAATCATCAGCGACCCTTTCTTCTCCATCACAGGCCACTATATCTGGAGCCCGGATGACAAACCCCAGCAATGGGAGTTATGCTGCAAGCAACTCAGTTTTGCGCACATACAGGGCAATCATAGTGGTCAGAATACAGCTCGCTTGATTGTTGATACCATTGACAAATATGAACTATGAAATAAGGTAAAGTTTAGTCTACTACTTTGCTGCACTGAATCTAATCAGTGTGTTGTAGGTTGGATGGATGACCTCTGACAATGCCACCAATAATGATACCGCCATGAAAGCAGTTGGACAAGAAATCGATCCTGAGGGTACACAGTGGGCACCTGATGCACACCACATCAGGTGCCAAGAACATATACTTAATCTCACAGCACGCCACTTTGTTGACACTGTTGCCCCCACACCTCAAGCTGCTCTCATGAAGAAAATTCAACAAGCACTTGATAATGGCAATGACACTGACCTTGACACATTAAATAAACAGCTTTCTTCCTTGGACATCAGTAATGACAACAACAGCAACACCTTATTTGATACCGGTGATTCACTTGGCAAAGCTCTTGCCCTCATCAAGCAGGTACGTGCTATATTTGTTAGACTATTCTTTTGCTGATTGAGATCCTCAGATCTGAAAGTCCCCTCAAGCTTGAGTGTTTTTCCGCAAGGCTTGCAAAGAGGAAAATGTACCTGAACTTGAGCTCTTGCAATGGATCTGGACTCACTGGGCATCACTATATAAATGCCTGGACTGCATGTTGATCTTGCATCCAGTGAGTTTTTTTTTCTTTCAATGTTTAAAAGTGGCCTGATTTTAATTAAATAGGCTGTAAACCGTTTCACCAACCTTGCTGATGAAAGCAATGAAGTGCCAACTCTTTGCAACAAGACTTACAACAACTTCAAGCTCAATCGAAGTGATTGGAGACACCTTGGGCTTATTCACTGAGTCCTCAAGGAACCAGCCACGGCTCAGCAATCATTCTTGTCAGCAAAACATCCAACTGCACAGAAAACAGTCCCTATGCTAGAGTGCCTTACTGTTTGATGGAGATCCATGGCAGATGACCTGCAATATCTTCCGATCGCTGATGCAATTGAGGCCAGACTCAAGAATGTTGACAAATACTTCAAGAAAACAAGTCAATTGAACGTGTATTTTATTTGTCTTGGTGAGTACTATCAATTTTAAAACTTGTTCTTATCTAATATAATTTAAGTTCTTGATCCAAACTATAAGCTCGCATATGTTGAAGGCCAGTGGGATTTTAAAGATGTTGCAGATGGCAGAGCTCATCTGGAGGCCATGGTGAGTACTTGTCTATGTTGTTTTTCCCCCTCTCATCTTATTTTTTTTTGTAGTTTGATGACTATTATACACCACCAAGTCAAATGCCTACTACCAAAGAGCAATCTGCTCTGCCAACAAGAGCTGCCAGTGTATGCAAGAACTATGGTGATGATTGGATGCGCGAGGCTATTAGGATGCATAAGACATCAGACCACCTTACTCACAATCCTTGTCAAGAGCTTAACATGTACTTGTCTTTGCCACTAGAGGAGACTGATGACATTGTGGCCTGGTGGGGGGTAAGTTTTCTTTTTGACTTGTTTTTTCACTACTAAATCTACTTAATAGCTTCACTCACTGCAATACCCTACACTCGCGCACATCGTGCGAGACTATCTACCCATTCAAGGCAGCTCCATTCCTTCTGAACAAGCATTCTCAAGCAGAGGAATCACTTTGACTATCTGACACAATGCACTCGCAACTGACACATTCACTGCACTACAACTACTGAAGGGAGCATATAGGAATGGGCACCTTTCTGCAGAAGTAGAGGCTGAGGGACATGTGGCTTCATTGGACATGTAACTACGAATACAAATATCTTGCCTATGTTTTTTTTTTCCTGGCTGTAATTTTTTCACATTCAGTTTGCATTCAGACCGAGAAAAAACCGAACCTGACCGCTGTGAACTGTTCGCAAAGGTTCGGTCTAAGGTTTGTTGAAATACCTAGAACCAAACCTTGGTCTGGTTCTTGGTTCTCGTCCAACCACCTCTGAACCAAATGGAACTGGACCACAGCAGCACTACATGCATATGTAGATAATACAAGATGATACAACTACAACCAGCATATACAAAAGCTATTTGACATGATGGGAGAGCCACTTTGATCAGTGAGCTGTACATGCCAAATATGCATGCCCCATGCTCCTTACTAGCTTATCTGAAGAGCTGTCCATCTGAAAAACAGAAGACAAATGAGTGTAAAATATGTACTGAGAAAATGTTCCATTCAAAGTGAAGCCCCTCTTGCTTCTTGTTCCCAACACCTCTGCTCCAATCTACTCTTGACTGGAGGGCACAGACAAGGATGCGAGACGAGGGTGGGGCACAGATAGGGATGTGAAATGAGGGCAGGGCGCAGACATGAATGTGAGATGAGGGTGGGGGATGTGAAACGAGGGTGGGCTGCAGACAAGGATGCGAGACAAGGGCAGGGCACAGACAGGAATGCGAGACAAGGGTGGGGAATGTGAAATGAGGGTGGGGCACAGACAAGGATGTGAGATGAGAGCACAGACTGGGTGTCAGGTGTGTAGAGTGTTGTTGCTATGCTCGTCATCTAGTGGAAGAGCCACCAACTAAAATTAAATCTCTGCTTGAAAATGTTGCCATTTCAGGCAATACTGCCCCCTATTGATGCAGGTGATAAGCTTATCTCTCTCTTGATCCCCCAATATGCCTCATATCTCCATGCGCAAACAGCTGCTTTAGCAACTGGATGAGGCTGAACTAGCCTTAGCCAAGGCCAGGCTAGAGCATTCTCTCATTACCCTTAATGATCTCTACAGTTCTGACTCTGACTCTGGCTCTGATTCTGATTCTGATTCTGATCTTGGCCTTAATCTAATCCTCACTCCTCTATCTCCTCTTACCCCACAATTCTCTAACCTTTCAGATTCTAATCCCTCTTCCAGTGATGAATCTGATGGCTTCACTACCCATTACAACCACCTTCATGATACCATTGCAGCTCTTCATGATGAGGTCACCAGGGACCATGTTCTTCATAAACCAGATGCACCCCCTATGCAAGCCCCCCAGATTCAGCTCCTTCATGACTTTGCACACTCTCAGCACCACCTCTTCCATAAGAAATTACATGTCAATCCTGACATCTTCAATCATATCCTTGATCAAATCTCTGATCATCCCATTTTCACTAACCAGTCAAACAACCCTCAACTTCCCATTGCCATTCAACTGGCTATATTTCTCAACCATGCTGGCCACTATGGCAATGCTATCTCACCAGATGATGTAGGCCAATGGGCAGGTATCAGTGTTGGATCAGTAATCAATTGCAGTAACTGTGTAATGATTGCCCTCCTTGATCAGCATGATATATTCATCCATTTCCTTGCTCCTGACTCCGAGGATGCTGAGCATGCTTGGCAATATGTTGAGGCCAAGTCTTGCTCTGAGTGGAGAAATGGTATCTTTGCAATTGATGGCTCAGCTATTAATTTGTATGAGAAACCTGGCCTTTATGGTGAGGCATTTTATGATAGGAAGTCTAACTATTCCCTCAACTGTCAGGTATTTTTTTCTCTCTTATTCTAACAGCTAGAAATTAATAAAAAATTCAGGCAGTTATTATGCCCCATAATCCCCTCATTGCTGATTATTCACTTGGTCACCCTGGAAGTACACATGATGCTTATGCCTTCAAATCCACTCGTGTTTACCAGGAGCATGACACACTTCTTCCTGATGACCATTGGATTTGGGCTGATAGTGCATATCCACTTGAGAAGTGGTGTATTCCACCTTTCAAGAAGCCTTGGAATGGCAGATTGACAAGGGACCAGAAGACCTTCAATATCTACCTATCCAGGGTATCTCTTGATTTTCTGTATTTTTTCAAATATTTTTGGCTGATTTTAATTCATCTAGGTCTGTGTCTGTGTTGAGCACACATTTGCTGCTTTAAAGGGGTATTTCCAGTCTCTTAAGGAGCTCAGGCACCCCATACAGACCCAGAAAGACCTCCAGATCACTTTGCATTGGGTTAGGTGTTGCCTTATTCTTCACAACATGATCATCAAATTTGAAGAAAAATGCAAGAAATCTACAGTCAGATGGGCCATCCAAGAAGGGAAACACACTATGTGTGAAGAGTATGAAGGACCAGATGGTAATGAGGTGGTAGGTGATAGGTCATATGAAGGCACTCCTGGTCAAGTATGCAGAGCCAGGTTGATGGATCAATTATTCAACAGTCCTTACTCAAGTGCTCAGCATAGGCAGGGGTAGTTGAAACAAGCTTAATCTTTTATTGTTTGATACAAATGTAACATACATGCTAGTATGTAGGTTGTACCATTATCAAGTAGCAGGGAACAAATAACAGAGGGGGAACAGCAAGAAAAGACATTTGACAAAGCATGAGAATATGACAAGACAAGATAGCAAGGTGTGAAAGGCAAAGAAACAACATGTGACAGAAGGGGGACAGAGGGGGAAAGACATTCAACGAAGTGCGAGAATACTACAAGACAAAACAATGAGATGTGAAAAGTGAAGAGAAAATATACCACAAAACTACTACTTCTGGGTGAGCTTGGCATATTCAATGCATAGGAGCATCACCTCCCTCTCCAATTTGAGAGCCTTTGCATCTGCTTCCCACAAGTGAATCTCCTGGGCTTTGTTCTCCTACATGTGTTGATGGGTGAGGGCAGTGTCTGTGCACTCAGTGCACATGCTCTTCACGTAAAAAGTTATGTTCATTCATCTGGTGATTGGCATTCAACTTGACCATCAGGCGCTTGTTTTTGAGCTGGTACAATGTGAGCTTCTCAGAATGCATGCTATCTAAGTCATCATTCAACATGTCAACCTGCTCTTGAACCTCTGTTTGGAGGCACTTCATCACTGAATCCCTACCACTCAGTTTCTCTGAGAATGAGGTCTGTGAAGTAGGAGAGCCTTGATGAGAAGAGGACCATCCACATGCCAATGGTGCCCTCGATGATGAGGTGGTAGAAGAAGCTTGGCTATTCTCATGCATGATGAGTTGGTTGGCATGTGACTTAGATGAGCTACGGCCATCATGGATGGATGTACAGGAAGGAGATAGAAATGAGGGGGGAGGTGATGGACTTGGAGATGAAGGTAGCTGTCATTTTTTTCCATGGGCTTTTTTTGATTTGGGTGGGCTATCCAAACTGTACACATTCTCCTTGTCATGAGGGATTTCATCTGCATCATCCATGTGGAGGTCTTTCATGTCATCAGCAAGGGGACCATCATCAAAACATGGGTCATCATGGTAATTTGTAAGGTCTGGAGGGGCCAGTGAATAATTATTGCAGCTGAAGGACTGACTGCCAGGGGGAAGGTGGCTATAGTTAAGTTGGAGGGGGGAATTGGCAGTGCTGTCTGGATGACTACTTGAAGGAGCTTGAGGAAAATTCCAAAGAGGGGAGGAGCCAGCACTGCTGGCTCCCTGAGTGTTGTGAGCATGATTGAATTGGGGGGGGCCAGTGGCACCACCAGCTGAAATTGGGAGAAGAGCTGTATGAGCTGCTTGCATGGAAGAGTTGCCAGTGTAGTCTCTTTTGAGGCTGGTGTTGTTGCCCATGTTCCCAAATTGTGGGGTATGAGCACCCAGGGGAAGAGCCATGGAGCCAAATTGTGGTGAGCTACCACTGCCTGAGGCAGGGTTAAGGGAAGACATGGGAGGTTGTGGATGGGTATGTGAGCTGGCTGGTTGAGAGCTTCTAGCAGGATGAGTTGGCATAAATAAATCACCCGCATGGTCAGCGCCTGGTTTTGATGAACTTGTCTTGGCAGAAAATGAGGGGTTAGAGCCCCATATGCCATAGAGGTCGTTGTACCAGGGAAAATCTTTTTGAATTTTACCTGTGAATTTCATTAGTAGTATTAATGAGACATGAGCAAGACACTCACAATGTAAGTTTTCAGACATCTCTGAATCAATGGGCACAATGCCCACACCCATAGACTCAAACTCACTACAAATATCGCGGAATTTACTCTGCAGACTTCACATCATCTGGTCAGTACAAAGTGCAATGAATAGCAGGACACTTACAATCCAATCTGATTGGCCACAGAGTCATGGAACTCAACAGGGTTGGTGGCATACCAGTTTGCATACACAGGGTCATCTTGAAAGACTACCCTCACAATGATACTGTGTATCTCCCCCTTGTCCTTGCCTAATGGGCAACTCAAGTTAGCACCATGGTAGTTAGCAGATTTCTTGCCCTCCATTGCAAATAGGATGGTGCAATCTGCTGAATGCTCAATGAGGAAGTCCACAAGTCTGATAGTCCACTGGGGGACATTCTGCCAGGATATGCTGGCTGGGGACAAATCATGAATACTGGCTGATCCTCCCCTTCCCCATCTCCCCTTTCCATGAGTGGCAGCAGGTGGTGGTTCCATCCGTTTCTTGCTGTCCTTGTGAGGTAGTACAATGATATTTTGACAGAGTGTCTGCAGGTGTGCAGACTGATGAAGTTGTGGTCGTAAGGCAGGCATTGGATTTGACACTCTGACGTGATGCTGAAGTATGCCATACTCGACTAACCTAAACTTCAGTGAAACTCAAACTGCCAGTAAAATACTTTAGCCAACTTTAACTGAGCTTACCAAATTTTCAGGAAAACATCTTGAACACCACTATTATCATATCTAGATAACTATGTAGCCATATCAAGATAATCTAGCAATCAATGAGCTCCCATGTGAAGAAGTTGAAATAGTGTGTTCCACCTAGCTAACATTGTTGGACAGCTCCTAATGTTCTTGCAGATGAATTTCATGAGTTTTGTATACATAGTGTGAAAACTGGCATAAGTAAAATTGATTTGTTTGAATATACCAGTTGCAAACTCCAGCAAACTGCAACATGCAGCTGTTGCAGACATCGCCATGATATTGTTGAGGCTCGTGTCCAAGTGAATGAACTTATCATAACCATCATGAAAGCATTAGGCAATGACAGGGGTACCTAGCCACCCACGCAGGTCACAGGTAGGGGTACCTTGTGGGTGTGGGTTGGGGTATGGACTTCAGACACCCACACCCACACCCATACCCTTATGGTGGGTTCCTGGGCCTGATCACTCATATCATAGCTCTGATTCAATATATAACACAAACCTTAACCTAAACTAAAACAATGAAAATCAACACAACAGTGAAAGCATTGAAGGAATCAACTACTAAGCTATGGCACTACAAGGAATACCAAGTCAGAGTATATGTGTGGTTGTCTCAGCTCTGCCTAGGCTGCTATACTTTGCAAAGGCAAGTGTGTTTGACCCAAGGGGAAGTGAGTGCAACACATCCACAGGTTGTGCAAAGCGTGGGAAAGTCGCGCACACAAAGGCGAAGGTGCACACAGAGAGTTGTAGGGCGCAGTGAAGCATGGGAAAGTTGCACACTAATAGGCAAAAATGCACAAAGGGGAAGGAATGCAATGGGGACTAAGGAAAGATGATGACTGATACTGATGGGCATGAGAACAACAAATGCAATGATGATAGAGTGTGATTGCCAAAATGCTACTGACTATGGCTTGAAAAAGCGTGTACTATGCTGAGGGATGCTAAGGGATACTAACTGCCCACTAAGTGGTAGCCAACTAAGTCCTAAAAAATGCGAATGCTATCATGCAAAAGCCAACTAAGTGCATTTCCATGATGTGGAGCCAACACAAATAAGGCATGGGAATGAAGAGGGTATATGTAAGTAAGGGTCCATGATGGAATATGGTGTCATGATAAGAATAAATGCAAAAAATGTACCAGTAGGACTTGCTGGACAATGGATGGATGCTCCTGAGTGATGGATGATGAAGCGTGGGAAAGCGCGTGAGACGTGTGTGGGAGTGCATCATGGGAGAGTAGCGCGCATGTCATGTGATGTGCGGGAAGATTGTGCATGTATAGGCTGAGTGAAGGAATGATATAGGGAATGATGCTGTGAGTTTGTGCTGTGAACTGTATGCAGATACATCGCAATATAGGGCTCTATGGGCATACAGAGGTGCAAGTCTCTACAGCATGATGTGCTACTGTAACTACACCATGCATCCAACCTTTCTCCAAGCTGCTGCTAAATGAGTCACAAAACTCACAGATAAAGCTAAGGCAGCCATAGACAAAAAACTCAAAACCTCATCCAAAAAACAGAAGAATGACAATACCAGTGTCATGGCACATGCAAAGCCAAAGAAAACCAAGTCAGCCCAAGAACATGGTAACAATGTCAAGGAAGCACCTCCTAAAGCACCAATTCAGTCTTCAGCTCATGGAAGAACAATTAAACAAGCCCCACCTAAAGTCCATTGAGGCATGGTTCTCTCAGATGGAAGATACATTCAATGAAGAAGCTATTCTTATCAGTGATGGTGAGAATGATGTGAGCAAAGGTACCATCACAGATGGTGATGAAGAGAGTGCCAAAGATGAACTCAGTAAGAGGTCAAGTGTGAGCTCTAAGTACCAGCTAATGTTAGCAACTGCAGAACAGTTGATGAAGGAATGGAACTCACCCATCTATGCTTTTTTTGATCCCACACCCATCATCGAGACTGTCAATGGCCATTGTGCGCATGCCTTTAAGTGTATGGGCAAGGGATGCAAGGTTTGGATCCGCTGCTTTCTTGATAAAAAGGATGCATGCTTGATGGGCAACATGCAGAAGCATGTTAGGACTTGCTGGGGTGATGAAGTCCTGCAGACAGCCTATGAAGCAAAGAATGCAGAAGAAGTCCAAACAAAGATTGTTGCAAGTATCCTTCACAATGGGTCAATAACAGCATCATTTGAGTGCAAAGGAAAAGGAAAGGTGACCTACTCGCATAGGCAGCACACTCATACCGAAATGAAGTGGGTACTCAAGTTTCATGTGTTCAGTAGTTAACATGCCATCTTGCAGGGCTGAGTTAGTGCATTGGGTTGTGGAGAGCCTGAGGCCATTTGACATAGTCAAAGATCAAGGATTTCAGTGTTTAATGAAGACTGGAAGACCAGAATACTACATCCTTCCCCACAAATGATATCATGTGATGTGAAACTTGTGTTTGCACAAACGCACAAGTGAATTGCTAAGATGTTGGGAGTGAGTCAATTTTTATTTGTTCAAAGGTTTAAAAGAAACTGAACATACCAGGAGTACAAAGGGAAAATGAATTTTACCATAGATGCATGGACATCTGAGAACCACTGTGCATTCATTGTGTTTTTGGTGCATCTGGAGCACAAAGGTGTCCTGCTGAGCTTTCCATTAGATATCATTGAGGTTGCCTCAGTATGAATCACTTACATTGATGACAGTGCAGAAAATGACTTGTTGGTACTAGTCCCACACTGGGGAGCAACTCACGATTGTATTTGCAGATATGCTAAAGGAGTTTGGGATATTAGAGAAGGTAGGGTGTGAAACAGTAAAACAAAACTTACATGCTGACCTGACAAACAGATGTTGAGCGTGACTTGCGACAACGCATTGAACAATAATGTTATGGTTGATGAGCTTGAGATATTGGTTCCCAAGTTTGCAGGGAGGCAAGTCACATCTGGTGCTTTTTGCACACTGTTAATCTTGTCGCAATTCGTTGATACAGGAATTTGATGTGTTGAAGAAAGATGCTGAGGATGCTGAGGATGAGAGTGCTGACACTGAAGATGGCGAAGATAAGCTCATTGAGCTGAGTGATGACATCGAGAGGGAAGATCAAGAGACAGACACCCAGTATAGTGAGGATGATGACCTGCAAGATAACAATGATGGGTGGGTGAACAAGGTAGATTTGTTGCCAAAGGACCAATCCACAGAGCTGTGAAAAAACATAAGACCCATCAAGTTAGTTCTTGTCAAGGTGTGTTAGGATACATACACTCACCTGTATATTGACAATGCCTTTGTACAGCTGCGCAAACTTGCCTATAAGCTCATCCACTCAATAACTCTCCTCCTCCCTGTCTGGCATAATGTCCTTCATGATCAGCGCATGTTGGTAATGAATATGCCACATGATGTCTCCACTTGTTGGAATTCAACCTACAATATGTTGTGGTATGCCCTCATTCATCACAATGCAATCAATATTGTGACCCAGTGACAAGACCTGGGTCTGCAAAAATTTGAGCTGGCTGACAATGAGTGGGAAATCACATGGCAACTTTGTGATGTATTGAAGGTGTGTGAGTTTGTTTCATAAGCAAACATTATGTCTTACCAGCAGCTAAGGTTCTCAAGGATGCTACCCTTTTCTTCTCTCACTCAACCCCCAATCTTGTGACCATTATACCTGCAATGGACTTAATTGACCAGCAGATGACAATGTATTCTCGTGATATGAAGTTTTTTCTGTCAATTTGCTCTGCCATTGGACTTGCCAAGAAGACACTTGACAGATACTAAGATACTATCAGTTGACAGATAAGTCAGAGGTGTATAGGATAGCCATGGGTAAGTCTCCTGTATATTGATTTATTAACACTGATGGTTTTTTTAATCACAGTCTTACACCTGCGCCATAAACTCTCCTACTTCAAGTCTGCAGGCTGGGAGGATGAATGGATCAAGACCACAGAAGCTCTTGTCTGCGATGAGTTTGAGCTGTCCTACTTGAATATGGAGATTTGAGACAACACCGATGGTGAGGTTGAGGCCAGCATTCCAGCTACACCAGCAGTAGATATCTCTTGCTTGGTATGTTTCTTGTTCCTTGTCATTCCTACTGACCTTCACGCTCTACTTAGAATATTTTTGATGAGATGCAAGCACTCATGCCACCTAAGTCGACTGACTTGGGAAACAAACTGGACCATTACCTGAGCACCGATGTTGAGAACATTCCTACTAATGCTATTGCATGGTGGCATGAGTGATGCACTTCTTATCCCCACCTATCATGCATGGCACTTGATTACCTCACAATTCCTGGTATGTTTGACTCATTACTCAATTGTGGATTGTTCTAACAGTTTGTAGCTACATCTGTAGACATCAAATGTCTCTTTAGCCATGGTAGGCTCCTTCTCTTGCATGTTCATTCATGTTTGTCTGGGCAGTCAACATGGGCTTTGTTATGCCTCAACGCTTGGAGCCGTCTGAACCTCATCAAGACAGAGGATGTATTGCACATCTCTGCCTTGCCCAATGAAGGTTCAACTACTCCGCTAGGCTGCAGAGCTAAAGAAAGAAAGAAGGCTCTCACACTGGGGTGAGAGGAAGGCCTACTGACTCTCTAAATGTTGGTCAAAGTGCGCCAAGCAATATGTTCAACCCTTAAGGGAAGCAATGAAAGCAAGATCCACTGGGTGACACCAGGTCAACTCTGGCGAAGTGCACTGGGAGCGCGCATGTGGGAATGTTGAGTGCATAAGAGCGCGAAGCGTGGGAATAAGGTGCATGCAGTGCACAAATGTATAAAAGACTGATAGATGGTGTGAAGGCATGAACTAAGACTGCTGAATGGACACTGATGATGATAGACTTGTGCTGAGGACTAGGGTGATGACTGATGCATACTGGCTGAAGACGATAGATTCTCACTCTAGAGACTAACTGACATGATGGTGGTTGGTGTATCTTGTGGTGGTCCATGTCTGAAAACTTCCTAGGCCACAGGTAAGCTGTGCCTAGGCACGCTCCCAGAGCTCAGAAGCGAATAGGGAGCACTCTAAGTATGTAAATGATGTAAATAAAGTGTCCATGACGAAATAAGATATCGTATGATGCCAGACATGAGAATAAATGGAAAGGGACACACCAGGGGACTGGTTGGACAATGGATGGATGCTCTGGGATACTGTGTGACAAAGTGCGACTGAGTGTGGGAAGAGCGCACTAAGCGCGTGTGTGGGAATGCATCATGTAGTGCAGGAAAGTGTCGTGCCTCTGGCGTGTTTCATGGGAAAGTCATAGCTAGTGAGTCGTGCACTGTACCGATCATTGTGAGTCAAAATATGGGCAATCTATGCCTGGAGGAATCTCATTCCTTACACCAACATTGAGGGTGATGTTGAGGAGGAGCTTGAGGATGGGTGGGACAGGATCATGTTGAATTAACGTAGTACTTAGTTACATTTTTTTTTGTTTTTGAGCTATGCTAGTGTACACCTGTGGGTACAGGTGCGGGTGATGCTTGTGACACCCACAGGTATACCCCTGTAATTGCCTAGAAAGCATGCATGGCTTGCAATCTGAATAACCACTTCATGCTCAAATGGGTAATGGACCTCTTGACCATCCTCAAGCTGTTAACTGTCTTATTAGTACTATACTCTGAATGGTAGCACTTGCAAAAAGATATGTACTCTTACTAGACCACCAAAAATGTAGTTAATGCTATTGTTTCTGGTAAGGAAATCAATGGTTGACTTGTTATGATCGATCTGGACTATTGGGTCAGTCCAGACCGTCAATTAAAGCTCATAAAGATTCTTGACAAGGTCTTGTGTACACTTCTTGAAGTGGTTTAGTATCATTGACATCAGCGTGATGATGGTCTTGTAGAGCACAGATATGTTTTCGCCAACCCATAGTTTAATTAAGTGATTTAATCATTATTGTATCAGCATTTACTATCGATCTTGTACAAATAGCAACTCAGTACTCACCTTGCACAATGATGGATGAGCATGCATCACTAAGCACAGTAGTTGCTACACTTAAGTGACTGGAGGGGTCATGGAACCCACATGTATTCAGTATTTCAGTGATAACAGACTCCTTCGCATCCTTTACAACAATTTTCATGCGTGCTTTGTTGATCACAGGCACTATGGCAGCACCCAAGCACCCTTCACCTTGCTGGCAACCTGTGTGGGTCACAGTAACAGTTGACATAGAGGATTGAAGGGTACTAGTAGTGGACTGGGGGGTACTACTAGTAGCAGCATTCAATGTGTTCTCTGAATCTGCCACAAGTGACATCCTCAGGGGTCTAATAGGAGGGAGCTGGTACTGCCGGGTAGATGATTTTTGGATCCCTGTTGTTTTATCTCTCTAAATGTATGATTAAGCGCAACTTGGAGGGTGTAAACATAAGACACACATATATGACACCATCAGTATACTCTTGGCATGATTTTTCTGTACCACAAAGAAGCATATATCAATACCGAGATGCAGTGTCACCTGAAGGTGCAAACAATCGATGGACTTGATCAGGTCCTGCAGTGCAAGGGGCTTCCCCAGTGAAAAGTGATGGTCTCGGTAAAGGCATGCCACCCTCAGGCTGATAACTAGGTGGTATTGAGCTGTAACCATCATGCAAGAAAACAGGGGGAGGATTGATGCGAGGGGGCAATTCAAGTGTGTTTATTGACTGTGGTATCTCTGACACACAGCTGAGTTGATCTGCTGATGAATGTCCTGCGATATTTAGTCCTGCTTGTTGAATGATAGGCACATCCTGTCATGTTGCCATGAGCCAGAGTACCAACAGAGGCCAAGGTACTTACCCACGAAACTCTTCATCTAGAGGGCACACTCCAGCTTGAGGGCATTGTGGTCAAGAGCTGAAATGTCAATCAATCAATAATCAGTTCAGTACCATGTCCATAATAGTAATCTTCTTAAGGCAAAAAACAAAGTTCATGAAGCACTACATTCAAGGTAACCATATTCAAGCTGTACAGACAATAAACAAACACATCAATACACCAAATAGTCGAAAGTTGAAACAAACATGTTTGCAGCACCACCTTACAGTCATCTAACACTATCATTCAAACTACATCCTGTAAATAAATAAATGAGTACATGTTGCCACATGAAATAATGAAGCATACTTTGGTATTGGTTAATAAAGATAGATTCATGCTCTGATTCACTCCCACACCATCACCAGCCCATCCTCAGGGGGGTCTCCAACATATGAGTGATCAGAGTGGTGGGGATCTCCAATAGAGTGTGTATCAGCATCATCAAAATCTGAAGCTGGCGGGTCCAAGGGAAGAAACACATCAAGCTCATCAAGTTCAGCATTCAACCTTGTGATCCTTTTCACCTCGTTCTTTTGAACAGCAGTAACAAACTCAATGTCCTGGGAAGCACACTCTGAGTCATGATCAACCACCATACATGTAAAGAGTGCTGCCTCTTCAAATGCTCAAGTAGTTTTATCCTCCTGCACCTGCTGTTCACCATTGAGGAAATGTTTGAGCCTTGAGAGCTTCTCCACCTCCCAAGCCAAAGTCATTGAGAGATGGTGGTGGTATTCAAGCCCCACTTCTTTGTAATAAGCAGCACAGTGAACACCTTCAGTGGACATCTGCTGCAGGCCCTGAGAGAATATTCTGTGAATCTAGAAAGACATGTCACTGGGAGTTGCTGCATAAAACATACTGACATACTGTTTCATCATCATACTCTGAATCTGTACTGCTAGCCAGTCTTCCCATCATGCTTGCTATCTTGTGCTCTGCCTGCAGAGTGGGGGGAGTTTTGCGGAAATAAGGGTGGTAGCTGGACTGTCAAATCCATCTTGAATGGCATTGCCCAGGCTCCTGCCTTTTCATAGGTGAACTGGCTCAATCAGCATGTGAAAAGTCATGGTGCCCAGAGGAAGAGACGGATGCTGCCAGAATCTCATTTGAGTCTTTGCTGATGTTTGGGATGACATTATGAGTACCTTGGGGCAATGAGGGACAAAGGCTACTGGGTGGGGAAGAGCTTTGGGGGCTATCATGGTAGATGCAAGTGAAAGCTTCAGCATAATCAGCCTTTGGGAAAAGCGGTGTGACAATCATACCAGCACTAGGTGTGTATGAGTGTCATAGGCATATTTTGCCTTGTCCAGAGGAAAAGAGTAAGGCACTAGTCACCAGCACTATTCAGCTCCCAAGCTATCTGCTTTGGAACCACTTTTCTCCCATAGTGCACTACTTGGTCTGACACCTAGGTATTCCATCCTCCCATGTCCTGCCTATGTCCACCTACCTCCGCTGCACTGCATGTTTTATTACCTGTCACTACATCATGCCCTCGCCAGTGTCGCTACTATACTCGCCTACACAATCCCAAACCCCTATGCAGTATGATAAAATGACCTGTCCTACATACAGTACAGAACTTCCCTTCTCCGGACCTTTACTGGTGTAGGTGTCACTTTAGTTGCTATATCCTAGTTTTAGTGCAATTGATTCTGCTCTTGCCAAACTCTTTGATCACGTGTCGCTTGACTTGTTTTAAGTGCACATCGCTAAAGTTCCCTCTTAGAAAGTTTGACTTTCGCAGCATCGGGGTCACTATCGGTAGTCAAGCTATAATCTAGTCACTATCAGGCATTCCACTTGCACTGTCTTACCTTACTCCTCATTTTCGCTCCCCTTGATTTCTTCTTGCTGTCGCTAGTCGGGCGTCGCATAGCGCTATCACATAAAACAACTTGCATAGCACCCCTCACTTATACGCACATTTCTCTTGTCAAAACCTGCTAGTTGCTAGTCACTGATCGCTATAGCACTACTCATAGTTTTTTTCTTTTTGGTCTTAGGTTGCTATAGGTTATTAGTCCTTCGTGCTATCGCTCCCCTTGCATATTAGTAGGGAGTTGCTTCATTAGCAGTCCTCTTGGGTCAAATACTACACTCGTGCCTATTTGGATAAGTAGCGCTAGTTTCTAGCAAGCCTAGTCACTATTTCTCTTTCACAGCGGACTAGACTTTGGGCTATGCAGTGGACTGGTAGGTGGGGTTTCATCATTCTGAAACAGAGTCTGCAGAGGATATGGCATAACTGATATCATGAGCTGTCACTTTGAGGCAAGTGTGTCAAATGGCAAGCCCATCAATGTTTGGAGTTTGAAAGACTTAACACTTTTTGCAGTATTACTGTCAGTGCACAGTACCAACTCCTATGGCATTTCCTCAGCCCTATGACCCACATAACCCCAGTTTTCAGTGTGAGGTTCCCGGCTCTGACTTTGATGAGTTAGTCAAAAAGTAAGTACTACTAGTACTATGTGATATTACATGACCAACCTTTCTCTAGTTCACTGTTTGACATTGCTGTCACCCTGTGCCCTAACTGCAAGAAACAATGCCAGTCAGCTGAGGCAGTCCTTGAGCACCTCAATAGTGCAGACACATGCTAGCCAGAAAACCTCATCAATGGATCAATGCTGCCAGTCCTGCAGGCTCTACAGCAATCACCAGGGCAGACAGACTTATCAGCTAAGTATCACCCCACCTCTGGTTACCATTATTTACTTCCGGATCAGCCCCCTCCACAAAATATATTTCAAGAAATGCAAACCCATCCTCTTCAACAAGCCAGAGAGACCAATGTATGGTATCCATTTGATGGGCTGGGTGAATGGTTGCTTGCAAAATTTCTTGTTGAGAACCTTTCTCAGATGCAGATCAACAAATTCCTCAAGTTAGATTGGGTATGTCTAATCATTATCAAATAAATACTTAACTCACATACTTTCAGTTCCAGACAAGAGAGCAGCCACAATTCAAGTCGAAGGATGAGTTATTCTTTTACATGCAGCAGCTTCCTGGCCGCAGGCCAAAATGGCAGTGTATGAAGCTTAAGCTCAAGGGCTATGAAAGTGAACAGCCAATTCACCTGATTTGGAGGGATGGGTTGGAGGTTACAAAGCAGCTTTTCACAAATCCTGTCTACACAAATCATATGTGCTATGACCCTCACTATATCTATCAAGGACAAGAGCACCAATTCAGAGAATTCTGGACATCAGATGATGCATGGGAGATCCAGGTAAGTAGTTGTGCTTTGGTTTAGAGTTGCTTGAGTGTTTGATACTTGACAACTGCCCAAAGGGGTGACTATCATTCCAATCATCACTGCTTCTGACAAGACTCCAGTTACAAAACATATGGGTGGCCTTGAGATGCACCCATTATTTCTCACCATCAGAAATATCCAAGGCAACATCCACATGAAGGCGATGTTGCATGCATGGCAATGTACTGCATTCATGCTGATACCAACTTTTATCATGAACTCCAACTTCCAAACTCTACTCTGGTTGCATTTGTGGCACAAATGCATGGATCTTGTCTGTTCCAATTTGAAGGTCACAGCTCATGTTGGTGAGTACATGATCAATCCCTCAGCTAGACTGTATTACTGTTTCACTCCTCTTATCAGCCATATCACTGATCTTCCCGAACAATTAATGACCGCATGCATCACAAAAAACTCATCTCCTGTCACCACAGTGACCCAGAAAGAGTTTGGTGATGAAACACTGCATCCTCCATGGAATGGAATCAATACCTACACACTTATCCAACAACTTTGCACCCATGTTGACCCTTGGGATCTTGTTGTATTCCTTAGAGAGGCTAAAAAACTTTGTCTCAGCAGGGTGCACTTGCCATACTGGAGAAACTGGAGGCGCTCTAATCCTGCTAGATTCCTGACACCAGAGATTCTGCATGCACTGCATAAGTTCTTTTTCAATCATGTCCTTAAATGGATTAAACAGATCATGGGTCACTGAACCCAATGTACAGTTCAAGAGTCACCACAAGCACACTGGAGTGTGCCATTTCTCTGGTGGTGTCTCTCATGTCAACCAAATGACAGGACAAGAGCACTGGGATATTCAGTGCACAATTGTGCTGATGCTGTGGGGTATGGCAAGTCCTGGCTTCACCCACGCTGTGCAGGCAATGATCAACTTTATCTACCTTGCTCAAAATCCCCTCCACACTGAATCCAGCATCACCTCAATGACTCAAGCACTTCAGGACTTCCATGATAATAAGCAGGCTATCCCTGATGCAGAGGCATGACAGGGAAAGAGCAGTGCCAAGGATGATTTCTTCATTCCAAAATTGGAGCTCATGCAAAGTTTCGCTCATGCAATCTCCCATGTTGGTTTACTTATGCAGTGGATGGCAGACATGTCGGAATGTCTTTTAATAACTCACTGTAAACATCCATTTGAATGCACAAGCTGTCAGAGAGACTTCATCCTCCAGATCGCCCACATCCTCAATCGGGAGGAAACTATCCGACTATTCGATCTTTACACATTGTTGTCCTCCTCCTTGTCTATGCCTGGTCAGGATCCTCTCATCAATGCCATCATCATGGAAGATGAAGAGGTCGCTAGTACAGAGACAGATCCTGCTTTTGCTTGGGTCTCCAATGCAAACCAAGCCACCCAGCTATGTCTACAAGTGCTGCACCCCATTCACAATCATTTCTTGAAGGGTATCTTGTCTGATAACACACAGATTGCTTTCAATGTGACTGTGAAAGCAGATCACAGCCGCCTTGATGTGTCTCAACTGTAGTCACTATACAACATCTCTGATTTTTACCATGCTTTACACCTCTATGTGACCTGCAATGGTTGCATACTCCCTGGCCAATTATCGTCCAATACATGGATGAAGTTTCACATCCAGTTGCATTCCACATTCCATGCTTGTAGAATCATGCCAAGTCAACAGATTCACGCTGAGCCACCTTCCAGTAATTTCCCTTGGGGGAACTGTGATGTTGTATTATTTAACCAGCAGGTCGATGGTGGTAACAATGATGCATCTGGAGTGTACTTACAAAGTTTAGCAGTGCTCACACTTCCTGATACCTGATATCACTGCAGGATCTTACATCACTCAAGTATGAACCATATTTCAGCCAACTCTCCCCAAAGGCTCCCGTGTGCAGGTCACTGAGTGCTTGTCTCAGCCACTGGTATATATCCAACTTTTTGACTTTGTTGTGCCTGGCTCCAAGCCATCTACAGGCATGTGGATGGTCAGGCGATCATATACTCAACACCCTTCACAGTTGGAGGGTAATCAGGCATGGATCCATCATTCCTCTCACAGACATTATGCACACAGTGGAGATTATACCTGTCTATCAAGGACCATTGGGTAAAGATGTGAATTCTGGGAACTCACTGGAGGTGTTCAACGAGTATTTCTTGAACAATTTCACAGACAAAGAATTGTACCACTCACTCTCGGTGATCTCAGACAACTAGTAGACAGCTTGAATTTCATGTAGCACAGTTTTCAGCCTCAATTTGATCTTATCCATCTCTTGATCTTTGCCTGATAACTGCAAGATCTTTGCGCACCGAATCTCCGAGAGTCATAAATACTGAAAGAGCATGGTGTACATGGTGTACGAGAGTGTCCCTAGACTATCCCAAAAGCATCACTCTGAAGTGTCTCTCAAGACGAGTCCAAACATAGATGTCAGGGGGCTGTCAATCTCAGTCACGTCCGATCATATCATGCAAAGTACGATGTTCCGTCGTCGGTTCTGACCCGATTTACCAAACCGCTAGGATAAAAGAATTTGCGAGCGGGCGAAGAGAAGCGATGAAATATCGGTTGAAAAGCGGCCTCTAGTACTACCATGTTATGAGCAGCACCATTAATAGTAGTAGGTTCGCACGGAGGATTTCGCAAGTGTTCGAGTGCGCCAGTAGTCGTCCAGGTCCCTGGGTCACCACCGGGGAAGGCTACTTTGAATGTATCAATGTACATTACGGAGGGGCGAAAGCGTCGAGTTTGATGCGAGTATTTGACTCTTGCAGGATTTGTTCATCTACATCGAGAGGCTCCAGGTAATCCTCAAGTGTATCTCGCACACGACGCAGGAAGGGATGGGCTTCACTGGATAGGCTGACAGTCAGAAAAACCATCGTGAACAACATATTCATTCATGTTTTCCTGACAAATGTTTTAATTAGTCCAACTACGAAATTAATATGAAGGTAGTGTAAGCTTACAATAATACTGCCGTCCACTGTGAGTTCAGCAGAGCTCTTAATCTATACTATTGGGCTCGGGGTGCAAATTGGTTTCGTGCTGCACAGACTGTGTGCGAAGACCACCATGAGTGTCATGACTTTGTTTTCGCAAGCTTTCGCTGAATCCAAGGAAAATTTGGCTGAATTGTGGTTGTTGCGGAGGTGTGCGAATGTTGCGTGTTTGTCATCATAGGCTTTCTTACTGACTTTGGTGAGAACATCATAGCAGTACTGAGTACTGAGTACTGAGTAGCGGAGGCAGTCGCATGATAGGATTCCTAGGTGTGCTAGTTTAGGTGCTCTAAACATAATAAATAATAATGGTAAGTTTTTGAAGGAGGACTCGGGGAGGAGAGATACACGGCGCTAGGCTGGAGAAAGACGCAGATAGACTTCAATGCGTGATTTCCCGGCTCTGCGTCGAACACATATGACAGTTTTGTTTGCAGCCTGTCAATGATGCAAGACATTTGCAGCAAGGGACATCGCTAAGCGTGTGAGTCATCCCCAGTTTCACCCCCCAAGTTCAACGTCCAACGACTAGTACGCAGGTACCGAGCGACACTGTTACTGTTACATAGTGTTGTTGGCAGAACTCGGCAGTTTTGCCCACTGGTGTGGCAAAACTGGTCGTGTCTGGCCCTCAGCAGAACTCATGCGAAAGGAGGGTGGCAGAACCTGGCAGAACTCCAGGGTATCCGAGACTCGTGGAGATGTAATTTAGATCTCTGATAATAAAGTTTGAATTCAAGAGAACCTGAAAATCGATGTCCTTAAAGTAAGATGATGCATACTGGAGGGCACCCCCTCGCATTACTGATCAACGACAATTTCGAGTGCCTGGGATGAGTTGACAAGAATCCAGACAACAACCTACCGAACCATCTTATCAGGCGCTGTAACACCGTAACTGCTCCTCTGTGCCAAGCAGCGCGCCCGTTTGTTATGGAAAAGACAGCCAACCTCAACACCCCTGATTCAAATGCTATCCTTACTTCCGCTGCTTCGAATTCTCACTGGCAATCTGCTTCTGGAAGTTCTCAGACTGCACAGGATCTTGAAGCATCCTTCGTGTGGGCACCTCCACTTTCGACCGAGCCCTCCAATGCAGATGACTTGCTTGCTGGTCCAGAGAGTATCTTGCCTGACGACATTGCTGCTGAATTTGCAGCTCTTGAGGAGTTGAAAAGGACTGAAAAAGTTCAGAACATTAACGAAGTTGAAGTGCTCGGGGAAAATGATTTTGATTTTGACGAGTTGGATCGGGTTGAACAGGGAATAATACCACAGGCTATTCTAGAAGAGGTTGAGGTGGTTGGTTACAATGGCGAGGACGACAGATGGGACCTATCACCGACGTTCCCTCCGAGTCGAATGACAATTTTGTGAGGGAAGCCATCTAGAATGCTTCCCCCACATGGTCATGACGCAACGAGGCACTACCACGCCAATGCACGAAAATGTACGTTAGCTGGCAAAAAATGAACGCCCATAAGCCATATCTGTAGGAAATGATAAATGCTAGGTAACAGACAAGGAAATATGAATGGAAAATACGAACGCTATACAGGCGATAATTTGACTGGTCACAAATCTCGTCGTGGAAGAGAAAGTAGCGAATTCCGACCCAAGAACCCATAGAAACGAAAAGAATATTGGAGATAGGCCCCAGACTCCAAAATGAGGCGAGCGCAAAAGAAGATAGCGGAAGTGCACAAAGCATATAGATACGAGATCCTTCGGGCGCTGCAATTGGCAGAGTTCGTCGTCCTGACCTGCGATCACCATTGACGTCAGCAAAGTCCTGCGCATGGACTGTCAGAAGTATGACAAGCGCGCTGCAGGAAAGTGCTTTCATGCTCGTTCCGTCAAGTGAAGATTCCCTTGCTAGAATATAGATCTTGTCAACGAAATATTATCCCTCAGATGGAGAATGACCTACAAAGAATCAACGAGCAACCGAGTTCACATGTCACATAACCTCCTACGTTGCACAAATTCTTGAAAATAGGATGGTGACTGAGATGAAAATCGTCATGCATGACCACGAACACGGTATAAACCCCGCTGGTTATAACGACGTTTAAGCTGAAAAGGGATGAAAATCCCAAGCAGAAAACCACAAGTCCCCAGCGCAATGCACGAGAATCCTTCAAGCTAATGCGCCCGGACGGCACAGGACGCCATGGTTTGTTCAACGCATCTTCATTGGCAGTGTAGGATTGGTTAGATGCATTAAATTGAAAGGTATGGAACCAGAGCCAGCAGAAAGCGCAGGATAGGACTAGCGGGTTGTGGCGAGGAGATACAACAGTTGCAAATATCATCTACCGCGAAAATTCAGTGTCATGCAGTAATAGTTATTGCTAGAATGAATACCACAGGGAAAATTATTGTCTTGAAGTCAGATCTTGTGAAAAGCCAAGCAGTCTCGAAGTGACGCAGCACACAGCGCAAAGTGGTCGCTACGAAACGGGACATCAGTAATTCGGAGTCTTTTTTGCTGTCCGCCATTATTATATAGTTCGAAAGGACGGCCAGGCATAATTCTCTGCTCCGGTCGTTCTATTTCGCATAAGCAGTGACCGATAACGTAGGGCCTATCACTAGGGTCGTATTGCACGATGCGCTCGCAGTCATCCTAGCCTCGTTTGAAGAAATACTTTGGAAGGATATTGTTCAGGTTACGGTTGAATTATGTGTAGAGACTAGAGTAATTATAGTTAGCGATATGCAAGTGAAACAATAACATACCTTAGCATGTGGGAGAACGTGGTGTGTTTTGATGACGCGAATAGGCAGGTTACTTCGACTCCTCGGGGCCTCACTTTCGGTAAAGCGGTGTACAGTTGACAGCAAACGAAATTTGAGTTCATTTGGAGGTGGGGCGGGATCTCATCAGGCAAAGTGCAGAGTGATCTGAATGACCCAAATGACCTAATTTCAGAACATCCAGGCTAGCAGGCGGAGCACTGGCCGCAGATGAATCTGTCAGCGCCAGGTAAGCTTTCTGGTACCTGATCGGACTCAGACAGCCTTCAGATGCGAACCAGACACATATCAGACATGAAACAGACATCGATTTTTAACGCAAAATCCACAAATATATCTAGTAGGTATAATCATGGTGCCCTTTATGCATGTACCCAAGTGCTAGCCGTCTCAATCAGATATAGCGACTGATAAGAAAGGTTTCGGAACACACCTTCGACACGTCATGTGACAGTCAGGAATCTGCTCATTCAAGTTGAGGATCTCCGGCCTCAGCATCGGAGAGTAGAACCACACCATGGATGTCCATAACAAGTTCATAGCGGTATACCGGGAACTCTATAGCCGGTAGAGTAGCACTTGAAACGGTACAAGGGGAAGTCTATAGCCAGTAGTACAAAGGGAATTCCGTAGCCAGTGGAGTGACATTCCTTCAAGCACTCGAACGTGACTACTTACGTGGGACCTACAGTGTGTGATCTGCCAGAAAAGCCAAGAGCACAGTGGAGTTAGATCGAGCAGCGCACAGTGCAAGTGACTACAAAAGCGAACTAAGGGCAAATATGGTCAATGAGTGGGAAGGACACATCTGCGTGAAGTTCGCAAATGTGCATGAACGGCGCAGATCACTCACTAAAAGCCTCATCTCCGCAACGATGCAGCTCATTCCATGAATTTTGCCGATGTCTTACCATTGCCTAGCATTCGATCGAGCCCGAAAGATGCCCTGATCTCGAGACTCGTTGATTAATTCAAGAGACGCATGTGATCTACGTGTGGAAGATCAGCGCTAGCTCTCGGGTCGCATCCAGAAGTATCAACGGACTTGACCGTGATAGGATCACACTAAAGCTCCATGCAGCCACGCTACAGATTCGTCGGATGATAGGACTCTTCGGATACGGCTGATTTCAAGTGTCCCCTCCAACATCACATAATTGCTTGCCAGGAAGTATGTGCCTGGAAGGGACTTGTAATTTTTCCGCTGATGAGCTGGCTGTGGGTGAAGATAATTAAACGACTCATATCAAGGTGATACTATCACCTTGATATGAGTCATTTCAGGCTATGGAGTGGCCCGCCTTCAAGCCTGATCGAGCTGCTAGTTACCGGTCTTGATAACGGAAATGAAAGGTTCAGTGGGAAAGAAGGGTGAAATAGGTGAGGGGTGCATAAATTACACAACTCTGCGCGCTTTGCCACTGGCAGTTATGTAAATAATGTGACTGGTCAGGTATGCATATGGTAGACGCTGGCGCTATAGACAATATTGCGGTTAGTTACAGTGTGTTGAGAACTGCAGTACAAGTTTTTGAAAAACTGGGCCTCGCTGGACTTTTGCATCCAAATGCGATCAAGCGCGCGGAACCTAATTTGGATGCAAAAGTCCCGGTAAAGGCCGAGTTTTTCAAAAACTCATACTGCAGCTTCATAACGCGCCACTTTATTGAGGCCCACGTGCACTCATCATTTTGATCATGAGCTGATTGCCGACGGAAGCAAAGTAGTACTTGGACAAATTGGACTCTGTCATGATGGTGTCCTTAGTAGCAGTCCCAGTGGCTTTACCTCAGTGAGTCTCAGTCTCAGTCTCAATCCGTATTTAACTTCATGAAACTGTCCCCATTCTTATTTGTGCTTATGATTGGGTCCTCCGAGTGAGAAAGGTCACGAAGCAAATAATTTTACCACTGCTAGCACTGTACTAGTAGGCCGGTACCGGTGTGCTCGCAAATTGGTCTTTCCTCAACGATGCCACACATTCGACCCATGTGAAAGCGGCCAGATCTGTTCACATGTCCGCTGATCGAGTTGGACCCCATGATGGTACGCATCAACTGCAGGCTATGTGATATCATGATGGGTTGCCTTACCAACAGTCACATTATTTGGATGCATTGTGGCACTCGGACGCCCATCAGATGCGTCCTGCGGACTGCTCACTAGCACAGCGTTGAATTACAAAATGACCATCCTTCTTGAATATCCAACCGCTCACAAGTTGAGTGGCCGAAGGTGCTTAAAGGAGGGGGTGACTACTCCCACCCAGAAACTTCATTGGCCGGTTATCCCCGTCTGAATCTGATTCAACACATTACCGATCGTAATCATGGGCATACCTTTGGACGAAGCTTCACTCTTAGCTTTGTTTCTTGAGACTTTGTTTTATGGTGCGTTACCAACCAACGCAAGACCTCGTGGTGCCGAATTTCACAGTCTCAAACAGGCGTGTTCTTGACGTTGTACTGCTTAACACTGTCTGTCCTGATCAAGAACACTGGCGCAAACCGGCAGCTCCTTATCCCAGTTGCAACCGTGCTGCTCTGTATGGCAACGGCTGTCAGTGTACTAGTCAATTCTTTTGGCAAAATTGCTCAACATAATTAATCTCAGCATCTAATTGTCGATTTTGTTCGAATTTTGGAGGCATTTGTATTCAATGCAGACAAGATGGGTGCAAATGCCTACTATTCCAACCTTGCCGCACCACTGGAATACGCAAAAACTGCACTTTACGTCACACAAACCGTTCTCGCTGATTGTGTCCTTGTGAGTTTCTCCGCTTGACAGGTTGTTCTCTCACCTCAGTGATAGGGCAGTAGGTTTGGCGATGTTATGTACTTAACCGCAGAAGCCTGTTCATTGCCGTTCCTGGTCTAATCGTGCTGTGTACAAATGCTGGTGAGCATCTTGAAGGGTATTATCGCCTTCAATCTTATCCCATGATGTTTCGCAGTCACTGGGTACATTATCGTTTGGTCTCTTTCCAGGGCCGGCAGTTCGTCCACCGTTTTCACCACTGCTCACTCATGGATCACGACATTCTTTACATTGACTATGATAACAAGTGTCACCTGCACCAGTACGTCCATTCCATAACTGATTTGCGGGCTCTGACGACAACCTGGATAGCTTTGATTGCCTGGCGTATCTATCGCACCCGCCGTTTTATGTCAGACGGATTTGGTGTGTATTTGCCCATTTTGATCGTCATCGTGGAAAGTGGTGCTATATATGCGACGGGTGTCCTGTCGATTCTTCTGGCATACCTGTCCGGATCCAACGGTCAATATACCGTACTGGACGCCGTCTCTCCTATTATGGTGAGTTCACTTGGCTTGGACACACGCTGCCTGCATAACGTTTCCAAAGGGAGTTGTATTCTGCCTCACCATCCTGCAAGTACACTTTCAAGTAGGCGGCAAGCCCCACATTGCACAGCCTCATGAACCAAGGAGCGTCGCATACTCTCAGAGAGCGAGGTGTACGCGATGTGGACTGCAAAATGAACCGGTGACTGCCCATCACAAAGGAGACGGAGATGATTCATGCCAACACGGTGGGCAGAAAGGAAAACCAATTGTTGTCAGTGGCTCTCTTTGTATATTAAACCATCTTCTGCTTTCCCACAACTGGAGTTGCGTAGTCGTTTCGTGTTTATTTATGTTACATGGACGAAGTTTTGGCAGATTCAATATTATACCCAGTGTGGCAACAATATTTCCCCAACAAATCTAGAACCGGACCAACAGACAGACTAACTTCTCATAGCCATGTGCAGTCCAGAATCTTATGATGCAAAGCTAATGAATGGCGCCTAAATGCGGGTTAGTCTCCCATTGCCAGATTAACGGTACTTAGAAAGACAAACGAGAACGGAAGGTAACAAGCTGGAAACAGGGGATTGGGGCGAGTATGTCGATGGTGGAGTACGAGGGGACTCGTAGATTCTGAGCGACTCGATCAAAGACGGTGATGGCGACTAGAGGATTCGATTGCCCAGGTTACATTGCAAGACGAATACTGCTCCCAAGCCGGATTTTGTACAGAAAGCCTCGTAAAGTCCATCTCCGCATCCTAATGACTAAATGTCGTTGAATAGGGTAGAAGATGGTTGCGTGGCCCTGCGGACGTAATGCAAGGGTGGTTGAACACAGGGCAGCTGCATGCACCGCCATAGCCCATGGCGGTGATGATCGATGAAGCCTAGCTTGACGCAGTAGTACTACTCATGAGTCACATAATATAAATGGCCGATAGTTGCAATGCGCAACTGTATGGTGTGTAGTCAAGGACTCGCCCGATAAGTTGCAACCACGTGGTGACATCATCTGCAGCTGCCAGCACAGCAATGCTCCGGAATTCACATAGCCGGAGAGTTTCAGGCTCAATTGAACTTGCAAGTTCGTAATAGATAAATCTCACTGGGAGTATCAATTCTGCAACACTTTCGCCTCTACCATCATGAGCTACGACCTTGGAAAAGCTGTCGGTTTCAAGTCCAAAGATCAACCAGTGCGTTTCAGTATTACAGTAATACGAGTTCGAATCTGTGATATTTATTCTTATGCACTAGGTTTCGTGGACTCGTAAAGACATCATCACGTATGCTATCGGGGTAGGCGCGAAACATGACGAGCTGTCTTTGGTATATGGTAAGAATATTTCCATCTTCATTCACTTCGTACGTATTAACCGACTTCGTAGAGCTGGGTAGTATTGTTCTGGCATGCTTACTATGTTTGGTTATTGACATTTTCTGTAGACAAGTCATGGGGACCACTACCGACATACCCTGTGGTGCTTGGACTGAAAGGTGGGATCAATTAGACATCTAAGTAGTGTACTGAAAGCGTTAATATCGATAGGCGATGACCAGGATGTCACCCTGTTCGCAGCCAAAACGGGCGGTGAGCCTCTTCCGGGTCTTCCAAAGCTGAACTCCGGCAAGGTGGTAAGTGACTCGCAAATCATGTCATTCAATCCATGTTCACGAATCTACAGGTCCATGCAACCCAAAGCATTGAGATCCTGAAAGACCTTCCGGTGGCTAGCGGATCTGGCTGGAAGCTCTCTCGAAAAGTAGTTGGTGTACACGAGAACAGTGCGTTCATTCAATTTACAAGCACTTCTCTTTAGTAGCTAACAATATTTACAGAGTCTGGAATCATTGTCGACAATGAAGCCATATTGCTCGACCCTCATGGTGTTCCCTATGCGAAGCTTTATGTGAGGTGCTCACCCAAGTTGAATTGCCACTATGCTGACCCCAGTTATAGAGTTCAGCCTTTTACCTTGGCTCAAAGGCCAACGGAGATAAATTCTCTAAAGCTATTGCAGCCCCACCTCAGGCGAAGCCTGTCCCTAAGGACCGAAAACCGGATTGGGTTGTCCGGGACAAGACAACACCAGAGCAAGCCCTGATTTACAGGCTGAGTGGCGATTACAACCCTCTGCACATTGGTAGGCTCTTTGTATATGTAATGGGGTTTCCCAGACTGAGCTGCTTATCAGACCCAGAACTTGGTAAAGTGATGGGCTTTGGTGGTGTGATTTTGCATGGGTTGTCAAGTTATGGGTTCGCTGCAAGAGGTTTGATTCAGGTGATAGCCAAAGGGAATTCTCGCGCCCTGACGGTCTTTGGCGCGAGGTTCACGTCGCCCGTAAAGCCTGGCGATGAGCTCGAGACGTCAGCTTGGGAAGTTGGACCTGGTCCGAACGGCACCTCAGAAATTACCTTTATCACGAAGAACTTGACATCTGGCAAAGTGAGATGCTTGTCGTTCTGTTTCTTGTCTTGTTCTGAACAGTTGGCACAGGTTGCATTGGGCAATGGTGTTGCCTTTATCAAGAAGGCAGAAAAGAGCAAGTTGTAGTCAAGAGTTGCTATGTTGGGCACATCTATATTGACAACGAATTGTAAACTCTTATCAACTTTTACATGTAACTTTACATATCTTCGCGACTCATCTGCAACATCTCCATCACTATCGTGTTGTTATCGTGTTCAATCCTACAGCGGCTCAAGCTTCGTCCTCAACACCCTTCCCCGATCTAAAATGGCATCAGCTTCGAGATAACAACCCTTCAGCCATCGATTCGTCTCGCCATATGCATCCGCACCGGAGCCATCGTCAGTGAATGAAGTGCGTGCGTGCAAAACCCGCCGATTGTCGAACAGGACGGCATCGCCTTCGCGCAGGGTATAATCTAGGATGTTCATAGGGTCATCGAGCAGAGCGGCGTAGCGTCCCAGGGCACCGTAAAATGAGGGAGGAGTTGAATCTAACAGCAGAGGAGCTTGGAAAGGTGGGGAATAATTAATGTGCTTTATTTCTAGCACGCTGGGTGCAGAGATACCGGTAGTCGGTGAACCAGCGCCTATTGCTGCATGCAACGAAGTAAGTTCGATGGTAGGGTGTTCATAATGAAGGTGATGTCCATCATTGACGTAATGGAATGGAACCGGTGTAGTAGCCAGGGTATCAAAGTCCGCTGAATGGGTATTGCGTAATATCTCTGCGGCGCGGAGACCATCAACAAAACGCGAAGTACCGCCTATGACACGATTGCGAAGGCAGTGAAGAATTTGATATCGAGGAGGGTGTTGGAAGTACCTGTGGGATCATCAGAGCCTTATCGACGCAGCGTACCGAAACTACACACAGGAGATCCATATGCATACCTAAGTCAAGATTAGTATAGGCGATGTTTTTGCTGTTACGGATGTTCTTGACATCCCACAGCTCCCCGTAAAAGGTTTCGCGCAGTTCGCCAAAAATATTAGCAAGTTTGCGGAGTTCGCATGTCTTGTTTGTGTGTTCGGTGTTCGGGACACCTGTGAGGAAGAGTAGTCCATAACGGGTAAGCTGAGTGATGGCAGAGAGTAGCTGGGAAGGCTTCTTTATGGCTTCGTAGGTCACGTAGAGATCAGGTGCTTGGGAGATGGTAGATACATTCCAAGATATCGGTTGTACATCTTTGTGAAAAGATGACAATCGTTGAGCGGATGAGTAGCGTTCCAAGAAAGAATGCTCGTAAAACGACTTGTGATTATCTGCCCACTCGACGTGTATGCCACTGTCCTGGACAGTTACGCCATGAGGAACAGGACGAACATCAGCGGGAATATCCGATGTCCTACGAAGCTTCTGGGATGTAGAAGGATGCACGCAAGCTGTGCATTGGCAGGCATCTCGCAACCATCTATGAGGAAAAGAAGCACTGAGGGCAGGAACAATCAGCTGGGAATCTGTTATCTGAACTCCAGCTTCGGTATATATACGGCGGAAGAGAGGAATGATCTGCTTGGAGAAGCCTGGAGTTAGGAACTGATGCGCACGTAGACCGCACTGATATCCCAAGTTCATCATGATGATCTTGGTGTTATGTAATTCGGGACCGGGACAATATATTCAAGTTGGCTCGCTTCAAGTTGTTTGGATCCAAAGCCTTTGCCAAACAACCACCTTCTTCTTTCGGACACATTATAAACTTCTCATTTGGCAACTCAACTTCGCTCAGTCCACTTCAGCGTAGTAACAACTTCTTTTCCGCTGCGAAGTTGAACGCCGATAGATTTCCCTAGATTTATCTCATTCCTAGTTATCCTATCAGGCCATTTGCTTCTATACCATTGCTTTTGAGGCGTTGCTACACCGCAGCAATACTTCATCTAGTTGTTTCCAGTCTGCCATTGACCAGATACCCGCGTCATAGTCACCGATGCTCAGCCCATCCGGCTCCGAAAACTCCTTTGTCTTTCTTGAAGGAAGTCCGAAGCTAACTCCGTCTCCATCTTATACAAAGCCGGATCCACTTTTGGACAAGGTCTGAGACTTTGAGTTCGGTGTAAGGTCTATGTCCAATGCTGACCATGGTATCAGATCCATCCCTCTCTGCTGCCTTCATACGTACCTGGCTCGACTCGCACATACGCACATGATTGGTCTCGAACTGGAACCGGAGGAGAAATAAAGCCCAACGGGCGGCACTTTGTCGATTCCTATGGACGCATCTGCAGTTTACGCGGCGTCAACGTGTCTGGCTGCAGCAAAGCGTAGGTTTTAATCTCACGCTCGTAAAAAATAATGCTGAACGTTTTGCAGCCCGATGAACCATGACCATGATGCATTTCCCGCTGACCACGAAGTCGTTACGTTTGTTGGCCGTCCGTTTCCACTGGAAGAAGCGCCTGAGCACTTTTCCCGTCTTAGAAGATGGGGCTTAACCTTTAGTACGTCTTCACACAATCTGACACCCTTTCGGCTGAGTAACATTTTGCTAGTCCGCTTTCTCGTGACTTGGGAGGCTGTCGAACATGCAGGACTGTACGCATTGAAATCATCTCTCGATTACATCGCTAATGGAATATTTATAGCGGCATATACGACAAGGAGTATCTGACATACGTCCGCAAGCTTCTCTTATTGTTGCCCTCGTTCGGACTTAGCGCGTTCGTCGTCGTTCATCAAGACGTCTGGTCCAGGTACTCGGGTGGTTCTGGCGCGCCGGCATGGACTCTCGAGGCCGTTGGGTTTGACCTACATGCACTCGAAGAGTCTGGAGCTGCATGGCTACTAGGGGTCAAAGGTTGTGGTCACGTTGAAGCGGAACGTGGGATTTGGCCCTGCGGATACCAAAAGTTGGCCGCCGCGACCATGGCGTATGTCCAGTTTAATCTATTGCTGCCATCGTGTTGACATGGAATTCTATCCGTCCAGCACTTGCTTTTGGGCTGGTGATACCTTTGCACCCAAGTTGAAGATTGTCATGCCTGATGGTCAGGCAAAACCAGTCCAGCAATACCTCCAGGATGCATTCTTGGATATGTATGCTGCAGTCGTACAGGCTCTGGACGGTTTAGACGGAGTTATTGGATTCGAGGCGAGCTTGTGCAATGCTTGACTTTTATAGTGCTAATCTGAAACAGGTTATGAACGAGCCTCATAGAGGATATATAGAATTGCCTTCGTTGTACAAGTTCGACTATAATACAGATCTGCATCTTTCGCATGTCCGTGCGTGCGCTTGACTTACATTCATCGTTTGAAATACTGATGACAGGGCATGTACAGCAACTGCTTTCGAATCTTTTATGCTTGGCTCCGGATACCCCACTCTCGTTGCCAACTGGACACGCTCGTTCCCTTTTCCTACTCGTCTCACTTCTCGGAGTGTTCTGAATTCCGCTAGTCGGAAGGCCTGGCGTCCCGATGGTCCGACACAAGGCATGTGTGTATGGGAGATGCATGGCGTCTGGGGGTGGGATAACAGCAAGAACGAGGGTGTCGTTCTGCGCGAAAATTATTTTGTCAAGGACCCTATGACTGGTCGTGAGGTATGTGTGTGCGACAAACCATCAAGTGGATGCTCACACACTTGAAGGTTGATTGGTACACCGATTTCTATTACCCATTCCTTAAACGGTGGACAGATCGTTCCCGGAAGGCGATGTCGAACGATAAAATGTTTTTTATAGAGCCAATCCCCAACGAGGTATATTGTGCGACATATTTTTTATGTTTCCTGATAACTTTTGCAGTTTTGTCCACCATCATGGACAGAACATCAACTTCCCAACATGGTGTTTACCCCACATTGGTTGGTGAACTGTTGTCCCGAGAGCATATTGCTTACCTCTGCTATAGGTACGACCTTAATGTGCTATTCAATAAGGCTTTTGGGGATTTCACGGTGAACGTGCAAGGCTTATCCAGGGTATTATCCTTGGTAATTAAGATATGAGTTCTGGACATTTATATCATTCTCTAGGGAATGTTCCTGCTGAAAGCCTTGTATTGGGGTCAACAAGGCGCAAGAGAAAACTATTTACTACAAATCCAGAATATCGTGGATCATGGCTATAAAGTACTTGGGAGGCCTATTCTGATCGGAGAGTGCGGTATACCCATGGACATGAAGTAAGCTTGACGATGCCAATAGTATCTATGCCTAACGATGACCTAACGATGAACGGTTATAGTCGAAAGGAGGCATTCGAGAGCGACAACTGGAAATGGCAGGAAAGGATGATGGACGCTATGATGACAGGTCTTGAGAGATCCCTGGTCGGATTTACGTGTGTACCGTGCTTCTTGTGTGACCAATTATTGATATGCCTTCAGGCTGTGGAACTATAACCCCGACAACAATGACGTTCGAGGCGATGACTGGAACGGGGAAAATTTCTCTTGGTTCAGTCGAAGGCGTGGATTACCTCGATCACTGCTCGATTTGGACCAATCCTCATTCACACTAGATAACGGTGGCCGCATCTTGTCGTCTATCGTCCGACCATATGCAGCAAAGACCGCTGGTATACCCACCCGGTTCGAGTACGAAATGAACACAGGCACATTCATTTTCGAGTGGAGGTCACCCGAGTCCAAGGACAATATCGTTCTTACTGCTCGAGAGACTGAAATTTTCGTACCGTCCCTCATCACCTACGGGAGGAAGCTAGTGGTCTCGGGCCTCAGTGCTGGCGATAAGTATACTTATGATGAAACCCGACAGACTCTTTTCATCGTTCCTCGAGATGGTAGTTCCGGTAGGATGCACAAGATAACCGTTTCGGTGGACCCACCGCTCAGCCCTCAATTCGAGGTCAATACCTTTTGGGGTGACTTTGGAGAAGCTATCTTATCTGGACTAGTGGTATTTGTGATTCTATTCGTGATTATCAAGTACTACTTGTATATGTGATGCTGGGGTCACTTGGACCGGCGGTATCTAGATTCCACACCTCCTCAATTTTATCGTCAAATGTCAATTGCGAGTGCTAGACAGTCATCGTCCGGTTCATCGGTATCTTTTCCAGATCATCAAGGGTCTAATTAGCACCGAAGCGCCCTATCATCTTGATAGCGAGTACCTAAAACTGTTATACAGGTATGCGCGAATTCGAAAGGCGACGAGTCAGTTGTGATTCAATTTCTGAATTCAGAGGAACATATGACCGAAAGGAAATCCTCAATTGAATCAGACTACGGACATCGGGCTTCCGGTAAGAAACACATGTCCCCGTTGGTTCGAGACGGATCTAGATGCGCGTTTTATTTGTGCTGAACACCGAAGTGCGATGACGAACGTTAGACGTGGGTTATCTGCATTGTGTACCTGTATTTCAACTATCAGCCTAGTCAGTAGGTGCACAGTGGTCACTGGTAAAAATCAGCGCAGGCTATATTTGGCACCCGGTGTCGATTGGACCTTGGGAGATTGGTGTAGGGAAGGGTCAGGAATGCACGACCACGTGTGGCAATCGTGATAAGTCTTGTTTAGTTGCGCATTGACATGGGTAGGAGGTAATATTATGATAGAGATATAAGGAGCATCGTTCAATCCCACCATTTCCATCCTGGTTAAGCACTAGCGAATTATCACATTCGCAAAGTATATCTCCGATGGTGGAACCAAAGGTAGAACTTGCATCGATCTCGCTCTTCCGCGCGACGCCTGCGCAAATTGAGGAGACACGACGCCGAAGATGGCCGCACTTGGGTGGTACTCTGAGTCTTGCGGAGTACATTACGCGAGATGAAGAGATGGATGTTCTAGAGCACGCAAAGGAGGGAAAATGATCACATGGTAAGCATGTCATTTTCCAAACAGCAGAGAGCTAATGAGTTGGGAAGGGTACTGGCACCACGGGAGGACCCCATGACACTCGATTTCATGTGTGCTTGTAGGACGTAAGCGACTCGAGTACCCTCGATGGACGAGCAGAATTCTGACATGCTCTACGGGGCCAGATACAAGCGAGCAAGCCTCGTTGCTTACCCTTTTTCCTCTGCTTCTGAACCCAACTTAGTGCACGAAACAACCTCATACGGCATCGCCGCGGTCTTCACCCCACCCTCAAAACGCGGACGCGGCTATGCAGGGCACATGATGCGTCTTCTACATTGGGTGATTGCCTCACGTGATAATCTTCCTGAATTCCCAGAGATATGGGGCACACCACCAGAAGAGGTAGCGGATGCTGGCGGGGGGCTATTTTCGGTGCTATGGAGTGATGTTGGGGAGGAATTTTACCGCTCGGCGGGCCCTGGGGGTGAAGGAGACGGGTGGGAGAAGCGGGGACCAGTGTCAACTGTATGGGAGGTAGGTACGGAGGAGGGGGATGATGAGGGATGGAAGTGGCTGACGCAGGAGCAGTTGAAGGGTCTTTGGGACCATGATGCTGGGCTGATTAAAAAGGAGCTAGAGAACATGCTGGTGAAGAACGGGCTGTACGAGGTGGGGCACCCAACGGCACTCGCGACGTGCTTGCCAACAAATGGTGTCGCAGCATTCCAAATCCCTCGGGCAACGTACGGTTCGAACTTTTCTATGGCAGGCGGGTTCTGGGGTGTACAGTCCTTGAGTAATCCAGACACATACGCAAGCTGGAGCGTTGAAATGCAGTCGTCCCCACCAACGCTGATCGTCACGCGGCTCTGGGCTAGCGAGGACACGTTTCCTGGATTGATCGCAAAGATCAAGCAAGCGGCTAGACGAAGCGGAATTCGAAAAGTGGAGGTGTGGAATTTGCAAGTAGGACTGAGGGTGGTTGCGGAGAAGACGGGTGCACGGACCTTCATACGAAGCGAACATTTGCCACAGATTATGTGGTATGGACCTGGGACGACAAAGAATGTGGAGTGGATACATAACGAAAAGTAAGTGCTCTTGCTACAAAAAATCATGCGCATGTGTGCTCAACAGTTTCTAACAGGTTCTGCTGGTGTTGAAGCGGCATAAAGTTGCCATCGGCCCGTGCGCTGTTGCTTCTCAAAAGTTCTCAAGACTGAGACTTTCTAGTACCACTGCACCGTCCAGAATCCAGATCTGACTTCCAGTAGAAATCAAGTCTGCACATGCACACGTGACTCGAATCAGATTGCACCTGAACCGCACATGTACACGCCCAGTAACATGACCCAGCAGAAGTTGGCCTGGTGACAAAATTATCGGCGAAACGGTGTTGCCACACTGGGGCAGAATACTGAATCCAGCAAAACTTACTTAGAATCTATTATGTTGATCATGCTCGCCAATATCATGATCGTGTGTTTCGTCGTAAAATACATGAAACAAAAATCGGAACGACTACACCACTCTATTAGTTGTGGGAAAGTAGAAGATGATCTAATATACGAAGAGAGCCACTGACAACAATTTGATTTTTCTTTCAGCCCACCGTATTGGCACGAATGATCTCCGTATCCTTCAATGACAGGCACAGTAATCGGTTCATGCTCCAGCCCACATCGCGTACACCCCGCTCTCCGAGTCTGAAGAGCCGGTGATAACGCCCCTTGGTTCAAGGGACCGTGCAATCAGGGACTTGTTGCCTATTTGGAAGTGTACTTGCAGGATGATGAGGCAGAATACAATTCCCTTTAAAAACGTTATGCAGACAGCGTGGGTCCAAGCCAAGTAAACTCACCATAATAGGAGAGACGGTGTCCAGCACGGCATATTGACCATTGGATCCGGACAGGTATGTCACAAGAATCGAAAGGACGCCCGTCGCATATATAGCACCACTTTCCACAATGACGATCAGAATGGGCAAGTACGCAGCAAATCCGCCCGACATAAAACGCCGAGTGCGATAGATGCGCCAGGCAATCAAAGCTACCACGTTGTCGTCAGAATCCGCACATCAATTACGGAATAGACGTACTAGTGCAGGTGAAACTTGTGATCATAGTCAGCGTGAAGAATGTCGTGATCCATGCATGAGCGGTGGTGAAAACGGTGGACGAACTGTTGGCCTGGGAGAGGGACCAAACGATAATGTACCCAGTCACTGCGAAACGTCATGGGATAAGATTGAAGGCGATAATACCCTTCAAGGCGCTCACCAGCATTTGTACACAGCACGATTAGACCAGGAACGGCAACGAACAGGCTTCTGTCGTTCAGTACGTAACAACGCCAAACCTACTGCCCTATTACTTACTGAGATGGGGGAACTTGAACGCGTCACGCGGAAAAAGACACAATCAGCGGGAGCGGTTTGCGTGACGTAAAGTGCAGTTTTTGCGTATTCCAATGGCGCGGCAAGGTTGGAATAGTAGGCATCTGCACTCATCTTGTCCGCATCGAACACGAACGCCTCCAAAACTCGAACAAAATCAACGATTAGATGCTGAGGAGCAACTGTATTGAGCGATTCTGCCAAAGGAGTGACTAGTGCACTGACAGCAGTTGCAATACAGAGCAGCATGGTTGCGACTGGGATAAGGAGTTGCTGGTTGATTCCAGATTTCCTGAGTAGGATGAACAGTGTCAAGCAGTACAACGTCAGGAACACGCCTGTTTGAGACCATGAAATTCGGCACCATTGACGTCATCCATCGGTTGGTAACGCACCATAAAATAAAGTCTCAAGAAACAAAGCTAAGAGTGAAGCTTTGTCCAAAGGTATGCCCATGATTACGACCGTTAACGTGTTGAACTAAACTCAGACAGTGATGAAGTTTCTAGTCGAGACTGTCGACCGTCGAGTCACCGTCCCTCTCTTTAAATACTTTCGGCCACTCACCTTGTGAGCGAGATACTGAAGGAGCATAAACGTTTCGCAGTGCGGCACTAGTACGTCTTCTGCAGAACTAATCTGTGATGCGTCTGGCGGGCAGTGCTGCAATACATCCAAGGGATGCTGATAAGGCGACTCGTACCATATAGCTTTCAGTTTGTATCACCAAATTTCAATGGTGTCGTAGGCCACATCGCGATGCATGCTCTATCACCGAATGTCGGTGACAAGTTGGAGATGGAATAGGATGGAGTGTTCTCAGGCTAGTCTCCAAAACTGACCTATTAATATACATGCACGACAGTCGATTAGAACAGGAAGATCAAATACTATGTGAGTAGATTGTCCACAACAGTCTGCCAGCTGCGGTCCGTACCGCACGCACTGAAGTGCGTGACACCGGATGAACCCGTAAGAAGACATGTCGTCTTCTCTTCGTTCTACATCCCTCGAGCTCAAATCTGGAGTTGTTACCCAAGCTCAAAGATCACAATGACACGTTTCTCTTTGAGATCATCAGCACGAACTGGATGTGCAAGTTCTGCCAAACCGCCGATGAGCTGAGCATTCTCCGACACAATATCAAAATGCCTCAGCTTCATACGAAGCGAACATTCAACACAGATTGCGTTATGGACCTGAGATGATGAAGAATGCAGAGTGAGTGTATAATGAAAAATGAGCGCCCACGCCAGCATAAAACCTGAGGGCTCACAAGTGCTTGAAATTTTTCAACAGGCTCGCTGGTGTTATTGGTATAACCTTTTGGCACTGACTCGTGCGTTGCTCATGAGCTTGTTTTTTCAAGAGTTCAGAGACTTCAATAATCAGAGAGATCTATGATCGTCGATGATGTTTAGCATATAAGCTCTTCGTCCTATATATTATTGGCCATATATTGCTGCACTGGCCAGAGTTGCACTCTGAAGAGGGACGAGGAAGGTACGTAGTAGTCTGTCCGACTCTGGAGTCTGCCATTCTACTTACTATAAGGACATCCCTTCGGTCAGCTCTTCGACGATAGTGTTTGCAGTAGCAACTCGGGAAACACAATATTAGCACAATATTGTCCTTCGTTTGTCTCTGCAAATAGACAGTGTCTCTTTGCGTCGGAAGTTGTCTTCGATTCACTGTCCATGACGAACGGTTTGGATGGAATTCGGAGGATGCAGTGGCTTTCGAATGTATTGAGGAGTTGGACTGCAACGACGCGCACATGCGTGTTTCTGACCAATCCCATTTTTACCGAGAGGTTACGTACTCCAGGATGGGTTAACATTGCAAGGTAATCCGGGGTGTTCTGGTGCGTTCAGTGGAGTCTGCTCAGCTTCTGTTAGGCTGTCTGAACTGAGATAAGATGCTACATTGCTTCGTGAGTGGAACATGTGATCGATATCAGTTGCGATACTTGCGAAAATCGCGCGGTAATTTGTCTAGAATTTTGTCATTGAATTCATCGACATAGACGTTGAGAGGGAAAAGGAATGCACGATCAAGACAGGTTTCAGCGTCTTCGAGAATATGTGGAAGTAAATGGTATCATCGAAGTCTGTGGTCGATGCTATGAGTGCGAGATTCATTCTGTCGATTTCTGGAGCAGTCTTCTCCAATACGATCCACGAAAGCTGTGAATTGGGGGTTATCGATGCTGGGGATTGGAGTATTGATGCTGAAGTTTGGCCATCATAGCGTTGATGACTTCACTGATCAGTGTCATTAGTCCTGCTCCGCTTACAATAGGAAAACGTCCTCTGAGGCTATTCTATTACGTAGACTCTTGGGTCGAAGTCTAGGGCTAGTCTGGGGCTTCGGGGTGTTTAAACGCTGCTCGACTCCCACAACAGCGCGCTCTTGAGGACGTCCGGGAAATGGCCACCTCTAGAGCAAAAGTCTGCGGCCAGTCTGAGGCTTCGGCGGCTGGCTTCGGGCGGCGTTTAAACGGAGGATATCCAGGAAATGGACACTCAGGAGCCAAAATCTGGGGCAGACTCTGGGACCAGAGCCGCTTAGAGCGTCTAGTTTGTTTCAGTCGGAGTTTCAACATAACCTACCGGGGAAACAGCCACCCCGCCGTTAGCCATACCAACCTGTTCTATAACACAAATAATTCATGGTAGAAGCTCACAAAAAATACAAACGCCATGGCTGAGACAAGAGATGATTAGCAAGTATCAATGGCAGAGCGTATACATGCGGAAGCCTACCGCTTGCTTACACGTGCACATTCGAACAGCGCATCGACTTATTTTCCGTCACGGCATTAATGTGCAGCGGCCAGCTGTTAATACGCGGGCACTACATAAGATCGCGTGAATCCGATTTCCTAATAATTTCAGCGGGTCTTTTGTCTCAGCCGCAGGAGCCCGCAAACAACAAGCACCCTTTGCCGATCTAGCCTCTGGCTGTTGGTCAATGCGGCCGGTGGCAAAGCACTTATTTCTAGTACACCAGTGGGATCCACTTGCCACTCGTAGAATCATCTTGAAGCGGTCTAGACAATGCTGAAGCGCTAACCCATCAACACGTTGCCATTTCTCGTTGTGGTTCTTCGCCGCCATGTGGGCACCAATTACCTCCAATCGCCTGATAATATTTAGCTAGGGTATCCAGTACTCCATAAGTACCTGAAGTTAATGGCCGTGATGACTTTAAGTCTCCCTCCTGACGTGCACTAGCATGTTTCTGAGAACGCTCGTCCGAGCCAGCGTTGCGCTATTAGCTAACGTATCCGTAACTCGCGTTGTCTCTGCTGTCGAGGCCAATCTTCATGCTACAAAAGCAGGGCACATCAAGATTCAATCCAAGGTTCACAATGCAACTGGCATTCGTTATATCAAGAACTCAGGAATTTGTGAAACAACTCCAAACGTTACCCAAATTTCTGGTTACATCAACGTTGGAACAAACATGTCCATGGTATATATCTGTTCCCTATGCTCTAGATGTAAACTGACTTAAGACACAGTGGTTCTGGTTCTTCGAGTCTAGAAACTCACCGGAAACAGCCCCATTCACTCTATGGTAGCGCTGGATCACCAAGTACTGCTGAGTCGCACCTCTGAACTGCTTTTGCAGGTTGAATGGCGGCCCTGCATGTTCTTCTATGATCGGATTGTTCCAAGGTTGATTGGTTTAATTACCTTTTGATTGCTCTAATTTTCCACAGAGAACGGGCCATGCTTAGTAAATGCTGACCTCAATTCCACCATTCTTAACCCCTACAGGTATGTCAGGGTCAGTACTTATAGCTGTTTTTCATATGCTAATTTAACACGGTTCCCTACAGCTGGAATAGTCTCAGCAACAGTATGTAGCACGTAGCCCTTCGATTTCATTGCCAGAGCTGACTTCCTGACCCAGTGATCTACATTGATCAGCCAATCGGAACAGGATTTTCTTACGGTACTGATACGGTAAACAGCACGGAAACTGCTGCATATTTTGTATGGACTGCATTCCAGGTTTTGTTTGAAAGCCAGCTATTTTCGAAGTATGCCAGTCGAGAGTCAGTTGCTTAACTCAGCTATCACGGACGATTACTTATGCCGGGCTCAGGTTGATATTTGCCACAGAGAGCTACGGCGGCCACTACGGACCCGGTTTTGTGACCTACTTTGAGGAGCGAAACGCCTTAATTCCCAGCGGGGAGATTGATGCTGTTCCAGTTGTTGTCAGCGCCATGATGATTAACAAGCAAGTCGCTTTCTTGACTTGCCAATACCCCGTTGAATGAGCGTTCGCAGTGGCTGGTATGATCCGCTCATTCAGACCATCTCATACCTCAACTTTGCTACTTATGCCCCTGGCTATGGGCAGCTCCAGTCAGATGACGTACTTAAGAACATTTCGGATTCCCTCTACGGTCCTGATGGTTGCGTAGCGCAAGAAAATGCCTGCTACGCTGCTGGAAATTCCACTTCCTCAAACAAGATTTGCCGGGATGCCGATAATTACTGTGTGAGTGACATCAATACTATATGTATGGACTCCACCGAACTCTTTCAGGGCACTTATGTCTTCCTCCCTGCTGTGGGCAATTACGACAGCTATGATATACGTCAAAATTCATCTGCTTTATTTCCCCCTGAATATTATGTGGATTATCTGGGCAGAGGGGATGTCATGAAGAAGATCGGTGCTCAGGTCAAATACGAGCAATGCACAAGTGCACCTTATGAGGAATTTGCAAAGACAGGCGACGTATGTATTTGTTCAACTTCTTTCCTCGAGTGTTAAATCTAGCTTCCTGTTAGGACGCTAGAACATGGCTACCCCAGTTATCGGCTCTGGCAAACTCTGGGCTGAAGATTTTGATTTGGGTGCGTGCTTAGTTATTACATCATTATCTGCTAATTTACTTGGGAAGAACAGGCTGGAGATACTGATATAACGTCCGTTTTCGTGCTGTGATGACCTTTCATATATCCTGACGCTTCTCGTTGACTTTAGTTGCAACTGGCTTGGGGTAGGGTGTTGCGTATTTTACCGCCAACGTTGCTGAATTATTCTGGCTAATAGAACCATGCGGCAGTGCTAGCAATGGATTGGTATGGCAACGAGACGCTCCATAATACTCCATTTACCAATATGACGATCAACGGCAAGCCTGTTGCGGCCGTGCAGAACGTCGACAATTTCTCCTTTGCGTGAGTCTTTTTTATCCCAGCTTGTTAACGAGAGATGTACCTCATCGTTTTACGTTTTAGACGGGTGTATGGTGCTGGACACGAAGTGGTCAGTTAACTCTCCTGAGGATGATGATATCCACTGATGCCTGCTATGTCATTGTTAGCCTGCCTTCCAGCCCCAAGCAGCTTTGGAGATTTTCTCGCAGGTTATTCGTAAGGAACAACTTCACTCTGTCTAAAAAGTGAATTTGGGAGCACACATCATGAATCCGGTTAGAGAGGTCCTTGGCGTATTTGAACAGTGAGAAAATGTCCCTTCTGAGACCTTTACATAATCAAGCAGAGCCCAACTTCCAAATCGACTTATTATATGGAACTGTTTTATGTACGTGGTGCGTGCATGTGATGCGTGATAGAATTCATACTGCCAGGAGCACATGCCTCACATATCACTGTACCTCGATCACACTCAGCTTGAGACGCAGTGAACTGAAAACTGAAACAGCGAAAAAATTCAAACAAACGTCTCGTGAAGTGTATGGTATTTGGTATATTTTAAAACGACCTCACAATTTCCATAATCGTTTGCTTCTAAAAAGCCATGCAAAAACACACATGCCCATAGAGTATGCACACAGTAAACACATTGCTTTCACGTTACCCACGAACATAGTCTGGATATTGAGATTGATCAGACCGGTGACCACATTTGACTGAGTATAGAAATTAATGTCAGGACGCCAAATACAGTTATATTAGGAAGACAAACCAGCAAGAACACGATGAATGCATTCTTATTAATAGCCTCCAACAGTGCAGGTGCGCTGCTTTTCGACCCCTTTTCCTCGATGAGGAGCCGTTTGCCCGAAGGATCAGTTGGATCTCGTATCTTTGACGTTCTGGTGGGAAAGAATATCATGTCGAGGAAAATGTAACCAAGGATGAAAGAGGTGTTGTAAGCTGCAACCCAGAGGACATATGAGATATTTGCCTAGGAATAATCTCAGCACACGAGACTTTCACATGAAATCATGTACGCAAAGCAAAACAAGCAGGACGAACCATTCTTCTCGAAACTTCTAATCCAAGCCTTACGAAGGCTAGAAGCATCCACCAAACCACTGAATACGACATCAACTCAATGATGACCTTTGCATTCTGTCTGGGTGCTGAAGGATCAAGTTTGCTAGGTCGGTGAGAGGATGGCCCGTCGAGCAACTGCTGCTGCTGCTTCCGGAAAAACGAAGGGGAGGGAGGAAGTATGATGGTTCCTAAGGACAGGCCGAGTATGTGGATCGAAACATAACCTGGTGGAGAAGGATTAGAAGACGCACATTCTACAAGAGTAACAACTTATACCCAATAAGGAGAGTAGCCCCTCTTTGTTCGCGAAAATAATGTTGCTCCGTGAGGCGTTGAGCAGCACGTCCTTCATTCCTCCGGATGACAGTGCGAATTGATGCACTATTAAACAGGCATCCGATTCAAGTTTCTTATGACAGCCGAGCTATTACTTACAAACCCCAATCCAAAGACCCAGCAGAGCGACGGGGATGCGCAAGATGATAGGATGCAACAAGACCTCAATGATAGGCAAAAGAGCAAACGTGAAGAAGAAATTCCAGTGTACACCGTACTCTGTCACATGTTCCTGGTTGTACTTGTTAAGCGGTAGGCGTGACATGAAACCAAATGCAACACCCTACAGGATATTCAGTCCCTTTAACGAGCACGACGCGAAGAATGCCTAACGCAATGATGGGTATCATCTTACGGGAGATGGACTTCAGTTTAGGAAGGATCGGAGCCTGGAGGTAGGATATGTCTTTGATGATTGGAATCGCAGACACCACGCCTTGAGAGAATACAAACGAGCCAACGCCAATGTCCATCTATGAATCAAATTGTGTGAAAGTTGAAGAACATGATATGTTCTGGACGCACCAAAGAAACACCATACGTCTCACACTTTGCTAGAACACGAGGGAACACTGGAAAATCAACAGCAAGTATAGACAGAACTGTCATTAACATCATGTGAGCACGGTAGGTGGTCAGAGCAGGTAAGGGTCTGAGGGACTGAGATAAGTGCATCGGTGGAGTCTCTGCTCGACTTCTTCCATTCGGCGAAGCTAGTTCATCCCGACTTTCGGCCGGTAAAGGCGTGCCTTTTTCAAGAGGGGGAAGAAGGAGCAAAACAAGCACCGGTACGAGTAGTAGGAGAGACAATGCGCCAGGAGCTTCCCCGAATAAGGTCATAGACAATAACAGAGGCATGGCAAGTATTACAAACTCTGCCAAGAAATATGCGGATCCAAATGCTTGAACACGCGAACGCAGTGCTGAATGGAGGGCAATCGAAGACTGAAGATGGTTAGCTTGCTGAAGTGGAAAGACACGTAGGGATACACACCAGTGCAACGCCGCTTATCATATTTACATGAAATACTGTCGAGCCAGTCATTCCAGAGACAAAAGCCTCCTTCGAGGCCTTGTAGTCACTCATCGTGATCTGCCAACAATATGGTTCGTTGCTAATTGTGGTCTGCAGACCATATAATGTGTCGGACTACAGGCTGCAAGGTGTAGGTATCGCCAAGAGAGCCCCAAATCTCAGGCCTCACAGACAACAACGGTGTGTAGTAACTTGTAAGCAAGCGCTCCGAGTCGATGAAACTCTCCAAGGGGTCAACTTCCCAGAAAGATGTGTTTTCCCGGGGGGTCACCTTCTTTCTTTGGCGAAACAAGTTCTCAAGGTTCCTAGTATTCGGGAGTAATAACGTATGAGAAACGGTCGGATAGGACAGTGCGACGAAGTACAGATGACTCATGGAACTAATGATCCAGGAAGACAAGTATTTGCCTTCTTATCTGTCTGCCCTTCAAGGACTCTCACGTGACTGTTCTAACAAGGCCTTTAAAACTATGCCTTCCCCACCAAAACCAGTTCATCGTGATCACGACCAGAAGACCGCCCACAGCAACAATTGCGTAGTTCATGTTGAGGACGTCCACCGGGTATGCCGTAGGCAAAATGAATAAAACACAGACAAAAACAGTGAACTGTACGCATAATGAATATGAAAGTATGATAAATGAGAAAGTTGCGCACCAGAAAACTGGCAAAGTTCATTGGCCATGACCATTTTCCGAGGCGGAAAGGTCCAAATTCTTGAATGCTAAATTCGTGGAAACAAGTCAAGTGTGGCTCGAATACATCATTGTCAATGACGAACGAGTCAGGCCAGAACACGCGGATAATGATGGGTTGCATGTAGCTCAACATCACCGCTATGGCTGCTGATGATAAGATGGCGTCGAACTGTGGAAGCGTAAATGCTGTCAGAACAAAGGAACACAGTAATGAGTTGGGTCGACTGACTGCAATCGCAGACCCGATATAAGCGCATGATATGATGCATCCTATCAAGACGCTAGTCCATACACCCCAGTATGGTGCTTGGAATCGGTTCAAGGTCATGAATTGTTTTTTCAACGGGAATGCATTATCTCTTGCGAGCGCATAGAACAGCCTCGAACTTGCAGTAAATGTTGTGATTGCAGCCATCACTTGAGAAACCATTATCACAGTCAGGCACATTTGTGACAATCGAGGCCCGACCGCATCGTAGAAGAGTTGAGCAATCGGGATGGCAAACGTGGTGGCCTGAACGGAAGCGATATCCTGAACTGCGAAAAGAAGTGCAAGCAGGTATGCGAGGCCAATCAACCAAGAACCTGCGATGCTGCCAACCACAGCAAGCGGAGCCAGGATCTCCGCTCGTACAGCTTCTTCCGCTACTTGAGCTGCTGTCTCGCACCCCTCGAGTGTGTATACAGCCTAGGGTAAGGTCGCCGTGAGTCATGTAGTACAACACGTATAAAGCCGATCCTCACCTGAAGAAACCCAAGAAGCACGACAAAGCCTTGGGATTGCCAACCGGTGAAGCTAGTTGACCAGTCAATGACTCTTCCATTCATAAAATGTGCAAAGCTTACTTTTGAACATTTGTAAATACAAAGTCGGCAGAGTTCTGTAAGACATAATCAGATTCCGCGCGAAGGAAACAGACTTGCAATTTGACAGAACCCTACCATCACGGGTGCTTTCACAAGCAGTGCGGTGACTAAAGTCACGGTGCCTCCGAGCGTCCACCAAACAAATAACGTGCTCATATGTCCTATAGCCTTCGTTCCAATAGTATTGACGATGCCAGAAAATATGTTTACGGCCCATGCGATCGCAGCAATTTCTAATCTCGTTAGACTTCTTCCTTGCCCAACCTCTGCCATAGACGAAAGGTATAGAGCGGTACTGGATGACAAATCGTAGGTTCTGATTCGATGACGCAAATAACATACCTCAAATTAGCGGAAATACCAGTGAATACCATGGCCATGGAATAAAGCCAGCCAGTGAAGACTGATAATTCATTCAGGCACTACTCAGAGGATGGACATCAGGACTTACAGCCAAGGATGGGCACGTCTGGTTTCATCTTGCAAACCCAGAAGTAGAGTCCTCCCATCGTTGGGCTGCGCGACGACCTAAGACATAGGCTCTGACAGGGCATGAATTGCTTACTATGCACTGCAAATCTCTGCAAAGCTGAACGCGATCAGAAGCATAAAGAAACTGCAAATCTGGGTAGAATAGCAATTATTGTCATACTCATGAAGATTGAATCGTCAAACTCACATTCCATCCCCAAAATAGACCCAGCGGGCCTCCAGAGAACAACCCCGTCTGAAGGGCGCTGCTCATTCCGTTTAGAATGCCGATGGAACAGAACGATATCCCAAGCACTCCGAAAAGAGACATCTCGCGGCGGAATTCAGGTCTATACCCCAGGTCCAGAAGGCGTTGGTCGGATATGGTAACATTGTATGCCTCTTCCTTGGCGATGACCTTTCCCTCACTGGAGGATGGACTTTCTGGCTCGCCCATAGTGAATATGAGACACAAGTAATTGTGATTAAGGATAATCAACGTTATATGGAATAAGAACAAGCAGAGATAAGGTGAGAGCTCAGTTCTAGATCCAGGTCTATACTCAGGTCCAGAGGGCGTTGGTGGGAGAGGTAAGATCGTGAGGCTCTGCCTTGGCATTGACCCCTCCCGTAGTGTAGTAGATACACTACATTTTGGCTTAACTCTGACGGACGTGTCCTACATTAACAGCACTTCGATATTAGAATACATAAACAGGTGACTCACTGTGAGAGAAAATATATGTTGATAAGACAAGCAACTTTTGCTTTTAGACAGTACACACCACGAGTCATAATAAGTAGATTAGTGTTTAAACCTTGAAACTGACGGCGGAACACCGACCGAGACGATGATGGTTCAGTCACCTGACTCTTTACGATAATGTCTCTATTCCAGCAGTCAGGTCAGTTGACGAGAAATTTTATAGATGAAGGAACGTATGACAAAGCTCTGTGATTCACAATTCCCTGATGGTTTGTGCGTATATCGTCGACCACCACTGCTGCCAGCGGGTACCATAATCCCTCGTCCGCAGTTGATGAAGCTCACACTTGTCCGAGTTCCTAGCCTGAGAGAGTTGAGAGGGATCGCTGGCTTCGCCAATGTCAGTTGGTCACTTCGCAACGATTTTGAAAGAGTTGTGGGTATGGCCGATTAGTATGAGCGGGTGGTTTGGCATTTGGGCCTTCTTTATACATCTGAATGACTTCAAGCATGCAAGATGATATATCTTTCAAGACAAAGTTTTGGGTCAGATGAGGAGCCAAGCCTCGAGACAACCTGCAGGCCGGAGTCTAATACTGCTTTTGGCAGTGACGGGCGGCTACTGCCTGATGACCTCCTGCCAATCAACACAAATCGATACGATAAGAATGTAAAGTTCACCTTCTCCATCAATGCAACGGAACAGCCCCGTTCGAGTCACTTCATCATGATGGCTTCGAAACGAGAGCAAGATTTCACACGGGTCTTTTTCTCAGGCAGTACCAGGATCCGACTAGCACATGCAATATTTGTGGAGGTGAGCGAGTAACAACACAGTGCATGCAGCCCGTCGAACTCATCTCCTCGGCAGGTTAACCGGTTGACAATAAGGCTGCAGTCTCAGTGATAGGCTCATCTCCGCCGCAGCACTACCGCAGCATGTGCCAGGTGCCTACTAATGGCAGTAATACTCCCTCACTGATTGACATGAGGCAAACACGTTTCATGGATTCTACTTACATTTCATATCGAACATGTATATCAGGGTAAATTTCGCTTCCATGCCTCGCCAGTGCGGCTAGCATGCTTATCCATTGGCATTACATATAGACTTGGACTTGTACATGCGGGTCACCTTTAACATCCCCCTGTCGCTTCTCATCATCCAAGACCCCCACTCACACTATCGAACGACACAGCCTGGCCTTGCGCATATTCTAACACCCTCATTTTTCTGGCCCTACCTTCTAACCGATCCGACAGGTTGAACCATTCAAAGCATGGAAGCCGCAACACAATCATCACCAAGCACCTCTCCCACCGTGAATGCCTTCCAACTTGTATTCCACATCGATGCCTTCCTTCTCGCACTTGCGGGCGTGTTTGCCCTGTTCGCGCTCCCTCGTGCTGTTGCACGCTTCTCCCGCGCCGCGGAATGGCGCCATGGACATATCCTCCGTGCGATCCCGCTCAAGCACCGAGCACCAAAGCGCCCCATGCGCTCCGCACAATCTGCCCCATCCGGCCCCCCCGCAGCTGACAACCTTACGTCGGATGAATCACACACCTTCCATTCCGAAGCACATCTCATTCGACATCCAGCGGCAAAGGAAGAAGGCTGGTCACTTCCACCGCATGTTCGCGCATGGTCCTCGCGTGTCCCGACCTTCGCTAATATCCTGAGGTACAGACTGGACGTGAGCTTCTCTCTGGGTCAGGCACTGGTCCTGATGGTCTATTCTGCGGCTCTGGTCTATGCTGGATTTCTAAAGTCAAACCCATTTGCAGACCCGTTGCGAACCGGATTCGTAGCGACGTCACAGATTCCTGTTGTCTATCTGTTGGCGACCAAAAATAATATATTGGGTATATTTCTTGGTCTTGGGTATGAGAAGGTCGGTGATTGTAATCCTTCAGGTTAACTCTTACGGACTCTCCACAGCTCAATTACATTCACAGGTTCGCGGGGACGCTCCTCGTGATCGCATCCAACGTACATTCGCTTGGTTACAGTAAGTTTGAGAAGGTCATACCTGCTCAGCGCTGATGTCTTGTGGTCGCCCTTATTCTAGTTTATGAATGGACGATAAAAGGCACATTTTCCAAAAATATTCGCATGCCTTCACACATATGGGCCTTTGTTGCGCTTATCACTGTAGATCTTATATATCTATTTTCGATCCCATTCTTCAGACGACGGGCATACAATCTGTTCTACTTCTCGCATGTCGTATTCTTCATCCTCTTTCTCCCAGCTGTGAGCCCAAATTGTCTCTATGTCATGTTGCCAGCTTCTGACAATGGCATATCCAGCTTCATGCTCATGTACCTAGTGTCTGGCCGTACGTCATCGCCGCTGCTGGTATCATCAGCCTCGACTACCTCATCCGATTTATGAAAACACGCGTATTTAATGCACGCATACGTCCTATTCCCGACCTCATGCTCACACGTATCGAGATTCCCCAGCTCAATGCCGGTTGGAGGGCAGGACAACATGTACGCCTCCGCGTGCTTTCCTCCGCCATGGGATGGATCGGCTGGGCAGAGAGTCACCCACTCACCATTGCCACCGCTGCGAAAACACCTGAAGGCATGGTGCTGTTATGTAAGAAGACCGGTAGGTGGACGAGCAGATTGTACGATATGGCAACAGTTGCGGGGTACGAATCAGATGAAGGCTCGTATGGGAGGACGGTGCAAGTTTTGATTGAAGGACCATATGGTAAGTGGAAACAGGCATTTTTTAATGGTTGTTTATTGTTGTGCAGGCGGACCAGGCCACTGCGTGTTTGCGAGCTACTCTGCTGCGATATTCATTGTTGGCGGAAGTGGGATTTCCTTTGCCCTCTCAGCCGTGCAGGACATCCTACAAGTAAGCCAGATTGAGCTTTTTTAGCTTCCTGTTTTCCGACCCCTGCTGCTAGAGAGACTCAGAAGGTGCAAGTCGAGTAAAAATCATAGAAGTCGTTTGGAGTGTCCGAGAATCTGGTCCGTATTGTTGCCGTATTAACTGAACGTTCCTCATACCTATTAGCCTCTCTCACTCCACTTGTCCCTCAACTAGCGGCGCTTATCCAACAAAGTATCTATGCGCCACTCAAAATATCTGTCCACTACACACGTGCATCCGACAACCCCCCGGGGAAGGATTTCCTCCCACCAGGGCTTACGCTCACCGCAGGACGACCGAAGATCGCCAAAGTCCTTGACGCAGTGATGTCGCGTGCAGTATCTTACGGTTCTAATGTCAAGTCCAGCATGAACATCACAGGTGTCGTGGTTGGCGTGTGCGGCCCAACGGGTTTGGGTGATGATGTCGCGCAGGTGATTTCTCAGGTAGATGCTAGAAGACGCTGGGCTGTCGGTGGGATTGAGATGCACGAGGAGTAAGCGTTCGCTTAATCTCGGTGCATCATCATGATGATGACCTTCGAACAGGATGTTTGGGTGGTAGGTTGACTTACAACTCGGCGGCGTTACTCGAAGATGGTGAGGGGCATAATATATTTAATCACCCGCTAGTGTAATCTATTTAGATGAGTCTCGGCGAGACAAATTCATATCGAGGAACGCAACGCTCTCCTGACGGCAACATGCCTGCGTCATCGTCTACTTGTAGGGAACGGCATCTTGTAAATGCGACTGATGCTGAGCAGAAACGTATATACCACATGTACATTGATGAAGGAAGGCAGGCCGCAAGACGTCAAGCTCAAAATGAATGAATTTTATGACCCCACGCACGGATCCATCGAACAATGAAAGTTTCAAGCCTACTGGGACTACGCGACACATGACCAGTTAATTCGATCGATATATCTGATAGTGTAGGTAAAAGCATTATAATGCTAACTATTAGGCAGTAGCCGGAGATGCGTCAATTAAGATCCTCTATAAAGAAACGGATGAGCTCGCAGGTACACCAGAAGAAGATAGTGCACACTTACATGAGGGCGAAAATATGAAAGCTGATGCGAAAGAAAGCATGATAGACACGAATAAGGATTAGGGCACTTAGTAGTCAGTTCCCGAGTTTTGGTTCTATGCAACAGCGTTAAACCGCATCTCATGTTCACCACACTGAACGTCCTTCCTCTGCTCTACCCAATGCCACTTCCAGACCCAAAGTATATTCTTCCCCGTTCCGCTCAAAGACCACCTCCTGGCTTGCTATACCCTTGTCCTTCTCACACATGCCTTTTGTCATGCTAGCTTTCCCACAGATAGGCACTGGAGCACGAAGGTGCGCATAAGTGAGGTGAGATTCGGTCACTGCAATGGGTGGCGCTGCAGTAATGGGGGTGGGTCGGTGGCGCAGCGTAAGCCTGCGACAGATCCTGGCAATCCTCGTCATTCGACCTCGAAGAGAGAGATGGACTACGCGGGCGACCTGGACACGTGGGTAAGGACATAGCACGAACTCGAGGAGTGAATGGCGGAGTTGTTACTAGCGGAGGTCGTGTAGACGTAGTTTTTGTGGGCGAGGTCAAGCGCAACGTTGAAAGAGGTTGGAATAATAATGCACAAGCATCGAGTGTTCCATCGTCGGACTCATCATCATCAGTGTTATCGCCACCAACGGCAGCCTGATACGATGGGGGAGGCGTCCGTGGCCTAAACATAGGGAGTTCCTGTGAGGGTTGAGAGCAAGGATACATGCTCGTAGTCCGCGCACGTGCATGAAATGGAGAGCAGAAGAACGGATCATCAGTCGCACTGACATCTCCCTGGCTAACGCCGAATCTCTCATCCGGAGTGATGGCAGATGTGACTTCAGCAGGTGAAGTCGGTGAAGTCGGTGACGTAGGGCTTTGCGGGAAGTCGATCTTGGAGGTTCTCCTTTCGGAATACCCTTCCTCATCGTCTCCTTCCTCACGAACAGGAAGCAACTTAGTGGGACTCTCGAGGAACGAAACACGCAGGGGGCGCTTCGAAGCCGCTGTTTCTCCACCACGTTTCAGGCCAATATCTCCGTACTTGCCGTGGCGAGCAGTGTCTTGCTTAGCCACATCATCCGCGTTCCACACGTACATGGCTAATGGTGACCGCCTGACAGGTCTGCCTAACAGAAGGCCAGTCGGAATAATCGGTCCGTTCACCTTTGTCACAGGTGGTGTGAGCCCGGGAGGTTGATAAGGGAAATGCGCAGCAGATGGGACTGAACCATCCCATACCCTCGCACCCGGACTAGAACCCGGGATAGCAACCGAAAATAAGGTTGGCGCAGAAGCCGCAGTGACCTTGATGCCTGCACTCCATGCACGCCTGCGTGCCCTAATTTCAAGTTGTCCCTCGGACTCCGGGTCCATCAATCCACACCCAAAAGAGTTTTGTGACCATAACAAACCCCAATGTTCCTCACGTGCACGAGCACGCACAAAAGTTAGAGCATTTCGAATTCGCGAAAGGAAGGCAACACGAGCAGAAAAAAGTTCTTCCATATTCGGAACGGGCATGCGCTTGGGCAGACACGACGGTGATGAAGGGAAATGCGCGGGTAACTTCTGTGGATGCATCGCCGATCGGTAGTTCCATGACACCGTGGTAGCAGGTTTGGCACAGACACGCGGCGCAGTAGAGGGGTATCCGGTGTTTGAATGAAGAGGCCGAGTTTTTGGATGAGAAGAAGTAGTTTTTGAGACAGCTGTTGGAACGGAGTCTGAATGACTGCGCTGCTGAAAGCATGCACCGTTCTCAGACAATCCTGGTAATGTAGCTGGGAGCGGCAAAGGCAGCACCTCACCATCCTCAGGGGTACGTAAAGACGTTTGACTTTCATCTGAGTCATCTTCCTCGGTGGCATCGGACGGCACAGCAGCAAATGTCATGTCGGTATAATAGTCGTCACCCATGTAATCACTTCCAAAATCCTCGCCGAAATTGAGCCGTCCGTCGTCGAAGGTGAGCTCCGTTCCTGGGTGCAGGGCGCCAAAATTATCGAAAGCGACATGGTCATCATCATCCCACACATCACCAAAGACATCAGTTCCAAAGCCGAAGCTCTCGCGTAAGAGGCTGCCATTCTCCACGCTAAATTCAAAAGCGTATGCATCCAGTTCATCGCATGCACTTGGGTTACGGACATGGCGAATTGCGCCCCATTCGTGTGCTACAAACATTTCAGAAAAACAGCATTCTAGAATGAAATCAACCAAACCTTGTTCGTGACGAGGATATACGACGCAGTCATCATTTTCATCCTCAACTTCCTCGATGAATGGTGAAGGTGCACGCCATCGTCTTTGAGTCTCCTCAGAGCCGCGTTCCCCAAAGTCAAGAGCAACTCTCCCCTCGCTTCGTGTCCTTGCATGTCTGCGAGCCGCACCGCGTCCAGGCTGCCAGGATCTCTCGAGTTCTCTCAGCTCAGTGCGAGCTCCGATAGCCATGCTACGGAGCACCCATTCAGTGTACCCTGCGTAATAGTTATGAGCCGAAAGCGCGGAAACGACATGGCGTCTCCAGGCATCAATAAGAGTAGCGCGTGCGCGGCGACGGAGAATCGGCGGATCTGTTAATGGTGGGAAAGCGGGGTTATAGGGGGAGACTGGAGATTGAGGGATGGGAGAAAATGATGTATTGCGGGGTGTGATAGGGGGGATTGGCGGGAGGGGAGGCGGAGACGAGGGGTAGGGTGTGGTGGGTGATGGAGGAGGGGCCGGGGGCGGAGACAAGGAACGTGGCACCAACGAGCTGAAGAGTAGCCAATAACAAGTCAGTCTAGAGAAAGCGCAAGGGACACGACAATACGTACGAGATTAAAGAAAATAGCAGGGAGCGCTGCTTCTTATGCCTGCTCAACTTTGGGGACTTCGGAGGCGTGGGCGCGCAGGATATGCTAGGGATATCCTGCGAACTAACCACACTGCTGCAGATACTAGCGGAGGTGGCGCATTCAAAGCTGTCTCGTCGAGACTCCAGTTCAGAGCACGTCTTAACGTCGTCGACGACGCCCTGGAGCATCTGTATGCATTGCGGGTTCATAGGCAGCTTTTCAATGCGCCCATCAACGAAGCTCACGACGACCTCCTTGGTTGGTACATCAAACATGACTTCAGTTATCCGAGCGACGAGACCAACTGAACGGTCGAACACGTGGATGTTCTGCGGAGGTTCGAGGCGCAACACCGAGGTCAGAAGGTGCAACTGGTTCGACCACGCAGGGGGAGTAGGCAAATTAGGAAAGTTGATCGGAAAAGAGACGTTGTAGAGAACAGTGCCATGTGATACGGAGGGGACGAGACGAATGAGCATGGTGACAATTAACTGGGTGAGATAATATAAAATCTAGTGAAACTGGTATGCTCTTCGTCGCAGTCCACATCCAGTATGCAAGAAGAGCAGAAACGGGACGATCCGTTGGTTTTCTGCGCTGTACGTGAGTTTACGTCAAACTAATTTGTGGCAGGCTACTATATCACGAACTCTTATACGTACAGGAAGTTCGGGACCGTAACCGATTCTGAAGCTCATGTTCATGAACACAAGATTCAGCGCACTGAGCGAGCCTGAGCATGGTGAATAGAACTTATGTTGGAAAAGTTCAAACTTGATTGGAGTGAAGATTTGTGGTCTGGCAGCTGCCAACGGCATATGCAGATATCACAGTGAAGCTTTAGACTGCGTGACAGTAAGAAGCATGACATTTAAGGTTCTCTCAAGGTCCACCAGTAGTAGTACTACGGCTGGCCCGGCCGGCCACAACGGACGACTTAGATTGACCATGAAAAATATTATTAGGCGATGACTTGTGGATCAAGGTGGCATGCTTCTGGTATAGCTGCCACCCTTTTTTGCAGCCCTCTTTGTTGTGATCTCCACAATGTGGGTACCAGCAAGCGCATCGGATCACTACAGGAATATTCCCCGGGCCGGCTCGGCGGAAGTGTACTGAAAACTCGTGGCTTGTGTACACATAACTTGTTCGCGTACGTACAGATTATTGGTCCGATAGACTGGCAGTACTATCAGTAAAGTGGTGCCCCAAAAACCTCGTAATAATCCCACATCGTGCTCCAGGGTGCAATCAAGTCATTGATCACCAAAGACATGACAGGATATAGCATCAGTGATCAGCCTGCCCTCTACCAGAATTTTCCTGAGTCAAACACGTCTGAAGCTGTGGGTTCTTCTGACTGAGTATTGGATAGCCTATGAATGATATGTTGATGAAGGTCTGACTTATCCAGCCAACAGCACACAGGTGTCGAGGCACCTGGTAACTGAATTTGACCATCGATGTGAGGATCGCTATGCAGAAGTGGCGTAAACGGTGAGGATGATGATCAACATGGAGCGGAACCTGCAGAGGTCTGGACAGATTCGGAGTACTAGTGTGGCATGATTCTTCGCAATCGAATTTGGCTAGGGCTAGTACTTACCTGCAGTGATTGGTGAACTTCGCTTGTAAGCGGCGGGGATCCGATATGAAAACATCGTGTTCTTGCCTTGCAATTATAAGTGGCACAGCCAGTGCCAGCAGGTTCTTACCCAGCCTTAAAACTCAACTTGACATCGAGTAGGTTGTTCGAGGAAAGAACAGGACGGAGAGAGGCGTGGTCCAGGAACACGATGCAGTCCGACAGTGCACAGCTCTGCGGCAAATTCAAGTTAGTACCTGTGCTTCGCGAAATTCGGCGTAGAAAGTCAGCGAAGCGCCCACTCGCATTTCTGATGGTATATATTTGCTTGGTGCCCTTCGACCTTTGATAATTCCCGGGCCAGGCAGTGAGCCTACTGCTTCATCTCTCACAGTGACCAACCCTTACCGACTCATTCAGTCCTGACGCGACAGCATGGGGAATAATGTCAGCCAGCAGTCAGAAAAGCGCAAAGCAAGACAAGCGCAAACCCTCAATCCGCCCCGAAAGTCCTCACAGCGGTTTTCAACTTCCTCGTTGGCAGCGTCGGTGGGATTAAACAAGCGCTCGCCACGGCAAGATTCTTCGGTCCCACCATCGCCCCCACCTACCATTTTTGCTGTGCCGGTGTCAGAGCCACAACCGGAACCAGAGCAGGACGGCAAGCCGCCAACGCCGCCACCGCCGCCACCAGAAAAGGAAAGCATACCGGAGCCTGTTATTGAGGTGAGATTTGATTTGGTCTGCTTTACAGCTGCTTCCAAATCTCATCTTCTCCCATCTACCCGTCGTTCATTCCATCGCATAACGACAATCAGGGTACTTACGCTCAAGGAGCAATCATGTCGTCTCAATCCGCTACCGTTCCTTGCCAGGTATGTGCCCCAAGGCTGCTACCACGGTTATCGTCCAGAGAAGGAGGGGTCAATTTGTTCCTCATCATTGCATTATCGTTCTATTTGGTTTTCTCGTTCTAACATCAACTGCTTGCTTGCTGCAGTATCGCACAGGTCGTACGCTTGGAAGCGGTACATATGCTATCGTGAAAGAGGCCATACACATCAAGACAGGCAAATACTATGCTTGCAAAGTCATTAATAAGAAGCTCATGGAGGGGAGGGAGCACATGGTGAGCATCGATACACCGCCCGCTTTGGATTGTCTGGCTGCGATGTCGCTGCGGGCGCATCCTGCGGTTGAACCTGTCTTGTTTTGTATATCATGCTGTTGGTAACGTCACAGCACGTCAGTCATGGGAAAAACAATCGTGCTGCGATGAGTTTGATAACGATCGTTGATCAGGGCACATTCTGCCCAATGATCTACCAGCCGCCACATCCAAACTTTTGCAGGCCCGCAGCTACTTTCCCTCTTTTTGCGATATATCATTGCACTAACAGCGCTGATTACGTTTTGCCTTAGGTTCGCAACGAGATTGCAGTATTGAAGAGGATATCCAGTGGTCACCCGAATATTGTGACGCTGCACGACTACTTCGAGGTCCGTGCACCGTGAACACGCCCTTGTACAGCGTGATAACCAAATGGTCCGTTTCTATTTTTAGACATCACACAACCTCTACCTTTGCTTCGATCTCTGCACTGGTGGCGAGCTTTTTGATAGCATATGTGCTAGGGGACAATACACTGAGGCGTATGTATCCCATATTTCCCATTTCACACATCACCGATTCCACGCACAAGTGACGCGGCTGGACTCGTCCGCACCATATTTCAGGCAGTCAAATATATTCATGACTGCGGGATCGTGCACCGCGATCTCAAGCCGGAGAACTTGCTCTTCCGGTCGAAGCCCGAGAAGACTTCAGAAATCATGATCGCAGACTTCGGTCTTAGTCGAGTCATGGAGGAGAACAAGTTGAGCATGTTGAAGGAAGTTTGCGGCACACCTGGGGTGAGTTCGAGTTCTCCCACTCCCGCGTGTGGATTAAAACGCTTTGGTAGTACATGGCCCCCGAGATCTTCAAAAAGAGTGCGACATTGTGATTCTATGGCATTGACCATTATCCTAATACTGCTTCTAGCGGGTCATGGAAAACCTGTCGACGTCTGGGCCATGGGCGTAATCACATATTTCCTGCTCGCTGGTGCGCATATGTGGCATGCTTGTAATGATTTCAGTGCTGAAAGTTTGGTATAGGTTACACCCCTTTCGATCGCGACACCCAACGACAAGAAATGGAAGCCATTATCGCTGGAGATTACAAGTTCGAGCCTGGTTTGTTACTTCTATTTTTTTGCCGTCGGAGCCACCTCATGCGTCCACAGATGAGTATTGGTCCCTTGTCTCTGACACTGCCCGGGACTTCGTTGCTACTTGCCTGACTACCGATCCCGACAAACGTCCGACTGCGGCACAGATGCTTGAGCACCCCTGGCTCGCATCTGAGATACCTCACTTCGTCGAGAACGAGACGGGTGAGCCAAGAGACTTGTTGCCACACGTCAGGAAGGCGTTCGATGCGAAGAAGACATGTGCGTCCTATATTCCCCCTCCACTGGTGAAATCACTGAACAACGTGACTTTTCTTGCAGTCCGAAAAGCCGTGTTTGGTATGATGGCGATGAAGCGCATGTCGACGCTCGCCCATCACATGTCGCCAGAGGCGCATAAGCTAAACGAAGATTTGTACCAGTTCAAGCAAGAGTCCGAAAAGGAAAAATTCGAGGACATACGTGTCGTCCACCATCACAATGCCGACGAAGAGCAATCGCTCAAGTCCCAGGACGATATCTCCATTGCAAAGGGTCCAAATGGAAAAGTGTCGTACGGGACCGACGTTAGTGAGAAACTCGCTGCTGTGAGCCTGGCTGTAAAGTCAGGTAGCAACCCTAAGAGCGTCTGATACACGCGCACTAGCCTTGACATTGACTACAAGGATGGAACCACTATGTTGATATATGTCGTTGGAGGATGCACGCTCTTTCTGATCTCTCTATCATGTACTTGTTATCGATACCTGACATCGCACACATTAATTACTATTTCTTCTGGAAATGCTCCTATGTCTCGAGGGAGTGGAGTCTTGGAAGACGTATGCTACGTTGACAGTCGTTTGAGTACCTTGTATAATATTGTAGAAGGCTCCGCGGAAATGGTTGTAAGTAGAACTATTTGGACTTTCTATGTGCATTGCATACAAGCTGAACTTGTACATGGAGTCACGTCCGTTGTGCATTTTGTCAATGGACTACTTATCGATCAAGTGCGCAACTGACTGCAGGGCTGTGCCATGCAGAAATATCGATATTGTCTCACACAACGCGCGGTGTGCAATAGGGGCTTTCCTGTCGACAATTTATGTTACCTATCATGACCGACGTGCTAAAAAAAAACACCTTGTTCGACATCGTTGGGCATTCTATGTAGGCGTTCTAAGTACACAGCACAGGCCGTATGGATGTTATGTTGTTGGAATCCGAGAGTTCCGAGACAAGGAAGACCGATGGATCCGAGCAAGGCACGCACAGTGAGTAATGAGAGGTAGAGGTACGAGCACAAGCCAAAAAGGGACAAAGGGCGAGCGACGCAGTGACGTCGGCTCATGTCCTACTTTATTTTTCTGTTTTGTTTTAATACATTATTGTCGTCAATGTACTTACCTTAAAAACGCCAGTAGCAGCGTCCTGGCATCTCAGTTCTTTTCCAAGACACTGAGATGTGAGTAGGAATTCGTCACCTATACAATACAAAGTCTAACGCGATGTAGTGTACTTGTTTAATAGGTAGACGAACCCTTAACAAGAGTTCTTTTCCAAGACACTGAGATTGTACTTGTTTAATAGACTCCTCGTCCCTCCCGCTCTTCTTATCACAGCATATGTGACTCGCAAACGTCCTCCAGTACCATTATGAATGTATGTAGAAGGTAGCAATCGTTCTAAGCAATATGAAACCACCTTTTATCCCCAGCGCTGCTTGCAAAATGTCTTTTAGTGATCTGGAAGAAGCAGGGTCGTTATATTAGCTGCTTCTGCATACTAGTTGACCGCCCCCAGTTGTGATGGTGTCAACGAGTAGTATATAGGGCAAAGTTTTTCCCAAGCAACTGGCAAACAATCGTGATGAGTTGTGTACGACCAAATCCCACGTGATACTTACTCGACAATCCCTTCAGGTGTGCTCGAGTTTCAGAGGGACTCTCAGCCATAACGATCGCGAAGCCACTAGGGTAGTGAGTCTCATAGCAACGAAATCTGGCCCAAAAAGACTCACGCATCGAGGTGCCAGTCTATGTGACTGTCGGAGAATGAGCACATGGGATGAAAAATGGACCTGGATGCTCACCAGTGCAAAAACCAAGGTCCGGAATTATCTGTAACCCACCGTATGACTATTTGTTGACCTGCATTACCGCTGGAGACAACATCCCTGCGCACAGGATTTAGATAGTTGAAGCCACTGGCGCCACCTGATTGTACGACATCAAATGCGTGCTGAATGTCTATCAGCATGTTTCAGCACCAAAAAGACTGAATGCAGACACCGTGCAAGTGGATCGGGTGCTAAACTCCATCAGACCTATGCAATTACGGATTAGATATTACTTACTGGTGCACCGATGCCATTTGTAACCATGGTGAGTTCCACGACTTTATTAGCCTCCAGAACGATAACGCTTCCTATGGGCATCAAATCGGCGGCATCTTGCGCACCACTAAGGATTTGCAGGAGTACTGGCACGGTAGGTGGTTCGTAGACAAAACCGTTAATAAAAAACAGTCCACCAACGTTGTCGACAACCAAGTTCAGGTTGATGTCTGCTTTGCCATACTCAGGAATACCAGGTGCACCGGGATTAGAGAGGGGATGAAGGTTCGTCTCGAGCATCGACAAGGTGCTATCTGTGCAATCTGTAGTTGGATCTGCAGCTGGTGCACCTCTGTATCGTAGGATGGCGGAGTTAAGGCCACCGTTAAACGTAGACCCGGTGGTGCTTGGAAGCGCCCGAAGCCAATAGTTGTTCACTGGCTTATCAGCTGTGAGGACGACAGAATACCGTTGTCCAGCGAAAATCTGGAGAGAGTCGACTAAGAGTGGCTTAGTGAGTTGCCCATCTGTTTCAATGACAGTGAGGTTGTGTCTGTCGATAGAGAATTTGAATGAAGGTTGGCAGGACATCCCAATGAGTCTCAGCCTGTATCTCTTTCCATACTCGACGTTAACAACGGCAAGTTCAGATTTTGGCCCGCCATTATATCTACCAAACCCGTTAATCAATGTTGAATCCGGGTTGACGCCAATTACGTGACGTAGAACTGGGGACACGATATGATACCTGCGGAAGGATGACGAGAATGTAATTAAAAATGAAATTTAGGATTTACCAGTCGGCAATGGTAATAACTGTGGTCTCTGGGAATGGTTTAAGTCAAATATCATGAATATATCTTCATGCACTTACCATCATCAACATCATACAAATAAGATAGGGCGTCATTGGGATCATAAATGACCAAAGGGCCACGGAGGCCATCACTGAATATCAAGATCTCAGAAATATCTTGTTAGGAAAGTTCAAGTTGACAGACCATTGCTGCGTGGAATAGTGGCTATGGTACCAGTAAGTGCCAGCCTGGTTCGGAGCATCGAAGGCGTGAAGGAATGAGTAATTTTTGGCAATAGGACACTGTGTGACGAATGAAACACCATCTGCATAGTTCGTTCCGTTCTGGTACAGCCCATGCCAATGCTGCAATATCATTCACTATCAAAATATTACAGATAGATTTGGCCACTCACAACACTGGTGATTTCGAACATAGAGTCATCATCCAGCTTGTTCGCTACATTTATAGCGAAGTGGTCTCCCTGTACGCGAAACTTCAGAAACACATAGAGGATGCAAGTAAAATTGATACCTTATTGGCTTTAATCAGAGGACCAGGAAATGTTCCTCCGGCAAGTGTTGTCCTAGTAAATCTCAAGATCATCGAACGAACACAAACAAATGTGGGATGAACTTACGAACGTGAAAATCCATCTGGCGCAATAACTTTATTGGAGATAGTCAAGTCGGTAGTGGGTCTCAGCGGCCGAGAACTGAGCGGATGCGATTGTGATCGGGAGACAATGGACGCTGTGGTAGCACACGTCGCGGGGAGTAATGTAAATACAATCAATATTGAAAAATACATACCGCAATACAGTCGCTATGCTCGTAATAAAGCAGAGCGACAGATAGAGAAGGAGGCCAAGTATCGGGCCATCGAATTAATACATTACCATCGGAGGTTAGGAGGGAGTCGCTAGGTTCTAATGTTGAGTCATTCTCATGTTGCCAAGGTCGCATTATCATCGGAAGTCGTCGAAGGTCATTATAATCTCCGTGCCGCCGATGCGGCTCAGGAATAGACCTAACTGAGGTTCATACATACATGCAAGGAAGGAACATTGTAAAATAGACTGCAAGATTTGAATGATTGATAACGGTTTGCTGTCCGCTCTTCTGGTAGACCAAAACATGTAAATTTTACTGATCAAATGAAGTGGGTATTTGATGCTTGCAGCGTTGCAAAAGTCTTTAAAAAGGTGATGCGTGGCTTGAACTTCCGTTGGATCTGAGGTGACACTAGTGGACCAAGACTCACCAGTACTAGCGAAAGCTTGCGTCAGACTCAGAGGGTAGCCACCAGGTGACACCTGTAGCCCAGTGGGCTCAGGAACTGCCATCGGATGCATAGTGGCTCGTGGTCGTCAATGAATCACAGCGGTATTCCCAACAAGCCGTCCAATTTCGTAGTCTGATATCCAAAACATTCTTACCATGATGAAAATCTTGATCAATGACAGGTAGCGGGAATAAGCAAACGCTCACCTAGTCTCACCTCAGGCCTTAAAGCCTCAAGCTTCAAATTAGGCATCTTCGCGTCGTCCTTTCGAAATTCGAAATGATCGGCTTCGAAAAACAAAGTATTCTGTTTGGCTACTAGGCTCAATACCTAGTTCCCCGGTCTCTGTGACTGTCCCCACCTTTTATATATATACATCAAATTCCTGTCCTTTTCAGTGTCCTCATCTTACCCGCGGGGAGGTGTGCGCTTTGTGAATACCAGGTTGGTGCTTCCCGCTCCATACATGCCAGGCAAGCTTCTATGTGCATACCGGGTGGGGTGCGCTCATCCTCGACACTATGATCAATATGGCAAGGCTCGTAGTCTAATCTTAGATCAGTGTCGCGGACTTACATAAGTCAAAGTTTTGGTTCCGACAAACGGATAATTTGTCAGGCTCATTGTGCAACGTGACCGTCCCCCAAGGTTCGCAAGCCTCAAGCCTCAGCAGGTAGCGAGTCCTCAGTTGGGTAGCACACTGCTCTTCGTTTGGGTTAACAGACGGCCGCATCTATATCACTAAGCACATATCTAGTTGTTCCAACTTCCTAGGCCTCTACAGACGTCCGGAAAGAACTGAATGAGGCTAACCCTTTTACAATATCAATGATCGCCAGTACTTATGGTTACCACTGACAGGGCAGCTAATGAGATTGGCATAGTGATTGCACATATATATCAATAAAAAATGTTGCCTCTGGCGGTGCTATAGCGCCAACAATAGTTGACTGCATAATCATACAAGTAATGTCGATGGAAGTATTACCGTTCTCATGCGCGAGAAGGTGAGAGATATCATAAATCCAATGCCAAACAATGTGAAAGAAGAATTTCTATGCGCTCTCCGTCATGAGGTGAGGCTTTCCCGTGGAAATAGCGAGGGACGTGAGAAGCACTTCCCATGCTGTATCAAGGGCACACCAGAGTCGCTCGTCGACGATGCCCAGTGCCATTGCATTGCGCCACATGCCATGCACTTTGGCAATGTGCTGCAGCAGAATGTTTACCGTATATGTATCGGCGATTTTCTGAGCGAACTGGTTGAGGAGGGGCATGACAGTGGTAGGATCATCGAGGTAGAGTTGGGGCGGGGTGGGAAGTGGCATAAGCGACACAAGAAGGTGGTCGATACGCTTCGTGTATAGGAACGTGGAGAGCTGAGGGAAGACCTCAGGGGCGGGGATGCACAGAGGGACGACTGGCACTTTAATCTCCTGGCCTGCGCACTCCACGAGTGCTGGATCCGGAATGTCTAAAATGGGAAGGTTCGCACAGTGGGTAGCAAAAACAAGATTGTGTGCGGGGAACAGCGTGACGCGACGGCGAACAGGGGCCGGCTGGCTGGATGAGAAAACTGCGAACACGTGGGAGGGCATGTCAGACGAAAGGTCGTTGACGATCATCGAAAGTTCCTTCGGGAGGACATTAGAAACAGGTTCGGCTTTGACGCCTGCAAGGACACGAAGCATGCTGGAAAAGTATTCGTTAGATGATCGATCGGCTACCAGAAGAATCTCGACTTACTCGGGCCCGAGGCATTCTAGTCCCTCGCGAATGTAATCAATATGGGTTTCAACAAGTTCAGGTGCCACAGCCCAAATCGTGGTCACCGGGATTTCAGTAATCTTGGATCGAGCGAGGTGCCTGGGAAGAGAGATACTGGCAGTGCTCTTAGACACTGTTGTTGAGTCCGCCATCTCGACATCGCGAGAAATAGTGGGGACATCCATCCGCACTGAAGCAAGGGGATGCTTGGACGGAGTTTGCCCCCTGCGCTTCTTGGCATGCTCAATTGCACGCCTGGGGCGGTGTGCTCCGCCTGAAACGAGAGCTCGGCGGCGGCGAGAGGCACCCTGGATACCTGTGCGAACTTTGGATGATCTCGCCACGAAGGGCACAACAGGAGGAGTGTTCTCAGAGTCGATGTGACGAACGTGGTTAGCGGTTTGCGAGACCATCGTGATGTGATGAAAGCTGAAGAACTGAGGATATGGGCTTAGATTGTGATGGCAGGGAAGCTTCAAGTGCTTCGAGGAGTTAAATGCAAGTAGATGACGGAAAAGCAGATATAGAACGCGTTTGTCAACGGGAACTTGACTGAGGGCTCCATGACAGGAGAGGCACCTTTATAAACCTGCAAGGGAAGAAGCAATTCAAGTGGATCGTGACGTGACGTTGCAAAAGCAATCCATCAAGTCACGCACTAAATTTCCTCTTAAGCAGATTGCTCGCAAAAAATTAGCTGTTTTTGGAAGTTGTTTGGGACCTACATGCGCAAACATGGACCTACTGAAGAAGTATCAAGAAAGCAATCCACTGATTGCACACTCGCATTGTCCGTAACCGGCATATTCTTAATTGTCTTGAGTTGAAATGCTTCAATTAGCTGTTGTTGCCACAGGTGTGTCCACAGCACATTTTCAATCCACCGCAGTTTGATTCATTGTTCCTGCAGCATTGTGGCCAAGAACTTCCAAGAACCTTTGAGGGTTCAATCAACTAGGCCTTCATGTGCGATCGAAACAGTTGCGAAGGCGTTGCTGTAAGTCGCTTACAGCCTCAATGAGAAACGTGTTGTCACCAGCCCATTGACACGTGACGATTAGATTAGATAAGCCTGAATCGATCAGTGTCTCGAGAGCAGCGGTTCGAGAGTATGTGATGAGAGGCCGTTGTACCTTGGTACCAGTAAAATGACAAATTCGAGAGTACGTTCTATCGGGACGCGTCAGACTTAGCGTTGGTCCATTGACATAGTAGAGACTTACCGTCGACAACGTTGCAGTCAGGTTGTGTATTAAAATGTACTGCTGCAAAGTTCGCGACCATGCCACTAAAATTGTGGTAGAGAGTCTCATACGGTGTAAGAGTCGTGTTTGCTGCCAATACGATGCCAGTGGAAGGGAAGCATGGGTGTTTCGGCTGGATCATGGAACATAAAATGCAACCGTAATCCGCTCGAAACTGTCCATTAGTCTCTAAGCCGCGCAAAATTCAGGCTGTACAAAGGAGAAAGGGTAATGGTTACCTAGCTGTAGGAGAATATGTTTATGTACCACCGCCAGGAGAGCCGGTGGCAGGTGGCTAGTGACAGGCAGCTCACCTGGCACAGTTGAGGGCACGCCCTGCCATTCGTGCACCAACAAGCCAGACTAACACCTTGTACTTGTACCTTACGTTGATTGAGGTAGGATATGGATGACTATTGACTGTGGCAATGGTGATGTTCGGCCATTCTGACCTTGGTTTCTGGAGGTGCTGTGTTCGCCGATCATGAATGTTGTTCAAGAAAACCTCACAATCAAGATTCAAGAGTTGGGTGGCCAACGGGCGGCACAAGGAGTGCGTGTTGATGAGAATACTGTCGATGAGCGGCTACCCTCGAGTATGGAGGACAGCCGCTCCTGTGTACTGTCCCAAATCATGCTATGCGTTTGAGTAGGGAGTGAAGATGTAAGTGAGGTTATAGAAGAAGAAAAAGAGCGAGAGAGAAAATAAATCCACAGTCGAACGGTTTATACAAATAACTCCCACAAGGATCTCATGGACCGAGACATCACCAACAACACGCTGGGTGGCCTGGGGCCGATGGCAACAATACCGGCGTGACGCAGCAATACACCTAGAACAAATCGTCGGTGTATACTTGGTGGTGTATGCGCGTACGAAGAGTTCAAACCTGAACTTCATAATATTGTAATTTGTTAGACCTATGCCTCCTTCTGGATTTTTTTTGGCGGGAAGCAAAAAATTAACGTTATAACGAACGAAGGAAATTTTAAAAGGTCGAGACAAGTTGAGACCTTTATATTTAACAATTAATTACTCACCCACTGTCATAGGCTATATATTTAGAGTATCCTTCAGATCACTAGCGTCAATAAATATTGTGATGTGATCCATCGAGACTCGAGAGAACTCGTACAGTTTCTTCCTGAGTCATAACGCATCCCGTTACATTCGAGCATTAATGGCTCACTTCAAGTTCTTCAACTTGCATCAGGTACACAGTGACCCTCTTCTCCGACTTGAAAGAGTCGGAAGAGTCGACACTCAGAAGTCTAAATCGGGGGAGCACCCAAGGCACTAAGATCGCAGCTTGTAGTCTTGTATACTTTGAACAAATTGGAGGGGAACTGGTTCTAAACACATTCTGGTTGGGTAAAGGGGCCCAGTGATATCAGACTCGGATATGCATGAATCGCCTGTATAGGTCGGGATCGTCGGGTACAATACGAATCTTAATATTGATATTGATATTATAGGCAATGACAGTCATGTGATACAAACGCGATCACGTGACATATTTTGAACAGAAGGCGATGATTGTAGCTTCGTTTATCAAATGCTTTGACAATGTCAACTACCACCCAAATTCTCTTCAACAGTCCGGCTCTGCATTCTATTAAACGCGACCAATTGGTCAAATTATGCAAGATTCATGGTATCAAGGCTAATGGAAAGAATAAGGATCTTATCGAGCGTCTCCAGCTACACGCACAGACACTTCCGCCTGATGATCCGTTGAGCCTTGCAACGAAGGGCGACAAGAGTGAAGATGAACAAGATGCCGCGGAGGAAAGCAGCAGAGCACCTGTGATCCCGCGCCCGAGTGAACAATGGGAGATTGTCATGGACAGCATTGCAGAAGTTGATGAAGATGCTGCGAGTACACTTAAAAACAACCAGGCGCGTAATGCCACACAAGCAGGAGAGTTCGGAACAAACGGAGGCAAAGGTATCTAACTGACCCCATTTTCGGGTGCTATTGAAATGAATATATCTAACTTACTATTCAGCTTCAAGTGTTGGTTCCTCTCTCAAGGCCATAGCCACTTCTCTTGGACTGACACGCGGGAATGCATCTTCTGAAACAACTACAACCGCCTCATCCAAATCTTCGCTCACTTCCACCCAAAGTGGGAAATCGCAGAGCACAGCTCCGACTGAGCCAGAGCCCGAAGTTCAGCCCGTGCCAGGACAAAACGCTCTTGCAGGTCTCCCAGCACCAGACAATGCCCGTCTCAGTATATCCCAGGCGCCTGCAACGACTACAATCCGTCTAGTCGCCTCCAACGCACCTGGGAACTCATTGTTCTCCCCGCCAAAGTTACATCCGTTCAAGACATCCTTTGATCTTGTGCCCCAAACACCTGGGGGAGCGGAAGGTGGCGGTGTATGGCCACTCTCACCTGGAGGAGCCAAACGCGAGCGCATATACCCAGGTATTCCAACATTTTCTGCCTTTCAACCTGTAGATACTTCCGACATGGACATCGATGTCGATTTCTCCGGTACGCTCGAGTCATCCACGCCAGCGCGTACGAAGTTCAATACAGGTGCTACCCCAAAGTCTGGCGAAAAGCCCTCTGACGTCCCCCAAGATTTGTTTTCCCCAGCACCAAGGCTTACTCGTGCTCGGGAGGATATTGGCTCATTCCGCCCACAGCGTTCCCCGGAAAAGCCAAGTGGTGAACTGGGAATACCCCGCTCTGAGCCTTTCATCTTTGGATCTCCTAATCCTCAGCACCGTCTTTCGAATGCGCAATTCCGAAGTGCGGCACAAAGCGTGCTGGACGACATGAACGCGCGCCTTGAAACGGAGGGCGTCACAAGCGTAGACTTTGAAATTTTGAGACACCGGCAACAGTCCACGTCAAGACAGTCCGCTGCAAAGGACCTGCAGCAGGAGAAGAAGGCTGGTGCGAGTCAGCTATTCGATAAAGCACACCAAGCACAATTCGATAAGATGGACAGCATCACGAGCCACTATGCTGCACGACGCGGGCTGCAATCTGATGCGGAAGCTGCACCCGTCTTGGGCAAGCGAAAGACAGCCGCTGGGCCCGCACCCATCACTGGGAAGACGCGTAAGTCGAGCGTGGTGGTGAAGAAGGACCGCGTTCCTTCCACCTCAAGTGTGAGATTACGCCCTGTTTCGAAGAAAGTCGTACCAGGAGGATTTGGCGATGATGACGGCGAAGAGGAGGATGATCGAGAGGATGATAGGCGGAATTCTAAACGTGTTCGCGTCGACCCTGTTGAGGATGCAGAGTTGGAAAGGGAAGAGGCGAAGAAGCTCAAGGAGCGTGAAGCCATCCGTCGGAAGCTGGATGCCAACAAAGCCAAGAGGCGCAGCAGCATGGGTAGGCCAAGTATAGGCAAGGGCGTTCGTAAGTTAGATTTTAATACTGTCCGAGAAAATTATGATTCGAATCAACTCTGCTGATTTTGATCTATAGAGACACCCAAGCAAACATCACGTTTCGGTTTCCTCTCTTCTGCAAAGAATCTCGTCTCGAATGTTTGGAATCGCGGAACAACTGGGTCGAAGCCGAACGTTCCCGCCGCGAAGCCCGCACCCGCACCCCAGACGAAAACTCTAGCCCCGTCTATTTCTTCCAAAGTAACCAAAGAGCAACCAAAAGCACAGTCGATAACCAAGAAACCCTCGATTGTCCCTGGCGCTTCGGGAGCGCCACCCGTCCCTAAAGAGCGTGTGCCATCGGTCAGTAATGGCAAGCACATGCCCTCTGGGAGTTCGCTTGCACCGGTAGCTGATTCAACGCCATCTCGCACATCGAAGTCCCCAATTCAGTTCCCTGCTCCAGGGACGTCAAGTAGGATGAGCCATAGTAGGACTAACTCCGCTTCGTCCCTCGGCGTTGCTTCGCGAACAAATAATGCAGGGCACGTATCCTCCATGGGCTCGAAGACTTTCCTCACTGGTACATTAAAAAGTGCAACCATTGGCACAGTTCGAGCTCGCAGTTCTACCCTCATGGCGCCAACTGCATCATCCCTAGCCAAGACCAGCAGGCTGCCAGTGCCGTCGTTTTCCCCGTTCCAGGTGAAAGGCAAGGCCAATGAGAAAGGAAAAGAACAGGAAAAGGAAACAGGTGCAGTGGAACATGTAGTGAACTCCCCGATAGTCCCCCGAAGTCAGGGGAAAATCTTCAGTCAGCCCTTGACGCCGATCAGCCCCTCGTCGAAGCCTTCAGAGCCACAGCCTCAGATGTCCCTTGCGGCAGCTGCCGCTACACTCGCCACCGCGAAGCCTCCAATCCCGCCGAAGCCGAAGATTATGCTCGGACGGCGGCCACGTATATCAAGGGGAAAGGTGATCGCGAAATTGGCTTCGCAACGCGAGGCCCAGCAGACTGGCACGAGCGCTATTCCGAGGCCACGTGTGGGCGCATCCAGCTCCCATGCGAGTGCTGGCGTGCCAAGGGTACGGTCTAGCATGGGCACGAACGTCGGGCAATCGCATGGTGTGGCGAGAGTGGGTGGGGATGTGCTGATGAGCGCAAAGAAGCGCACGAGGAGGAGTGAGTATGCGAGGAGGCGGAGTCGTGTGGATGGGGAGAAGATGGACGTGAGGGGATGAGCTGTGGGGTGTTTCTTTGGTTTTTTTTACTGTTTCTTGTTCTATGCATTTGATGATCATCCTTCGAGTTACACGGTACTTTATCTAGTTTAATCACGCAGGAACATAACATTGGGTAGAATATCAATCTAGGTTTCGAATGCTGCTTTTTCTTGCACAAGCAACTGCGAATAAGCATGCCAGCATCACAGAAAGTTGGCTGTGTTTGTTCTTCAACTTCGGGTATCCTCGATGGCGGAAAAGGTAGGAGTGGTCCAATAACGGATGAACGCTTCACACGCGTCCGCTACGCCACCCGATCTGAATCCGGACATAGTACTTCCTTCCACGTACCGATCAAGTTCAAGGTGACCTCACCTAATGATTTGCAACACTACACACCTCGAGGTTACGGGCCTCGGCTGCCATCACGGGAGGAAATTAATGATTATCTACACGTAGGATATTAGCGATCAGAGGGGGATGAAAAGAAAAGAATTAGCAAATCGATTGCGATGCGTAAAGTAAGTGAGATATAAGCAGAAGCCAATCATGATCCTCGTTAAGCAAAGTGTCGTATAAAGGCCATTTTAGCAAGATGAGCAAAGCGGAATGAAAGGGAAAACGTCAAAACGGACACATGCTCGCTCAATTCGGGACCGATGTGATGTGAGACGCCGTGTTCCGTTGTCGGATTCGCCGTGCTTCCACTGTGACATTCCATGCTGTCCGCGCAAGCTCGATGAAATGCGAGTCTCGTGGCCCCAAAGAGAGTATATTCTTCCATAGTCCGTGATTGAACCTGCTATGCTCTCGGAGTTGTTCGTCACTGCATAGCGTTGCCATGATGTTAGCCATGGTGGGAGAGGCGGGAAATTCTCCTATCACCTCGGCGGGAAGGAGGCAGCAGCATAGTAAGTGCGATCGTATTTCAAGCCCAAGTCCGAAGAGGAAGAGTAGAGGGATGGAAGGAGCGTGGGGGACAAGCAGTGGGACGACGGGGAGCGTCACAAATTGTCCTTCGGCATTTTCAGCGCAATGGGGGACCGGAAAAGTAGAACCAGGTGGGCTGAGTGGAATTATTTTGGAGCGAAAACCGCGAGTGAAAAGGTCAACACGAATGGGTACCAAGAGAGGCTGATAAGATGAGCCCCATTCGCTCTCTGGGATGTCAAAGACGGCGAGAACATGAGAGGGAATGTGAGCATCCTGTTTGACACGCATGTCCAAGGTTATCGGAATCTCGGATGCCGGCTCTAACGTCGTCTTTGCAACGTTGAAACGAGAACAAAGAAGGCTGGGCAAAATACGTTAGCGAGTGTCAACTGATGCCTGTAACGGTGAACACACTCAAGGAGGTCACAGTCTTCAGCCGATATATATTGTTTTGAAGGTAGTAAATGCGGTCGGCTGCCACTCATGTTTGAAACTTGCAAGGGAGGGTGATACCCAATGTCGAGGGTGCGTGTGTGGTGAAAGAATGTCGGAGAGATTTTGAATGATCTGTTGGAAGCGTGGTATGTTCGTCAGATTCCAGACTCTAGTATTTGAATACGGTTAGTGAACATTTCCAAAAAATTTCAAGTCCATGACATATTCCGCAGCCTAGGCGGACATAGTCAGAAACCCGAAGGGTTAGACATACCGTATGTGTTTTTTGGGGATTTAATGCACTACGAATTAGTCGCAGTGCGATGGAATACGTGACGTGGAATCAAAAGATCGTCAAAGGAGGAGTCAAAGGGAAAAGATCATGGCCGCTAGCCAAAGAAGGAGCAGGACTTGTGAGAATCTGAGATGAGAGCGGGAAGAAACTGCGAAATTAACTTGCTCACTTGACGCTCGTCCCTTAGTGTGACCGATATAATCACTGACAAGCCACGAGGCTGATATGTTGTCCTTTGCACCTGAACGTAAATTCGGGTCAACCGAAATTAGACTGGTGCTGTGTAGCAACGTTGAAATTTTAAGACCAGCCTGATCAGAGATTTATAACTCGGACAACGAAAAACTGACCGAGAGAACTTGACCGGTCCCGGTTAACTCTGAAACGTCTTCGAATGAATATGAAGCTTCGATGAAGTACTTGATCGAAGTTCGCCCTTGTAAGGTACTGTCTAAATAAAGCAACACTTTATATTATAAAATAAAATAAGTTCAAACAAAACAAAGTTGAATTGCACACTCGCGCTCAGGTACATACCCGTTCGCGCTAGCTTTTCTTTGTTCAAGTTCATTGTTGAACTTCTTACATCAAAGCGGAATCAAAAATCAATTACTGACGTGTCAATTTCTCATGGAAACACAGCTGCCGGGCTTTGTTCCGGTGTCACGCATTCTTTAGTAAATAATAATAGGGGCTCTGTCTGACTCGCCCTTGCTCCATTTGTTGGCAATGATCCCTCCCATGTACTTTACGTTACATTGTCGCCCTTCCCCTATAGAAGCTATGCACGACTCACAGTCAAACGTTAATTTATCACTTATATCAAGATGTCACATCGAAACAGAGTTTTCGGTGCCGCTGCCCGATCCACAATGTTGAACTCCAAGAACGAGTGCTCAGTATCAGAGTCCAGACGAATTCTTCATGGCGAGGTGGGTGGTTTTGCCTCAGTACTTTGATGACTGTTCTGCACACTTTTTTTCGCCAAGAATAGTGTATTGATTTTGACGCTACACTGTTTGGTTCCGAATAGCAGACATCGCCTTAATTGCTTGTAGCACGTCGTAAAATCCTCGGGATTCCTGTCGAGGGTGCCTATTTCGTCAAATTGCGCGAGCGTACCCCATATGATACACCCTATGGTTCCGAATAGTAGATACCACCTTGGGTGCCTGGAGCACATCATAAAATCCTCGGGATTTCCTTACAAGAACCTCGACGGTGCCAATTTTGTCAAATTGCCCGAGCGAGCCTTTCTTGTCCCCATGATAAGTTCTGCGATTACTTTGGCTGTCCCAGGTGCATTGCAAATGCCCTTTGAGCCATTGGTAAATATACTCATGAAAAAAAATCGCGAGATGTCTCACTTACCCAGCAGGTATGACCGGTTGCAATATATAAACCTTTGGCAATCTTGTCTGCTTCCCCGATGATGGGCCCCCCACCGGTACGTACCACCGGCAAAAAGCACGCTTGGCGCTTATTGATTGTTCCCTCTCTCAGCTCCTGGGAGATGCTAGCAACTTGGTTTGTTATACTTTGACAGGCCGCTAGATCGATTTCAACGTCATCTACGTTGCCAGGCAATATTGAGTCATCTCCTGGACCACAGACATACACCTCGTTGTCTGGGCGCGCATATATCTCGGGAGAGGCGCTGTGAGAATGCGGAAGTAAAATTTCTGTGAATAACACGTAGGGCGATATCGTAACACCAGCCTTGGGACGGATAGTAACACTGTGAGCACGAGTAGCTGCAATTGGAAGTGACGGTATAACGGATGGCGACCATGCTCCAGCCGATAACACTACATGCGTTGCAGGGAGAGTTTGAATGCGACCGGAGTCGGACCGATCACGATAAGTGACGCCCGTGACATGATGGTTGACCTGTTCAACGGAGATGGCAGTTCCCTTTATCAATTGGACTCCTTTCTCCTTTGCGAGGTCAAGCATACTTGTGGTGAATAAATATGGGTGAACTTGTGCTGTTCCGTCTGGACCAGACATTGGGCTATACGATGTGGTTAATTCCTCCTTGACCCAAGTCAAGTCGTCAGGCAGCCCTTTGTCCGCCCTGCTTTCCGGTGCTGCAGTAGCCTCAAAACCAAGTGTCTTCTCTAAACTCTTTCGTTTACCTCCCTTGCCAACACCAGATCCACTCTCGCCGAGCGCCTCCCCCTCCCCCTCCCAACTACCACAACCAATGAATCTCCAACCCCACCTTTCGGCACCGTTATGCTCTTCAGCGAGCTTAACGTGCTCGGGAAATGAGATATCTACGATTTCACGTGGATATGCCCATTTAGCAACCAACCCACCAGCCTTTCCAGAAGCTCCTTGCGCAACGCCATTTGCGGAGGCTTCGAGAACTATAATATTCGTTGTGGAGGTGGAATATGATGGGTGCCTGGACAAGTAATAAGCAGTGCTGCACCCTGTCGAAGACGGTTAGAGGCTTTTGAATAAGCGGTCGTGAACTCTGAATCTACTAGTACTACGCACCAATGATTCCACCGCCGATGACAACGATATTACGTTGTTCCACCTTATCCATTGATATCCTTCTGATAATGAGGTAAGTCGGGGTTGACCTTGGGTCTATGGTGCGGACTTGGAGTGAACAATGCGGTTCCAACTGCCAGTGAGAACATAAATTTCTGATAGTGTTAACACGAACGGTCCTGAGCGGGCCGGACCGTCTGTCGGATATGTTTGTGGGGTTCAAATTGCTCCCACGCATCGATATCTCTCCGACGCGATTATTATGGACTCTTTTATGAAACTGACAGTGCACAACTACCTTGATGACGAAAGGTTAACGTTGTCGCACTCTGCTGCAACACTGGAGCTCGGACGCGACCTAGCTCATGCAGCCTTGTCTAATCTCGGATGGCAAAAACCATCTGTCTCCTTTAACAAACGGCTGTTCGGTAGGCCGTTTACAAACTAGTAGTCCGCTCTCTTATGAACTGTCAGCAGCACTGAAACACGACCGACTATACCAATTCAGTGTGAGCCCGCCGCAGGTCGGTACACCGGCGCCTCGAACACATGTTCTCAAGGACTGGGGGGTTCCCCCGGGTGACGAAGAAACATTGACGCTTGAAGCCCTCGAGGAGTTTATACATCCCAAGTTGGAAGCTCCTTGTGCTCGTCCTACCCAAAAGCGCCCCGCACCGCAGGATTCGCGCCCAGACGTCCGTGATTCACAATCACGACAGACTACGCGCCCCTCAACATATGAAGTGTGTCTAGAACCACCCACGAAGCGACCCAGACATGATACCGCCTCTATTTCAAACTTGATACCCCAGGTCTTGATAATTTGTTCAGTTTACCTTCACCCGGCTTACGATTTGCAGCCTCATTATGTTCCAGGTCCGAGTGTTGGTTTTCGGCCGTTGGACAGCGAGCACCTCAGGCCTTACAGAAAAACACAGCCATCACTGATCGCACCGTTTGATCTTGCCTCGGCTAAGCTTTTCTTGAGTGCTTCTTGCAATAGGGCCGCCTGGCTTATTCCTGTACGTGGCGTCCTACCATGGGACGATGCTACTTGTGCCACTATCTTGGAACCCCCACAAACTCCACAGGGAGATGACACTCCTCTGCTTCCCTCTGGACCTGCACCGCTACGCGACGGGATCTCAAGAATTACTTGGACTCATCATTCGGTCGTGCACTTCTGGCAATTCCTGATATCCATTCAGCAAGCTGAAAATCTTGGGTCCATCTCGATTGGCTTTCATAGCGCACCTTCGGATACCGCATTTACACTCGACAGTGCGCTCGGCCTAACGGCTGGAAGTGGCAATCGGCCTGTTCAACCTGCACAAGCGGGGAGATCCTCTGATCTTTCCGATGGCTTGTCGGATCAGGTCCGTCACGCACAACTAGAAGCAACGGACTTCATCAAGGTGTATCATGATACCAAGTACTCGTTTTATCTCCGAAATATTCTAGACGCCTACATGTATATTCCCGGAGAAACCGCATCAGAGGAAAGGCATCCAGCCGATTGTGAAATAGCTGGATTAACGACGAAGATCAGGCTGCTGAGATTAGCACGACTCGTAATCGTCGACGACCGATCCAGAGCTGTCTTATTGTCCTGATGCGCTGTGCTGAGGAGGTCATCGTCACCCCATACTATTCAATTCAGTGTAAAGACACCCTTGTTGTTTGCCATATGATATTCAAGGGGGCATTACGCTTACATCCCTGCAGTACGCTTTCCATGTGCAGTGTTGATTTTCAAGTGCTGATCTTCTTGCTGCAGGTCTGTATTGCATACTGTTACATACTCGTCTGCGGAGATCTGCCGGACGACAACATCTTCAGTTGGGATGATATGTTGGACCGGGGCTATGAAAATGGTCGAGGGGTTAATCTTCTACGCAACCGAAGTCTCTCACAGTTCTTAGCTTCCATTGTGTTATCAAATGACACCTGTCATCAACGTTTTTCTCATGCGGTGTCAGTCCTCCACGTCCTGATTCGAGACCCTTTGCCCTCGGATCTGTATTGAACACTTCCTTATGCTCGACGGATCAGGTGGATAGGTCTGCCTGAAGCCAAATGACAATGGCCTCTTCCCACTACTTTTCGATCCCAAACTTTATTATCAACTGGTACGGAGGACGTGGATATTTCATTGGCGCCATTATCCCGTAGTAACCTCACAAATCTCGAATTTTATACCATATTCGACGTAGATGTGGAAGGCTTGCCATTATTCTCCACTCTTGTTAATGAACTTCCTCAGCTCAGGAGGATAAGATTGAGAGGTAAGGCATGATTGAGGTGACATTGGCCAACACCATGCCGCAGTCTATACTCTGGGGCAGTTGCCCCTCTTTTCTCGTTCTGCAACTTAGAACATCTAAGTTTTACGATCCACGGACAGGATCTTGGCCCTGCTGGTACATTTGCTGCAGCTGAAATTGTCAAGCGAAACTAATTTTGCTACTGGTTTCTCAGTATGGTTTTAGTAGTGAAGAAACAAGATATCAGTTTGCCCGAATCTATTTCTCTTTTAAATCAATTTCCGAATACCATTTTTAAATACCCCCAGTAATTCTCCTGCTCCCCGTAAGTGTCCCTCTAGCACCCGCTCTACGTTTTACTGCCGTGCTCCTGGAAAGCAATTGAGATCATGCTGGATCCTTCGTCGGAGCTGGCCACAAGCTTGGCGTGATATTGTCTAACGCTAAAGATAAGGCGTGGTCCCAGCACAAACATCTGCGTGGACAAGCAAAATTGACGGGGACCGCTATATGTCTCAACTCCCACATCAGACGAGCCCTACAGAAATGATGCATTGACTCGGATGAACAGCAGTCGTCAGCGATAGATCGGCGTACCACGAGGCTTAGACAAGAAACAACAACGAAGCTAGCACGTCCAGAACTTCAGTAAGAAAGACGACCGCAATGACGTTACGAGCTCACCTTGTGAAGTAAAATAGGTGAGTTTTTATTAATACCGTGAAGCAATCCCCAATGATCCCTCCGCTCGATGTTTGCCGCAGTTCACGGAAGTGTTTTGCCGCAATACAGACTGCAAGACACAGTGCAAGAATCTCCCATGCCGTGGTGAGTGTCCAAATCATTGCTGTCAGAAACGTGACGCCTTCCCCCAATATAATAATGCACTGATAAGTGCCAGAAAGAATGAGCTCCCCTGGTATGTGTCCAATGAGCCTAGCGTATCGAAGTCATTTATCCATGATTAAAGCGTACCCCCTGAAGTATGCCTCAGTGCTATTATGGCGATTACTACGCAGGCAATGGTGACAGCCAGATGTATGACAACAAGAAAGATAAGCATCTTTTTCGATCGCTGATACATTGCATGTAACCGAGTGATTACGATGACTTCCACAATGTTTGAGTCACTGAGGCTATGTCATATCATGCTAAGTAGCTTACCCCCTACCACAGCATTCATGACCACATTCATCACGAGCCGTGCGAAGAAAAAAATTTCGCCTGCAAACTCTAGTCACATCTTGGAGGGCAAACCGATCCGACAAAACTTACAGCTATTGGAATTATTGCATTGAATCGACATTCTGGTCAAGATTCTCACTCACCCCTACATAGATATCTAGTGAGTTGGGTGGGAGTAGCAGGTTTCAGAACAGAATACTTACTGCATCTGTTACCGAGACTGACGGAAGATTTTCTATGCGGTTGGTCAGAAGAAATAAGGGCAGTGCGTACGGGGAAACATACGCAGCAGATTCACGCTGATTGCGAAAAGATGATTCGTCAGCGTGGCGCCAACTTGCTAGCTTTCACGTACACAATGTATGGTATTTCAATACAGCGCACCTAGAATAGTGAAGTCAGCACAACGTGCCAACCGCACTTATCACACAAGCTACGAACAGCGATATATAGAATGGTCATGAGGGACCAGCGTTGCTTCTACGCCGAATCAATGATTGTGATTCTGTGATATGGGACTCCACTCACCCAGACCAGTTCGACCTAAATATGACACATTCTTAGGACAATACTGCACCGGTAACATATTAACCCACCTCTTGTCCGAATATCAGAACTGAAAAAATCGTAAGGGTCCTTCAGGTGGCCTTGATACTATCTTGCTCACTCCAATCATATGTCACGGCAACAAAGGAGGCAACTGCAGTCAAAGTTAAATTGAGACATCACCGACATCGTTCAAATGGCCGCATCCACGAACCTATCCAACAACTGGAAACCCTATTTGAGCTGATGGACGACCACAAAAGTGAATTGAAATCATTTGAGACCAGGGTCACATTCGAGGGCATGATGGGTTCGAGTCAGCGCATATTAATGGCATTCATGCTAGATATACCACCATCTAGCGCCTTCATCGCCAAAGTAGGCATACGAATGCATATGCTATGAATATCCATTTATACGTTGATTAATTGGAGTGCACTAGCTCGTGTCATATGAATATCAATGTATCAGATGGGACAACTGTGGCGCACCTGTAGTGCTCTATCGCTGCAAGTGCAGGCAATGCGTCCCTCTGGAGTCTGCATCAATAGTAACGCATTACCGAGATACCATTTATGCTGACAGTGCATCCTACCGTTTATGTGCCAACCACCTTCCCACTGCGCCAGGTCACTAGGCCATCCATAGTCCGCAGCATAGGACCTGTGATACTACCTACAGCCATGCATTGATAATCATGCCCAGCTTTGATCACCGTCACCGTAGCACCTTCCCTCCCGCGCATATGCCCTCATAACTGTCTAGCGCTATCACCACTTTATGTGCCTCTACAATCTGCAACAGCAAGTCCCCACGACTACTTCGTTATAGAGTTGTAGAGTGGGAAGTACGGAAGGAGACCGGGTCTCAATTGATCTGGCGGCTATCGAGCGCTTTAAACTTCGATATGTGACAACGTAGTTCTGTGGTCCGAATACGAGTGTTGCGAAACCTCCACCTTGGTACCGCATCCTTCAGATTAACCCGCCGAGGCGGAACACCTGGGTGTTTACCATGGGCCAAGGCAAGGTGCGTGAATGGAGTATTCAGATAAAAATAAGGGATCCCTGAGACAAATATAGCGCCTATGGACTCGGTGGTTGAGCGTTGAATGCTGAGCTACAGCCGAGGAGTATAAATCTTGGCAACAGCTTCAGTAGCCTCAAAACTTTTATGGGTGAATTCGAACAACTAAGACATGTCATGGGGACGATCGCAGAAGATGGATGCATCATACGTGCAATACTTTATTTGCTCCTTCTAACAATTGCACGCCATGCAAGCTGCGCTACTTACCTTCATTGCCAATGGCTTCATAATGTAGTCGGTTGCAAAGTGCAATATGGAAGGAGTGCGCAAGCACCAGATTACATAAATCAAGTCTTCATACAGTATCACGTGACCAACAAACAGATCTCAAGACTCAGACTCTTGTCGTTGCGTCCACCACCATGCTTGCCTGGGCCCCGGACAATCGTCGATCATCACCATGTAGCAGCATCAGATCATCCGATGCTTACGAAAGTTTTTCGTGTCATGAAAACTACCTGCGGAATTTTGGACCTTCAAAATGAACCACGTGTGGTTCATAGATTCACAGAAAACCATTTCACCATCCTTGTTTATAGCATATGCAGATTCAGAAGTTTTCATCCTTTTTCGTCTTTTCACTGGGACTTCTACGCCCTTTGTCCTCATACTACGGAACATGCTAATCGAAGACAAGGTACAAGATCTTCGTATTCTCCTCTCGAGCTCGCGCCGACTGGTGGATATATGTGATTTTCTCCTTGCGATATTACAGACATCCGAGAACAAACAATGTTATCGCCTAGCAGATCAGGTGTGGAAACGAGTTCAGGTGCAGGTAAGGGCTGACTCGTATCGATTTATTGTCTTGATGTGAATGATTGGCGGCAGAAATATCAGAACTTCCGGATTGTGATTTGTGCGACTCGCAGCGCTTTCCATTGTGAATGCTGCCAGACAGCCAAGCGTCCCAAATGCGATGAGCACTCTGTGTTCCTAGCGAAGTCGTGCCATGGTAAACTCAACCTACCCTTTCAATTGGGGTCATGTATGTGCTGTGTGCCAATGATGGCGGCGCAGCCTGCGTGTGCCAAGTGGTCTGGATATGTGACTGCTGTGCACTAAGGACCATTGATATGATTTACTACTATCCACGCTGCGACAATTACTCATACATCAAGTGATTATTCCGAATGTAGAAACTTGGGCCTCTGCCACGACTGCATTGAAGAAGCACCACAGGATGTAACAGATGAAACCTATATCGATGTTATCTCCATAGTTAGACATGCAGCCTCGTGAAGCTTTGAAGAATGCTATTAGGACAGATGCGACTTAGGAAACTTGTGAAATTTTTCTTTGCGTATGCGCCAACGGCACGTTAGTTTGCGGTCCATGTTCTTGATCGTTGACTGAGTAAACATTCAGTACCTGATAGTAATCGTCTACAGCTGCGGTGCCATTTTCTTAATTGTCTCTGAATAACAATTTTTTTGGCTTTCGTCGCAACCTACAACGGTAGAGATTTCATGGACTCATTATTAATTGATGAGATTGGGTAACACGTAAGTAACGTTATCATAATCTGAAGTTGTGGTCCAGGCCTCCGATGCCCGGGCCCTTCCGCTCAGACGTCATACAGTGCCATAGTACCACGAATCTCAATCACTGGGAAGCGAGGCCACTCTTCAACAAAAATCACATTCTCATCCTATCGTGTACGTATGAGAATCCTCAGCATGAGGTCTTGTTTTTGGGGACCTCCTCCCTGGCAACCTGACACGCTCCATGGATAAGCCTCATCTCCGACAGGATAACAAGCGGGTGGCAAGGCGAGTAATCACTAGCATTGCAATTCCAATCCACATCATGAGCAGTATTACATGTTTAAAACCATTTATCGCCGTAAAAATACAGCTTGTTTGGTATTGGGTGCACTTGAGCCCTTGAATGCCAAAATGGACTTAGACACTGATCAGGGAGGAAGTTCCTCTTCCTGGGCAATCACCGGGAACAGCCTATGTGTACCCTCACAGGCTTGACAACAAGAATCATACCGTAAACGGTCCTGCGTTACCGGCGAGAGATTATGATGACACGAGGGGGCCACGCTGCAGCCTTCTCTTCCCCACAGGCGCTCTCCTGTGTTATCGAACGGTATATAAACACACGTTCCGTGTCTGTTGTTTCTTTCTGCGATCGATCACCAACCACACCGAAACCACCTTTTCTCGTTTCAGATTATCACATTTTGCGCAGATGTATGACTCGTCAGCGTTCACTGCTGAAGACAAACAACGCCACCCATACATCTCATCCGTTCTCGAACCCAGCATGCAGAAGGTGGTCGCCACTGCTGCGGTTCGAATCTACTACGCGCCTTTCAATAATCCTCATTTGAACTGGAGCTACTCCAAGCTCAAAGGAATTTTGGTCTTCGGACGCGACCGAGACACACACCATGGCACGTCTCCTCCGAAGCGAGGCGGACATGGTGTGCGTCTCAAAGAGAAATACTGGTTTCGCCTCGTTGACATGAAGACCGACCGTGTGGTTTGGACATTTTCCATCCCCGACGTCTTCGAGTACACGAAAGACAAACCTTTCTTTCACTATTTCTCCGGAACGGTACGTCTGTTACCTTTTTACTTCGTTGCCAATAAATTGAATTCTGCGTCAGAGTCGCATGTTCGGACTTTGCTTCGACGAAGACGAAGAAGCAAGTGTCTTCTACAAAAAAGTCTCGGATCGGACGCGGCACCATTGTGAGCTTTAATGCTCTCCCGTGCTACCATGCCATAACACGTGTTTTAGTCTTCCAGCCCTTCCTCTTCAAATCCGACAAGAAGGACAAGAAGGACAAGAAAGAAAAGCAGAAGGTGCCCAAATCTTCTTCAGTGAGCCCTCGGATAATCTCCAGCCCCGCGCCCCACTCCTTTGTCCATGTGGCCCATGTCGGAATCTCCACTCGGGGCATTATTGAATCTTCTAGGAATATCAAGCCCGCCTGGTCGACGCTGATGGCAGACCTTCAGGGTTGTGGGGTGGCGCCTGAGATCGTCAAAGACGATAAAGATTTTGTGGAAGGGTTTCTTGCCGGTGCTAAGGCAATGACGGATAAACCAGCAGCTGCGCAACCCCAGGGTGAGTCCCAATGCCCACGTTTCGTTTCTGGAAGTTGTCTTGCTGATGTCGGACCTGCGTAGCAACTCCAACTTCCCCACCGCCACCGGAAAAGCGCAAAATCCGACGAAAAGCTGTCACCATTCTGTAACGTGTCCTTCTGTTCCGTTTTTGCATCATCGACATCTCTTGGCAATCCTGTCTTTCCTATCGTACTTTTGACTTGCTAATACTTTTTGCTTATGATTCTTGAATGATGGTCTATGTATTATTTCTTGTATGTCGTCGACCGCAGATTATTGGCATTGTGTGACAGTAAATATAACAACACGAATTCTTATGTATGATAATATCTCTAAGTCTATACAGTCTGTGATCAAGTCAGCCGAGGTGGCCACCGCGACAGCGAATGACTCACCTATAGTGAAATGAACGTGGTGTAGGTGGCGCAGCCATGAAAATCAGAAGCGCGTCAGATCGCGGCCGAAAATCCCTGCAACGTGTATTAGCATCACCGGAGTACACGGCTAAGAACATACAATTTAGGAACCTGTACACGAATGAGATGAGATCATGGAATGACGATCGGAATGACGCAGAACTCACCAATATGTAGGCACCAGAATCCTAAGCAGTATACATCAGACGCCCCATAATCGACTGTGAAGATAGAACCACGCACTTGTTCCTGATACTAAGAGTCATCGTGAAATACGCCGAACGCCATAGAAGCCACGCTACACGTCCGGTCTCCTTAGTCTTGACAGTATCAGCGCTAGACCGATCATAGATTGCTTTCCTGTAGAGCCGAATCAGAAATGTTCGCCTTCTGATGGACCGCCACGCACCAGTCCCCTAGGTAAGCCAAGCTCCCCTGGTTTTGGAATTCAAAGGGCTTTGTGTGCTCCTGATCTTTGACAATTTTGTTAAGCTTCTGCGCCAGGTATCTGCCTTTCTGATTCGCGACTGTAAATAGGCGTTATCAATATGAGAAGCCCGCAGCCCATGGGCGCTAAATAGGGTTATGGGCAGACAGACCTTGTGCAGTGGCGGGGTGGAGCTGTCCTTTGATGTTCGCAGCATCGCCAATAGCCCAAACATCTGGATCTGCGTGGCCTTCCTTTGTAATAACGTTAAGGTTTTGGTCAGTGAAAAGACTAGAGATAGCCACATGCGTCAGCCTAGCTTCACGGCTAATCAGATATGACCGCAGACCTTTGTGTCTTATCATGTTTCTCAAGAGAATCAATCGACTGGATAAGCGGATTAGGGGCCAACCCAGTACTCCAAACAAGGAGACCAAATGGAACTACAGTAGCTGCGATGAGCAAGAACTTGACCTATATGATTAGCAACGTTGATTGCGGACCTTCTCCTTGTTCTTTAACGAACATGCGATCCTGTGTAATAATCAGCGTCGAAATTTGGGATAGCTGTACCGCGTTATTCGGACCTTCTCAACACGCTCCACATGGTGTCTTGTTTTGATACTAATACCATCTCTCCGGAACTTGTTTTCGGCATAGCTATCAGTTCGAAGGTTATCAGGGATACTGGAGAAAAACATTAGCCACCTACACTCCCAGAGACTTGTCAAAATTGCCGAGGATGTTTGGCGCCACATCGTAGAGTGTGATTTTAGCCATGCGCGCGAGTGACGGATAGTGTTTCTCAATCTCAGCATGCAGCAAATCGTGCAACTCTGCTGAGAATTCGACACCCGTGGGTCCACCACCTACGAAGAGTTATATCACCATGAAAGATCAAATGTCATCAGAAACCAAATGCTCACCGACAATGCAGAAATTGAGCAAGTTTCGGCGTTGGACGTCAGAGAGGGTAGGTTGATTGGCCTGCTCGAAACCTACGTAGGGTAAGCAATGTCTATGACAACTAGTAAATACACTTACAATCTATTATGCGCGTCCTAATTGCTCGAGCATCTCGCACGTCTTTGAGGAAATGTGCGTGCTCCTTGACGCCAGGTACGTTGAACGCTATCATTGATTTTGTCAGAATGATACGTATGACGACACCGTTCACGTACTCTGCGAGTAAGCACCGACGGCTATCACTAACTTGTCATAACGTAATTTGAACGCATTACCCGTACCCGACTGGGACGAAGTCTCTTTTGTGGTTGTCTCTGCAAGAGGAGCAGACGCAGATCCTTCAAATTGCAAAGGAGCCGTAGCAGGCATCTGAAAACGTTGTTTAGCGCACCATGATCATGGGCTTTTGAATGAGTACCTACGCATTTCAGGGTCTTTTGCTTGAAGTCTGAACAAACAAAAATCAGAACCCTACAACGGTCAAAGAAAGCGTGGACAGACCGATTGTATCACACCAGGCCTGGTAACAAGCCTAAACGTCAAACATGAATCAGTTCTCGATGGCATGCGGACTAATCATCCCTAGATCCGACTTACTACTTGTGGAGAAAACCTCCGTACCTGATATCCATATTAATGTGAAGACATGTCACGGAAGTACAATATGACATACCGGTTCGACCGCACAGCGAAATTCGAGGGTACCAACAGCACAGCTGGCAAGCAAAGGCGTAAAATTGAAAGCATTGGTTGGCGAAACCATCGTGACATCTGTAAAGGGGCCATCAACACCAAGCGAACGCGGACGCAGTCAAAGAGGCTAACTCCAACGCTTCTTATCGATGGCTCTTAAAATCTCATAACCTCCCCAGCCCGAACCTAATATGACCAGACGTTGTTTACTCCGTGGTGCGGACGAAGTAAACGTTCGTGCGGCGGCGACCGACGGTTTTGCCAGACGAGGTTGCACGCGACCACATACAACACTCAAGCGCGCCTTGAACATGGTCTGCAGGGAACGGAGACTAAAATTTGCTGTTCCTCAGCAAAGCTTTTAAATAGTGGATTAGATAATGGAAGAGGGTAGTGGTGTCATTAAACTGGAGCCATGGTATTTTTCGTTCGGGTCATGTCGGGAGGAGATTGGCGCCCCATTAACCTGCCTACTCGCCTCGTTTGATTGCCGAAACAATAACTACAAGGGTCGTATTCTAAGAGACGCTCCCTCATGCAACTGGTTGGCAAGTAACCTAGTAAGTGAGCTGTACCAAAAACGCAGCGATTCCTTGATGTGACGTCACGCGCCTAATTACAGGATCATATCCACCATCTAGCACTGATGGCATCACCTCTTCGAAGTCTTCGAGTGTCTTCTCATTCCATCCCTAGCTTCAATCTCATCCCAAACACTTCCCTGCAAAATTACCCTCTCATCATATATCACGAATGTTTCCCACCGTCGATATCAGCTGCTGTTATCGAGGCCCATCTAGAGTCCGTCGGCGTCGTCGAGCCCCAGTGGAGGTACACTATGTACAGCACGACGCACTTTCATAGCACTACTCATGAAGTACTATGCATCGCATCTGGTCGTGCCAGGCTATGTTTTGGCGGAGAGGACAACCCTGGAAAGGTAGAAACGGAAGTTAAGATTGGGGATGTCGTTATCATCCCTGCAGGCGTGGGGCACAGGCTCTTGCAAGACTTGGACGGTGAATTTGAGATGGTCGGAAGTTATCCCAAGGGAATGGACTGGGACATGTGTTATGGTAGGGAAGATGAGAAGGCAAATATTGAAGCTATCAAAGACTTGACATGGTTTGACAAAGACCCTATTTACGGTGACGAAGGACCCGCACTTCAGATAGTATATGGTGGCGTGTAACGCGTCTTACGTCGTGCATTCGTTCGCCAAGCAGGAAAAATGAAAGAACAAGACAAGTATCAGCGAGCTAAAGAAACCAGTGGGAAAGTAAGAAGCAAACGAAACAAAGCGTGGATTATTCCACAACAAGTATGCGGACATGAAGACGCAACAAAATGCAGTACGCCAACATAGTCCGCGCATCCGGAAAGTATATGATACTATAGACTGAACATTCAATCACTGGCAGCCCAATTGCCGCTTGGCTTCCGCTTCTGCCTCGGTAACAACACGTCCATCCACTTCCTTTTCAACCTCTACGCCAAGCTGATGTACACGGCCACGGTCCGCGCCAATGAGCGACACGTACACACCTTTCTGTAGGACTGGATAGGAGCCTATCCGGATACCCTCAGGTTGTACTCGCTTCTGAAGGTCGGTGAGGAACGGGGCAATAGACGACTCAGGTAATCTAAAATCACTATCAGCATATCATTACGAATCATAGGGGATGCAATGCTCACGCCGTGAACACTTGGAGCCGGAAAGGTCGCTCCTCTTCAGGCGGGAGAGGAAGGAAGGGTTTCAGGTTATCTAGCATCTTTTGGAAGAGACTGGGTATCCCTGGAAATATGCAAAGTTTCCCTTGCAAGCGAACGACGGGCTTGTCAAAATCAGCGACCAGTCTGAGAGCTATATTCAAGCATGCTCACCACCCATATATCGCTTGCAACGAAAATCACCTCCGCCGCATCAGGGAACAGTGCCATACGTTTGCGCGCCGTTCGCTGTTCCTCACTCTGCTTTGATACCCAAGCTCGATGTTTGCCAGACTCAGTCATCCGAGCGAGAGTTTCATTGTGATATACGAGGCCCTGATTAAAAGACTTTGCCAAAGATGCATATGTTATGTCTATGGGAGATAAAACACGAATGGCGTTATGGTCGTGTGCCGGAAATGAAGTTAACAAATGAACGTACCATCATGGGTAGGCCCGATACCACCTGACGTCACCACAAAATCGTACGTTTCCACCATTCTCCGGCTGGCTTCAATGCTGGGGCTCACTGAGCAGCTGTGCCCCTGCAATACGAATGTTACAAGTGACGCACGTACATTTCAGCTTCATCATCTGCTATCACTTCTATGCGTTTCCTGCAGGTTGATTTGGCGACCAGCGCGCGGATTAGGCAGGAAGGACACTCACAATTGAATACCATGCTCAAAACAGAATCGTGCAAAGTAATTGGAGTTCCGGTCGAGCGTCTTTCCATTTAGAATTTCGTCCCTTGATAATTGCTCTTAGTTTTATGTTCGTGAACCCAGAATACATACACACCCAATGATGAGCGCTGCAGCAGTCTTTATATGCCGTCCTTTGTCAGATAGATGCTTCGATACAGGAGAAATGGCAAAGTTCAATGGCGGTAATTGAAAGGTCGCGTTATCTGGCGGAACAATGGTACATGACATCGGCTTTGAATGGACAGGGAGAGGTGTTCGACGGAGATGAGTAGAAAGGGAGGCGAGTCTTGCTAACGTGCGAGGATGCATGGCTCATTGAGCAAAGAATATCATGCAGTGGGAATGAAGATGGCGGTCATGCGTATAATATTATTGATTACCGTTATTATTAAGGTCCAAAGTCACCGTTCGGTTCACACTTCAGACATTAGGACGAACAGCGCTGCGATTATGGTCAAACCGAACAAAGGGCCGTGAAGCTTGCAGTGCGCGAATATCGCCATTCTTAATGTGATTTCTCAGAATTCAGGAGTCAAATCCAGCCTGAGTGCGCCATCATTTTAGAAAGCGTCCATTAATGTCGACGTGATTCATATAAATAGTGCAACCAAACCGCCTAAGCGCTCATCCCCAGGTCTTGGGCGGATAGTAATCAAGATATATATGATACACCAGAGGAAATATGTAAGTCGAAAAACCGGTATCAACGGGGTATCGCACGGCGCGGACTCCTGCGGATCAGGCGTTTCGTATCAGAAACCAGATCAGAATCAACGATATCTTGAGACACACGTCTGCGCTTCGGAGGGCCATCACGGTCAGAGCCACCGCCCCGAGCAGGACTAGGCCCAGTGGAACAGAAAGAGAACGAAACGGAGGGAGAAGACCCATCGGGCGTAGTATGAACAATGCTAGATATGTCCATACGGTTTGCAGTCCTGCGTGCCTCCTGCTCGTCGGGGTCTCGGCAACGCTTGCAGGAGTTACGGGAAGAGGCCCTATCGCCTTCGTTGCTTACTGTAGCCTTCACGGTATCGGCAGCAGTGTTTATCTCCTGCGTAACTTCTACCAGTGTGTGCACATCTGCGCGAGAATTCCCCGCTGCGGAGATGGCTTCCTCTTGAACCTGACGACTCGCCGGAGGAGAGGAAGGAGGTGCACCAGAATCAGATACACCACCAGAAAGTTCTGACATGGTGCTCCAGTCGGGAGTACCATAGAAAGCACCCTGGCGCCGAAGTTGACCACCCCGCTGTGTTTTGATGTAGCGCTTCGGCGCCCTCCATCGGTCATCAGTGGTAGCAGTCCTCAAATTGGCGTGCGCGACAGGAATGCTGTTACGATATAATGAAGGGTGAAATGCGGGTGTGGGAGTTGCCTGAGAGGAAGGTAACTCTGGCACTGAGATAGTGATTGGCAATCTTTCTGGGTTCCTAGCGGGTGTCACAGGCTCTGGCATTTCCAACATGATAGGGGGGGAAAGTGTTGCTGAGGCATGTTGCGCATGCTGCGCGTTGCTTTCCAAGCAGGATGCGACGGCTGACATTAGCTGTCGCTGTTCCGAGCGAATCTCCTCCATGATGGTCTGCTGTAAGCTGAGTATTGATTGAGTACTTTGAACAAGCACAACATCATCATAGAGATAACTTACTCTAGCTTCGACTGCATGATGATGATCGATTGATCTCTTTCCTTGATTTTCTCGGCTTGAGTGGTCAGAATAGAAATGATGTCTAAGAGCTTTGTATCTTGTGCGGCCACAGAAATCTCCATGATATATCGGACACCGGTGAGCACTTCATCCATGTCGGGGGATAACGATGACAAACTGGGTGCAGAACTGTCTGTAGATAAGAGGGATGCCATCTCCAAGATCAGATGTGAGTGGGATACTGGTGAGCGATGAGTGATTAGTTTCTGTGGTACTGAAAGGTCGGGCAGTCTGGACGCCTTAAGTATCGCAAGAGACCAACGCTTTGGTCCCTCACGACATCAGGGCGGGGTAAACGCTTGGATGCACGCTTGGACGGCTCTTGCGTCCAAGCAGACTATGCGCTTTGACGAGCACTGAGTAGACCGCCCATGTACTGGGCCTTGGCTACCCATTACATTAAATCTGTTTGTTGTCACATCATTCTGCAGTAAGTGAAGGTTGGTGCCATACGCAGGTCTGGCCGGGCCATGTCTTGGGAGATTTCTGCCGCACAAGTTCAACTATGATGGATGATGCAGTTGATTTGGAAGTTCCAGTTTAAGCACGATAGTTCCTGCCCCCCGCCACCTCTACTTTAATGGAATAGACCCCCGGGCCGTAGCACCGGCGTTTGCCTTCATATATGCCTCAACTTGTCATTGACGAGAGCTGCAGATTTCCCTCAATCGTGCAGTTGAACCGCCCTACTATTTTACACTCAGGTACAGAACCCGTGAACAAGGTTCCTGCCGACGAGGTTCGGCCTTATGCAGAATCTAGTGAAACAGGGCCATCAGTAAATGCGAGTTCCCACAAAGATTGTTTGAAGGCGCTCACAAAACGCTCGTGTGGAAATGCTTTTTGGTTAGCTCAGGTCAGCATCCGTAAACACTCGTTTTTGGTTAGCTAGACCCTGACACCACTTTGGAGACATCTGATGCGAGATTCTCGATTATCGGTTCGATTATCAAAAAGATCTGTGTGATCTACTAGTACTATAGATTATCTATGCTGCTACTATCTACTACAAACTACTATCTACATCGAATCTGAGTCAGATGTTGTGTTGTCTCGTGCCTGCGATGGCCCAATCACTAACACATACTGCAAATACTGTTCGAGCTCGGCCTTCTCAGCAGGAGTGAGACGATCAATCACATTGAGAATCTTGTTGAACTTGCTTTGGTGGATTTGACCACCAAAGGGGTCAACTTCCAACGAGTGCTTTCCCTGTTCATGCAATGCACGTGGGTAGCTGTGCCAGCTATGCATAGAACATATTTGATGGCCTTGAGGGGGGACTTGCTGAGAAATGACGTGTATCCCCAGTACCAAACAAATCAGATGACATTCGCCATGACAAAATGGCTCTGGAATTTCGTGCGAATAATCATGTTACCATTCTACAAAAGACGTGGTAAGTAAAAGTTAGATATGAGGAATGTTTGACATACCTCGTCGAAAAAGATGTTGTGCATGAACATAAGTGGATTGTCTCCATGTATAAATATGTTGACCCTCGCAGCACAATACTGATCTGCTGGTAAAGCATGTCCTTGTGGGGGGAATAGTTGAAATGCATCACAGACACCTTCACATGTGAATTTGACCATCTTCCTGCGTCTTGTGGATAGTGCATTGCTGACCACCTGATGGCATGCACTGGTTATGAATTCCTGGAAAACAGCTGTGAAGATTATTAGACAAAGTAGTATATAATATGAAAACACTCACCATTTGGCCTGAAGAATTGCGGGACTGACTCTCGAATAACCTCGTCAATGATATGCCACTTTTTCTTCTTTGAGCACACCATTGCATTTTTCGAGAAAATGACCTGTGTGACCAACACTTTAGCGCTTTTCATCGTTTGGGAAATCACCTCCAATGTTAAACAAATGATGTTTTGAGATACTGTGGCCGACGACGACATTTCATCTGTGGCATCACTTGGTGTCTCATGTCGTTCAGCAATGGCACTGTGTGTTTGTGTATCGGTGATGGTAGGGGTTTGCAATATAAGGTACGGTGTTGGAGGCATATTTGCACACTGGACTGTGCGTGTCGTCATCGTCTGTGCAGGCCCCGTTGTCTATGTAGATTTTGAATGAGCATTAATGAAACAGAAAAAAGAACTTACATGTACAACCTCTGAGGGAGGGATTTGCCCCTGTCAGATCAGTGCCAGGTCCAAGGCCGGGGGACTCAGGCTGTTTCATCAATCTATAATGCTGATGCCTTCATCAGGAGCATCCTCAATCCATTGAGGAACAGGTGCAGCAACTCCTGGATAAACAGAAGGACCAGCATCAGGTGGGAAATTGGTTGGACCAGAGTCGAGTGTGTCCCAGAAGTGATCGTAAGAGTCATATTCCTGTCTGTCAGCGTTCAATGATAGGTCTTGCTCATAAAATGACAGGCCCTGCACATCTCCAAAAGATGAAGGGCCCTGCGCATCTCCATAAGCTGATGGGCCCTGCACGTCTCCATAAGCTGATGGGCCCTGCATGCCTCCATACCATGCCTGCCCATGGTCTTGAGCATCTCCATATAACGATTGCCCCTGCTCCTCCCTATCTCCATATAACGATTGCTCCTGTGCAGGAGCCTGGTCCTGTGTGTGACCATATGATGGCTGGTTTTGATCGCCATAAGAGGGTTGCTGTGCGCCTGTGCGACTGATTAGTGATCGGTAGACTCCATAAGATCCACTTACCTTGCCACTGTAGTTGAGTTTGTCCATAGGGATTGAAATCAAAAGCCGACATTTGAGGTTGTTCTGCAGGAAGGTTGAGTTGGTCAACTGCTGGTAAACCAGACAGATTAAGCCCTGATCCCCTAGTTGGTTTGGGGATCTTAGTCTTGCCCTTGCGCTGTGAATTACGTGCACCTGGCATCCAGGTGGTGGTTAAGAAGACAGAAACAATTGTACATCAGAAAAGACATGTACTGCTTGATTCAATTTCATCTTACATGAGAAAGAGACACAAACTTGGTACACAATTTACAGACTGGGGGAAATGAAATGTGTGCTGGGGAAAATAAAATGCATGCAAGTCAAATGGGGAGATTTAAGGGCAAACCATAAGAAGCGGATGGGGAAAGAGGCCATGTTCCAGAAGCACAACTGAATAGACGGGTAAGGGGTAAGAAGTAAATTGAAAAGGGTGGTGCTTCAAGAAGCTATATGTGAACGGTGCGATCCAAAGCAACGGGTGGTTATCAACTAAGATATGAATCAGCATGGAACAAAATGACCTGGCAATTAGTAAATTTACATACCAAGATTGAAGGCATCAGTACAGATTGGGAAGGGCTGGGCGACTGCAACTAGCCATGGATACAATCATCTTCCTCATTGTCATCATCATCAGTTCCCTCATCATCATCCATGCTATCATCTGTATCAGAAGACAGACTGGGTTTACCGACGAATTGCGGATAATGGGAAGACTTCCCCATGGAACCCAATACATCTTCTGATGCACATGAGCCTAAGTGTTTCTTGAGTACATCTGCTTGGGCAGTGACAGTGCGAAGTATCTCGCAGTTGTCATCATAAATGGCTTGAAGGTAATTCACATTGTCGTCAATTTCTTCTTGTGACCAGTCAGTGAAAACATTCCTGATTCGTTTCAACTCTTCATCACTGAAGAGGAGATGATCTTTGTTCTCACGATACAAGCCATCCAGGAATGTCGTGTACCACTCTGATGCCTCAAGCTCCCATGTTGTTGTTACAAGATGTTGGTGTGTAGCTTCCTGGCCAGCAAGCTTTGATTTAAACAGTTGGTACAATGTTGCGAGGCTCAAATTCGAGAAGCCCTTAGAAATTATTTCCTCCCACTTTGACCTATCAGATAATGTCTAAAAATATTCAATAATAAGAAACATACCTGATGGATTTCTTCAGCCATGAACTCTGGCCTAGATCCTTGTCCTGATACACGGGCTGCAAATTGAAGCTCCAGTGGAGCTGGATGGAAAGCATATGGAATGTGTTTCTGAGACATTTGCTCGCATAGGTACTGCCCATGATGGGAAGGAGATGCGAAGAGTTTCGTGGGGGATTTTCCATGCTGGGAAGGAGATTTGAGGCCAGGTTTTCCATGGTGAGAGGGAGATTTAAGGAAATGCCTGTGCAGTATGCTCCACTTCGTACTTGGAGATTTAGGTACATTGTATAATATACTCTGGTTTGCCTGATGAGGTCTAGGCACCTCATCTACCGGGGAGAGGGGAGCCCGGGGAGAACCTGCATCAGAACCAGAACATATGTCAGAGGTCATCCAGTGAGGGGATTCATGGGTAGAGTGGATTGTCTTCTTTGAAAAATCAAAGGGAATTGGTTCGACACGAGTCACCAAGCTTGAGTTGGTTGGGGCAGGACTGCTTGATCAAGGAGGAGAGGAGACAGGAGATGAGGGCGCAAATTCCATCGATGTCTCACAGGCGACCTACAGAATACGAGTGCACTGCTAACTGCACTGCTATCAGGCTGGCGCAGTATACTGTGGAGATGCATTGTATGTGGACTTTGAAAGACTTTGCAGGTTTGCATGCCAGTCAAACTCGTCCAATCACAGACTGGGCAGCAGCAAATCCAAATCAAAGCTATATGATGTGAGTATCAAGTTCTGTTGGGCTTGATTGCAATACTGATGTGCACATACATTTGGCAGGTTATGTCCTAACTGCAAATTGGGAGACTTTCCATCCATCGAGGCGCTGATTTTGCATCTTAATTCAGAGCCTACTTGTTGGCCATATGAAGCATGACTGCAAGAATTACCTGTCCCTCCTGCACTCCATCGATGTGGAAGTGATAGGACACCCACTACTTATACTAGTCACCTGAAAGCTGGATACATCTTCGGTGTTGGCAGAAACATGCTTGATAGGCTGGAAGATGATACATATGCGTATCGGCAGAAAATCAACCATTACTACCCTTTCCAAGATGAAGATGAATGGGAGTTAGGGAAGTTCATGGTTGAAAACCTCACCCAGACCCAAATGATCAAGTTTCTGAGGCTGAAATGGGTAAATGTCCAAGCTGTATCCTCACTCTTATTAACTTCATTCATAGTTCAACAGTCCTTGTGAAAAACCATCTTTCACTACGAAAGATCAACTATTAGACTGGATGGACTCACTCCCTTGCTTTACGGAGTGGAAGGCCTCTAAAATGGAATTTTCAGGCTACAAAACAATCCATCCCATTGAGCTCATCTGGTGTGATGCACTAGAAGTCATCAAACAACTCTTCAGTGATCCAACCTTTGCAAACCACATGACCTATACTCCACATGTCGTCAATATCGGAAATCAGTGTAAATATGGAGATTATATGAGCACTGATATGGCATGGAAAATCCAGGTTGGCTCACTCTGTTAGTCCATTCCTACTAAATCACAGATTGACTTCGCGATTTTCTAGGACCATCTCCCTGTAGGTGCAACTCAAGTGCTGATAATCTTGGGATCCGATAAGACTCATGTAATGTGAATCACTGGAGGACTTGAAATGCACCTGGTCTTCCTAACTATTGGCAACATTGATTCAGATATTTGCTCCAAAGCAACCTTGCGAGCTTGGCGGTGTATTGCTTACATGCCAATTGCAAAGTTCCGCGTCCATCCAGACTATCAAAGCATTCTCCAGGCGCGGTTATGGCATAAGTGCATGGACCTCGTTCTCGCCAGCCTTAAGGCCACTGCATTAGATGGATGTTTCATGCCTGACCCTTCCAGATACATTCACTATGTTTTTACACCCCTCATTGCTCATGTATGTGACCTACCAGAGGCCTCTATGATTGTTGCAGTCATGAAAAACACATCCCCCCTGACCATGGCGGTGCAAGGGGATTTTGGCGATGGGACACTTCACCCCCCTCGTACTGGGAAGCATATGCTACAATGCATTGTCGACATCTCCCACAAAGTTGATCCTTGGGATCTTGACAAGTTCCAGAAGGCAGCCAAGGCTGTTAACCTGTCCAGAGTTCACATGCTGTACTGGCATGACTGGATTTACACATGTCCGTCTGTCTTCCTTGCCAGTGAAATACTGCATACATGCTTTAAATTTTTTGCTGATCATCTGCTCCAATGGACCAAGGAGGCTGTAGGAGCTCACGAGCTTGATAACTGCTTCATTGTCCAGCACAAGCAGGTTGGCATGCGCCACTTCACAAAAGGTGTCACACACGTCAAGCAAATGATGGGTTGCGAGTACAGAGAAATACAATGCACTATCGTTGCCTTGATTGCAGGTGCCGCTTTACCCAGTTTGTTCATGCAATCCATGCCATCGTGGAGTTCATCTACCTTGCACAGAACTCAGTTCACTCACCTGAAACACTTCGGTCAATGGAGCAGGCTCTTTCAGACTTTCACGTTTGCAAGGGTGCTATTATTGAGGCTGAAGCAAGGAAGGGGAAGAAAGGTGTCAAAGAGGATTTTTTTATTCCCAAACTTGAGCTATTGCAAAGCTTTAAGGGTACTGTCCAGCGACTAGGCACTTTGATGCAATTCTCAGCTGATACAACAGAATGCTTGCTGATCACACATTGTAAGGATCTTTTCTCATGGATGGCTCGGCAAAGCAAAGATTTTACAGAACAGTGCGTGCAACTTCTTAACTGCCAGGAATATATGGAGATTTTTGACCTGTATGCACTGTTGAGTTTTCATGGGGTATCATTGGTCAATGCCATGCACGCTGAGGAGGAGGAGGTTGCAATTACTAATCCTGCACTCGCGTGGGTATCCCGTGTTCTCCCTGATGAAGTCAAGTCAGTTTGTGGTCCCCAACCAGTCCATAACCACTTTCTCAAGGGTATCTTCTCTGGAGATGTGCAGACCACTTTTCAGGTCAATATCACTCCAGACTACAAATCACTGTCACCGGCTGAAATATGCATAAAATACACACTCCCCAACTTTGATCGTTCCCTCATTGACTTTGTTGCTCAGTCATCACTGTCTAGTGGCGAACATACTTGCTGGGACCCCAAATATGGACATTACCAGGTGTGGAACAAGTTTTGGCTCCAGCTTCACTCAGCCTTTCAGCAATGTGTCATCATGCCAAGCAGGGTGGTGCAAGCATACCCCCCAAGCAATGATTTCCCCCTCAGCAATTGCGACACCATTCTCATTGACACCATGGGCATCAATTGTTACAAACTCGGATAGAGCGTCGTTCCAATAAAGGAATCAAGATCAAGGTTGATCAAGGACTAAGCCTTATTGAGTCAATGCCTCCCTCAGGAGCAATTGTCTAGACTCCCGCAGGATCTAGAGTCCAAATGGGACAGATGGCTAGCCTCCTTCCCAAGGAGCTAGAGTTCAAGTATCAGAGAGAACCGAGTAGATTCAAGTTAGAGAAAATACAAGTGGTAACTAGGGTTTATATACATAAAGGAATCGTGCACAGACCAAGCTGGGCAAAGGGTAACTAGTACTAGAAATGGAAGGTTCATGGGAAAACAAGGTATGAGTCAGAGATAAGAGAGACCATGAGGAGTCAGCACAGTGAAAAGGAAGCATTAGAAGTACAGCCATATAGGAGTCCACAGTGATGATGGGAAAAAGAGTGGGGCACTGTAACATCAATGGCAAAACGAGTATGTTTATTCTATGCCCCTATATTCTAGCCCTACTGATATCATATACAGCAAGTTACGTCGCACAAGTTCGAGTCATTTTTCAGCCAGTTGTTTGATGAGGTTCTAACCTGGAACTGCCATCATATCTCTCCAACCCACTTCTCTACGTCCAATGCTTCCGCTTCATCTCCAGCCCTGATGAGCATCCTGAACTTGCTATGTGGACTGTGGAGCGCGCATACATGCAGGATCAAAATGGTAACCGGTATAGGGAGGGGGCTGTCGTACGAGTGGTAGATGTAATACATGCAGTTGAACTGATACCTGTTTATGGTGAGGCAGTGGCCGATGGTGTGTCCTCTGCAATTTGCTTAGAACACTACGAGCATTTCTTTTTGAATAACTTTGCGGACAAGGAGAGTTATCATGCATTCAGTACCGAGTTTGTATAGATAGTAGCTTGATCAGCATGTGGCAATTGTATTCACATCTACCATATTGCATATCCGAGCAATCGCATCTTATCAACCGAAGATAACTGGGCTTGAGTTTTATCAACCAGATATGGTGAGTAATATTGGCATTCAACATCTCCACCAATCGCATGAGTTCACTAGTGACGTCGTAAGCGTCCGTAACGCGCGTAACTTGAGCGTTCATTTCAGTGGTTTTGCAGATGAGGAGTGCATAAACGCATTTTCCCTCGGACCGGAGTTTCCTAGAAACCCCGCTATAGCGCGTATGTAGAACTCAGTTGCTACCGATACACACCGCTTGTCTAAAAAAAAGGAAGAAAATTTCCGGCCTTCTTAACCCGGCGGCATTGTAATGGCCCTTAGGTTTTTTCCGACATTAGTCTGTATATTTGCTACTCCCAAAAATAAATGTTTAGTCCTATTCTTCATCATTCGTCCGTTTTTTTTGGTGAACAAATCACATCTAATGATGATGAGCTCCCGCGCTATTCACGGTACTCGACTTCGACGACCCGGAGGCAATACCTCAGCATGGGGGAACAATCCATCGATACGCAGGAGCGGTATGTAAGCTTTTTGTCGCTTTGCCGCCGTCTGGAGAATCGCATTCGATGTTTGCGTTGTTCGCTGATGATTGACCTTTACTTCCCCCATTTGCATACAAACGAGCCTGGCTCACTCGATTGGCTCCACCCTGCTCCACATTCAGGGTCAGTGCAATCAAACACGTATGTATCCGATATCAAAGATAGTACCCAGATGGCCAGATCACACTACTGCATCATGTTGGCCATCTGCAGCCTGAGTAACGCATGCATCATGCCGCTTTAGTGACGTCAGTTTTCATGTGCTATTGAATTCAAACTGTGTCATCAGATCTAAATCACATCTCCGGATACCCTGGAGTTGTGCAGTGGACCAGGCACAACCAGCTTTACCAGACCGGTTGGCAAGTAGCCAACATGGCTCCAGGGACAGTTGGCGCGACTGATTTCTATTTATTCTATCGTGAGTAGCACTGCGCCATCCTTAAGAACGCTCTCTTGAAGATTGTGGACCTGCACCCCTTGTATTAAGACACACACCTCTATATTTCCTCCCATCGCTAAGTTGTAATGCCTGTTCCGTTTGTACGCCACTCTGAAGTCGACGTTCTCATTATTGGTGCTGGCCCTGCTGGGCTCATGTGCGCGAATGCCTTGGCAAATGCGAGAGTCAATGTTCGGATCGTCGATCAAAAGTCTGTGGGTCGATCCCTTTCATTCCTGCTTTTAACTTAACCTTCTGTTAGGGCTGTCAAACTAACTACTGGCGAGGGTGATGGAATTACACCTCGCACTACTGAAGTTTTACAGGTGAAAATGCTCCCTTGTCGACTGACTAAGACTCAGTATTAACAAGTTGGACATAGAGTTATGGACTTGCAGAGCGCCTTCTGAGGGAGTCTTGCCAACTCCATCTAGCGGTATGCCTTTCAAAGTGGGCTTGCAGGATATACGATTCATCGCATCTCAGTCCTTCTACAACCCTTCTGCGACCGGCGGTATTGAGGTTCGTAAATTCCGCTATCAACGAAGGATATTCACTGAATTTCCGCCATTAGCTCACTGGCAGAATAGCAAGCGTGACAGCTCCGTCTGCAAGATACCCATTCGAGGTGTGTTGATAAATTGGACAGAAATTACATTAGCTGAATGAGATCAAGGCTGCGCTCCATCAAGGAGCCATTCAAGACATTTTCATAGATTCCATGACACCGCTCGGCGTTGAGGTTCAACGATCGACGATACCAACTTCAATAGAGCTCTCCAAGGATGAAAATGAATTGGCAGATCCTACATCATATCCAGTTTGTGTTGTGCTCCAAAGACTGGACAAATCTGAGGACGAACCACAAGAAGAAATTGTCCATGCTAAATTTGTTGTTGGTTGTGATGGTGCGTTCCAAAGATGTCATTCCAGGCCTATCCAGGCAATATAATCATTTTCCTTGATAGGCGCTCACTCATGGATCCGTAAACAAGTCGATATTACGATGGATGGGGAACAGTCTGGTAAGAATGTTGATCACTTAGAATTCTCAGCAAGCTCAGTCTCGATCGATAGATTCCATCTGGGGTGTCGTGGACATGGTCACCCCTGACACCGACTTCCCGGATGTCAGGAACAAGGCCCTTATACATTCTAACCATGGCTCAGTTATTTTTGTTCCTCGAGAACAAGATCGCATTCGCATTTATATACAACTAAAGGACAAAGATGTCATCAATCCGATGACAGGCAGGGTAGACAAGGGGAAAATGGGTCCAGAGCAGATTCTTGAAGTAAGCGATATCCACTATATGATCAACAGTCATCAATATTCCCTTCAGACTGCCCAAAAATCGATTGTACCTTACAAACTCACCCGGAAGAGTGAATTTATATGGTGGACAATATATAGCGGTATGCATCTTACTAGCTATGAATTCGTATTTGTTGACATTTTTGCTCAAGTCGGACAACGAGTAGCCTCAAAGTATTCCATCAACAATCGCGTATTTATTGCTGGTGATGCTTGCCACACGCACTCTCCGAAAGCAGGTAAGCGTCTTAAATCCGGCTCCTCCTGGTCTGGTTACAATGGAACTTTTAGGACAAGGCATGAACGCAAGTATCAACGATAGCCATAATCTAGGTATGTCTCCTTTTCCTGTTATCACGATCGAGCTTAATCGTTTTGTCAGCTTGGAAAATTGCCCTAGTTGCTCGTGGGTGGGCAGACATATCCCTTTTGTCAACGGCAAGTTTTTCGAGTCGTGCAACTGTTTGACTACTTACTCACGCCCTGCCGATAGTATGAATCAGAGCGCCGTCAATTCGCATTAGACCTGATCGCGTTTGATAAAATGTGGTCCACCCTTTGCTGTGACAAGCCCTTGACTGAGCAGAACAGCGACGGGGTTTCGCCCGATCATTTCTTGAAGTGAGATTATGCCACCATCAGTCATGTCCTTTTACTGATCCTGCGAGGTCTCAGGACTTTCCAAACAGATTTCACCAGTGGCATCGGGGTACATTATCAACCTTCAGTTGCAGTAAACGACAGAAACCAGGAACTGGCTAGTGGTCTCGTCCTCGGTAAACGTGTCCCTCCATACAAATTCATGCGTGCGGCAGACGCATGGCCATTCGAGCTCCAGGACCTTCTCCCTTCGGACTTCCTCTTTAAGTTACTTGTTTTTACTGGTGATTTCAGCGATCCGCTTCAGCAAGCGAGGATTGAGTCGATGGTCACGGACATGCAGAAACACGAGAGCTTTCTAAACCGTTACGCGACACATGAGAACTCACGATTTGACATCATCACGATCAGCAAAGGCCGGAAGGAAACATTTAATCTATTTCAACTCCCTACACTTCTTCGCTCTCATTGGTCAAGGTAAGTGCTTGCCTATCTGTATGAAGTACGATGACATTGATCGAAGTGCTCTTAGGGTGTTTATCGATGACACTGATCCCACTGGTAGCTTCGGGGGAGAAGGTTACTCATATTATGGAGTGGGACCTGAGGGCGCTCTGGTTGTTGTTCGTCCTGATGGCTATGTTGGAGTCATCGCGCCACTGGATCGCGTTGGGGACCTTGATGCGTATTTCGCGTCTTTCATGAAGATTCCCGCTGAGGCTTAACGATAAATTTTCCTCAAATACGGCTTCGCTACTTCAAAGTACCATTAGTTCCTATCTGAAATTGAAATCCTTCTAGCTATTTCCACATCCTCAAACCAGACCTTCTCACTTGTGCACGCTATGGTACAACGCACTATTCTTCACTCCTTTCTGGAGATGAGTTGCTGACGCAGAGGCGATGGCAATTCACACCTTTGAAGGGGAGGATCATGTCTCGAAGAGCCGAGCTTGCCTGAACAGTCAACGAGGAGTAAGAACTACCAATACCGACTCCTACTGATTTAAGAATAAATCTGACAAGTGAAGCGAGGGAGAGTTGAGGTCGTCTTACATATACACCTCCGCTAGCATGCCTGTGAAAGTGGTCAGAATAAATTTGTATGTGATGCACAGGAAGGAGCTGACCATGACGTGGTGATGTGTTGAGACTGGAGATACTGACGGGTATGCCATGGGCTCTCTCGGAAACCAACGAAGTGAGAATATTGAGTGACAGATTCCGATAAATGGGTAGGATGGCATCAAGGCTAGCTCGCAATATCAGAGTCGGTCGATTGCAAATTGAGTGCGCCAAGCTGTTCAGAGGGAGACTATAAAAAGCGTTTGTGTGAATATTTCATATCACGATAAAGGTACCCTTGCAAGACTTCCGAGTCAAGGGTTGGATTTTTGAATATACCGTAGCATTTCTGGCTAGAGTCACGTATAGAGACCAGGGGATATGACTGCTCTTCTTTGAAGACCTATAAAACCACCCAGCCTCGAAGTCGGCCATCGTGCCTGTCATCCTCGTCTGAGGCGAGAAGTAGCGCCGGTAGGTGGCGGTGGTGCTTGTCATCCAGTAGCAAACTTATGGCATCGTGATGATTGAAGGTGCAGTAGAATTTTTGGAGAAAGCAGTGGAGATCCCTTGGAAGCGACTGGTATACATGTCATGGGCTATGTAGTATTGCCAACGGCCGGTTACCTTTCATTTTGAGAATGTTCCTACGTACACCATATGATCGGCCCCATTCTAGTTTGGGCTTACATAAGCGACGTTTAACATAGTGGCAGTTCGTGGTCCAGCATTGCTCACTTGCGCTCAACAAATGACTTCAGATAGCGGCCAAGAGAAGACGACAGAAGAAGGCACGATGACGATAGGTGAGAGAAAAGCAAAAATGGAGCAGCTGAGAGCGAAGATGGTGCGTGGTCCTCTCTGCATCATACTCTTTATCCCTTACCCACTTTTCTACAGCGTTCAACGACGAAAGCGAATCGCGCCTCCCTCATTGAAGAGTCTTCCAAAGCCAAAATGACAGCGAGGGATACTGCACGGTTAGAACGACAGCGGAAACTTGCGGAGGTATTACGCACGCAGGCTGAAGCTGAGGATCGGGGAGAGGATGTGGAGCGGCAGAAGAATTGGGAATGGACGATAGAAGAGAATGATAATTGGGAAAAGAAAAAGGCGAGGAAGGCACGGAGAGCGGACTATGAGTTTCACGGTAGGGGTTTATGCTATTCATTGCGTGATGACACTCATCGGATATTCTTGTGTAGATGATGTTCACGCGGCTCGACGGCGCTACAAGAAAGACCTTGACCTTATTAAACCTGACCTCGTTGCATACAACCGACAGAAAGAAGCCGTGCTGGGATTGGCACCAGGGTCTCTTTCAAAGTCTGGGAGCAGCACGCCATCATCATCTGCTCTTACAACCTTTGATCCTTCAGGCGGCCAGGTGAGTGTTGCCGAGCCTTCCATTGTATTGTATTTCTTATGATGTACATTCTCAGGTGGTTCCATCACCTGAACAACGGATGGCTGCAGAGAGCTTTTACAGAGATGCCAATACTCTACTGTACGCCGACAACAAGCCTACTGAAGACGCCATCGATAGAGTGGTTGGCAAGATCAACAGAGAGTACGTTGCTGTATGATTGGTTTCCTCTGCAGCACTGACATGGTGCCGTAGCATTGACAAGAAGGGCAAATTCTCGCGAAAGAGACTCAATGAGGATGAGGGCGACATTACCTACATCAATGAGCGGAATCGGGTGTTCAACAAAAAGGTATGTCATTGCACATCGTGTTCTTGAAATGTAAGCTAATGAGGAGCAACAGATTGCGCGGTACTACGACAAATATACCTCCGAGATTCGGGCTAGTTTCGAGCGGGGAACAGCACTATGATCATGGACCGTGCTATTCAATCCCCTCGCTGCACTTGTATTCAGACCATATACATCTACTCGAGTACTCGCATCCTGTAACAATATGAAGATTTATACTGTTGATACGCAACTCAGGATATGGTGTAAACGGAATCAAAGCAGTAGATTCAGTATGGCCAGCCACAACAACATAATAATACATGTAATGCTCTAAACGCAAGCGGACCAGGGGACAAAGAGGTACAGTTGATGCCTAAAAGAACGAACGTTAGTACTTGATCAAATGACGGTCTTGGAATGCCTGATAAGTGTCAGAATTGCAGAAGTAATGGTAGTCAGCAGCTAGACACAGAGGTCCATAAGACTGTTGAGCTTGAATGTGATATTTATTCATCAAAAGGACCAAGTAGAATCGAACATAGAATATGATGGATAGGATCACTTACTTGAAAGTTGAGGCTAGCGGCGGGACTGTAGAAAACAGAAAATACGAAGCAAGCTGCAAAGTGAGCCTGAAGTTTTTAACCATCGGTTTCAAACCCCGCAGTCCGCGATTATAGCTTAAGCGCTTAAAGCTTATGATCTGCGAGCTCGTTGCAGTGTGCAACGCCAACCAAGGCTACTCACTCAGGCCATCCGACAAAATGCAGCCCGTCAATCTGGATTCTAGAAACAGTATCAACATAATCAATGAGCTCGATACTCACATTGATGAAGTCCACACATTATTCAAATTTCCATGCGGCGAGATTGTTCTTTGCAGCACAGAAATTTGATAGTATGTGGAAACGACGTTTATCAAGTCGTGTTCTTTGAAATTTTTTTCGTAAATGTTTCCATTCAAACTGCCGATATCATCATGATCTCTTAGGGTTCTACCACCGATTCTGTGGAGGGGTTTTCAAGGACGTCGCCGGGAGAATAGTTTGAACTCCAATCCGTTCTCCCGTCGACAACGTCAGTACAATTTCTTGCCGCATAAATGCGCAGTCCCACTCAGGCGTCACCTGGAACACACCCAATACACAGCAATGTATGTAGTACGTCGTCACACTTGCGAGTCGGAAGCGACACAAATGGTGAGCATTTCTCGCACCTGCAGTAAGCAGTACTGATTCGAATGTTCGCTCAAGTACTTAATACTTGGGCTAAAACCATGGTCCTGGCAGTTGTCGGCGGCGGCAATATCGAGCGCACGCGTTGCGCATAACTGCACCCCTTATCGGACTGATTTCCTGCTATGAGTCATTCTCCTTTTCAACTCCTAAAGCCGAGGTGGACCATGATCTCACTGCATGTTGTACAAGGATATATGGCGCATAAAGCAATTGTGGGTATTAAGTCAAGTCAAGTTAGAGCAAAGTATAACTGAATATCAATCCTCTTTTACTTTCGCAAGACGAGCCGCGCAGTAATCACTTGCAGGTTATAACATTCCCTAGGTAAGTAAAATTCAGTCGAGGTCCTGCCGGCATCGATGGATCTTCTACCGCGCGACGCGACGCGCAGCGCTGGATATGAAAGCACATCTACGAAGACTCGGAGGAACACCAAAACCCTCCAAATCATGGACCGCGATGGATACGACACGATGCCGACTGGCATTTGACCTTCTTGAACGAGTGTACATATTGACCATAAACAGTGGGCCATCAGGAATCGCGACTCTCGAAGTGAATGAAATGTCACTTCGACTGACTTCTGTACAACGACCTTAACTGAAATCTAATGTTTTCCAAGCGAAGCGAAGTTCCCTCGGGTTGTAGGAATACCAGAAGCCGAACTGGACGAGCGTCCTTGAATATGGAGGAAGCGATTGCGCTGGAGGTTTCTCCGCTTCCTAAAATATCTGGTTTCGTTACTGTTGCTCTGACATCTGCCTGGTAGAATGGTCCTGCCAAAGTGGTTGGCAGAAAATGCAATAACTCTGTGGTTAGGACCTATTAGATGTCAGTCCAGTTGGACATCTGTCTATACCAAGGGCCCCCTAAATGTTGACATGTATGATATGGTCATGTACGTACCGATCATATACGAGCGCTATCGTTGATCATATTGACCTTGATAACGTTGTGACTTGTTCTCGCTTAAGTGCTTTTTAACTTTCGGTTGGTGTTTTTGGCAAAGTCCCTCGCTTCGGTTCGACCGAGACTATACCAAACAGAGATGGTTCCATGATAGTTTTTCGGTAGGTCCAAACTCTGATCGGGGCCCGTTAGCCAAGTACTACTAAGCCAATGTAAGTTATTCTATTATTGTCAGACCAATAAAAACTCATTCTACAATTCATATCATACAGGAACTTGTGTGCTCTCGACTGGAAACTAAATGGCCATCAGAAGGAACCAGCAACGGTCTTCGCATCTTGCTGGAATGGGCTGTCCAAACTTTAAAGCCGACAAGGAGGTACGTCTTTTTTGTTATATTGATATCTATCCGATACTAGTACTGTCTTCTATGGTAGGTATACAAGTGCAAAGCAGCGATACCCTACACCCTCGGGGGGCCGGTTAGGGTGCACTTGGGCCTGGGTTTCCACTTCAGTAACACCTTAAAGGACTCGGGGACTTCATGAACGCGTAACTTCTTTGATCCTCTACATTCTAAGCTAAAGGCCCTTCACAAAGGATTGTAAACGCCCTAGTCAAGCATTCACATCATGGTCGTTTCACATCCAAATTCTGTCAGTCATCCGCCTCTCGACGGATCCCTGTTCCTCCCTGAATTACTGGAATTCAATGCGCAATATAACTCGGACGTCGCATTCTTTGTTTATAACACACTTGGCAACAACGACCTGGTCTCCATCTCACACCTAGACTTCTATCGAGCTTGTCATCGTGCTGCACATGAAGTTAGACCGGATCGTGCAGGCACAGACAAAGAGGTGGTTGGCATCATCGCCAATTCAGACACCCTCCTTTAACAGACAGTATTTGTGGGTATCATCTTCGCTGGGCTAGTCGTATGTGAATATTATTTCTGCTTGAACATATCTCTTACTGTTGCTTTTTAAGCCATTCCCCATGTCACCTCGTAGTTCAGCGGCGGCAGTCTTAAGCATGATGCAAGAAACAAAGTGTCGTCGCTTAGTTACCACTCATCACTCTCTCGGTTCCCTGATCGACGAAGTTAAATCGGGTAGCGTATCTCGTGGCACTGAAGCAAGCCAGCTGCAGTGTGATGAGATGCCAGCGCTGAAAGATTTATATCCCACGCTTGGCACAGGTTCTCTAGACGAGGATTTTCTCCCATACCCTCCCAAAGCTTTTCGGGTTTCTCAGAACGATATATTATACTACCTACATTCATCTGGCAGCACTGGTTTCCCGAAAGCCATTCCGACAACCAACCAGACTGTCATCGACTGGTGCACAAGCCGTAAGCCACTGACACGATCTATAAAGCAAAGTGCTAACAGGAGTGGTATCAGCATGCATTGTCGATCACATCGGCGTTCTCACCCCTTTTCGTATCGCTGCTGCATCCATTCCAACGTTCCACACCTCGGGCGTGGTGGTCCAAGTGCTAATACCTATTGTGTCCTTGAGCAGTGTATCTATTTACCCGCCCACGTCTTTCCACGACCCATCAGCGGCCCCTTTAACACCCAATTCCCAAAATATCCTAGAGTCAGTGCTTAAGACCAGATCGAATGCTTTGTGGGTCATGCCTTTCTTCCTGGAGCAATTGGCGTTTTCTCCCAATACTATTAATATTTTGAAGAATCTTGAATATGTTGTATGTTACAAGTTTATTTTTGCAAGGAACGACTCATGGTGCTGTAGCTCTATACCGGCGGTCCACTCGCCTCTAAGACGGGAAATGCCCTGGTGGATGCAGGAATCAATCTCTTCCCTATTTACGGCTCTACAGAAATTGGGCCCGTCACTCCTATATTCCGGGATGGGATCGAGAAAAAGCTTTGGGACTGGCTGCGCTTTATTCCAAACATCAAGACCAGATGGGTTCATCAGGATGATGAAACATATGAATGCCAAATTTTGGTGCGTCTCACTCTTCATACATCAGCTCAATGTGAACTCTTCTTCACAGACAACTCCGATGTACCGAGTGTCAGTAGAGAATCTCCCGGACGTCAAGGGTTATGCCACTTCAGATTTATTTATCAAGCATCCAACGATCGAGGGTCTGTGGAAGATGTATGACTGATGGTTGTGTTATTCATGTTCCGGAATCGTCTGACATTATTCTTGCAGCTCAGGAAGGAAGGATGATGTATTGATACTTTCGTTCGGGGAGAAAGTAGTACCAGCTCCCATGGAATGCATCATCGGAACCAACCCATATGTGAACGGCGCCGTCATCTTTGGCCGTGGACGTAGCCACGTTGGCGTTCTCATAGAGCCACGAGCGGGTCATGAAATCGACATCAACGACGAGGTACGGGTTTCGGAGTTCAGGAATCGAGTTTGGTAAGACCTTTGCAAAACTGCATGCGACTTTCGTGATTCAGAATGCTCTCGAAGGCCCGAGATAGAGGAAGCGAACAAGACGGGCCCTGCCTTCAGCAGAATCTTCAAGGAAATGGTTCTTGTGACGTGCAGGGAAAAGCCCATGCCTCGAGCTGGAAAAGGGACCATCGCTAAGAAAGCCGCTAGCCGAATATACGAAGAGGAGATCAATGCCCTGTGAGCAGGTGCTTTCACCAGCGTCCAAAAATGATGTTATTAATGAGCGTCAGATACGACAAGGTGGAGGGCGGAAGAACAGGCATCGTTGTGCCTTTACCCACGAACTGGACTGTGGAGGACGTTGAGAGTTGGCTTATGCTCCTTGCCGTTTCTGTGAACGCTGGCAAGGCGGTCGATCCTGACACAGACTTCTTTGCTCAAGGCTTTGACAGGTGGGCCGATGGTCAATCATTAATCAAAACTCGTGCTTTGCTGACTTCCTACCTCCAGTCTTTCTGCGACATTCCTCAGAAGCCAAATCATCAGTTCTCTCAGGTCGTCATCAGATCGCAACGTCCAGGCTTCAGCACCCCAAATTCATCAGAACTTCATCTTTTTAAGCCCTTCGATTCGCCAGCTCGCAAGAAGCATCCTCCATGCAGTATTGCATGGGAACAGTCCAACCTCGGTCGATCTCAAGGTTGAGCTCCAGAGCATGATCGAGAAGTATTCGGTGGGGTTCGATGGAGATTCTGTCAGAAATGCCTCCACCACACTTGTTAATAGACGCAGTCGAAGCAACCATGTGGTCATCCTGACTGGTTCCACGGGCGGCCTTGGTTCATACCTGCTTGCATCTTTGCTACAGCGCGAGGACGTGTCAGTGGTATATGCCTTCAATCGTTCGTCTACAGGCGCTGCATCCATTCAAGAACGACAGAAGAATGGATTCGACGACCGTGGCTTGGATGTCACCCTCCTGCAGTCAGAGAAATTGTTGTATATAGAAACGGATACTTCTAGTGATGACCTGGGTTTGGAAAAGGAGTTGTATCAGAAGGTTTACTCTATTTCCAGTCCGTTCTGTAGACTGGTCTGCTAACAACACACGATCTAGATCTGCACATCCGTCACTGTCATCATTCACAACGCCTGGCCACTCAACTTTAACCTGGCGCTGTCGTCCTTCGAGCCTCAAGTTCGGGGAACACGCAATCTCATAATCCTGGCTCTATCTTCTCTGTGGCATCCGAGGCCGCATTTTTTATTCACCTCTTCTGTCTCAACTGCGCAAAACTGGGATAAGTCGAAAGGACCTTTCCCAGAAGAAGTACAGTACGACGCGAGCGTCGCAGAAGGCCTTGGGTATGGCGCGAGCAAATACGTTTGTGAAATGGTAAGTCGTATACTACTTTATGGGAGTATATCAATCCGATGAATACCACCCTAAACAAGGTCCTCGTGAACAGTAACTTGCCAGCATCCCTATTCAGAATCGGACAAATAGCGGGAGGACCTCCACGAGGAGCTTGGTCGACAACGGACTGGTTGCCGATCATCGTCAAGTCGAGTGTAAGTTTGGGTGTATTCCCGGAAGCCCGAGGGGTAAGTGTGGTTCAACGTGGGGTACTCATCAATGACACACGCGGTTTAGCTCCTGTCGTGGATTCCTACTCACGCCGTATCAAACGCCATTCTTGATGTGGCTTTCGCAGAAGAAGAGCCTTCTATCGCGGTGAATCTGGTACATCCGAGACCGGTAGCGTGGGGGGCGCTGATGCGACCTGTTGCGGACGCCATCTTTGAGCGCAGGATCACAAGCGTCCCGCTTCCTCTCATCCCATTCTCGGAGTGGTTTGAAAAGGTCGAATTGGGTGCCAAGAACGCAAGCGAGGCAAATATCAAACGCATCGTACGCGTGTTTCATTTTCTAACTGAATATTTTCCTACCTGATCTTCTATCCTAGCCTGCTATCAAGCTTCTCGACTTTATGCGTTTGATGTCTCGATCGGATATCGCAATCAGAGCGTCTGGGGAGATGTACTCAGAAGTAGGTGGTTTTGCCTCGTTCGCGACTGATGTGGCCCAGTGTGTCAGTCTGACGGTGAAAGAGTTGGAGCCTCTGTCATCGGCGACTGCAATGCAATGGGTAGACTATTGGGAGGCGGTGGGAATGTTTCGATGAATGATTGCTTTAAGTTTGGATCCTGTTGGGCCATTCATATTTCTAGATTTTTTGAGACGACACTGTACAACAGATATGCAGAGGAGCGTTTGGCAATCCCCTTGCTTGTTTGAACAGTTGGCCTGTCTACATATTGTAAGGACGGAACCAATTCGCGTCGACGCCGTTGGTGCGTGCTCAGAAGGGTAACAAGGCACCTAGTACGACTCAGTTTGAAGGAACTAAGGTCCGACTGATAACAGGGTACTTGAAACCGTGTGGATCTAGGGGTCATTTTATTGTGAATGGTATCATGAACTCGCAATTTGTAACGAAAGGTTTAACCAAACTTTGCAAATTTATGTAGTGTGCACGGGCACGTTTTGGATCAAAATATCTAAGTCTAGCACTACTTACTAGTACAGTACAATGGACTCCATCGGAGCTGGCGCACATAAACTGGGCGACAGCAATACCATCTATGTCTGCGACTGTAGAACTTGTCTCCAGAAGACCAGAGGACGGAACACACGTAGCCTCGAGTCTTTACCTTCATTCCCATCTGCCACCTCGAACACCATTGCCAACGAACAGAAACCTTGCCTATTCAACGGATTATGTAATATTTACATAATCTCTACAGATTTGGAATCTGATCACTTTCCGTTGATTCCTGACATCTTCTTCGACTTCTCACCACTATCATGCCGTAATCTAACGACCTCACACATACTGACACAGCTTCCCTTGCCGTGAAGATGGGACTCCAGGCAGCAAACCCCGCCAAGTCTACGCCTGTGATCGACTCGCAGCCCAGGACCGAAGCCAGCAAGAAACGCCAGCTGCGAGTAAGCACAAAAATGACTGTTGTTCTATTATCATGATATTGTTAGGCCGATTAGCACCCATATAGAAATCTAATGGACATCAAAGAGAACCAGCGAGCGCCTTCGGGGCCTACTGGAACGGGTAGTCTAACCCGACAGAGAGATGTGTCATTCATTTTGTCTTATATTAACATCTATCTCATTGTGTCTACAACTGTGCTAGTCATACAAGGCAGCTTCTAAGGTGAGCGCGGTCCAATGTATCCTATCACATGGACTGACCAAATTGTTTTATTGCGGTTTTCGCGACCCACTAAAACAGGTGATCAAAGAGGCGCGTTATTCATTTTGCCTTCTATTTAATTGCCTAGATCCGATTAACTGAAAAGGTCAAACGTTCTTTATGAAAATGTCCCTTCTCAAGATCCCACTCATCTTCTTGTCCGCTGTCGCTGTGCACGTAGCGTTCACTCCCCCGCACACCCCATCGAAGGGCGAGATTGTCGATACCTTTAATGACTGGATCTTCATTCAGCACATTAAATATGGGCTCCCGACGACAAAGGTACCTGTTCATGGATTGTCCACGATCCTCTTTGATGGAATTATGCCCAGATAATCTACTGGGGTGTTTCTTTGGCAGAAATAGTTCTCGCTGTCTCTCGTATCACGGACCCCAAAACACTTCCCAGCGTGATACAAAACACAATCGGTCCATTTCTTTCAAGAATCCAGGACGTGTCAATCACTCGTCCTTTCATTCTCGGTACCACATTTATTGTTACCGCGGGATACCTCCGCTGGTCGTGTTTTCGGACCCTCGGTCGTTTCTTCACATTCGAGCTCACCACCCGCAAGGGTCACCAGCTTGTCACAAATGGACCATACTCGGTCGTACGCCATCCCTCCTACTCAGCAACTATTCTCCAGTATATCGGCGTGGTAGTCTTGCACGGATCCGCAACTTCGTGGCTTAGACAATCAGGGGTCTTAGATCTCCCTGGAGTGAAACCAGTTCTGCTGGCATGGTTATTGGAGAGAACGTTTGCTGTGATAAGCCTCGTGCGCAGGATCGATCAAGAGGAGGAGGTCGTGAAGTCAATGTTTGGAGACGAATGGCAGAGGTGGGCAAAGGTCGTCAGGTACCGGCTCATACCCGGCATCTACTAACCCAGTCCTCGTGTCATGAAGGCCTAGATGGGATTTCTTACTACCTGCACACCGTGTGAAAGCCTACGTATTTGTACTTACCATCCTCGAAACTCGCATTGACGAAGTTTGTACAGTGTACAAATGTCCATGCAATAAATTTCTTTGCAACACAGAAACTTGGTCATTGTGCAGAAACGACCCGATGTGAACTCCAAAGATGCGATTTTTTTGTCAATATATACAATGAACTTGAAAGTGGCATTTGATAAAGCCGTAAGTCGGGATTGGAGAATGATCTGAGCTCCCATCCATTCTCCCATCAAGACTGACCAGTGTTGCTTACTCCCTGAACCTTGCTAAAAACCAGGTCATCAAAGTTGGCATCTTCTATGCTATCATCAGGTATCACCAGGTGACCAATGACTCATGCAGCATTGAACATTGAATGTTGAACTTCTGTATGTGTTATGCTCAGTGTTCGTAAGAATGACTAGATGGAAACAAATGATCTAAAGTGTGAACCTATTCATGAGTCATGCAAGTTAAGCAGTATATTGCAGGCCCTGGTCTGTGTAGGTCAAGTTAAAGAGTACAAGCATAAGAAATAGAGTATATATAGAGAGATTAAAGTGGAGCTTTAATAAATGAATCAGAGATTTGAAAGTAAATAGTGAATCAGAAAATAGAAATGGAATTGTATGATGGAATGTGATAGAATGTCTGAGAATGATTAGTAATGTGAATAAGTGAAGAGGTGAAAGAGAAAAAGAGGAACTGTAACATTACCCCCATTGTAAGGGTAGTAGGCACCAACTACTATCGAAGAAGACGATGTGATCGTTTATAAGTAAGGAGAGAATTGGAAGCATTACCTAGTTCTGCTTCCTTCATCCATTCGTTCTCGGAACTCAGGAATCCTTTCCATTTAACATAATATTGGCATCTAGAAGAAGAGCCTCAGTGTCCAACAATGGCTTCTATTTCGTATTCTTCTTCACATTAATAAGATCAGGGGTGGGCATAATATGATTAGGGCCGTGGGTATCATTCTCTTTATAAGGAGAAAGGAGTGTGGCATGGAAAACTGGGTGAATGCACCATTGCGTGGGTAGAGCGAGTCAATAGGTTATGGGGGATAATATGTCAATGATAGTGAAGGGTCCTTCGCATTTTGGAGTGAGTTTCTGATTAGGGTATCCAAGGTGTAGATTCTTGGCTTTGAGCCAGACTTTGTTGCCTTTAGAGAAAGGTACGAATCTAGACATGATTTGTTGACACATGGTATTGTGTGCGAGTTCATGAGTGGCTAGCGCTTCATCACATGCTTTATTAAGGATAGTGAGGCATTGTTCTATATTAGGGATGTCAGATTTTGGATGGAGATTGGGAAGATGACGTGGGTGATAACCCATTATGAGGTAAAAGGGTGATGTGCCATGGGTGGAATGATGACATGAGTTGTGGACAAACTCAGCAAGTGGTAACATGGGTGCCCAGCCTGTCTGGTCATTGGTGCAGAAGATTTGGAGGTAAACCCTGAGTTCTTGGTTGACTTGTTCAGTTTCTCCATCACTCTGGGGATGGAAAGCAATGGAAAGGGAGTTCTTGTATCTAAGGAGTTTTCTGAGTTTGATCTGGAATCAGGAAGTGAACTGAGGTCTGTGGTCAGAAAGAATCTTATTGTATAGTCCGTATCTAGAGAAAACTTTAGAAAAGAAAATGTTCACAACACCTTCAGCATCTATAGTTTTGAGACAAGGGGTGAAAACTACCCCCTTCAAAAGTCCATGGTTGACCACAACCATAATAGAGTTGAAACCATCAGAAAGGGGTAAGTCTGTGATAAGATCCACTGAGCAGTGAGTGAAGGGTTGGTTGGAAATGGGAGTGGGAATAGGGAAGAGAGGTAGAGTAGATGGGTGCATGTTTACTTTATTCTGTTGGCAGATGCAACAGCTATCTATGAAGTTTTTGATGAAGGTGGCTAGACCAGGCCACTAATAGTCACAAGATAGGAGTTCCTGGGTTTTGAAATGTCCAGGGTGTCTGGTGGTAGGGGAATTGTGATGTAGGGATGTGAGTTCTCATTGGAGATCTCTGGGGGAAACGTTAGTAAGTCCTTTATATGTAAGGATTCCGTTGCTCAATTTCCAATCAGAAAGAGCTGAACAGAGGGGAGGTGGAATCAAAGAGTCTGTGAGTGCTTGGAGCACCGTATGAACTACAGGGTCTATGGCAGAGGAAATGCATAATCTGTCAGTGAACGATGTGTCCATGATGTTAAGAAATAATGAGTCTGGTAAGAGTTGAATACTAGTGTTATCCTTTTCGACATCTACGTCTGGAAGGTGATCCGTTCTATGAGAGAGTAAATCTGGGATAATAAGTTCTTTGCCTGGTACGTGTTGAATCTGGAGTTTGAACTGGGAAAGGAAAGTCTGCCATCTGGCTTGACGGTGGTTGAGGTCTTGTACGTCCCTGAAATATTGAAGATTTTTATGGTCAGTTTGTATGAGAACAGGAAAAGGAGATCCAAGGAGATAATGTCTCCATGCTTTCAAGGCTTGGATGATTGCAAGAAGTTCTCAGTCATAGATCTGGTAATTTTGTTCAGCAGGGTTAAAGAATTGAGATAAGAAGGAACAAGGGAGCCAGTCTCCATTGTCGTTCTTCTGAAGGAGTACTGTGCTGGTGGCATATAGGGAGGCATCAGTGGCGATAGTGAAAGGGGTGTCTTTATTGCATATTTGGAGGATTGGAGATGAGGTGAAGATATGTTTCAGCTTATTAAAAGCTTCCTCATGTTCTGGGGTCCAAGAGAATTCTTCATCTTTCTTGGTTAGGTCAATCAGAGGTCTAGCAATCGAAGAATAATCAGCAATAAACCATCGGTAAAAGTTAGTGAATCTGAGGAATGATTGGACTTCCTTCACTTTCATGGGAGTAGTCCATTCAGATATACCCTTTAATTTGATGGGGTCCATGGTGATAGAACTGGGTTTAATAATCATGCTGAGGTATTTGATGTCAGTTATGTTGAATGTGCATTTTTTGGGTTTGAGGTGGAGAAGGTTGTCACGGAGTCTTTGGAGTACTTTGTGGGTATGGTGTGGTGGGTTTCATCGTCTCTAGAAAAGATGAGTATATCGTCCATGTATATAATAATCCATCCTTCTTGGATCATATCTCTGAACAGATTGTTCATCATAGATTGAAAGGTGGCAGGTGAGTTACACATTCCAAAGAACATGACCATGGGTTCAAAAAGTCCTCTAGAAGTAGCAAAAGCTGCCTTCCATTGATCAGATTTTCTCATATGTACATTATTATATCCCCATCTGATATCCATCTTGGTGAAGATCTTGGCATCCTTTAGCTTATCTATAAGATCAGAGATTAGTGGTAAAGGATAGTTATTCTTAACCATGTGTTTGTTCAAGTAGCAATAATCTTGGCAGGGTCAGAGGGAACTGTCTTTCTTCCCAACAAAGAAGAAGGGTGATGATTGGGGGGATTCAGAAGGAACAATTGTCCCTTTGGCTAGATGTTCGTCAATAAAATCATTCATAGCCTTATCTTCTTTGGTGTTAAGTGGGTAAATCTTGCATTTCTGCAGTTCAAATGATTCTTTGAGGTCGATCTTGTGATCATATTTGTGTTCTGGGGGAAGGGTACCATTAGCTACATCACCAAATATGTCCTTGTATTGTTGGAACTCTTTGGGTATGAGTTCTTCAAAGGTTTTCTTTGGTTTGGCAGTGTCTTGGGCGAGTGTCTATGAAATATTGTCAGTTTTCCAGATAAAGGTATAAAAATCATTGTCATCATTGATGGGATCTAGGAGGTGTGGGAGAGTTTCGCTAGCAGGGTCCCATTCTTCTTCTAGTTCTTCAAGTGTGTCATAAAAGACATCTTCGTCTTTGATTTCTTTGATGGTTGCTTTTTTCAGGGTATGCTCCCTTAAACAGACTTCTTGATTTGTCCAGTCAATATCTGGGTTTTCTTTCTTTAGCCAGGTCATTCCCAGGATAGCGTCTTCTCCTCCTAGAGAGGTTATGAAGAAATGCTTCTGCATAGGGATATCTTTGATTAAAAATGAAAGTTCACAGTACCATGTGATTCTTCTGGCTTTGTTTAATGTGCTGTCTACATTATGCACAGGTATCGGGGTTTCAAGTTTGTGTGTGTGAATGTTTTCTTTGAGTACAAACTTCTCATCAATAAACTCACCTTCTGTGCCACAGTTGATTAAAGCGGTGGCTACAGTGGTTTTGGGGGACTTGTTCAATCTGATGGTTAAGGGCAAACAAATAGAATTAGTGTCGCCAACAGATTGTACTACTAGTCCAATTCTGGGAGTGTCTGACACTGTGGCAGGCTCCCTTAGGCAAAATCCTCCTCATTGCTACTTTCATCTTTCTTAACTGGCTTCTTACTGGCTTTCTTCATCTGGTGTGCTTTAAATGCCTTCTATTCTTGGAACTCTTTGTAATTGTCATCAGATGACTCCTTGACTACCTTTCTAGTATTGGTCATAACCATGGGATGGTTAGGGCAGTCTGCAGCTAAGCCTTTCTTGCCACATTTGAAGCATAGGCTGCCCTTGCATCTGTGCTCTCATTCTTGAGGAGTTAGGTAGGTTTTTCTTGTCTTCTTCTCACCATCTTCTTCATCTACTTCTACTTTATCTATGTCCATGGCATTGTCTTGCTAGGATGTGAAAGGCAGAAAAGTCACCAAATTCACTATCCTTCTATGGTCAATGGTTCAGACAAATACCAATGGTTGATAACGTAGTTGTTCATGGGGGACAAGGTTTTCTGTTGAACTTTTCAAGTGAATGCTAGTGACGTAAAATGGGCAAAGAAGTGTGGAAATCAATAACTGGCTTGAGGCAGTGCTATGATCTCAAGTAAAGTCAGTAACTGGCATGATGCAGTGCTATGACTTTCAGAATAATATGTTGCAGCTGTATGCAATGATTAGAGCTATAATATATCCCTGTGGATATTTCTTACTTATCTTCAGCAATGGAGATCAAATTCACTAGCGAAATT